CGTTCATATAAAAGTTAATGTCATTTAAAGTTGACTCCTCAATTAATTCAATCCTGAATAGCTGACTGAAAATTGTCAATTGTTGGTTATCAATGTCCAAAGTATGAGGATCTTGGAAAGGGAATGTGTGCTGATTGTCGGGTGAGTAGATCAGTTTCACCAAAATATGAAATATTTCATCACTTTTTGGCGAAATCGATCCATTCCTACAAACTGTTTCACAAACTTCATTTCGTAAGTTTTGTTCATCGTTTTCTTTGCTTATGTTTAACATTCATTTCTTGGTTATCGTTTTCGGTAAAATTAAGGTTTTACTGACTAAGGGCATGAAACATTTAGATCCAATCAGGTTAATCTTTTAAAATTAAATCTAAGGTTTATAATGATGATTGGAGTTATTGTTAGTTATTACTATTGCAGCGAATCCATACAAACTGAAAGAGAAAAAGGAAATTTTGATTAATCATTAATTTAAGATAAAAAACAATTAATTCGTTAATTTATTGAGTTGTTCAATTTAATGCAATTACCAATCATTGATTGATGACATTACTTTGACTTAAGGTGATATTATTAATTGATTAACCATGTAAAGAACTATGAGCATCTTGTTTATTTTTCATTCATTTCATTATTCCATCAATCTCTTTTTTAACAATAACTGCCCAAATATCCAATGACAAAGTTTTACTGGTAAACACAAATACGTATAAACATAAGTATGCACATAATTCAACTACAACATCTTATAAACTTGGACACTAGATCAAAGGAATAACTATCAAGAGTCAGGAAAAAGATGATCTCGAATTCAAAAGGAAATAAGTCAGATTTTGATTTTCAAAATTTAATTTTTCGATGAAGAAAAAATTCATTCTAATCTTTTTCTTTAGGTGCTATGATGCGGTAGTACGCAGATCGATTTTATTAAAGAGTCGACGGAAAACAGTTTTCGAAACATATGGGAAACCTCAGAAGTATGAGGAAATATTAGATTTGCTTTTACTTTTCACTTTTAAATTTTGAATAATTTGAAGTTTTTCTCTGGTTCTTTTAAACGATGAACATGGGCAAGTTTCATTATTAAATCAATTAAAAATAAAAACATAAGCAATTAATTGAATAAGTGATTGAATAGCTGATCACAGAGATTGAAAGCAACAAAAGTAATGCTTGCTAATGCTGACTGTTTTGACATTGAACATAACAAAATCTGCGAGCTGAAAAACAAAATTAAGATTTTATTTTTCGTCTTCATTCCATTTGTCCGACCAGAATTTGATAGCGATTAGATGCTCATAAGCTGAATATTATTTATCATTCTTGCCAAAACCTTCTGGTTGTCGATTGTCTTCAGAGATGAAAGTGATTATAATAGCTTCCAATCAAACTGACAGCCTTGTTGGACTTATTAGCTGACGAGGGAAAGTTCAAAAATCGAAAAGAAAGCGCTGATTCGATGAGATTTGATATTCAATCGAGCATCTTCATAGGAGATAAAACCTTCTCAAGCTTACATTACTTCAACTGTTTTCCAGTCGATTGGAAGATTTAGTTCTTGAAAATCAACCTAACCAGTACGATTTTTCGGTATTGATTGGTCGTATGGGTCCAAAAATCAACCAGTGCAATTGTGATCGAGTTATTGACTGATTTGATCGAAACCAGTCCAAACAATAAGTGATTTTCAAGCTGTGGCAAAAACTCGTTTTGTTGGTATCTCTCTGGCTCAATTCATCAAAAAAGTCAAGAGACTTTCGAATGTACACTTGATTGGACACAGTTTAGTTGCGAATACAGCTGCTTGCGCGCCTAGGCTGTGTCCTATTAAGTGTACATTCGAAAGTCAGAATCATCATAAATCGTGTGTTTTAAGGACTTGGGATTGGAGATGCATGAAGTGACATTGATTTTTTATCCCAATGGTGACTATGAACAATCTGCTTTGGGTATGACACAACATTGTTCAATTTTCTCACTCAAGAAGTGATTAAAGTTAATTTTCAAATTAAATCAAATTGCTGAGCGGGTAACATCATTTTGCTTATTCAGGTTCAGTTAAACAATTTCATGCAATCATCAGTTCTCTCATCTTTGACTCCCAGGTTTATGATTGTCAATTTAAAATAATTTGTTTATTAGATAAGAAAAAAATTGTAGCTGAACCAAAGACCCATAAGAAATATTCATCAGGAGAAATGGATATGTTCTGCAGGATAGTGCTGTTTAAAGCTAAGGACAGACAAACAATCAGACAAAAAAGCTATTTTTTCAATTAAATAACGATTGATACAAGCTACCAAAATGATGAAATCGAAGACACTTGTCTTGAGCTTGATTGATGTACTCAAATGTTTTAATCAAAATCATCAATTTACTTGCCATATCAGTAAATAATTAGTGATGATATTTCTTTAGAGTTGTAAAAGGGTTTGACTCTCTGTATATTGAAAAGCCTGAATGTGGTGAACTTACAGGGAACCCATTTATTGCACACTCTTTCACAACTTCACTTGTCGAAAATCAGATTTTGACCTTACTTTGATCCCAAAGGGGGGACATGATAACATGGACATTCATCAGTAACAAACTGCCAATTTTCAGTCAGCTATTCAGGATTCATAAGCCTCGATCTTGGAGTGAAATTGAATAAACAGCGCATTGAAATTTGGCGAAACTAGTCGTGGTTCAGGTCAAGCAGATTTCAGCAGCAACGCAATGTTCTCAATCAAGGAGTAATTAAAGGTAATTTTAAAATTAGATTAAATTGTTGATTGGAGTTCGTAATTTACTTTTTGCCTATTTTTCAGGTATTACTATTTATACTATTATATTTTCAAGGTGTGGCAAACACTCGTGTTGTTGGTCCCTCTCTGGCTCAATTCATAAAAAATTGATCGGACATAGTCTAGGTGCACATATTGCAGGATAAAGAATTTTTATACCTTACCCTGCAATGTGGGCACCCAGACTGTGGCCAATGAGGTGTATCAGGATCATGATAAATCATGTGGTTTAATGACTAAGGATTGGAGATACACAAAGTGACATTGATAAGTATCCCAATGGTGTCTTGAACAACCTGCTTGGGGAAACTAAAGAATGTTCAATCATCAAGTGATTAAAGGTAATTTAATTTAATTGAATAAGTGATTGAACAGCTGATCACATAGATTTAAAGCATCAAAAGTAATGCTTGTTAAGACTTACTGTTCGACATTGAACATAACAAAGTCTCAATGGAAAACTGAAAAACAAAATTCAGATTTTATTCTTCGTCTTCGTTCCATTTGTAGGACCAGAATTTGATATTGATTAGATGTTAATATTGAATTGATTGAATATTATTTATCATTCTTTTTTTAAAAGCATAATGTGAATAGCTTTCAGTCTATTAGCCATTTCAGCCTTGTTGGACTTATCATCAGTTGACAATGGAAGGTTCAAAAATCGAGAAGAAAGCACTGATTCGATGAGATTTGATATTCAATGGACCATCTTCATAAGAGATAAACCTTCTCAAGCGTACATTACTTCAACTGATTTCCAGTCGATTAGAAGAAGATTTGGAAGAAAGGAAGATTTAGTTCTTGAGAGTCAACCCAACCAGCGATCAAAAAAAGTCAAGAAATTTTCTTATGTACACCTGTTTGGACACAGTCTAGTCTCACATGAAAACAGATGAACCGATTTTCATACTTTTTTTCTGCATAATTAACTACATGGCATCCTAGACTATGGCCAATCATGTGTATCGGAATCATCATAAAACATGTGCTGGAAAAACTTGGGTTGGACAACATTGATTTTTATCCCAATGGTGGTTATGAGCAACTTGCTCAGCGTAAAACTAAAGATTGTTCAATTTTCTCACTCAAGGAATAAAGGTAATTTTCAAAGATGGCTAGATCTCGCCAAATAGGAACAAATGGCACATTTTTGTTCATGAAACAAAAACGTTGAGTTTTCTTGGTACTTGGTAAATTCAAGCCATCCGCACAGTGCTATCATTACAATAAGTATTGCTACAAAACTGGTTCACAACCTCAATGGCGTAAGTTTTGTTCATCGTTTTTTGCTTATGTTTTATATTCATTTCTTGTTTATCGTTTCTGGTAAGAGTATGATTAGAACAGAGAAGCACAGAGATGGACAACATTAGCTCCAATCAAGTTAATCTTTTAAAATTAAATCTAAGGTTACTAATATTGCAGCAAATACATATAAACCGAAGAAAATTTTCATTGATCATTAATTTAAGATAATAGAGATGATTTTTTTCTGGATCTTACAGATTCGGAAGGAATTCGATTAACATGATCAAACTTTAAATTATCGCTTCTTAAAGTTTCTGATTTTTGACAGAAAATGCGCAAATTAGTGATTAAACCAAATTTTAATCAATTAAATCGATTTTTTTATTTTAATGAGACACTCTGAATTATTAACTACCTAAAAGCAATATCTAAAAAAGTAGCTAAAACGACGAACCAAAAATTTGAAAAATAGCTGACCGATTTGTTATTTTTTGCTACTTGTTTTCACTACACAGAAATATCATTTTGACGAATTCGATTAATTTAAATCCTTTTTACCTTAAAGTTATCAATCGAAAAATAGTTGAATTAAAAAAGTTATATAACTTTGGAGTTTGAAAACCCATTCGAGCACCGAGTATATAAACATATTATAATGATTTATTAAAACTGGACCAAAACAATCAACTATTTCAAGGTGTGGCAACACTCGTGTTATTGGTATCTCTCTGGCTGGATGAATCAAGAAAGTCAAGTGCAAATGTACATTTGATCGGACATAGTCTAGGGGCCCATGAAGCAGAGAAAAGAATTTTCATAATTTTTTACTGCATAACCAATTACATGGGCGCCTAGACTATGTCCAATCAGGTGTATCAGAATCATCAGAAGGATTTTATCTAACAGTAGTTGTAAGTAATTTATTGTAAGTCGTTTGCAGTTTTTGCTTAAATATTTTGTTGGCCTTTTAGTTATTTAGACTCTTTCGATGAATACAATTGGTTTTCAAATGTGAATAATAAATTTGTTCATCGCTTGTATTATAATATTATAATAGCAACATTTAAATTATTCACATTTGCAAATCCTTGTAAGTCAATTAATTTTAAATACTTTTTCGGAGTTGATTTGGCGGATTGGTCTTGAACAAGCAACCATTTCCAAGCAAACACTCGTGTTGTTGGCGCTCAATTCTTCAAAAAACTGCAGAAATTTCCTGGCTTGCAATTTTCAAATGTACATCTAATTGGCCATAGTTTCAGAAAGATTTCTCAGTGAAATCATCGGAACTCATGTGATTGGAGGACTTGGGATTGAAGATACTTCAAGTGACATTGATTTTTATCCCAATGGTGACTATGAACATATGGCTTTGCATTCCAAGCATTCGGTCGATGAATGAATTTCAATTGCTTCTATCAAAAGGTAAATACTAGTCGTAGTCGAATAAGTCATAAATTTATGCAACATTCAAAAATTAAGTGTTAAATTGAGAAAGACAAATGGTCAAAATTATTCTCCTCTTTCTTTATTCTGTTTATTTCCCTGTCTTGACTAAGCTATTTCTTATTCTTAACAATGGTCAGAAGGGCAAAAGTAACTCTTTATTTTAACTAGAGGATTGTTGAGTGGAGTTGAAAATTAGACTCCAAAGTGGTAACTTGAAAATGACTGAAATGAATGACTGCTTGGCCAATTGGACGTAATACTTGCTTAGTTAATATTTAGTTCAACTAAATTTTAGTTAATTCAATGGGAATATTGTCCGCTAAATTATTATTATTAATAAATGTTACTAAATGGCCCTAAAATGTTACATCTAACAAGTAAGTTTGAACTTTGAAAGCGATTTCATCAAAATCTTCGATCAGAGAAACTTTTTAATCGCACGAAAGATTCCAGTTGTTATGTCATGTCCTTAAAAGTTCATCAGGTCGCAACTCTAACCTACGAATTGACAGTTTTCAGGGAGCTGTTCAGGGTTAATGCGTATTAATCGAGAAGCGAAATTGAAAAATAGCGCAATGTATTTTGGTGAAACTGGTCGTCGTTCAGGTCAAGCTTTTCAGCGGCAAACAAAGAAAAGAAAGAAAGAAGAAAAACTGTTAACTGTTAAACTGCATAAACTGATTCCACTTTTGAATTAAAAAATTTCGCAGACGAAATTGGATTCGACGTTGAAACTTTGGTCTCTTTTCGTATAGTTGAGGCATTAATAGTTAATAAGACATGAAGTCTTCTCAAGCTTTCATCATTTTAACTGTTAACCAGTAGACTTTTGGCCAACAATTAAAGTAAGTTACTTATATCTTAAGTCGTTTAAAGTTTTTTCGTAAATATTTTGTTGACTTTTATTAATTTAGACTCTTTCGATGCATTCTATTGATTTTCAGTATGGATAATATCCACATGTTATTCACATCTATTAATAGAAACATGGAGATCATAAGAATTTGCAAATCCTTCAGTATTAAACAATCAACTGTTTCCAAGCTGCGACAAATTTCCAAATGTACACCTTATTGGCTATTGCTGTTGGAGGATTGGAGATGTTTAAGTGCCATTTGTTTTTACCCTAACGGTGATTATCAGGTTAAACTAAACGATTGTTCATAACCGCCGTTAGGGTAAAAGTCAATGTCACTTAAAGTTGACTCCTCAATTAATGCAATCCTGAACAGCTGACTGAAAAGCGTCAATTGTTGCTTATCATTGTCCAAATTATGAGGATCTCGAAAAGGGAAAGCGAACTGGTTGTCTGGTGCGTAGATCAAATTCACCAAATTTAATTGAAGAAATTTCACCGAAGAAATTTTCGAATGTACACTTGATTGGACACAGTCTAGGCACGCATGTAGCAGATGAAAGTATTTTTACACTTTTGTTCTGCACAACCAGCTAAATGCGCACCTAGACTGTGCCCAATCAAATGTATTATCAGAATCATCAGAAAAATTTTCTTTAACAGCAATTGTAAGTAATTTATTGTAAGTCGTTTGCAGTTTTTCATTAAATATTTTTTTAAACTTTATTCATTTAGGCTCTTTCGATAAAGTGATATTGATTTTCAGTTGTAAATAATTTATTTGTTCATCGCTCCTAGTATTATATACTTCTAATAGTATGAATTATTTCCATATTATTCGCTTCTATTAATACTAACATGGAGATTATTCGTATTTGCAAATCCTTAAGTCTTAAACAATCAACTGTTTCCAGCTGCGACAAATTTCCAAATGTACAACTTATTGGCTATAGTTTGAAAAAATCTTCAATGAAATCATCAGAGATCATGTCGTTGGAGGACTCTGGATTAAAGATATTCAAGTGCCATTTGCTTTTATCTCAATGGGGGTTATCGAGTTAAACTAAACGATTGTTTATAACCTCCGTTCATATAAAAGTTAATGTCATTTAAAGTTGACACAAATGAACACCTCATTGGCTATTGCTGTTGGAGGACTTGCGATTGGAGATGTTTAAGTGCCATTTGTTTTTACCCGAATGGTGATTATCAGGTTAATCTAAACGCTTGTTTATAACCCCCATTAGGGTAGAAGTCAATGAATGGTGATTATCAGGTTAATCTAAACGCTTGTTTATAACCCCCATTAGGGTAGAAGTCAATGTCATTTAAAGTTGACTCCTCAATCAATGCAATCCTGAATAGCTGACTGAAAAGCGTCAATTGTTGGTTATCAATGGTCAAATTATGAGGATCTCGAAAAGGGAAAGCGAACTGGTTGTCTGGTGCGTAGATCAAAGTCGCCAAGATTAATATGAGTTTTGTTCATCGTTTTCTTTGCTTATGTTTAACATTCATTTCTTGGTTATCGTTTTCGGTAAGTGTGAGGTTTTATGACTAAGGGCATGAAACATTTAGATCCAATCAGGTTAATCTTTTAAAATTAAATCTAAAGTTTATAATGTGGATTGGAGTTATTGTTAGTTATCACTATTGCAGCGAATCCATAAAAACTGAAAGAGAAAAAGGAAATTTTGATTGTTCATTAATTTAAGATAAAAAACAATTAATTCGTTAATTTATTGAGTTGTTCAATTTAATGCCATTAACAATCATTGATTGATGACATTACTTTGATTTAAGGTGATATTATTAATTGATTAACCATGTAAAGAACTATGAGCATCTTGTTTATTTTCCATTCATTTCATTATTCCATCAATCTCTTTTTTAACAATAACTGTCCAGATATCCAATGACAAAGTTTTACTGGTAAACACAAATACGTATAAACATAAGTATGCACATAATTCAACTACAACATCTTATAAACTTGGACACTAGATCAAAGGAATAACTATCAAGAGTCAGGAAAAAGATGATCTCGAATTCAAAAGGAAATAAGTCAGATTTTGATTTTCAAAATTTAATTTTTCGATGAAGAAAAAATTCATTCTAATCTTTTTCTTTAGGTGCTATGATGCGGTAGTACGCAGATCGATTTTATAAAAGAGTCGACGGAAAACAGTTTTCGAAACATATGGGAAACCTCAGAAGTATGAAGAAATATTAGATTTGCTTTAACTTTTCACTTTTAAATTTTGAATAATTTGAAGTTTTTCTCTGGTTCTTTTAAACGATGAACATGGGCAAGTTTCATTATTAAATCAATTAAAAATAAAAACATAAGCAATTAATTGAATAAGTGATTGAATAGCTGATCACAGAGATTGAAAGCAACAAAAGTAATGCTTGCTAATGCTGACTGTTTTGACATTGAACATAACAAAATCTGAAAGCTGAAGAACAGAATTCAGATTTTATTTTTCGTCTTCATTCCATTTTTAGGACCAGAATTTGATATTGATTAGATGCGAATAAGCTGAATATTATTTATCATTCTTGCCAAAACCTTCTGGTTGTCGATTGTCTTTAGAGATGAAAGTGATTAAAATAGCTTCCGATCTATCAAAATGACAGCCTTGTTGGACTTATTATATTATCAGCTGACGATGGAAAGTTCAAAAATCGAAAAGAAAGCGCTGATTCGATGAAATTTGATATTCAATGGAGCATCTTCATAAGAGATAAAACCTTCTCAAGCTTACATTACTTCAACTGTTTTCCAGTCGATTGGAAGATTTAGTTCTTGAAAATCAACCTAACCAGTACGATTTTTCGGCATTGATTGGTCGTATGGATCCAAAAATCAACCAGTGCAATTGTGATCAAGTTATTGACTGATTTGATCAAAACTGGTCCAAACAATAAGTAATTTTCAAGCTGTGGCAAAAACTCGTGTTGTTGGTATCTCTCTGGCTCAATTCATCAAAAAAGTCAAGAGACTTTCGAATGTACACTTGATTGGACACAGTTTAGTTGCTGCTTGTGCGCCTAAACTATGGCCGATCAAGTGTACATTTGAAAGTCAGAATCATCATAAATCGTGTGTTTTAAGGACTTGGGATTGGCGATGCATAAAGTGACTTTGATTTTTTATCCCAATGGTGACTATGAACAATCTGCTTTGGGTATGACACAACATTGTTCAATTTTCTCACTCGAGAAGTGATTAAAGTTTTGTTTCAAATTGACTTGCAAATGCTGACCCATAGTTCATTCGTCTGTTAGAGTACGCTTGAGTAAGATTTTAGTTTTCTGTAACATTCTGAAGTTACTGCGGCAGCAAATAACACAGAGTTGTCGTTGAAAGTCAGTTAATTCTCGGGGTACCCATTTGGAGAGAATATTCCTGTACCGCTATTTGCCTCTCACAATCCTTTGCACATTACCATAGGGTATTGATATATGGCTCGCAAGAGACCTTAAAGACCAATGTCTCGATACAGAAAAGCATTCTTTTATAGTAGCAATTCTTCTTCGTCTTTCGGCTTATCATTGCATGCACCTTCTCTTTTCTCTGCAGTAGGATTTTCTCCATTCTTTATCGCGGCTACCCAATTTCTTACAGCCCTTTCGGTAGAGGGCTTGTCGGAAAACATTTTCTTTAGCTCATCATGAATATGGCTAGCAGTGTAGTCTTTTAATACTAAATAATTTGCGATTTTAATCACTTTAACCTTGATAATCTCATTTTTTAGCGTTGAGGCAAATTCTGTTGTTGAAAAAAGAACTTAAGCAATTTAATTTGAAACTTGAAGAAAAATGCCGTAAAATGATGCATAGCAACCCAACCTGGGTTTAGTTATCGCTGAATGGCCCTGCTGCAAACTCCGGAAATTTTGCTTGGATCAGCCTAATATGAAACATTTTATCGCTTTTTGGAGAATTCGTCCATTACTACAAACTGCTTCACAATCTCCATGTCGTGAGTTTGTGCACCGTTTTCTATATCATTGAGTATCAGTTCAACATTGCTCTTACCTGTTGAAAGTTGATGAAAAATGAAGAGAAATGTGGAAACAATTGTATTTTTATGAAGTATGAGAAAATATTATTTGCTTTTTACTTTTAGATTTTGAATAATTTCAAGCTTTTCTCTGGCTCAGTCTGTTCATTTGTTGGACCACAATTTGATTTTGAATAGATGCACATAAGCTGGATATTATTTTCGATTCTTATGTCCGGACAAATACAAAGTTTTTGTGAGTTGATTGATGTCATTCATCAATAAATTACAAATCAAATACATTGTATTTTTGTAGGCCAAAAATGGTCCAAAAAATCAGCTATTTTCAAGGTGTGGTAAAAACTCGTGTTGCTGTTCCCTTTCTGGCTCAGTTCATCAAAAAAGTCAAGAAATTTTCAAATGTACACTTGATTGGACACAGTCTAGGCACACATGTAACAGAGAAAAAAATTTGATACTTTTTTCTGCATAACCAACTACATGTGCGCCTAAACTATGACCAATCAGGTGTATCAGAATCATCATAAATCATGGGCTTTAAGGAATTGGGATTGGAGATGCATAAAGTGATATTGATTCTTATCCCAATGGTGGCTTGAACAACCTACTTGGCGTAAAACTAAAGGATTGTTCAATTTTTTTCACTTAAGGCGTGATTAAAGGTAGTTTTCGCATTATTAATAGATCAAATTGTTGAGCTGGTAACATGATTTTTGCTTATTCAGGTATCAATGAAACAATTTCATGTAATCATCACGTTGCTCCTCTGATAATTGTTTTTGTATTCGCGCATCAGTGTTACTTATAAATCTAATTTCAAGTCGATCTATGAGTAACACTAATCCAGGATAAGGAAACTCAAACTAAATCACGAGTAACTAGAGTCATCCATTGCTACATAGCATCATCAATTTTCGAATTTTCGTACTTTTGTTCTGCATAATCAACTACGTGCGCACCTAGGCTGGGCCCAATCAGGTGTATCAGAATCATCAGAAAGATTTTATGTAAGTCGTTTGTAGTTTTTGCCCGAATATTTCGTTGAACTTTTATTCATTTCGACTCTTTCGATAAACGTTATTGATTTTCATACGTATATAGCTTGAATGTTCATCGCTTCTTATAGTAATATTCAGATTATTTACATTTGCAGATCCTTGTAATTCAATTAATTTTAAATACCTTTGCGGAGTTGATTGGGCGAATGGGTCTTAAACAATCAACCATCTGCCCAATCGACTCCAAAAAAAGTATTAAAAAAGTGAAATCATCGGAACTCATGTGATTGGAGGACTTTGGATTGAAGGTGCTTCAAGTGACATTGATTTTTATCCCAATGGTGACTATGAACATATGGCTTTGCATCCCAAGCATTTGGTCGATGAATGAAATTCAATTGCTTCCATCAAAAGGTAAATACTAGTCGTAGTCGAATATAATAATCACTTCTACTTCTCTTACCTGTAAATCATAAAGTCATAATAAACTATGAACTATAAACCTCTATAATTGGTGATTGACTTCCTTCCACATTGCTTTTGAATAATGATTGATTTTCCATTCCCTGAACTTGCTTTCCTCAGGAATCTGAGTTTCTTAAAAGCTCAAGCATTTTTCGCTGTTGTACTCAAATCATGGTCATCTTTTGGTCAGTAGATTTCATTAAGAACCCTTTACGTTTGCCTCTATTTGACGAAAATGGCTGAGATTTTTCCACTGAGTAGGGCACAATCAATCGATATAAAAAAACAAAAATTCTTGATGAAAAACCATTGACCATTACTTTTATCTTAAGTCGTTTTTCACCGTTTTCTTTGTTATTTTTTACATTTATTTCTTGGTTATCTTTTTGGTTATCGTTTGCGGTAAAATTAAGTTTTTACTGACTAAGGGCATGAAACATTTAGATCCAATCAGGTTAATCTTTTAAAATTAAATCTAAGGTTTATAATGATGATTAAACTTATCGTTAGTTATTGTCATTGCAGTCAATCCATATAAACTGAAAGAGAAGAAGGAAATTTTGATTAATCATTAATTTGTGATGAAAAACAATTAATTCGTTAATTTATTGAGTTTTTGAAGCTAATGCAATGCAATGTTCAATTTAATGCAATTAACAATCATTGATTGATGACATTACTTTGATTTAAGGTGATATTATCAATTGATTAACTATGTCAAGAACTATGAGCATTTTGTTTATTTTTTATTCATTTTTACTGCTCCATGAATCTCGTTTTTAACAATAACTGTCCTTGCATTCACAGTTTTTTTACTGTTATATTACCTAAATGTATAAAAAATATTTTAATGATTCACCAAAACTGGTCCAAAACAATCAACTATTTTCAAGGTGTGGCAAACATTCGATTCATCAAAATAGTCAAGAAATTCACGAATGTACACTTGTTTCGACACAGCCTCGGAGCACATGAGCAGAGGAAATAATTTTGGATACTTTTTTCTGCATAACAAACTACATGGGCTCCTAGACTATGACCAATCAGGTGCATCAGAATCATCATAAATCGTGCGGTTTAAGGACTTGGGATTGGAGATGCATCAATTGACATCGATTTTCATCTTAATGGTGACAATGAACAACCTGCTTGGGGGAAACTAAAGGATTGTTCAATTTTCTCGCTCAACAAGTGATTCAAGGTAATTTTCAAATTAGATTGGATTTTTGAGTTGGCAACATTATTTTTGCTTCTTTAGGTATCAGTGAAACAATTGCATGCAATCATCAGTTCTCTCTTCGATTAATGCTTATAAATCCTGAACAGCTGACTAAAAATTGTCAATTCGTCGGGTACGAATGATCAAATTATTACGAATTTAATACTTTTCCTTTTTAAAATGTTCATTGTAACGAATTGATGGAAACAGGTTGTCACCTCTTGCAAACTCTCTCGCAACTTTCTCAATCCTTAAAACTCCGATTTCTTTCTGTACTTTAGCCAAGGGGAAATGGGATAACATGGACATTCATAGCCGACAAATTGACAATTTTCAGTCAGCTATTCAGGATTGATAAGCTTTAATCGTGGAGCGAAATTGAATAAACAGCGCATTGAAATTCGGTGAAACTGGTCGTGGTTCAGGTCAAGCTTTTCATCAGCAAAGCAAAACCGATTTAGATATAAAGCCTTTTAAAATTGTTACTACAAAACTGGTTCACAACCTCCATGTCGTAAGTTTTTCGTCATTTTCTTGGTTATCCTTCTCATTGGACAAAAAATGTGTGATTTCTCTTCATGCTTCTGAATATGAATTTATGTTTACCCGGTATTTCTTGTAACAAGCAAATTTCAAAAATGACTATTTTTGGTTGTTCTTGATTGTTTTGGGTTTTTTGGTGAGACTCATGTGAAGAGGAGTCCATTTGTTTTCCGTTTCAGCTTTACTCGTACGATATTTAATCAAATCAACTTTAATGCTCAGACTATCTGAATAACACATTGAACAAATATAACAAAAATAACATGCTTGATGATTTGAATATGCAATTAGCCTTGGATTGTTGATTCACTCTCGTGTTATGGTTTTGTCTCTTGAAGACAAATCAATGTTTAATCAACTTTGACTCCCAGGTTTATGATTGTCAATTTGAAGTAATTAGTTTACTTGGTTAACAGCAAAAATAGTAGCTGCACGTAATTTTAGTCAATAAACCTCTAACATCTTAAAGTTAATTAAAATGATACAATTTGCAAAAGGTGATAATTAGTTTTATTTCGTTAGCGTAGATGAGATGACAGGCTATCCTTGTAATTAATCTAACCATAAAATTACGTTTTATTGTATTTTTCATGGTTAATATTATTGATGATGATATGATGGAAATAAATTGTGACGAGAAAATACTGAAAAAGAACTGAGTAAATGATGAACGAAACCATTAAATCTGATCAAGCTGGTAGACCAGAAGTAGTTTTGAAGAGGCTTTTACCGTTTTGTTGATTTTTATAACCAGTTAGTCTTATATAATTTAAATTGTTTTTAAATCATTTAATTTGTTTAATTAATTGTGATAATAGTTTTCCAATGGATTTTAAATTGCAAACCGTTGATAAACACTCTAAAAATGTGAGTAATTTTCAGTTTTAATGATTATTTTGCCTTGACGTGAACACATGCATTGAAGCTTTTGAAGAGTGTTTGTTTGAAGCATTGATTGATAAGAAAAATGATCAATTGATTTTGTCAAATATCAATTGAAAATTAATTGATTATAACTTCCAGGTGTTTATGATGTGACTAATGAAGCAAATTGTCAATCAATGGTAAAGTGGACAACAAGATCAATCTTGAAAAAATGTGAGATAATTGTTGAGTCTATTCAACTTTTTGAATATGCTGTTTCATTAGATATTGATTTAGCATTTTAGTGTTTTTAAGCTGTTTAGCATTGAAATAGCAATCAAATAATTTTAGCCATTACTGATAGTTGAATCCAACGATAGTTTTCATTCCTGTGTTTATGATGTTGCTTGATAATCAGGCTGCTGGTGTGATGAATATGAACTCTCTTGAAATTTATTATATTGTCGAGAACGCTATTGTAACAGGATAACTCCAAAAACAAATCAAATGACAATCATGGGGTCGATGTTAAAATTAAAGGTGGAATGTCAATGATAACAACTGTCCTGTTTGTGGCTGGTGAAAATGCTGGAGCAGGAATATTGGCTATACCACACACGATAAACAATGCAGGCTGGTTTGGAGTGCCTTTGATGATAATGATCTGTTTTGATGCGGCTGTAGCTGCTTGTCTGCTTGGTAAATGTTGGATAATACTGGAAGAACGTTGGCCTGAATACAGGGTTCGTTGTCGAAATCCTTATCCCGAGATAGGTAAAATGGCTTATGGGCCTCGGATGAAGTAAGAAATAAAATCCATCGATCAACTGCAACGAGCAAAAGCTATACATGGAAAGAGCTTGATTAAAATATTGAGCTTAACCATCATGAAATATGAATAAATTGTCAATCATAATTAAATATACTTACATACATTTTGTAGGTCAATGGTTACCTTAATGCTTCAAATCTCATTAATTGGTACCTCAGCAGTTCTCCTTTTGGTTTGCGTCCAATTAACATCCGATCTGATTGATCGTCATCAAAGTCTTTCCTATGGTGTATGGATGGTAATAATTGCAGCCGTCATCTGTCCATTCATGTGGTTTGGTACTCCAGTTGAATTTTGGCCAGCAGCAGCATTAGCGTTGGGTACTTCAGCAGCGGCAGTCATCCTCTTAATGGTTGATGTAACAAGGGATTTTATAGCAACAGCTGATCGGCTACCAGAGGCTTCACCAGTTTCCTTGTCAACGGTTTCACTTGCTTTTGGGTCTCTTATTTATGCTTATGGAGGAACAGGTCCTTTCCCGACGTACCAAAATGACATGAGAGACAAAACGAAATGGAATCAAGCTGCAATTTATGGATTTATAAGTAAGTAACAAATAATTAATTATAACCAATTAATGACAATTTTACTTGTCTCTTCTAGTTTTGTTTGTTTTAACCGCTCCTCTGGCTGTTTTGGGTTATCTCACCTATGGATCAACCGTTAGTACCAACATCATTCATTCAATACCAAATGGAATCAATCGAGACATTATCGCTATTCTAATGGCCGGACATCTCTTTTTCGGTTTCTTGTTGATGATCAACCCTGCGGTCCAAGAGATTGAAAATAAATTCAAAGCTCCTCGCTGTAAGTTATTTCAATGCATTTATTATGGAAACTTCTTCCATTTCTAGATTAATTTAATCATTCTGTTGATGATTTTTTCCTCTATTGTTGCCATTTTCAACATACAGAACTGGTATTGTTGATGACCTAATTATTGCACATTGGCCAATGTGTTCTATGATCATTTATTTTTTACTTTTGTTTGATATTTATCTTAATTGTCAACCTGACTCATTGTTAATCTGATATCTTTTCAGCCTTCAACTGGAAAAGAGTTGCGATCCGAGTTTTGATGCTTCTCTTCATTTTATTCATTTGTGAATCAATTCCTCGATTTGGTAAATTACTGGATCTGGTCGGAGGGTCATCAATGACTTGTTTAGCTTACATATTTCCACCACTATTTTACGTTAAACTGTGTTCAATGAAAAACCCTTCATGGCCTGAAAGGTAAAAACTATTGGTTTCACCGTAATTTTTCTTTAATCGATTATTATTTTGTCTTTCTATCACCATTTCAGGCGGATTTCCCTATTTGAAAAGTTGCATTGTTACAAAATTATTATCATTGGAATAATTGGCGGAGTTTGTGCCACTGTTGCTGCTATTGTGGCTATTTTAAGTCCAGGCACATTTGTATTGCCTTGTTATATTGATCTAAATTGTACCAATGAATAGATCTGAAATTTATTAATTTGTATTTTCCTTCTCGCAGTAATTGTCTTCCAAAATTGATTGCAACAGTTTGCTGTTCGTTTGCACAAACATTTAATCTTTATGACTATCAATTTGCCAATTACTACTGAAGAGGTTTTTCATATTACATGCGTTTCAGCCATGATTTCAGTATTTGTTTCTGTTTATTGTATCAATGTTTGTAAACAACCATGTTGATCAATTATTGGATCAATTCGGGAAAAATTTGAAGTTTCATCAACACACGATTAGACGATAAACCATTGTAGTTTTAAATCAACCATTAACAGACTTATTGATAGTCTTGTCAAGAAAAATGTATTAGTGCGAAAATTTGAGCCACTCAAAACCAGAGGGTAATAGGTAATCAAATAGATATATGTTTAGGTGCATAACAAGCACTTAGCTTAACAAATTGAGATTAATCCAAAAAACCAGTAACTTTTTATTAAAGGATTATTTTGACCAATATAATCAGAATGAAAGCTAATTGCAACAATTTAAGGCTCATGTTTTGGACATGATTAGCCAATCTTTTACAGGTTTCAAAGCTAAAGTGGTTCTATTCAAAAATAGAAAGCTAAATGTGAAGCTAAAAACATTGAATCGCCTACGAGATTTTGCATAACCTACTAGGTTAAACTTGAACTTAGGCCTTTTCAGCGAAAGTTATTGTTTATCAAATTAAGATCTATCTTCAGGTAAATGTAGCAATCAATTCATTTTTAAATCAATTTTTCCATCACATTACTATTGGAAGCTCAAAGATTATTCAATTGTGTCAATTATATAATTGAATATAACAAAAGAAATTTTTTTTCTTTCAACAAAAAAAACAATTGCCTTTTCTTTTATCATAAAATGAATTCTTCCTTAGACTCACTGAAAATTGACTTCATTTCAGTTTATGTAAACTCATTAAGTGGATGCTTACTGGAACTTGCTTTTAAAACGTTTTAAAAATGAACCTATTACACCTTGTGGTTAGCTTAATTGCCGCTCTTCAAATTAATCATGGGATAGTCCGAGCAGCCTTAAACGAGTCTGATAGTAGTCGGATGATTTCCGACTTGATAACCTCAAGAGGTTTCATCCATGAGCCGCATTATGTGACTACACAGGATGGCTACATTTTGGGCATCCATCGAATGATTAACCCGTTTAGTAAAAAGTATATTCCAGGTAAACCGAAACCGATACTTCTTCAATGTGGCCTTCTCTGTTCTGGATCCGAGTTTCTTGATAATTCAGACAGCGGTTTCCTCAATGAATCAATGATTGCTTCTCGTCATGAACTTCACTCCATTGACTTTCAATCAGAGGGAAGCAACTTGGGCTTCCTTTTGGCCAATCTTGGTTTCGATGTTTGGTTTTTCCATCCAAGAGGCAATGTTTACTCGCGAAATCACACCACCCTGAACCCCGATTCAGGTAAGAACAGAACTGTGAGAACATGGAGAAAAAATGAAATCTAAAAAATCAACTTTCAACAGATAAAAGCTATTGGGAATTTACTTGGGATCAAATGGCTACAATTGATCTTCCAGCAACTTTTGAACACATCATTGAGTACACTGGACAAAGTACGAATCTTTTCTTCTTTAAATTTATTCTCACCTAAAATTCAATCACCTGATGAATGTTAATGTTGATAGAAAAATTAATAATGTATTTATCGGCCTTTCTTTTGGACAGCATCTGTTGGTTATATCGGCTATTCTCAGGGTGGAACTACGATCTTTGGACTTTTGGCAGAGCAACCTGAATATTCGGCCAAAATTGTACCCATCATTGCCATTGCTCCAGCAGTTCGACTCGACAATTATGCTGGTCTTCCCTTCCAGTCCATCATTGAAACTCCCCTCGTAATGAACTATGTAATGAACAGAGGCGGTGAATGTTTTGGTTTTATGGGTGACAAGCAAACAAAAATATGTGAAGAAAATCCAATCATGAAGGTGGTCTGCAATTTTATTGCCTTCAACTTGTTGACCGTTAATAAAGCTCAAGTTGATCCTGACCGAGTTTCCGTTTTCATATCACATATTCCTTCTGGTACTTCTTGTTGGGACATTTTACATCTTGTCCAGTTGATGAAGAATAAAAATTTTGCCAAATTTGACTTTGGAAGGGCAAAGAATCTAATCAAATATAATTCAACTTCACCACCACTTTATGATTTAAGTAAAGTTGTTTCAAACGATCTTTACTTGGTCCACTCTATTGGTGACCATTCAGCTGATCCAGCAGATATTACGCTTCTTAAATCACTCCTTACATCAGGTAAAATATTTTTACTTTTTCGTAAAAACAAAATAATCGAAAATTCACTTTTACTTAAATCTTAATAATTGTCAAGGTGTGATTCACTATCTTTTTTGCTGATTAATATCGACCCAATTTTTAGTTATCAGTTCAACTTGACCTTGATATTGAATATCAATTGAGTCGCAAAGCAAAGGCTTGTTTGTAAGTGAACAAGTATTGTTCAGGGTCCATACGAACAATGATTTACTTATCATTCATCTTAACATCCAATTACAACAATTTATTAATTATCTAAGCATTGACTTATTTTATCTTTTCTTCCTCTTGCTTTCCATTGTCTATAGTTCCCAACATCTATGATCACGTAATTGAGGACAAAACCTTTGACCATTTGGACTATTTCATGTCTAAACATACTGGAACTTTAGTCAATGGTCCAATCGCCCAAATGCTGGACAAGTACAATCCTTGATTCATTTTGTCTGTTTCAATGAAAGCACAGAGTTTCCGAACTTTTGATCGCCAACTTGCCCATTTCATGGTTTTAATTTGGATCTAACAGTAAATTTTTTTTCTTTGCATCGTTATTTTTTTACTGACTGTAGCCTAATTTATTATCTCCATTAAACGTAAAAAAGTGACAAAGCAAACATCGATTACATTCAAGTACATATAGTAACATACATGATTTAAGAACAAGAAATGAACAGTAAGATTAGAACTAATATTTGAGGATATTTTTGCTTCAACTTTATGGTACACTTAGTTGCTAATTCATTAACTGGTCAAAGTATATGGATGTTTGCTCGACCATGATTTTTGTGGTTAAAAATCTGTCACGTTCTCACAAAATGCATAATTATTCAACACTCCAAAGTTTTGAAACTTGAATAGATAAGCTGATAACCAGTCGATGCTTTTAAATCAGTTTACTGTCAAGTTGTTTGCTTACAGGTTATAGCTTCATGTTTCTGGTGAAGAGCTTCAAATATTTTATTTATTGCACTTTTTGATAGTCCAAAACTATTTAAAATAGCAAAAAGCGAAAAACCATAAAAATATTGTATTATCATGAAAAATTGCTACTTGTAGCAATTAAAATGAACTCTGGTATACTATCATTTGCAACTTCAACAACTCGATCTCATCGGTCAATATCAAATAAATCCTCATCAAAAACAAATTCAACAGTCAAGAACTTGGCCAAGTTGAAACAGGTTCATCTTCACCCAAACGAATATCATCTAGAATAGTTAATAACTCTATTAAAAGTTCCCTTAGTATTTCATTAGCTAAATCTATTGACTGAAGACTAACCTCTGTATCCAAAGAACGAGGTTTATAACTTTGTCCCTCTCCTGATCAAACCGAATCCAGTCGATCCATGGTCAACTCACCAAGCCCAGATGGTTAATTAACTAACAATGTACATTATAATAATTTTGTCCACAACAATACTCCGAGTGTTATTTCAATAATAACACAAGTGAAAGTGATAAATCACCGGTAAAATTTGATAACTCCTTACCTCATTATCTGCTGTAAAATCGAAATTCATGTCAACAAAGAGTAGGTAGTTGCAGAGAAGAAAACTGCTTATTCACAAGAATAAAGTCACTATTTTAATTACTTTAAACAGCCATTTGATATCCAGCAATAGGATTCAGTACCAATCCTACAAATCTAATGAATCATTTGTTTTTTGACTGATTTTGCATTTTAAATCTTTTTTATTTCGAATATAAAATCAGTTATTTTACATGCCTAATTTTATTATGACTGAATTAATGAAAGCTATTGCGCGTCCCGTCCATCTCGTATATGGTTGAAAATAGACGAACACATATTCAAGACAGTTTCTAACTTTGGCTGATTTTACAGAACGACAGACAGTTATAGACATATCTTGTCAGATTTCATGCTGATGAGTTCAGAATTCTGCAAATTTTTTATTTCATCATGAAAACCATCGAAAAATAAAACTAATTCAGCTATTATCATACTATCTCTTTCTTTATTCCCAAAAGTCTTTGTTCTTGGATATTCTCAGGAAGCTTAACTCATAGAAGAATACTCAAAATTTTGAATAAGAAAAGTCATTTAAAAAGTAATGAGCAATTTGCCAGACATCCTCCGTATTGACAATTGAAAGCAACCCATGCTTATTGCCACCTGGTTTATCACGTACCGCGAGATCAAATCAATTTGACTCAATCAAGTTAAATTCATATCTGATAATGAATAATTTCTGCTCACATTGGTGTCTCTATTGGTAAACAATATTCAAATTGTTTATTAATCATACCTTTTAACGCCTCTTTTCCATAGTATTATTATGAGGTCAGACACTTTAAAAATATCCAACAACTAAATTAATTGATGTAATAAATTAATAACCAGCGAGATCATTCAAATTAATGAAACTGCGACTTCCTTAACCTAATTATAGCATCATCATCGATTGCTTAGTGAACCAATAGCATAGTTTTAATAAAACCTCAACAATAATTTGATCAGATTAGAGCTTTATAATCAGTGAAAAATACATAAAAACTTTCGAGTTAAGAGTCGAGACTTCGAGTTTGTAAAGGCATAAAAACTGATTCTATTTGGCCTATTAAAAAAATTCTATCGACAGTTTTCCAGAAAATCGAGGCTCAAATTTTCAAAGCTAATGTCCAAAATCGAGAGAACTGTTTATAATTTGAGCAAAGTTTTCATTGTTGAACCAGGTTGTGTCGGGTTTAATGGCAAATCGAAGTGATCTGTTGTACAGAAAAAGAAAATTCGATTTCTCGAAATAGGTGCATTTTTTGGTTTGCCATGAAGAGTTACATCAGAGAAATGATTTTGATGTCTGGTTGAAATCTGGTCGTACATTTGTACAAAAGCCGATTGAAGTCTCAACTGTAGATAAATTTTAAATAGCGATATTCTGTTCAGAATCTATGACACTTCAAACTCAAAAAGTCCCAATTCTTGCCTCAAAAGAAAAGTTCTCTTCCTTAGGACTCGTTAGACTGAATCATATATTGACAACCAATAAACCTACATTGAACCTTCATTTTTCATAAAGTTTCATACCGAAGAGATAAACAGAGAAAAAAGGGATGAAAAATTTAAAAAATGAGTTGTTTGTTCATCGAGAATCAATGATCTGTAATCAAAATAATATTCCTCAATCAATTTGACAATCAAACACACAAGCGGTCTTTAGTTGCTATTTATGTTTACTCCTGTTTCGACTGATAAAACGAAGTTCATTGCGATCACATTTGCATTTTAAATTGTTTACGCCTTTCAATCTGTTGATCAATGATTTAATTTAAAAGCTTCACCAATATATTTAATCAATCAATTGCTTCTTTTTTAACTGACAGTGTTTTTTATATTCAATTATTCATTTCTAATCAAGTTCCCTTCCCAATTTAAACATTGAATTTTGGTTCAAATGAAGATTCACAATTTACTCAAAATTTTTATACTCACATTTTTCATCATCAAATGTAAGTACCATTTAATTTAATAATTAATTTATACATATTGATATTGTTGAAATGAGTTTTTAGTCGATTTGTTTATGATCATTTGTTGATCAACCAAATTTATTCAATAACGACATCAAACTACAAGATGCTTTAGAATATGGATTTTGTTTTTTTCCTGTTAGAACCCTGTTTGGAGCCCGAATTGCTAAGGAAATTCATCCAATTTGTCCACCTTGTAGTCAAAGCATGCTAATAATTTGAAAAAAAATGTTGGACCCTTTTCACTTAACCTCTATTTTGACGCAAAAATGACTGATCGTAATTTTTCCTGAATAAGATCAATCCATATCAAAAAGGCCTACATTTTTGATGAAAAATCATCATCAGCATAAGAATTAAAATTAAAATCTTTAGCTTTTGTCACTTCGCTAATATTCATTTTGGGAGGAAAAAAGCGTTTCTTTAAGCAAATTTTGAGTTTATATTTGACCCTTTTTTGATTGCAGAGGCTTAAAATTGAGCCAATTTGTACAATTTCTCTGATCGACAGTCTTTGCTTAAGTAACTTTAATCCCAGTTCAGATTAGGTTAGCTTGAATTTGTTAAGCAATGTTCATCATTTGCTTTTTGCTATGTGACAAAGTATTTCATAGAAATCTGTTTTGTGCGTAACAGAAAAATTGGTGAAAACTCATAAAACGAGATTTTATCGGCAAATTTTTCAATAATTTAATGAAATCACAGTTGTTTACAAGGATATAGAGGAGAAGCAACCCTAATTTTAATCAATTTATTTGTTGTTGGTGCCTCATTTATCTTATGGGACTAATATTTAGTCAGATAATTTGATTAATTATTCAATTTTCAAAATAATTTCTCATTTATTTTACAGTTTTATTAGTCAATATTATCTCACCAATGTGTTACATTACTTACAAGTTTCATCATTAAATGATGACTTTTATTCTAGTTTCATTGTTATTGTGAATATTGACTTTGTGTTTAGTAATTCTGATTTAAGATTAATTTGTGTTCTATTGCGACTGTCGAAAGCGTATGAAATCAATTTACATCCGATATGCAAAAATTAACCAATCTCTGGTGTATTTATCAATTCAGGTTCAAAATCAACTGATATCCAACAGTTAGAGTGTCAGTTTACTGATGGGTTGTGTAATTGGCTGAATCAAGATGAAAAATGGAAGCTCGGTGATTATACAAACGTTACCTTTGGAAGACCTGTTCGTCCTACATCTAAAGGTTAATCATTTTAATAATTAATTTCCATATTTGTCGACTAATAGATTGTAATTTACTTTAGGTGGCTATGTTTATGTTGATGATGGACCTAACCTAAATGGTTACCAGATTTTATCTCCAATCTTGGATCAAGATGTTAAACCATTTTGTTTATCGTTCAATTATTACATGTTTGGACCTGATGTTGGTCAACTAACGCTTAGGCTGATCGATGATAATGGATCTGGTAATCAATGGGTTGAAGTAGATAATGACGTTTGGAACAGGAAAGGATCACAAGATGACGATTGGTCTATCGGAAGGTATCATTTCACATCGAAGAGAAAGACTCAAGTCAGGCTTGCTTTTGTAGCTACATCAAGCAACATTGCTCTAGGACCGATTAAGGTTAATCCAGGATCCTGTGATTATTCAAATTTATGTAACTTTGAAGACATTTCTGTGTGCTTTTGGCTGATTGAACCTGATTACTCAAGCAATTATGCTTGGTTAATATCTGATGGAAAATCTTCTGAAGGAAGCTTCATATCTAAAGATACTTCAACCCAATCTGAATCTGGTAAATTTTTGAGGACTCCAAATGATGGTGCCATTGATAGTAAAAGTTTATTTACCACCAAGATTGTATTGAATTCAGATGAAGCCAGATGTATGAGCTTCAACTTTTTCAAGCCAAATAAGGATTCAGACTTGGTCGAGATAAATCTGGTCAATAATCAATCCACAAAATACATTTGGACGTCTGCTTCAATCAAACCCAACTTGAATTGGCAACCAGTTAGGATAAGTTTACTTGAAGATGGTGACTTCAACATATTCATTTCTGCTCATAAACATTCAAATGGAAACAATACTTCCGTTGCTATCGATGATATTCAGATTAATCCGGAATCGTGTAAAAATCTAATTGATTGCTCCTTTGATGGTACAAACTGTGCTTTAAGCATCACATCAGGACCACTTCTTATCGGCTTTGGACGCCTGTCTAATGCAGAATCCTTGAATTACACCATGGATTCTTTCAAAGATAACGATCCAAATGATTTTTTCATTTACACAGACATTCCAATTTCAAATCAGTCCATTACTTATTCATTCTCTACTCCTGCAGTTCCTAGCACTGATTTGGCCTGCTTATCTTTCCTTTATTTCATGGAACCAATCGATTCGTTTGCCAACTATTTCTTTGAAATAAATGTACAGTCGTCTTCAGGATACAACCTTTTGAAATATGAACCTCAAGTAACCTTTGCAAAATGGACTTCTGCTGAATTCATGTTATCAACTATTGAACTTTATCAAATCGAGTTTAGTTTAACAACAGAATCTCGATTATTTGCTGCTTTTGATGACATCAAATTAGTTGAAGGACAATGTGGCCAGCAGCATTCAGACGGACATCCATCGCCTAAAATTTACAAAAAAGATTCTTTCAGTGATTTGTCCAATTGGTCAAGACATTATTATTGGAATGTTAAAAATTATAATTCTCATGAAACTGGACTTCCGACTGCTGATCCTTTTGGTGAAAGAAATGGTACATATCTAGCATTGACAAACACAGGAACTTTGTTGACAGGAATTTTACATTCACCTTATTATGAAAGTGGCTTCTATTGTATATCGATTTGGTATTGGTGTAACTCAGATTATGGTCGTCTTTTTATCGCTTCAACATCAGGAATGGATCAATCAGTTCCTATTCTCAATGAGTTTTGTGATAAACAGAGAAATTGGAAATTACTTGAAGCAACTTTTACCATGAAGGAAAAATTTCAACTTAAAATAATTGGTGAGGTTAAAATGGGTGATATTGCATTGGATGAAATGACAGTCTTTAATGGTCCTTGTTCCCAAAATCAAGTCCTTGATAAAACTTGTACGTTTGATGATGGAACTGATTGTGGTATTGATGTTGTAGCATCACCGTATTACAATTGGAGGATTGAACCAGGTTCGCAGCTATCGACACCCATAGTTGATAAATCGACAGCTACTTTGAATGGAAAAGCCTTGAGTCTCGATTTGTTTCCTGTTCCTCAAATTGACTCAACTTCATATTTCTTTTTGGCCAACCTGGTCAAAGAAGATAGTTATTGCATTTCATTTTCATATTACATCCGAGGCCATTGCCATTTAGATATTTGGAAGACTGAGAGAGATAATATTAAAGATCTATCCAATCCTTTGGTGAAATATGATAATAAATTTGATTCAACTTGGACTAAAGTCATCTTCCAGATCGATGGTGTCACAAAAGAGAGTGACATTGTTTTTGGTGGAACCTATTCCTCTGGTCAAACTGGTTTACTTGCTGTTGATGATTTAACAGTTTCATTAGGAGAATGTATTGGATCTTTTTTGTGTGACTTTGATTCTACTTGTAATTGGGACAATCTGCCCATAGGGACAACTATACCTGTTGATGGACTGGGAATATCATATAAAGTAACAACTCTTTGGCAAATCAATCCAGCTTCGTCAGCCAAGTCGCTCGGATATCCAAGAAAAGATCACACATATGGCCCATCATGGATGGATCACGGCCATGATGGCAATTATGGATATACTTTAATCAGTAATGAAAAGGCAATTTTAGCTTCTCCTGTAATTTATCTTGATGGGAGTGAAACTATTTGTCTTCAACTTGCCTATGTCGCTGAATCCCCTGGTAGTATTGAAGTGTTGGTAGAGCAACGCGAAAACAAAGCTTATATCTTCAAAAATTTACAAAGCGAAGACGTGAGAACATGGAAATATTCTGAGCTTACTATTCCGCTGAGAAAGAGCCAAACTCGAATGGCTAAGGTTTATATCATCTCTTCATCTAAAGGTAAATCTGCTGTCGATGATGTTCGTGTCTCTAGAGGTTCATGTCCAGACGCAATAGAAGTTTTTGAGTGTTTTGATGGAACTAAGTTGCCTGTAACAAGTCGCTGCGATTACGTTAAAGATTGCAAAAGAGGAGAAGACGAACAAAATTGTGGAAGTTGTGAATTCAATGGTGATGCTTGTTATTTCACGAGTTCGGGGCAAGCTTCTTGGGGCATCAAGACCTCTTATATAGCCTTAGATAAAAGCTCTATCGGAGTTGACATCAGAGGATCTCTTGCTAGTCCATTGATTCAACGTACTTCATCTTCATGCAAACTAACCTTTGCCTACTCTAAACATCAATCTGACTATTTGGATGTTTCTCTTTTGATGAATTCACGGGAAATTCAAATTTGGAAAAGTAATTTGATTAATGAAAAGACAGACTGGAACATTGTGTCCATCGAATTGGGTCGAATCCAAACTCCGTTCCAAGTTTTATTTACAGGAATAACTACTTTCAGAGTTTTCGAGTATCAACAACTTTCAATTGATTATGTTAGATTTGTTGATTGTGGATACGAAAGTGACACTAAAGGTTCAAATTTGTTTTCATGTTCAAATGGCCAGAAAATCGCTTCAAATCGAGTATGTGATGCTACCCTCGACTGTGAAAAGGGTGAAGACGAAGAGAACTGCGATAATCAAGTCTTTTCCTTTGAACACAATGAATTATTTCCTTGGTTTAATGCTGTCAATGAATCTAGTTTCAAATATGAATGGATCGTCACTTCAGGAGTAGGAACCATTTCCACCAGACCAACCCTTGACCATACAAGAAGGCTACCCAGTGGCTCATATGCATTTTTATATGAAAAAAATAGCCGAGACAATAGCAAAAGTACGAATTCGCTTATGGGACCAGAGCTGATCAAAACAGAAGAATGCACAATTAGTTTCTACTATTACCTATCATCGAAATCACCCAATTCAACTCAAATCAATGTCTATGCAAGCAACTCTCATGAAAAGGTTCTTCTTAAAACAGTTTACGATTCATCAGATTTTGGTTTCAAGCGTGAAATGATCGCCTTAGATTCTGCTGCTATTAAACCGCCTTTCAGAGTCTCAATGGAAGGGATTTTTGGTTCAAATAAGGAATCGTCTTTGATAGCTGTTGATGACATCTCATTTGACTCTGCTTGTTATGGTAAAAGTAAAAGTAAACCTTCACCTATTCCTCAACCTGAACCTACACCCAAACCTGATAGCAATTGTAAAGGAGATGAATTTTACTGCGAAGTGGATGAAAAGTGCATTGCTATTGAGAAAACTTGTAATTATGTAAATGACTGTTCTGATGGAGCTGATGAGATGAATTGTGGCTCTTGTGATTTCAATGATGATTTGTGTGGTTGGGTAAACGAAGGATTAAATCTTTGGTTACCAATTAATCGTTCAATAGCTGAACAAGAAGGATTCCCGAAACAAACCTCAAATCCTGACAGATTTTTGATTGCTACAAGTTCACCATCAGGTGGTTCAGCTTCAATTAGATCACCATTGTTAGGAAAGACAAGTTCAATTTGTTTGTTCAAATTTAAATATCATCTTTCAGATCAAACCAAACTAAGTGTTAGAATAAGACAAGAAAATTCTTTGGTATCCAAAACGGTTGAGGAATTATTGCATAAGGGACCAGATTCTCCTGAGTGGGCTGATGGTCAATTGGAATTGAGTTCCCTTGAGTATAATCATTATATTCAATTCGTTCTCGACTCTCGGCCTTCTGATCGATTCTTTTTGTCCACTGGTTTAAGTAACTTCAACCTTTTATATTGTGACCCCAGTAAAGTCAATTTTGATGCATTTAACTGTGATTTTGATACAAACACTTGTGGCTGGACTGATGCAGGCTCCAAGGATCTCTCCTGGAAGCTGATAACTAACACTAGTTTCATTGACGATGGAACAACAAAATTTGGTTTTGGTAAATACAGTAATCAAGAGCATCCATCTTTCATCAATCTTGATATTTATCATGACCATCAAGTAAATTTGATCCGAACTTTAACTTCACCATGGCAATATGCTACCAATGTATTCTGTTTCTCATTCGACTATCGTTTATTAGCATTTGCTGAAACATCGCTCAGTCTAGTCATTGAAAGTCCGGGTGGTATAATGAGAAGCTTGTTCATGACCAACAGTCAACCCAATTATGGATGGAATCAGGCAAAAGTAACAATTAAAAATGTCAACGAATTTCGGCTAACTTTTAAGGTTGAAATGGGTTCAAATGCAGGAGATAATGTCATTTCTCTGGATAACTTCAAACTTTCAACCGAATCATGTGCTTTCCATCAAGCTTCTTGTGACTTCTCAACTGGTACATGTGATTGGATGAACCAGGGCTGGACATTTGTACAAAAACAAATCGTAGAGTCGGCTGATGGACAAACAAGAAACTATTTTTTACGAAACACCGGGAATAAAGGAGCGAAATTGACATTGAATGGTTTCGGTGAAGTCGAATCTTCTAAATGTCTATCTTTTTGGTATTCTCATACACTTAATGTCTCTTCTGAGCTGAAGATTGATTCAATTAAAGGAGATAAAATTGTTTCCTCTGAAATTGTTCCCTCTCATGAGATTGCCAATGTTTGGAGTTATTATGCGTCTTCTGTAGTGATTAAAAAGGATTATCAAATTTCCATTGAAGCTAAACCACTGGGATCTTTTGATTCAGTTTATCTTGATGATATTACATTGTACAATGAACCTTGTGGTTATCCAGGAAACTGTGATTTTGATTTTGATTCATGTGGTTGGCAAAACAAAAATCAAGCTAAATGGAGACGCAACATTGGAGTGACTCCATCAACGGATAACTCATTGGCTGACCAGTTAGATTTTGCCGAAAGAGGTTGGTTTTTGTTTGTCCGAATGAGCGAGTTAGTCCATGGAAATTTGGCAACATTAGAAAGTAGAAGGTTAACCCAAACTCCTCCAGTCTGTTTAACATTCAATTATCTCTTCACTTCTGGTCAACCCAATGAAGCCAAAATTACAATCAAAGCTGTTGATGTACAAAAGGATTCATCTACAAAAATAGATGACATAGTTGATGATGGTACAATCAAATGGATGAATTATGAAAAGACAATCAGATCAGGTTATGAATTTAAAATTTTGTTGATAGCATCTGCAAGGGCCAATGCATCTGGTGATATAGCGATTGATGATATTAAATTTACTCCTGGAAAATGTGCAAATGATATCGAAACAACTACGGTACAATTAACTACCCATCAAACAACTGTAACCACCGAGGCTACTCCAGATCCCATTACGGTCACTCCTTCGCCAATTACAATTCCAGACGATACCAAACCCAATTCAACTTCAAGTCAAGCGCTTCCGTACGCAACAGCTAATGCTTTATTTTTCCTTATGAAACAAAGTAAGTTGAGTCTTGTTGGCGATCGATTACAGTTTACTGATTTACTTTATTTTTATTCATACTTTAGATGCACATACGATTGTTGGGATTATGGCTGTTGCTTGTATGATACTTTTACCAATGGCATTTGTTGTTCGTCATCTAATGAAACCAAAATCTTATCAACCTGATACTAATATTGCTATGAATAACAAAGTTTATGATATCTATTCGGGTTCTGGTCATTCGTCTATGGATGATGAGATGTATGATAATATTGACAATGCATTGAGTTCATCTTTAAAATTTGAGATGAGGAAAATCGCTGAAAGTGAAGGACTTTGATATTATTGTAAAATTGTAAAAATGTAAAGCAAAAATCGAAAAATTTCCGTTCTCATGTCATATATTACTTCTGGCACTTCTTGCTGGGACATTTTAAACCTTTTCCAGTTGATGAAGAATAAAAATTTTACCAAATTTGACTTTGGAAGGGCAAAGAATATAATCAAATGCAATTCAACTTCACTCTATTGGTGACCATTCAGCTGATCCAGCAGATATTAACCTTCTTAAATCACTCCTTACATCAGGTAAAATATTTTAATACTTTTTTAGAGAAAAAAGAAACGAAAATTCTCTTTTATTTAAATAATAATCATAGTCAAGGTGTGATTTACCATCTTTCTTGCTGATTAACATCAACCCGATCTGTAGTTATCAGTTCAACTTGACTTTGATATTGAATATCAATTTAGTCTTTATCATTCAATTATTATTTAATGATTGACTAATTCATTCCATTTTTTCTTCCTCTTACTTTCTATTGTTTATAACCTTGTTAGTTCCCAACATCTATGATCACATAATTGAGGACAAAACTTTTGACCATTTGGACTATTTCCTGTCTAAACACACTGAAACTTTGGTAATGGTTAGTTACTAACGAAAGCAACCAACGAGTCTCCGAACTTTTGATCGCCAACTTGCCCATTTCATGGTTTTAATTTGGATCTAACAGTAAATTTTTTTCTTTGCATCGTTATTTTTTTACTGACTGTAGCCTAATTTATTATCTCCATTAAACGTAAAAAGTGACAAAACAAACATCAATTACATGTGATTCAAAAACAAGAAATGAATTTCAAGATTATAACTCCATGAATGTATTAGAGTTTTTTATGCTTCAGCTTTGCTGTTCAATGTATTTATTGCGTCGTTTTCAACTGTAAAATTGACATCGTAATTTATTTATTGGTCATGAATTTTGTGGTTATACAATTTGTAAAACTATGAGAGAAAGGAAAACAAAATTTTGCCGAAAATCTTTCACGTTTTGAAAATTGTATCCAGTTTACAGCTTCCTTGAGCCTTTCAGTCGTTCAATCAAACCAACCTCTAAATCATCGACCATTGAAAAGTCAAATTGGTCATTTTTAAAGCTAAAAAGAGGTTTGTTAATGTTGACCGTTTCATTGCCTGGTTGATAGGCAGGCGAATAAAGGCAAACAGTGTAAATACCAGCACCAGTGAGGCCAGTTGACCGTACCTGGCCACATCCATATGTTAAAGTAGATTCTGATACAATGGGGAGAAAGTGTTTTACTTGATCGGTAACCATTGGGTTATCATAATTGTATAATCGTTCCTCTGAAGTATACCAATTAGCCATTATCTTGGTTGCTGAAACTGCCTCATCAGGATCGCTTTGATAATAAACATTTTCACTTACATCATAATCATGTTCCTCGGACTGAGGATCATTTTCATACCAAGCTCGGACAATAGCTCGCTGGCGAGCTGCATTAACCAGCTTAACCAAGGATGAAACAAAGAGATGAGATGAAATATGAATGAAAAAATGAATGAATTAATTATTCAACACTCCGAGGTTTTGAAACTTGACAAATAGATAAGCTGATAACCAGTCGATGCTTTTAAATCAGTTTGTCAAGTTGTTTGCTTACAGGTTATAGCTTCATGGTTCTGTTAGAGGGCTTTATAAAGGGTGAAGTGAATAAGTTATTTCAAATAACTCACAATTATCTTATCTCAATAATAATTAATAAACTGAAAATGTTCAATCAATGGTAAATATTAAGATAATATTAAGATTTTCATCTTTAATCAAATAAGATAATTGAAGTTCTTCATGCAAAACCCTTTACAGAGATTTAACCTCTTCATTTTGCAACAATTCAGGCTCAACAAATAATGGTCGAATCCAGAAGATTGTTTTTGACTGTTGGTTGACAAATAAAAGCTCAAATGATTGCGTACTTACAGTTTCATTTGCATAAATTTGAGGTACTCCATGACGCAGTCTGATGGCTTGGTGAATTATGTCCAAATCTTGGAAAAAGGCCCAATCAATGTTTTCTGTTATAAGATGAATCCGATTATCGGGTGATTCAAGCTGATCACAGGTAGCATAGTTTATGAGAGTTAAAAAGGTGACAAGATAAAGACTTGAAACAATCATTTTGTTTAGTTAAAAGATGAACCCAATTAGGCAAGTTTTCAATTCGCAATTTATGTAGCAAATGAAAGTTTTAATGCAAATCTTTAGTTTTTGTTTCATTTGGCAACATTGAAAACCACTTGTAGACACTGAGTTGGCCAGTTGTTATGTAAATTGACTTTGAACAAGCCCAAGCTTTCGAGCTCATCCAACTAGTCTATAAAAACAAGTGTTACCTTGCTAATTGCTGTTAATTTTTATTTAAATTCATCTTTTACTTTTGCTTTTGCATTTGCTTGCTGATGAGCATTTCAAGTTTTGCTTTGTATTTGTCTAGAGGTACATAAATAAATCTGGGGAAGTAATTTTTTATAATGAACTGCTTGTTTTCGATGTTAATTGTTGGTAAATTTGACTAATCAAACAGCTTCCAAAATTAACTTATTTTCACAAAATCCATCAGGCAAAAGCTATACATTGGAAGAGCTTGACTGAGTAGTGAAATTTTTGTAGGTGAATGCTTCGAACACACTGATTGATACTTCAGTCGCACTTCTTGTGGTTCGCGTCCTATCAAGTTCGGATGATCGCCATCCGTTCATGTGGCTTGGTAAACCAGTGAATTTTGGTCTGAAGTTGAGTTTAAAAGCGCTTTAAAGGCGCTCGGCTTTCAATTCATTTATTGTTTGGACGTAATCTTGGTAATTTGATTGTGGATTGAAAAAATGCATTTTTCTAGATAACTCAATCAATTCAGTTGATAATTTTTCTTCTGTTGTTGTCATTTTTAGCACACAGAACAGGTATTGTTATAAATATTGGTGACCTAATTATTTTACATTGGCCAATGTGATTCCATGGCTTGATCATTCATTTTTTACTTTTGTTTGATATTTATCGCAATTGTCAATCTGACTCATTGTTAATCTGTTATCTTTTCAGCCTTCAACTGGAAAAGAGTTGCGATTCGAGTTTTGATACTTTTTCATTCTATTTATTTGTAAATCAATTCCTCGATTTGGTAAAATTACCAGATTTGACCAGAATATGTAATAAAAGGTTTATCTCGATCAATACAAATGAAAGGCGATTTGGTTAATGTAGGGTTCATTAACCATCATTTACCATCTAAGTCCAATAACTCAGTAGTCATTTTGGTCTTAATTTATTATGATTGTAAGGATAGTTGACAAAATTCAATCAATTTAATTACTCGATTAAACAGTTGTCAGCTTTTTGTTGGAAAAAACTATTGTAGTCAGTAACAACAGATAAAAACTGTTTCAATCAAAATAATGAGATCTTTTCAAATCAATCAATGAAGTTAACCTTTAGGCCTTCAACTTGCAGCAGTCTTGAAATTGAGATTAAACTTTTCAACTTATTACCCGGCAATCAGCTTTTTTCATTTAAAGATTATTCAACTCCAATTGTTTAACTATATGAAAACGATCAATTATATTCTAACTCAACTAGGCTCAAGCACATTGGAAAAAAATGAAGACAAATTGTTACTCAGCGTTCATTTGCAAAGTTGAATCAAAGGTTACAAGGAAGGACAAAAAATGACTACTTTGAAAAGTGTTTGACTCATTTTCCATCTGTAGCTTTCAAAGAGTAACGTTTTTTCAAATTATGATTGTTTTTGTCTGTATTAGTGAAACACTTTTTGGACAATTTAGAGAGGCTTGACACCAAAATTAAGGTAAGATTTATCAAAATTAAACAAGTAGACAAAATATTTTAATTGTTGATTGACCTCTCCCTTTATGTACAAGAATGGAGGCTTGAAAAAATATGTATTGAAAATGGAGGTTCACTCTTCTGAATTTTTGCTTTTTTACTTTAACTTTAATTTGTAGCGTTCAATTAATCGCCGTCATCGAATACGATGGTCATAAAGGTCATTAAAACGAATCCGCTAACTAAAGCTGCCAGTTGTGTGAAGCCATTGAGCTCAGGACATCTATCAGATTGTAATATCTCAAGGAAAACAATGTACAAAATGGCTCCAGTGGCAACTGCGTTCAACAGGATAAGGGTTAAACTACCATCTTCTGCAAGACTCTGCTCCGTAAAGATTGTCAGTGCAATACCAAGAGGTGACATGGAGGAAAAGATGGTTATATGAATTGTGGTCAAAAAAAGGCTACCAGTTTTTTCAAATAACTCAAATCCAATGGCAAATACTACCACAAGCTTGTGTAAACAAATGGCAAAGAACAAAGTCCAGATTGAATGAGCTGTTGTCTGTAAGCCGATAGCTATACCATCAAAAATTGAATGAGCAAGAAAGGCAGCCACAATAATTAAGCCTCGAAGGAAACGCACCCAAAGACCGTTAGTTGATGCTCCTTGATAGTCGCTGTTTTTCCGAATTGAACTTAGCTCGTCGTCTCTCGCATCCACAGCAACATTATCATATCCACTCTTTATTGAAGATCGTCTTGATTCACTGGAATAATTGCTGTTTCGTGATAAAATGGGACGTATCATGGTTCCATAGTCTAAATCTTCCCTTTTTGGTAAACAATCGCCTATTTCCTTCGAGTTGGGATATCTTTGATTTTCATGGTGATGATGATGGTGGTGATGGTTATGGTTAGATGAATTTCCAATCAGAAATAAGATGAATTCCTCGATGAAATAAGTTAAAAAAAGGCCAGCACAAATGCAAATCTCAACCCAAGGAATTTTGTGAGACTCTCCGCTTTTCTGGTCATTGAGTTTTTCATCCTCATAGGAGTCTTCAATAAATTGAGAGAGATTGTTATCGCTAAAGTCATTTTCAATGGACATCAAAGTTGCAGATCGTGATCCAGAGGAATCTTTATTTTTCATGTAACTTTCATAGTTCTCCTGTATTTCAGGAATCATGTGAACAAAGCAAGTGGACAGAAGTACACCTCCACCAAATACTAATAACAACTGAAGGATTTTGGCACTTCTATTTGATTGATGACTCACTCTATAGTTGGTTTCATTTCCAAAAGGTTCACTGTCAAAAGATAAGAACCGCTCCCTTTTCCGTTGCCATAATCTGAACACTAGAACTGGTCCAAGACCAGCCAACATGGTAACTCCAAAGAGTGCAAAAAGCGAGGCTAAACGAGCGCCAATAAGAGTCATCGTAATTTATTCACTTCCGCCTTGTCCTGATGAAACTCACAAAATCTGTCTGTGTTTTGCTGTTTGGGGCAAAGATTAAACCAGATGATCTCGAAGAGGTGTAAACACTAATTATCCCCCTTCTGTTTGACTACAGTTGATCCAACATATCTAATTGAAAGAGTTAATGTACTGGTTAAAACACGTTGGTCACAACTACACTCTTATTCATATTCAACTCTTTATCAACAATGTCCCTGGATTAAAACTGTGTAAAATAACTGGCAAATTGTTGCTTCGATTGGCTTACAACTTGGAAAGTCTGAAGCTAGCCAGATTGAAATTAGATAAGTTGGAAGTTGAAATTGGATAAACAGCACAAATAAAAAAACATGGAGGTGGTAACTCAACAGTTAACCAGTAATTACTCACTCAATCAAATTAATTGATCAATTATTGGTTTGGTCCTGGAGATTCATTTTAGTAAAAACTATGTTTTTATTATTTTTGATGCACCGGTATTAAAGCAAATAACGAGACTTGTGGTAAAGCTTTTGTCCAAAGAGTATAACATCAATACAATGGTTTTGATTGTTTTTTTGTGGTTAATCATCAACTTTGGTGCTACGGTTACAATCAACCCTATCATAATCATAGTGATACCGCTACATTAGTTTGTTAGATGGTGATAAACACAAAGAGGTGATTAGATAAATAACGAGGCCTCGATAAATGTTTAAATATTTAATTTTCTTTTATCTCTCTTATTTTCACGACTTTTCCCTAGCACAAGAGGATGGTCTTTATCGACGGATAGCAATTTCAATCGATGATTAAGTGATTCGAAAATATAAATTGAAAAATAACGATTAAAGACTGATTGAAAAGTGGTCAAAGTCTATGGGAAGGATCAACTTTATGTCTGGATTTACTAATGTTAGTTACTCAGGCTCGCAAAGTAATAAGTGAAACAATAGGAATTACCAGATTTTTTCAGTGTAATTCATCTAAACTTTTAACACGTCCATCATTTAAAACATGTTATTTAGTGATAGTTTCATAAAACACATACGGTGAATTTTTTGATTCCATCATTGAAACGAAACGATTTAGTGATTTATCTGAAATTTTTCAATACTACATGTTAGTTGAGTGTCTTTACACCAGGAAATAACATCAAGTTAACATTGAATAGTGTACAATGGATTCTGTGTAGATACCAAGTGATTAATTATTCGCATAACTTTTAGGATGACTTGATTTTTGGTGAAACAATCAAAAACTCGGATCATTCACTATCATCGAGTAAATGATAAGGTTACGTGATCAACTTCACGCGCCCAATAATTCATCTTTAACAATCACTTCCAAAGCAAATCCAAAACGTTTAACCTAAGGTTAGATGATTTGTCACTGTTCGATAGTGTTTGATTTTTCCCATTCACTATGTTATCAATTTGACCAATGAAAATCGACAATAGATCTGATCATCAAAAACTATTCGGATTTCCAAAGTTGAAATCATTGATTAAAATCAAATCAGCAATCTAAACCCTGTTAAAACGCTACAATGTGATAGTTTATCTGATACATCTCATGAACTGCATTTTTATTTCAATGTTTATTGAGACAATGAAGGAACAATTTGCTCAATCAATAAAGAATGGACTGAGAATGGATTAAATGTAAACTACTGGCTGCATAAACTGAAGAGTATCACAATTAAATCTCAAGGCCCTACCTGAACCACTTGAAACAAATATGAGAGTCACCTTGAAGAACTATTATGGTTACTTAAATGATTAAGATATTTTGACCTCTCAAAAGAGACTGAGAATTATCAGGAATAAGATATTGAGATATTTGAAATGACAAGTTTCTATGATAATCGTGTATTCCAACATTTCTATGACAGTCTTGTAATGATTCAATGACTGGGTTATGCACAGTTTATAACACAGGAAGATTTTCTTGCTTATTCACATGCAAGATTTACATAATTCTGGTGAATTTGGTCCATTTTTGAGCAAAGTATTGATTAATTATCAATTACTTAATCTATCAGCCAGAATTGATGATAAAATCAGCTGTTGTCACGTGAAGATTACATTAAGTCAACTTATTCCGCCAACTTTCGATTTCTTACAGATTTAATGATTATTAGATATTCATCTAACTAATCTGTTTAATCAGAATGAGTGCTTCACGTGGAAAAGGTGAATATTTGAAAATTTCATGAATCTAATTCAATTATCTTTAACTTTTTTATTTTCTTAAAATTTCCAGATTCATACAAAGATCTAGCTTAATGGAACCATGAAATAAACTACTACTACTTCAGTAAGTCCAAGCTTTCACGATATTTTTGGAGGTAACCATCTCTTTGATAAATACTTACCTCTTACTGTTATATTTTATTATATTAATATTTTTATTTTAATTTAAGAGAAAGAGCAAAATGAAAGAGAAAAAATACCTGTAAGAGGAAATTGTTAATTATTCCAAGAGATGGAGTTCCTCCGAAATATCGATAAAGTGAAACTTACTGAATTGAAATCAATCAAGATTCAGTAAAACAATCCGATTTGAGCTGTTGTTAGTGACAAATGTCCAATTGATGATTACCAGACATTTAATACTGATTTGGAAAGCTATTTTTATCACAAATCAATGGAAATGAACTGCTCCTTAAAGATCAGGATTCCCAAAGTTTCAAGGATCAAGCTACTAATGACAATTTATGGCAAAAACAATACTAATTACGTTTTTACCTTTACAAAGTTAAAGATGGATCCATACAGTCGAGTACCTGAAATTGTCTAATGTTTCAGACACATAATTTGAAAATACTAATTTCCTATCAAATTAACTGTTGATTAATTTTTAGATCGCCTCCTACTCAAAGTGTAGTTTTTGGCTGACTTTAGGAATTCAGAAAATGAAAAATTAACACTGAAATGGATTGTTATTTAATTTTTTGAGCTAAATTGCAAGATTATTTCAATCGATACGAGATGAAAACTAGTGAATGGACAATTTTAGGTAATGACAATTTCAGGGACTCGATTGTATTACGTTTTAATATTTATAAAGCAAGACTGTTGAGACTACCTTGAAAGTGTATTGAGTTATTATTTATTTCTGTGTGAAATAAATGAAATGATTTTGATTAGAAGAGAGAAAGAGTTAAAGAAAGAAGATGATAACCTTGGTGTGTTAGTGACTATCGATTAGTTGTATGTTCAAAGTTGCACTGTACATACGCACTTGGTATATATTGAGATTTGCTTCTACCTTCACTTGCCTTGTGTGTTACATGAAAGGATTGTGAAGGATAAATGAGAAGCAAATTGAACTTCTATGAACCTTGTGAACCATAATGTTGTCCCTGAAAACGCTTCCTATGAACCAGTTTCATTGGAAATATCAGATAATTGACCTTGACTTTTATTCTTTCCATTCATTTCAGGGTCACTTTAACCCTGAAACACGATTCTATGGCAATGGAAGCATCAAGCTCATGCTCAACTCTTTTCTTCCATGGTCATGAACAAAGTAAAGAAACATTCAAGGTAGACATCATTTATGATACAATAGGAATACTTCATCACTTCTTCCTCTCTTCCTTCTTTCGCCAACTCTTCTTTACCCTTTCTGTCTTCCTCTGTCTTCCTCTGTTTATTTTATATATTTAACATCATTTTCATCACAAATTTCATTCCAAGGTTTATCGACTCCGTCAATGCGCAAACCTAAACCAACTTTTACCCAAAAACTGTTCAACATTTCACTTTAACCTTTTGCCTTTGATTAGTATTTGTTTTCACGTTTTCTCATTATTTAAATTGTAAATCATTTTTCATTGTTAATAACCTTAATTTTTGCTTTTTTTACTCTATTTATAGCCAAAGACTTTACCGTTGCGGAAACGTTTCTAACAGTTGATGAAACTATGAAATGCTAATGATTCATTTTGATTATGTTTAGTTTCATTGTTTTCAATTTTGATATTCATTTGATGCCTACTCACTCGGCTAATTTCAATGTAATTCAATCAATGGAAAGTTGAGAAATTAAAGTATCGTCTGAAATTGATAAAGAAATGTGTTCTCTGTTTGAATTACATTAAAGCTAATTTATGACTGATTCACACTTTATTCAGAAAAGCAATTGAGTGAATCTTGTGAAACCTTTATTGTTGAAAATGATGTTTGATTTAAAGATTTACCTTTTACTGTTCTACTACTGATCAATCTGTGATTAATTTTATTACACATCTAACTCTTTGATTAATCTGGATTGGTGAAGATAATTATTGTTGACAGTCAATAAGTTGAAAATAAGCTAAAAATAATATTTGATTAACATCTAGTATGGGGAGTAAATAGATTAGTGTAAACTGAAAGTGAAACTATTGTTTTGCTGTTTTGATTTACCCTGTCTTATCATCTATTAACTTGATTAATTCGTTATTTTGACATATTTTGATTTAAATAGGTTGTTATTGACATATTGTGCAGCTTCAAAAACAACAACACTAAACATTTACAGAAGGTTACTATTAACTTGAATTCAATTTCACCTTATTATATGAATAAGGGATATCCATCTTCCAATGGGCTCTACTAGGTAAAAGGAGCTGACCTAAACAGTTACCTTGACAGAGTATCGCTCAACGGTAGTTTGGATCTCAAATGAGACCCAAAAGATGAGATAGAGCCCATTTAGGCGTCATAATTTGGATGTTTCGAGAAAATAACTGTTTGATGGAATTTTTAGGTTCATTGAGTATTCAAAAGCAATTTAAACACAATCAAAAATTGTTGATTTCAACTGAAAATTGAAAATAACCCAAAAAAGTGAACCTGATAAAATTTCGTGTTGGCGCCACCTATTGGGTCAAGTATTTTAGAGGTATTTTAATGTAATTTTTTAATTGTTTAAAACAAAATAGTCAAAAATTCAGCCAAAAATAGTGAGATCAGTGGGTCAGCTTTACTCAAATTAATAGGAATTATCTTTTAAAATGCTCAGAATAAGTCAGTAACATAACATTTAGATTATTGAATGAAGAACATTTTTGTATCTCTAAAAATGTTTACCGTGAAATTGAAAGATTCATGTTCTTAGGAGATTAAGCTGATCCATTCTACAGGAAAATCGTTTTTTAGATGATGTTTTCTGGACAAAAATCATGGGAAAACTTTCAATTGTTATGTAAAAAATGTAATCATCTGATTTTAAAGCTTTCATTACCTTAAATCACACTTTGAAGGATAGTTGACTTGGCTTTCATTCAAACGGTTTAATTTTAAACATTAGCTCAACAATGTGTGATTACATTTTTGGTGCCTACATAACAATTAACGTCTCTTGGAATCATATGATTTTCAAGTTTACTATGACAATTACAGCTGTAAAATATTCAACAATTTGACTTTTTTTGTAAAATTGTATTTAAAATGTTTTGCTTTTTCTGGTTCAGGATTTAAATGATTGCTGGTTGTGTTAATCAGAGACTGGAAAAGGTTCAATTGAAGAGTAAATATTTGTTGATGCGAATTTACTATTGACTGTCTACAATTTGATCAATGTAATGTTTATAGATCGATTAATAACCCTTTTGTAGTTCATTATCCGCTAATTTGTCTGTAACAAAAAAAGCACAATCAGCGCCATCGAAAATCTTTCCATTGATTTCCCAATGAATATTATTGAATTGATAATCATCTTATATGATTATCTTACGAGGTCATCAACTCAACCAATTTAGTTGATCAAATTATGATAAATTATGAAGCCATTTTAACTGCGCTGTTGAACACTCAAATACAATTGATTCTTTAAATAATTGTAATCAAATGATCAATAGCAATCACCCGTTACAAGTCATAAGACATTGGGTTTAGCTTTTTGGGTTTACCTTTGTCAATCAATGGATGTAGTTGAAAGCCTTTTGATTGCCTGTAGTTTCAGTATGCTTTGATTGTGATTCATTTTCAGGTTTAATAGCTTCCATCTCTATTAACCTTGAATTGATTTAATTGTAACAATCTTTGTTTCACAAGAAATCAAGAGAATCGCGCATTTCCAGTGTTGAATTATTTCGCTATTCATCATCCAATTCTTGTTATTTTGTTATATTAACAATAGTTAGCAATAAATCTAAGTGTCATCACATGATGATTGCAAGTGATTTTGATAATCATAATCTCTTCAATAGCTACAATGAACATCAAGAATCAGAATGAACAACATCTTCATCTTCACTGAAAAGTGACAAAATTTCCGGCCAATTCTTACCTATTTGTGCATTTAACTTTAAGGAAGGAAATTAAATCATGTCATTTGATGAAATTGTTAATATCAAGGTTGAAATATCGTCTAATTTTGAGTTAATTAACAATTACTATTTGCTATTTAACTTTAACCATCCAAAGCAAACCTAAGTATGAGAAGTTGACTTATAAATTAGGCTTGACTAGCTGATAAAATCATGATAATAATCTGATGATTGCGTCTGATTCCGTAATTTTCTTGCAATCACTATTATTCTCATGAGTAGAATCAGTTTTCAGAAAACGATTGTAAGATTAAACAGTAATTAATTAGAGATGCAATTGATTTAAATGTTGAACCAATTAACCGATATTTCAAGATATTGATATGGTTACATATTGAACATTTGACTAATACACATTTGTATATAAAATAACCAGTAAAGTAACTCTTGATTGTAACCATTTTCCTGTCACAATCAACACTTTTTCCTTTCTCTTTTTCTTACACTTAAATTTTTCTGGATCGTAGCCAAGGCCTGAGTCGTCATGATGGTTATCATCATGATCATGAGTATCAAAAACATCATTTGATATTTGCCAATTGAACAAAATTCCCTAATAGTTAACTCTTTACTCTACCAAATGTGTAAACACCATATAAATCATCCTTTCTTTAACCCATTGTCACATTGTCGACAACATTCCAATCAGCTTCTGAATCAAGTTCAAGTTCACAATTCATGTTATTTTGAACCATTAGGCATGGTTATGTCGCCTTTCTGTCGCTTTCATGGTTGCTGCCAAATTTACTGGTAAGGAAATAGGAGAAAGGAAAATAATTATTTCTAATTTGTAAGACAATAAAACAACTATTAATTCAATTAACGTCTGAAGCTGATTCCAGAAGTAAAATGTAATTAGCAATTTTTCAATAGTTATTAATGATTTCAAAGTATCAGATTGATACTTGAAGTTAATTTGTTTGGATTGTAATTCAATAAACTAATCGATTCACTTGAATACAACAAAACTTCAATAGACACACAGTTGCACTGAATTGTAGCTTTTTTCAAAAGGATTATTGGCTTATTAGCCAAAGGCTATTTTCTGGAATGTTAATCTGGTTCATACGAATGAATGTAACTAATCTTGTTTGTTTGTCTCTAATAATTGTGATGAAATTTAACCCAAAATTATGCTAAACAGTTAAGCTTTTAAATAAACATAAGATTGGGTTGAAGAGATTACCAGATTATTCTAGGTATAAACCAAGAGATTATTCAGCAACCTTAGTATCCAATTCACGTTATTTTGTTTCAAGGGTCTAATCTTGGGGTTTTGTTTTACGTCTGGTCAGTATTTCATCATCTGTCTCGGACTGACAATGACACCAATCAACTATCCAAGGGTGAAGTTCATACAACCCGTTAGCGGTTTCAAGTTTAAATTAAGGTTAATTCAATGTTAAGGTTAATAGCACAATTTTAGACTTGATTTAAATTTAACTCTCTATTAAAAGAATTTAATTTTTCATCATTAATTTTGTGCACCTTAGCAATCATTAAGGTTAGTCCTGTTAAATTTGAATGTTAATGGTTGCTCTTTCAAGAAACAATGTTGTTTTTTTACAAACCCTATTAAATTGTTTTTTATTGCTTGTCTTGCTCATCAAATTGTAGGCAATAACAGCTTAATCCTAATTAAGCTTGATTATATTTCGTTGCATCATTGAATAATTAACCATTGAAGGTGTGGTGATGGTGTAAATTGTATCAATTGTCTGAGTTGAAGTAAATTCAAGTTAATCCTAATCAGGCTTCCTAGTGCGATCCTTCGTTATTAAAACTCCTGGTGTGGTTGGGAAGATTAAGTGTTATTATTGCTGATTATTTCAGGGTGATGACAATTAATGGTTTTCACTTTCATTGTAATCGTGTATACAGTTGACTAGTTAATGCAGATATTGAGTACATTTGTTTTACACGCTTAAAGATTAAGAGCAGAGATTTAGTAGGCAAAGATTGGTATGAGTAATTTATTAATTATAATACCAATATTGAGATGACCTTTTGTGTATTTAGTTGCTTTTCTTGATGTTGTCTTGGTTGGTATTAATGTTGAAAAGACCACGATGCCAATTGTTTGCCAATTAAATATGAATTGAGAGGTAAAGTCAACAAACCATTGTCAATCATTTATATGCATGTAAATTATTTGTTTGTCTATTTGCCTTGCTTTACATTTATCCATGTTAATGTTTAACTAAAAGTTCCTATCGTTAAAATTCTGAACTTCCTCTCACAGATGGATCCTTTGTTTGCTAGAATAAGGTTTTGTTTGAATAATTTAGGCTTTGCTTTCGTCTTTTAATCAAGCTTGATGTGTGCTTAATCGATAATAATCTTAGCCACGCATACACATCTCTCCTACCGAGAAGCATTAAGATTGCTGGAATCAAAGCATTTTGTGCATAGTTATTTTGCTATCAGCCAAACCATTTGATATCAGGCTGACAATCAACTCTCAATTATATCGGAATCTCGTGAGTGATAAGAGTGAAAAGGCTGCAAAAGAAAGAGAAAACAAGAGAAATTAATAAGATGTTAAGGTGATTATGAGTGGATTCATCTAGCTAATGATTACTTTACGCAATTGAAACCAATCAGATAAGTTGATGTATCATCTTTAGCTTAGGCTCGATTTACGACGCGCTCAAGTAATTTATACCTTTGTTGAGGCTTGTGATGTAAAAAATGTGATGAATCAGTCTTCCGATTTGATAAGCTTCACTTATACCAATTACGATGCATCTAAGAAAGAATAGAATAGAATGTAATGATGGAAAATATTAAGCGAAAGTTTGCTATTTGAATAGATTGGCTTTATCTATCCTTTTTTGTTGTTGAAAGTTAAGAGTATAACGGCAAAAAACCATGGAAAACATTGACACTATTTACTTACTTTTAAGGTGCAACAACCATTAAATGAAAAGTAATGAAATATGAAAATTACAGTTATTTAGGAAGCCATTTTTAACAGGTTAATAGACCAACAGAAAGGGTAGACGAAAAATCGATGGATCAACAGTGAAAGTTTACTGAGTACATGATATAAAAGTAAGTTAAGGCGCAAAGAGGTAAAGAAATTTAGCTTATAAACTGGGTTGAAGGTTTGGCAAAGTGGAAATCGATGAGAAACGTAGGTGTAAACAGAGCAAATGTACCAAATTTTCAGACACCGGGAACAAGTATGTTAATATACGAAAAGAGATATAAAAAAATTCTGAGGATGCTCAACTAGTAACCGGAAATATTATCATCAATACAGATAGGTTAATAATAGAACCTCTACATCGGATCTAACAATATCGATCCATCCAGTATCTAATCGATCTTTCTTTTTTTCCCTTACTTATTATCTTTCTAAATCTCTGTCTATCATTAATTCTCCCCTCTTTTTTTCCTAGTCTTGCTCATATGGTTTTTTGTTTTGGTAAATCCCCTTTTCTCTGTCTATTTTCATCTTTTGTATCTTCTTTTTGCTCTCTCTTCTCTCTTTGGAGGCTGGACAATACCTTTCAGACTCAGTCTGGCCTTTTTGGTATTTAAGGAAGGAACGTGTTCCAACTTTTCACATTTCAAGTCATCGAGTTTCAGACTTAACTTTACTCTTGTGGTTCAATTGGCGGCTCACCCATCTTACATCTTATATCGTTTCTGTTTTACTCATCGTCATCCTCATCTTCATCAACATTTTCATCATCAATTGACAGTTATCTTATTCAAGTTTAACTGGATATTTTGACTAGTGAAAAGGAGACACTTTTATTTTAAAAACCGAACAAGTCAAATTCAATTTTTTGATTTTCTTATTGGTAAGTTACAGTTCTCGACTCATATCTCTTCAGAGTCTTCTGTGTTCCTCTTTATTAATGTGATTGTTTTTACTTCATCTTTTGACTATTAGTTTCATCTTAACCAAGTTTAAATCGAGAACAACTTAAACCGATACCAGGAAAGTATGTACAACGAAGATGTTATTCAAGAAGCTGTGCAAGTCTATGAAGAGCGCATGAATGATCTGATGACCGAAAACGGAGATATTGGTTCAGTTTACGAATTAAGACGAAAACACAGTACTGCTAAATTTGAGGCTGTTGACCATTTTATTAAGAATTGCCGGTTTGAGGTGAATCCTTGGCGATTGGAAAAGGAATTGCGTGAAAAATTTGATAAACTTGTTGATACAGTTAAGAAACACCGAAAGAATCGTAAAAATAATATGTTCTCTGACAATAAGTCAATTAACAACATATGGAGTTCAATTTGTCACAAGCCATCTGAAATAGCAAATCAACAATGAAAATCTTCATGGATCTTTCAGCATTGTTTTTTTCGACTTAAATCGTTGTCACATACAAACACAAAATCATTCATCGTTTTGTACAGTCCACATAAATTGAAATCAAAACAACTTAAACGATACGGAAAACAATATCTCACCCTAAAATGTCTTACTAATAACTCCACTTGATATGTTTTTTTCATCAAACGGAAAGCTTTGTACATTTCAGCAACTTTCTAGCTGACATTTAAAAAACTTATCACTTTTTTTTCATAAACTAAAACTATTTATCCTCACCTGAAATGAAAATCAATAAACAAACATTACTATGTTCAGTTTTATCAAAGTTTAAATCTTATTTAATCATTTACATAGTACTTGTGATCATTAATCGCGTTAAAACTTACATAATCGATACTTGAAATCATCAGCCCAATCAATCAGGCTTACTTGTTAGAAGAGGTGAAAATTTTTACTTTTTTATTGATCTATTGGAGATTTCAATAGAACTTTCTCCAAAAGATTAAATGATTACAATTAACTTCCATAAATAGCTTTAAGATTTATGATGAAAATGAAGCAAACCATTTGATAGTATAATAGACTTAGTTTAGACACATTAAATTGTTTAAGGTCTTAAAAGATGATAACAATTATGATAATGACAGTCAGTTTCGTGCAACCAATTGGAAACATTTACATTTATATAATTCAACTTATTGACTTGAGTCTTTTTTTCAATATTTATAAGTTGAATCAATACGTAGTTAAATCAATATCTATAAATAAAGCACAAATTAAATTAAACAACCAGTCAAGGCTTAATCAATCTTCAATTGTTTAAACTAATCATACAGTTTGGTTCAAAACAGCTAAACTTACTACGGTTAAAGCAGCGGACCAAAATATTAGTCTTAATCACTCTAAATCCACTAGAATTAGATATTCAAATATGATGAAACATTTGACTCAATTGTGTTCAACTCGAAATTAAGACTAGATTTTTTTTAACTAGACGTTCGGCTCTTATAATGAAATGAATTATGAAAATATGAAACTTATCAAATTTTAAAGATCTGAATCTTTTTTAATCAATTACGATGGAATTGTAAAAATGGATAATGTCTTGTTAATTACTAATTCTTATTTATGTTTGCAATGATTATTGAAAGTTTTATTTTCCTTTTAGCTACTTGTTCAATCTTTTTTTGATTGACAATGTTAACTTACGTATTCATAAATCTTTATTTTAATACTGGTCAATTAATCTGTTATGATTTCGTATTGTAAATCTTGCTATTTTATTCCTTGGATGATTGCAGCCGTTATTGATATCACACTTGATTTAGCTCATAGTTTTGTTGAAATAACATTACCACTGATAATGGTATTACTTAATCAAAATACTCACAATTTTCATGTACTTTTACAGCTTTATGCTCTTTATTCAGCGGATAGACAATACATACTCATAACTGATGGTACAAGTAAGTTTTATTTGATGCTGTATCCTCTAGAATGATTTCATCGTTAGTTTACGCTATTCAGATTCTAGAAAAATCAAAGTACTCCCAGCCGATGGAGAGGAAAATGAAAATGGATCTAAAGCTTGACTGTGTTACACTAAAAGATCTAATATGGGTGCAGGAATGTAAAAAAACGCACAGATACTTCTTTGTTGTAACCATTTTCATCTTTGGGTTGAGTTGAAGTTTCTGTCACTTTAATTGAATTATTCTTGGTCATTGTAACATCGGCAATTGATGGATATATACTGACTTGGGCTAGCCATGGAAGTTGCTCCTTCTTGACCTAACCTAACAACGACTGCTTCGCCATCCTTTTCTATCTTTATGCTTGTTTCTTTAATCATTACACTATCAATTGTGATTTGTCTTTAGTCTTCCATTTATCCATACCTTCGAACCCTTCACTAGTTGTAACTTTTATTGTAGAGCCATTGACTTCAATAGGATCAGGTTCAAGAAGATCTGCTGGTATCTTGATGGCTTCGGCTTCCTTAAGTAACATGTATAAAGGTTCCATTTGATCATTGAACTTGGCCACATTAATCGAGAGTCTGCTTTTGGTAACACATCAGGATCCTCTTCCACTATTTCCCCATAATATGAACACTGGAATACATTTGATACATGATCTCATAGTTGATCTGCTTCAAGATCAGTGAAAGTCTTCTTACAATTTACACAAATAAAGGATGATCTTTTCGTGGAATCGCGAGTCGCATTAACTGTTTAAGACTTATTAGTCATTAAAGCTAAAGGTTATCAATATTTTATTTTTTAATCACATCTCTGACAAAGACAACCAGGTTTGACTCTGTGAATCCCTTCGAAAGATTATCTTGGATGATTTTATTGTTTTTTGTTGATAGTGAGTAAGGTAGCTAGATTTATTTATAATCTCTTGATCTACTTAGCAACCTCAAAATGTACCAAATTTTTTTCACTGGATGAGTTTATCATTTTGTGAGATTTTGATGCTTAATTTGAATAATGCATGATTAAGAACATAAATTAAATTTGAAATGTAAATACAATAAGGCTAATATGTATTATTACTGAAAAAATACACAATTTACATTTACTTACAACAAAAAAGACTAGTTTATTTATCAGCTTAAATTTTTGATGATTTGTCGTTGTATTTCAAATAATATGACTGATCCAGCTATGGCTGAATTGAGACTATCGATTCCTTTCATTATTGGTATGTTTACTTTATATGAATTATAAATTTTAGAAATATCCATGGCTTCGTCGCTGATTCCTTGCGTTTCTCCTCCGATGATCACACACAACTTTTTATCGTTTTTAATGAAACTTGAATAATCAATATCGAAATAGTTTTTATCTTCAATTGTCTTGGAAGTTGAAAATTCTGATTTATCCGCTCTAATGCCAACCTTCTCTGCGAAGAATAATGTAGAATCTGTTGGAGGTAATATCGAAGGTAAATTTGACCACATGAAGTCGGTGAGAAGATTAACCCGAAAATGAGCACCAACTCCAGATCTCACTACTTTTGATTCCCATGGATTTACACTTCCCTTAGTACATATTAACATCTCAACTCCGATGGCTGCAGAAGAACGTATCAACGCTCCCATATTACCTGGATCACGAATGTTATCACCAATTACTGTAATAGGCAAACAACAACTACGAGTTGCAGAAGATTCTTGGTCCATTGTAGGTTTAGCAAAAATGGCAATTAATCCTGGTGGTGTCTCAACTGTAGTCATTCGGTTCATCATATTCGGGGTAACTTTCAAAATGACTGGACCATGATCCTTATACTCTCCGAGCTGAGCAGCAGCTAAAACTCGCTCTAATTCAGGAATCCCTTTCAATAGGTGTTCACTGGTAAAGAATAATTTGTCTAATTTCATGCCACAATTTAAAGCATCACGAATAATATTTTTACCTTCCAAGGCAATAAAAGATTTCTTTTCGGGTGTAGTTCCTCGAATAATTAAAACAGCACGTGTGAAGTCAGGATGCTTATTGTTTATAGGAACATAGGTTATCCTATTATCAAATCGGCATTGCTGAACATCTTTTAATGACATGTCCCGAACATAGCCGGCATAAGCTTTGGCATTGAATCTTTTCTTGTCTCGTAATTTTTCAACATTGTACTTTTTTTCACTTGGAATTTCCGTTTCAGAATATAATGGATTGCCTTCGGAGTCTAACACATTCAAAATTTTACGACTAATCATATCACTAGAGAATGAAAAATTTAGTTGTATGGTTGGTGTGATGGTAAACAAACGAGAACGAATATTAAACATTTTTGAAATAAGGCACAATAAATAACGACACGAGTTAAAACAAAAAACCTAAACAAAACTCGTGCAAAACAAAACTCTGTTTTGAAGCAATATCAAGCAATGTTGCTGGGTATCGATAATGATATCGATATTTATCGATAATTCAACTTGACAATTTGTTATTTTTAAACTATTTAGACAAAGTCAAACCGTTTTCAGTTCGTTTTATTTTAGTACAAGGCCTTCGTCAAATGCTAATTAAATAATAAAAAAAATATGAAACAAATCGTAAACGCTATTTAGGACTGAATTGATTTGGAAACCGGACAAACAGCGCTCCTAGTGGTTTCTTTAATATTGAAGTTTTGTGATACTGAGTACAGTATCGATATTTTAATGGATACAAAAGCATCGATGAAAAATTGATTGCTGTCTACAATTTACTCATGAGAGTAAGTGATTTAGTTAATAATTTATTTGATTAGTGTTGATACAGTAATTTTTTATTAGTGATTGAAAATGCCTCAAGATCTGCAAACTCAGGAGCTTCAAGCCAAGCTGATGGAATGTCTTGAAGAATTGAAGATATATCAGAGAAATGAAAAACAGATGGAGATTTTAACCAAAGAAAATAAGCAACTTCAAAATGAAAAGCTATGTCTGCGTGAAGCTCTTCAAAGGACATTCGAAAAAATGAGCTGCCTCGAACATGAGAAAGATCTGATGAAAAGTCACCTGTATGCTGCCCAATTAACTGAGGAAGCTGCTGGACATGAAATTAAAAAGTTACACTCAAAAGTTGAAGATCTCCGTAAAGAGAATGCCGCTTTAAAAGCAGATATCGAGGATGGTATGATCAGCAAAAAAGAGTTGGAATCACAAATTCTGGAATTGAAAAAAGCATCTGATCTATCAGAAGAGTTAGCTAGCACTAGGAGACAAGCATTAGAGGAACAAATTGCAGCCCTTAAAAAAGTTAATAATAAGCTTCAAGAAATGCGTGAAAATCTTTAATGCTATGTTTAAGTAGATATTGGTTCAGTTTTCAAATTAACAATGAAACAGTGCTGATTAAATCCGAGACTGTTGACCATTTTATTGTGAATTGCCGTTTTGAGATGAATCCTTGGCTATTGGAAAAGGAATTGTGTGAAAAATTTGTCAACATTTTGATACTGTTAAAAAAACACCGAAAGAGTCGTAAAATGATGTTCTCTGACCTTAAGTCAAGTAATAACACGGAGTTCAATTTGTCACAAGCCATCTTAAATAGCAAATCAACAATGAAAATCTCGATGGATCTTTTAGCATTGTTTTTTTCAACGAACGGGAAGCTTTGTACATTTCAGCAACTTTCTAGCTGACATTTAAAACACTTATCACTTTTTTCACTGACTAAAACAATTTATCCTCACCTAAAATGAAAATCAATAAACAAACATTACTATGTTCAGTTTTAAAAAACGCTCCAAATGTTTCTTTACTAGTTGTCTTACTGTCTTCAGTATTAGAAAACTGGCTGGATAGTGTACAAAAATTCACTGCATCTTCCTGTCTTTCATTCAATGACACAACAAATATAGTGAAGTTTAGTTTATTTAATAATTACACATCGTGTAAGAAACCAATATTTAACGGTAGGATTTTTGGTAACGAGCTCTGGCTCCTGGACCACCGAACTTCTTGGGTTCGCATCTTCTGGGATCAGCTACCAATAGTGTTCTATCATAAGAAATTAAGATATCTTTGATTTCTTTTTTGCTGGCTTCGTCTACAAATTTTTGATAATAAGACACTAATGCCTTGGAAATGGCTTGTCGGATAGCATAGATTTGCGAGACATGACCACCACCTCGTACACGTACTCTAATGTCAACTGAAGAGAACCTTGATGATAGAAAGATGGAAAGTAAAACAAAGAGTTAGGATTTATAAATTGGAAATTTGCACCTTAAGGTGTTGAATAATCATTAATTTTCTTACTTTTCTTGTCCAAGGAGAAGAATTGGTTCCAACAATTTATATTTTAAAGCTTGTGGTTCCACCAAATCTAAAGGCCGACCATTCACTTTTAGAACACCATTACCGGCTTTGCAATAAGCAACAGCAGTGGCCGTCTTTTTCTTTCCGAAAACTTGGACACATTGTACTTTATCCTTATTCATTGTTGAATTAAATTAAAGTTAATCACTTAGAAATATTAACTAATATAACTAATATAACTTATATTACCAATAAGACTTACAAACCAAGCTTATAAAAATAATATTATCTTCCGTTTCCGTAAAAAAATTAGGAAGACACTGCAGCTCCCCCTGGTAAGGCATCGCCGCCAGTTTTGATTTTTAGTTGGCTTTACATTTGGTTTTTCAATTTTGATTACAAGTTACATATTTAGTTATTGCTTGATTTTTTTGATTGGGATTTATGGAGTTAGGGTTGATTAGCTTATCAAGGATTTTATAATTTACATTGATGTGTCTTTGGTGATACTATTATGTATTGAGATAATTTGTTTCTATGAGATTGTCCATTGTGGTGCATTCATAGAGGCTTGCTTATTGACCTGATGATAAGAAAGTTATTCATTAAACAGGATGTAATTGAAAACCTAATGAAATTTGTAAAAAATTAAGAGCTATCATCTCAATTCTCAAAAATTATAAAATCAAAGTTGAGGAGAAAAACCGGGCTGGGTAGAAAGGCTACTCGTCGAACATATTATTTTATCAACTTTAGTGGATTTGTAAATGTTGTAAAATATTAATTGGATTTGATGAGACAAAATGATCAATGAAGAAATCTTTTGGTACATTTTATTAATTATTAGATACAAAATAAATCTTACTTACTCTTAACAGAAATCAATAAAATCATTTAAGATAATGTTTTGAAGTGATTCACAGAGTAAACTCTGAATACGTTTTTACTGAAAAGACCCAATTAACGCAATTATCTCATTTATGCACGAATTGACACAAATGGGCAAAAACAGGTATAAATGATGCATTTCAAATTTAGACTCTGTTGGCTTGTGAGGAAATAGAAATTAAGTCCGTTTATGAAATTCAAAAGTTTCTCTGATCGATTGTTTGCGAGAAAATCGAGTTCGAAGTTTAAACTTTGATCGTCTTTTGTACCTTTAGCGAAGCAAAGTTTTTCATGAAACTCATTTACAATATGTTAATTTTGATGGCCAACTAGGCAACACACTTTGTTACACGAAAAAAACTTTTGCTTTTCTGTAAAACACTTTAGTTCGATTTTCAATTAAATCGACTTATTTCTGTCCCCGTAATAGTTAGACAGCTGAAACTTATTTCTCGTGCATAAAAATTGTTTGCACACATTACAGACTGAATACTTTTTTCAATATATCGATGGATAGCTTGATTTTGACCATTAACCCAAAAACTTTGAGCCTCGATATTTCGCCAATGCCGTCAGATAAAACAATGATTTCTTGACCAAACATTAGATCTTTGTATGGGCCTTAAGAATATATAAATAAATACCAAAGAAAGTGGAACTAAAACGTTAAATCATGAATATTAATTCAACCATTATAAGCAACCAATTATTCTGGTTAATCTGGTATCAAATCTGGTAACCTAAGCAATAAATGCTATCACTTTTTTTTGACTTGCTTGAATTGTCTCAAAACTTCAAAATTCATAGACCATAATTAAATCTAGCGACTAGTGAAAGAATCATGATTTTAGGTGATACCAATCTCGAAATATCGAAGCTCAAAGTTTTTGGGTTAAAGGCCAAAATCAAGCGATCAATAGATGATTGTAAAAAATCGTTCAAGCCATAATGTGCAAAAACAATTTTTATGCACGAGAAATAAGTTTCAGCTGTCTCAATATTACGGGGACAGAAATAAGTCAATTTTATTGAAAATCGAACTAAGGTGTTTTACAGAAAAGCTAAAGTTTTTTTCGTGTAACAAAGTGTGTTGCCTAGTTGGCCATCAAAATTAACATATTGTAAATGAGTTTCATGAAAAACTTTGCTTCGTTAAAGGTACAAAAGACGATCAAAGTTTCAACTTCGAACTCGATTATCTCGCAAACTATCAATCAGAGAAACTTTTGGAATGCACAATCGTAATCAGCTTTCATGGCCTTACAAGGTAAAAGTGTTATAATTCGAAAGAAATTTATTTTTAGCCGTTTCTTGCTCATTTGTTTCAACCAGTGTTACAAACTTGCTTCTAAATGTTACAATTGTGTTAGTTGTGTCTTTTAGTAACAAACACATAATACTTTCAACACTAAAGCGTTTTAAATGATGGGAAATGAAAAATTGTTGAGACACTTTTGAAGTTAAACCTCTGAGAGACCTAAAGGCTAATTAACCGTTAATAATTTGCCGTTTTTATCGTGCCTTTCATCAAATATTGGTTCGTTTTCGTTTGCAATTCTACATTATTCTTTGCCAAAAGAGTTAGCAATAGAATTGGTAACTTTCAATTTAAGGAACAATTTAAGACTAAAGCAATTTAATGTTCATTGTTCGAGTCCTAGCAATTAATCAAAATGCCAATTCAACCATAACTATTTCTAACATTTAGGAATATAAACATTTGTTTCCGATTAGTGTACAAATAAACAGTAATAAAACAATTTCAACCATTTAATAGCAATCAAGTGTACAATCTAAAGTTACATTTTGAAGGAAATTCTAATGTGCGTTTCTATACATTTCTGCACCCATATTTGATCTTTTAGTTCAAACAGTCAAGCTTTAGATCCATTATCATTTTCCTCTCCATCGGCTGGAAATACTTTGATTTTTGTTCTAGAATCTGAATAAGGGAATGCAATGAAAAGTAAACTCATGATTACATTATGGTAGACGGCACAAAACCAAATAAAACTTACTTGTACCATCACTTATGAGCGTGTATTGTCTATACACTGAATAAAGAGCATAAAGCTGTAAAAGTGACAGAAAATTGTGATTATTTGACTAATTAAGATGATGATCAATTTCTTACCATAACTGTACAAATAAACAATCTAATTAGAAGACCAGTTAAGGCTAATATACACGGAGCGGCATAAGTACGTTTCTAGTATTGGATAAAAAGTTGAATCATTATTTTTTCTTACTTAAGAACTAAATTTGGACTAAATTGGCGAAAGATTTCAACGAAAGGTTTCAATTTGAATTGGATTAAATTTGTTAAATTGTAATCCAGTCCCATAAGCTCACAAAATTATCAACTTACCCAACGAAGAAATCTTTCTGGTACATTTTGTGACACTAAAGGTACACAAGCAGTTTGTTGACTCACTGGTAATGATATTTCAACAAAATTATGAGCTAAATCAAGGGTGATATCAATAACGGCTACAATCATCCAAGGAATAAAACAGCAAGAGCTTTTCTGCAAAACAAAATTCAAAATTAGTGTTTGAACTCATAACAGATAAATAGATCAGTAAAACCAGGATAAATTGGGACTTTTTGCAATATGTTTGAATGTTTTGAAGTCTCATAATTTATCCACACAGGTTATTAAAATTAAACTTAGATTTATGGATTGATAACTTACTTTTGCTAGCCCATAGAAGAGCAAACAAGAAGCTAAAATGAAAATAACACTTTCAATAGCCATAGCAAGCACTGGAATAAAGAAGACGTTTCAATTGTTGTTTTAAATCGATAGTTAAGGGTTACTTACAGATGAAAAAGATGATCGGATGAGCTTCATGGATCATATTGGCAGTACTCCATAATAAATCAAATATACTTGTGGACTGAAGGGTTAAATTGATTGAAATTAGGTTATTGATTGTTAAAAATTGTAGATGAAAGGTTATAAAGAGACTTACAGAGGCATAAATGCCTGCAAATAGACTTGCTTGCCATGGTTCAAGGCATCCATCAAGCTTATCACGAAATAGTCTGTCATTATTCCTTGAAACTGGCTGATCAACACTCATTTGGCTATTGAAATTGTGATAGATTCCTGGAAAACATTGTTAATTAACAACAAAAATAACCTCCAAAAATTAAGTTGAGCTTATTGTAAGTTGTATTAACATAAGGGATGTAAAATTAAAGAAGTAACTTGACAAAATATAAAATGGTTAACTTGAATAAGTCGCAACTCTTTTGGTCAACACTTTAGCAACTGAATTTAAATTGTTATGGACAATGAAACAACATGAAGGTAGACACGAAAGGAAGATGACCAAAAATGAAAATGACAATTGGGAGCAAAGTTAAATGTTATAATCTAACGATCTACTGTTGTTATTAATTCACCTTTTAAATTAACTTTCTCTTGTTTTCAGTTTACCAGAAAAGTCAATACTTTTAGTTGGCCTTATTTTACAACCAGAGTCAAATGGGGACCAAAATGTTAACCTTTTACAGTATTTTGAGAGTTAATATTTTCAGTTAATCATTCATGCGATGAAAAATCTGAAAGACCAGAATTTTTTACACGACAAAACTCAGGGAAGGGAAGAGATTATCAAAGCGTATCAAAAGCACAACAACAATAATAATATAATAATAATGATAACATAATTCATTCCTACGGGTTAACCATATGGTTAAAATGGTAACCTGAAAATATTTGAGTTGCACCCAATTGTGTCAAATTTCATCAGTTAAGCTTAGGAATATGTTTTTTGGTTTACTTTTCTGGTATTTTGGTTACCTCGACATTTTTGACTACCTAATTCTAGTAAATTTAGATTGATTAAGACTCATATTTTTGGTCAGTGATCCTTTTTGCAATTAATTATTTATTTTACAAATGATGAAGTAAATGTGTTGTAGGTTTAGTTTAAACCATTCAAGATTGATTGTGCTTTGACTCAATGAGAATTCAAATTAGTGGTTATATTAATGGGTTTAGATTGTTTTATGTGGACATTTCATTTGCACATTTTATTGCCTCTTATTATTTCGTTTAATTGTCCTCATCTTTGGACATCTTTTTCTAGCTTGTCCAAGCATCGGCAAAGCAAAGTTAATCACAATAATCACGTTATAATCAGATTTACTTTGGTTTAATTAAACCTTTTTGTCAGATTTTAACATTTTTCTGGCCATAATTACCCAATATAAAACAATTTGTCACTTGATCCATTTCAATGATGAATACATAATACACATTCAATGCTTTATTTCAATTCAATCCTAGGTTTGCAATAAATATAATTCAAACCAAGCTTGAAAACAAAATTTCAGGCTCGACGATTTGATGGCCGTTTTTTATTATTTGAGAAATAAAAGTTTGTAAGGATTTTAAGTGTGTTTTAATGCCAGGGATTTAATTTAGAACAATCCTCAAAAGCTGAACTTTCATATAAATTGAATTGGTTTATGGTGAATTGATCAGATCGAAATCTGGTCATTCTATCATTTTAAATAGAGTAGCTATATCAGTTGCTTGGTGATTGGATTTATTTTTATTTGGATGTTTCAACCGTCCCTGTATCTAAAACTTCTGTTCTGCAGGGTGTTAGAAAAATTTGTGCATGGAAAAACAGAAAATGGTTTTGTTCAGTGTTTCAATATGATTTAAACCTAGTGCCATTTCTTTGCGCAACTTTATCCATCCCTCTCTACATAAACTTTTTTTACACCCTATACAAAGATACAGTAAAACAAGATTTGTTTTTCTCACATGTAATGTTTTTTTGTACTGTTGTTATTTTGTTGTCTCTTTGGTCTTGATTGATTTTTTTGTTTTTGTACGTGAATTTCCATCTTTAATATGTCAAATATTGTTTACATTGGAAAGCCTTCTCGGTATCATGGAAAACAGATCTTTGAAATATTGACTAATTTGAAAAATTTTGGCATTGGAAGAATCTTGGAGCGACGCTTGCCTAATGCAAAGTATCCCGAGAAAACGTTTTGTATCATTAAAGAAGCCTATCCACAGATGGATGAGAAATTAGCCTTTGGTCTAGTCTATTGTGAACATTATTACAGAGGAGCTCGGATTCCTGGTTTGACTGAAATCTTAACTACTTTACCAGATTATCGTTTGGTACCTAAACATGAAGAAGAAGCTTACTTAGAGATTGCGAAAAACGCTCCTGTTTATGGTAAAGATGTGCCTCGTAAAGTCTTGCCTCAATATTATAAAGTCCCACCCTTAATGGCCGAGGTGATTAATAGGAGGAAGTTCAATGATCCACCATGCATATACATAAAAGGATTGACCAAGCAAGATTACGGATACGATTCAGAGAGTCTCACGCAATTGAAAATACCCTATGTGTATAAATGGGGTCAATTTGATTCACTTGTATACAAAGTGGCTGATGAAGATGCCGGTGAAAAGGTTCCAAGCAAACCAAGAATATTTATTGATAGATTGAAACCTAAAGACGTAGCTCAATGATTCAATTTAATTTCTTCATACATGTATGTTTATTTGTGAAAAGATTATGTACATTAAATCATCTTTACCAGTTACGAGTTTAACTGAAAAGACTTCTCTAACCTTTTACAAATTCTCTGAACAAAATTAGACAAGATTATTTTTGCATTAATAACATTTTTATTTGCATTTTATGATAAATTACAACTCTAGAAAAACGATCAACTATCTTCAGGGAAAATAGTTTTCGGTAAAACATTGGGGAAAGTGTAGGCTGCTGGATCTTCCGTAATATAGTCCGGATAAAGTTCGATTTTCTTAAGGATAGGATCACTCGAGGTATCAAGTTGTTGCTCTTCAAAGTTTTTCAATAGATTCTTATGATAATATTCACGGTAATCATATTTACGAGTTGGCAAAACAAAATTAATTGTACCATATTCCTTTGCCTTCACATATTCAGTTAACAATTCTTCATATTTAGCACAGCAAAGATGGGTTCTACGATTATCCATCAACTGATCCGTAAAAGTGTCGATAAACTGTTTTAAAAGTAATGTATTTCGATAATCCAGGACTAAATATTTATCTCTGAAAATAAGAAAAAAATAAATAAGTTAAAAGATTGCATGGAGTAAGATTAAAAAAAATTGTTTCATAGAATAGCGATTAAAATAATATAAGCATGGATTTACCTGCAGACGGGGCAGGGATTGTTGTTTTGAATATAACCATCTTCTCCAATACAGGATTCTCTTGTGTGAATGGGCACTTTATCCATGGGTCCGCGAAAATTTCGACGATACATTTGCCATATTTTGTATTCACCATAAGTATCTGCAAAGGTTTTACTTAGCATATATTTAGCACTAACTTCCCAACTAACTGGGACTCTTCTATCCTTTTCAGGAATTTTTCTAGGTTTAGCTTTGGGTCGTCGGAGATTACCATAAATATTTTGATAAGCATGGGCTCCACTCGCATCGACTTCTTCTGGTAGTTTTCTTGGTGGAAATCCTTGTCCAGCTCCTTTGATTATTAAGGATGTATGGATATTTCGAGTGACTATAGCATCAATACTAGGCGCCAGTTTTGTGCGGATCAGATTTCCAAACATGACTGTAGAGTTCACAAAACCGGACACAATCGAATGGTTTTAAAATGACTTTGGTGTTTTTTAAACAAACAGTAAACGATTCAACACAAATCAGAATCACATGTTTTGAATCTGCTGAACCAATAGATGGCGATAGTATATCTATGGAGATTTTTTGAAAATCTCGACCAAAATATGAGTGTGATATTATAATTTGTCAACTTTATTATTTTTAATTTAGTTCTTTATTTGGGATTGTCATCTTAATCAATTTACAAAATATGGTGGTCATTGTGCAACAGTTTCCTATTCCCGAAGGAAAGACGGGTCAACAAGTTGTTGACATGTTGATTAAACAATTTGAAGCAATGGCGTTTAATCGTATTGGTAATTTTGTTGTTGATTGTGAAACTTACTATTCATCGCCCACTATTACTCCACCGAGAGTATTGAACATTATTCATAATTCTGATTTTCCTGCTTCATGCTTTGCTCAACTTGACACGGGAACATGTTTACGAGCAGATTCATATTTTGATGCCATGATGATGGTTTTGAATGGTATTTACCAGGCAAAGAGAGGTACAAAGATAGAGTCAAAAGGACCAAAGTTTCAAAAAGGTGATTTTGTTGTGAAAATTGGATCGGTCTCTATCGGTCCTTCTTTTCGAGGTATTCTAATCGAAATAGAATATGGCCCGTGCTCTGTGCCTCTCTATTGCTGGGATCTATTGAAAGAATTTATGAAATCTTTCATGAAAGTACCCAAAGAACCTCCACCATATTTAAAGGTGAGACGCATTAATTAATAGCCTTAAAATTGCATTTTTACAGAGTTCTTTTTTATTCATGATACTGTTTTATTTGATTTATTTTACAGGCTAAAATGGGCGAAATTTGTACTCCGACCGATATCATTTCTCAGTACAACATTCATTTCACTAACCTAAGGAAAGCAACACCTATTGCTTCATGTCCACCACCTTTAACGGTTAAAGGATCAAGTAATGAAGTTCAAAACAATGGTGATATGGCATAACGATTTCTCTCTTTCTCTATCCACTTTGAGTGGATTACAATTTCTCGAAATTGGTATTCCGTCATTGTTTAAAACATTGTTCATATCATCACACATCTTTGATTTGTAAAGTTTGGAAATTGATTAAATTAATTGTGACAATTTTCTAGTTTAATAATTGTTATGATAATGTGTTAAAATACGAGCTTATAGATCTTTAAGATTTCCTCTTTTATCTTGTTCAGCCTCAATTGCTTCGAAAAGGGACTTGAAGTTTCCAGCACCAAATCCATTGTGATTTCTTCGTTGGATAATTTCGAGGAAAAGAGTCGGCCTATCTTGAACAGGCTTTGTAAAGATTTGAAGAAGATAACCTTTTTCATCATGATCAACCAGGATGTTCAACCGTTCCAATTCATTAAGGTCTTCTTTTACTTGAATTGGACTTGATTTGAGGGCATTTTGCAAATTAGTGTAGTATGTTTTTGGTATGTCCAGAAATTGCATTCCTCTTTGACGAAGACTTTTGATTGCTGGTTAAAAAGAGGGAAAATATAAAGATTAGTCTTGCATAATTTTATGCCAAAACATGTTTTCAAGTGTATTATACAACTATCTATTTGATCAATAAATTATCTTGATCGTAAGAGAATCGATTGAGTTTATCCGTGAAAAAGCTTAAGTTAATGTTTCTATTGATTGGGTAGCTTGATAATAAGTTAGATAATAATATCAAAACTATGATGAAAATGATTAGTGAAGTGATCTCTTGAAGAGCTTTAATAACTTCGTCTCAGATTTATGAACGTATCAATTTTTACCTTGAAATAATCTTCGCAGTATTATAATCATTGTAACTAAAACGAATGTTGCAACTCTCGACTAATCTCGATAATTACCTTCAATTATATTGTCTGTGTTAAGGGCGATATGCTGAATACCGGGTCCACCATAATAATCCAGATACTCTTGAATTTGTGATTGTTTCTTGCCCCTAGCTGGTTCATTTATGGGTAATTTGATAGTTTCTTCAGGGTTAGTCATCACTATTGATCGTAAAGCTGAATATTCAGTGTGAATTTGAGAGTCATCAACAGACCAAAAACGATGGAAGGTTAATTGCTTCTCATACATATCGGCGACCTTTTCCATGTCTTTTTCGGGTTGATTGCCAACACAATGATCAATAAACTCAAGGCCGACTGTTGGCAATTCATTAAGCAGTTGAATCTAAAAGAGGCAGAAAAAAGAAATTTCAAAAATACAATTATCACCAAAAAATATATTAGGTATCTGTCAACTTACCTCAAGAGGTGATTTCTCGTAACCTGGTAAAAATAAACCTTTATAATTTTCTCTTTCAATTAAAGTATGTGTTACATCACCAAATGTTTGAATTTGGGCTAATTTAACGTAGCCATTTTGATCACTCTCGGTCCAAACATCTTTAACAATAACAGCTCCTTGTGAACGGGCTCTAGCAACAATGGCTTCAATTCCTTCAACTCTTAAAGCGACATCTTTAACACCATCGCCATGAGTGATCAAATGAGAACCCATCTCTTGATTTCCTGGTTCCAGTGGAGACACAAAAACAAATATTATCTTATTCTGTTTAATTGCATGACAAGCGAGTTGCCTCGATCCCGTTTCCAATCCTTTGTAGGCTAGCGGAGTGAAACCCATTTCAACACAATAGTAGGTAGCAGCTTGTTTAGCATTGCCGACCCAGAAGACAACATGGTCGAAGTGGATGAATCGACTTGAATCACTGGCACCATTAGAACCGTTTACGTACTGAGGCATTTTTAAGTTTAAAAGAAACTTGGATAAAAACAAATGAATATGGATCAAGCTTGTTTGGCTTTGATATATTTGTAACAATTCTGTTTCTATTTGATTTATATTGGTTAAGATTTATCTGAGTCATTCATAGCTCTTAATTTTTTTTTATCAATTATTAAGTTTTTCCTCTTCAGCCAACGTCAATTTGATTTGAAGATAAGATTAAATCTAAATTCTACTCAGCAACAAATAACAAAAATTCGCATTACTTTTGGTATATCAGACTAGATTCATTATCTTGATAAGATAATTCCAAGTGGATAATCAATTTCCGTGATTAGTCCAAAGAGTTATATCTGTCCTCTTGGAATGTACTTTGATAATAGATAAGATAAAACACAATTTAAAATGGAAATTCTAATGATCTTTCGTTTATTGGTTTGATTTCAAGTGAGGATAAATAGATCTTAGTTTATGAAAAAAATGGTGAAAGGTTGTTTAAGCAAGAGAGTTGGTGTTGCTGGTTTGAAACATATGGACTAAATTATTAGATGAATCATTTGGTGATGATGTTTTATGACGGAAAATACAATGCTGAAAATTTCGCGGAGAATTCCATTGTTGATTTTCTTTTCCTGATGGCTAGTGATAAATTGAGGTCCATATTTTGAATTTATCGTCCTTCAACTGTAAAATAATAAGAAAAAAAGGTTAAGTAAATGGACGAAAACTCAACAAGTGTTGTCAAATACTAAAAAAATACGTACTGTAACTTGAAATATCAATTTCTTCCGGTAATTCAGGTATGTTCACATCGAAACGATCTTGAACTTCGTTTAATACTTTGGCATCAGTCTCATCGCTAACAAAAGTAATAGCGAGACCTTTGGTTCCAAATCTACCAGCACGAGCTACTCGATGGAGGTAGGTATCACTGTCTTCGGGCATGTCATAGTTGAAGACAATATTGACTCTCTCAATATCCATACCTCGACCAAAAAGGTTAGTCGCGACCAAGATACGCTTATGAAAATCTTTAAACTGTTGATAACGTGATAATCTGGAAAACAAATACAAAAAATTGTAAAATCGGAGTGGCAATTGATAAGATTAATGCGAGATTAATGAGAAACTATCAAACGAACCTCTCTTCTTGAGTCATAGCTCTGTGGATAGCAATGGCTGGAAAATTTTGTTCAACTGATAATTGCGCCAAAGCAATACATCTCTGGACACTCTTCACAAAAATAACTACCTAAAAATAGAAATGAATGTTAGACTTTGCGTTTCAATGTATTTGTGATGAATTTTAGAAACGAACTTGATTGAATTCGAGAACATCCAAAAGTTCAAACAGCTTTCTGTTTTTCTCGGTATCCTTAAGTTTGACGTAGTATTGTTGTAAACCATGCAATGTGAGTTTAGCTTCATCATCGACGTATACTTCGAGAGGCTATAATGAGAAAGAAATTAGTGGATCCACCAAAGAATACGATGGTTAAATATAAAAAACGAGCTTTAAATACGTGTATTGAATGTGGCCAATAAGATATAAATTATCGTCGCACGCAAGTAAATGTAAGTTGGACAATGTCAACCAAAACAAGCCATCACCATCATTAAACATCAACTAAAAATTTGGTTTACAACTAAATGAACAAATATATTTAGTTGCAATTGTTGTTCCCACTGAGACTAGAATTCTCGGATTGTTCTCACTGACTATTATGACACTAGGATCAAAAACACCAGCGAATGTTGGTGATGAATGGTCCAAACAAAAAAACTAAAAACCTCGATAATCATCGGTGCGATCGAGATGGTACCGTAAGCAATTGATGATGGCATTGATGATGGTTATAGTATAAGGTCATTGCAATTGTGAATTGAACCATCTTGCATGAATTTTTTGCAAACTGGTCTAATTTCTTTGGACAGTGTTGCACTGAACATCATGACTTGTTTTTCGTGAGGTGTAGCTTTGAATATTTCTTGAACATCTTTCCTCATGTCTGAAAGAATGAAAGAATGAAAATGTAAAATTAATAAATTTCCAATGTAAAGAGCAAATGAGATACGCACCCAGCTGTTCAAGCATTTTATCACATTCATCTAAAATGAAATGTTTGAGATGCTTGAGATTCAATTTCTTAGATCTAACCAAAGCTAAAATACGCCCGGGAGTTCCGACAACGATGTGGGGTGTGTTGTTTTTAAGCGTCTTCTCGTCACTGGAAATATTCATCCCACCAAAGAAAACCGACACCTTGATGTTTGGCATGTACTTGGAAAACCGCTCGTATTCCTTGGAGATCTGGAAGGCCAATTCACGAGTGTGACACATGACCAAAACTGAAACCTTTGAAAAAATGAGAAAATAAAAAAGACCGTTAGTTTATAAAAGTCTAAATAGGAGTATTAAATGAACCTACCTGTCCATCTACAGGATCTAATTGTTGTAAGGTAGCCAGTACGAAGACAGCGGTTTTACCCATACCAGACTTTGCTTGACACAGGATATCCATTCCGAGGATTGCTTGGGGTATACATTCATGTTGTACTTCACTATTGATGAGAGGGTAAACCAGGAATGACATATCTCCAACCGAAAGGTATTTTTTATATAAACAAGACTACTTAAAACAAAGTAGTATGGTAGCAGTGGAATAGTCTCACAAACCTTGGATGTTCAAACCCACAATCGATGATAGCTCGAAGGAGCTCAGGTTTGAGTAGGAAATCGCGGAATCCAGATGAATGGATGGATACGTAACCACCTTTCTTTGGCTCCACAGCATTGTTACTGGTCTGTAAGTTATTGTTGTCCACCACAACTCCACTGGTTTGTTCCTCTTCTTCTTCATAATCCAATAACTCATTCTCGTTTTCTGCCATTTTCAAAAAGATTTGGTTAACTTCAACTTAAAACACAATTATACTAATTGACTTAATATGTCGATGAAAAAATAATTATTAATCACTCAGGACAAACAAAGACACGCTTCTTTCAACTCGCTCGCACAAAAAACCAATAATTCTAAAGCGGATCCGGAACCTACAAAATCCCCCCTTTCTTCTTACAAAGCTACAGTCTGCTATCCATAGGGATAGCAGACTCCACCCAGAATTTTCCATTTGGATGTCAGTCCGCCATCTGTGGTAAGAGATTTGAATTGGTCTTCGTTTGAAAATGTATGAGAAGATAATTAGCAAAGTCGTTATCCTAACTACTTGGCAATTATTTATTATCAAAAGTACTTCTCTTTATTAATTATTTTCATTATAATTCGTTTATTAACAACCATCTTCTCAATCCTGACCTATCAATTTTACATCAAAGATAATTGTTGATTCGAAAAATTTAGACTTGGTTTTTCATATTACATTGTATTTATTTTGACATCGGACTCTTATTTGGTGAATTTCAATGAAAACCTTCGCCTAACTTTTCACTCCACAAAATGAGCTAATGTATTATCTTTTAAAATTATATGTGAATCAAATCTAAACTACATTATCGGAGCTCGAATGCGATAATTTAAAGTCAGAAATTTTCATGAAATTATATATTCAAATGTCAATAAATATTGATGTAAAATCTTATTTAATGAGACTAACTCATGCAATGTTAAAAACAATCAATTGGAAAATTCATTATGGTATTTCCATAAACCAAAAGAACACGAATATTTTGACTTGGCATGAACTTAATAGAGTTCAGTTAAACAACTGGAAGGGACTTTTGTCCTTCGTTTAATCATTTATTCGGCTAATCATGTTTTAACAAGTCCAATTGGAGTGTCAAATATGTTACAACGTTGATAAAGAGATTGATTAGTAATCAGACAAGGATTGTGGGTTTGTTTGATGTAATTCAAGATAATTTTTAAATTGAGCTCTTATAGATCTTTTATCATAATTTAACGAAGGTTTAACAGAAATCAATAACGAGATTCTCATTATGAGATTTGAATTGATTATCATGATAAGTTGCCATGGTTTTTTCATTCGGTCTCTCTGGGCTCCATCTATTGGGATAAATTTGACTTTGGAACTATTCGACTTTGAAAATAAAATTGATTTCCAACTGTAATCAAATCAATTATTTTCTTTGTTGTCTGTTATACTAATCATGTTAGCATCTAGAATATCAAAGGTACTTGTTCAACCATTATTAAAGACTACATTGGCTCCTCTGAATATATCTGCCAAGTGTCTTCATCAAATGTAAGTAATTAACAGACATAAACGTGATCCACTTTGAATAATTGCTCTTCCTATAAGCGAAGTAAGTTACAGTTAAAAATTCCCCAATACCCATGAATTCAGAAAGTTTCGATAGTCGGATACTTTAATTCTTGAACTTTAGTTTCGCTTATTTGCTACGTTAAATTAATTCTCTTTCTTCCTTTCCTTAATCACGCTCATTTTGATAACCTCGATGAACCTATTCTGCCTATCAAGTTGATAAATTGCCTTTTTACAAAGAGTAAACAACTAATCTTGCTGTTGCATGGTTACAGTTTCACAGCAATCTAATCAAATTCAAATTAATGAAAGGAATAATATGGTTCTTTCGATTTGCATTTGTATCGGTAGATTATATCGGACTGTATTTAAGTATCATAAATAGATTTATACGGTAGATAAATATCATGGCCTTAAATTGAGCTATCTATTTTAAGTGTTAGCAAAATTCAGTTGATTCATAATCCTTGATAAGATGACAAGAAGATCAACATTTCCAATGATGACGATCTTCTTGTCATTACCTGTAATTTTAGCTCACTCGTCGTCTCTGCCTGTCTCTCCTTTATTCTCTTTGTTTCACTATATCCATTCTCATACTTCTCCTCTCCATATTCACTCGTTTTCTGTTTTCAAGGTATTTTCTTGTTTATTTGTCTCTCTTTTATTTAAACGATTTAAACAAACGTTTTACATATTGCTAATCTAATTCATCGTTTTGTATTTCAATAATTCACAGAAGTTTACATAATATTGCCAGAAAAAACATGGACACTCAAGGAGTCGTCCCTGATGTCATTGATTCCATACCAACTCATACTGTTGAGGTATTACAATGTTATTCTTTTAGTTTCTTGAGACTTCAATTGTTCCTCTTTTTTGCTTTGACGCTTTTATAAACCCATTCAAGAATATTTTCTTCAAACCCTTCCCATTTAAACTGTGTCATTATCAAATATCGTTCTTTTTGATCCATGTTAATGTTTATTGTTATTTCATCATTGGCCATTTCTTAGGTTAAATACCCAAGCGGTGCTGAAGTTAAATTTGGAAATGAATTGACCCCAACTGTTGTCAAAGATGTCCCTACCCATATTTCTTGGCCTTCTGAAGAAGGTAAGTTGTCTTTGAAATTTCTATTGATGAAATTTGTTTCATTTAATGGATTTTAATAAACTGTTCAATTTTTCTATCCTTAGGAGCCCTCTACACTCTATGTATGACTGACCCAGACGCTCCGAGTCGTCAAAATCCCAAGTACCGTGAATGGCATCATTGGCTTGTAGTCAATATACCTGACAATGATGTTGGTAAAGGGAAGACTATCTCGGAATATGTTGGTAGTGGTCCACCTAAAGGAACAGGACTTCATCGTTATGTTTTTCTTGTATATAAGCAGCCCGGTCAATTGAGCCCAGATGAAAAGTTCAGGAGCAATCGCTGTGGTGAAGGTAGAGAATGCTTCAAGATTCGTGAATTCGCCAAAAAGTATAAGCTTGGAGTTCCTATTGCTGGTAATTTCTATGTTGCACAATGGGATGACTATGTACCCAAATTATACCAACAGCTTTCTGGTGATTAATTCATTAGTTCCACATGCATCTTTGATCATCATCCTGCTCAAACCCACCTTTGTCCCTGGTTTTGATTCAATATCAATACCATTTTTACACTTTAAATCAATGCAAAGCTTGAGTTTGTCAATACCTAGAGATTCGAATTCTATGATAAATTATGTTAAAACACAGAGACCTTGCTCCTTCCATCTCTTTTCTTTCGTTGCTAAAATATCTATTTTGCAGAAAAAGCTAGTATATCTCTTTTATGATGATCAAAGACTGATTTACTAGCACAAGTGATAATAAATAAATTACTGTTTAAATGGTTTAAAAAATCCTGTCTCCATGTTTTTTAGTTTCATGTGATCACATACAGAATAAAAGTAGTCTAGAGAAAGGATTATCTTTTAAATGATTAGAAATTTATTGATAAGAATCATTTAGCATAAAAGAGTTAAGATTTTAAGGGTTCAAAAGCAAAAGTAATTCTTGTGATATTGGCATTTCTTAAAAAGGATACATGAGAATGGCTGATGAGTATTCACTGAGCACAATAGAGACTCTCCTGATGCTTAAGATGCTGGAACACTTTCCATGGTTGCTTTGTTTTCCAAACCATTTTCATCGGTCCTGCATTTATCCTGGCCATTACTAATGACGGACTTTCCAGCTTCTTCTGCCAAAATGATCTTGTCCACTGCATCACTGATGATATTTTTGACTGTCTCAGAGATAAGCGAAGATTGATCCATTTTTTCTTGGAATTGCCGGAAAGAATCACTTGTTTCACAGAAAAATTTAAAGACTGGACAACAAAGGAAACGGATAAGGGTTGAAAATACTGTTTCTGAGAATGATGATGATAAATGATGAGGAATCACACAAAGGATACAAGACAAAAAGAACTTATACTCACGACCGGTGATGAGTCAAGTCAATGCTCCAAACTTCTCCTTCCTTTTTCTGTCTCTCTTCTCATTTTTTCATCTTTCTCAATAATTTTTCTTTCTCCTTGTCTGTCTTTCTTTCCCCTCAAAAATCTTCCATTCATTGCCCCTTAAATCTTTTCTTCTCTTCTTCATCTTCCCAATCTTTTTCCCTTTTTTCTCCATCTTTTTTGTTCGTTGGTTTTTGCCTTTGAGAAAATCCTCTAAATCTTACCTTTTTTTCTTCACCTAACTGCTCGCACAATCAAAACACAGCAAATTGATACACAATTGCACAAATCAGCTGTCAAATCATCACCAGCTAATCATTTCCAACATTTGACGCACTAATCACCTCAATCGAACTTTATTTCCATTGGATGCTTCAAATGTTTCATTATTTTTTCCCATTTTTGCACCAATCCTGTTTTCCAGTAGTCAAGGTGAATAACAAAAATGCAGATACTTTCGATGTTACCAAAATGTGCGAGTTGCCCATCAAGTTGCCAATATTCAGAATTAGATTAAAATCTATCGACTCATTTAATTTAAAATCAATTCATATGATAAAAAAATCTCTAAAAAGTCAAGAGTAACACTAAATAAGGGGAAAAATTAAGAGTAATTTGTTTTCTTGTTTACATCAAGATTGTGAGGGTTTGTAAGCAATGAAGTAATCAATTAAAAAACTCATCATCCTGACAAGTATGATTTTAGTTATGAACGTCTGAAAATACTTACGTAATTTACAAGAAAAAATCATGAATTATTTGTTAGCTTGGTGAAAATTTCTAGTTATTTTGACAAACTATTGAATTTTTTTTTCAAGCTACCACTCAAATAATTAAAATCACGTTGATCATTATTTCTGCAATACTTGGAGCAATCCTTTATTTAAACACCTTGCAGTTATTATGATGAGAGGGACAAAAATGAATCTTTTCATGTTTTCCACAATTATTTCAATAATATATAGAGTTGATATTAATTTTAATCAGATGACTTTGGATGAAATTTAAAGGTATATAAACATTGATGTTCATCAATCAGAGCCAGTTATTCACTAATAGTCTTGTCTCGAGTTACATCATCCAGTTATTTCATCGCTCTTCTCGCATTTTAATTTGGTCAGTGGTTATATCAGACCAAATACATAAATTACAATGTTCAACAAAAGTTTCCTCATTGTTTTAATCATCTCTGTGGCTCTGCTAACCAGTGGAATCGATGCTAATCCTATGCGTACAAGTGTATCAAAAGCTTGCTCATCAAGCAGTTCAGAGGGTACAACCCTTAGAGTTTGTATAACAACCCGGTCGGAAAACGGTCAAGTGGTCCAGAAAACACGATGTGAATCTTTCAATGATGGACCGGAGGATTGCAAAGAAATACAAGAATGATTCTTTGATTTTCTGTTCAAAAGATTGTCTAAAAATTGTTGTCCAATTTCAATTGTTTATCATTTTAAATCAAATAAATAATTTGGATTGAGTTACAAGCTTCAATTCAATGTTTTTTTCTTGAATTTTTTTCAAATTTATTCGGAATTTCGCACTTGATATCGACGAAAGGTAAATGATTGAAAGCCTGGATCATATAGCAATCATAATTGTTAGATTAAATATGAGTGTTTGTTGGTGATCAAAATATTAATCATATCATGATAGTCCAAAAGTGTAAATATTACGAAGGTTTAGGTGAAAATTTGCAACATAAGTTATTTATTACCACTTGTTAATATTTTGTACCTTTTCCTGTAAATTGTGAGTGCTTTTCATGAGTAAAGTTATTAAATTGATATTGTCGTTACAAATATAATTTGTTCGATAAAATTAATAGTTAGTCTTTCACTTGTCAATGGGTTCTCATTATTTTGAACCCAGATGTGATGTTTGTTTACTAATGACTGAATAAACTTGAACGAATTCTGATCTCTCATACATCCACAGAGTAATTACAATCTACTTGAAGTAAATAAAATTTACATATCAGGCCAGAAAAGTGTTTGAATAACACCAGGAAGTTAGCTTTTTATGCGTAAATTGGATGTGAATCGATGTGCATCACCTTATCTGATAAGACTCGAAAATTGGAAAGGAAGAAATAGTGAAGAAAATTGATCATGATTAATGTTAAATTTATTTTTATTATAGTGCTAACTTTTACATGGACATTTCCATCTAATTTTGAAATCCTAACAGATAGTATTTCCAATGTTAAACCAAATTGTTCAACCGGAGAATGCAAAGAAAATAGTGATCAAAGAAATTTAACTGACTCTTCCATGGATAAAGGTTTAACTCGAAATAAGCGAGTCTGCGGATCTTTATGGTGTGGTGGCTGTGGTCGGTCAAATCAACCAAGAAGACGAAGACCAAGGCCAGTAGTGTACCGGCCAGTCAGATACTACCAGCCTCAACAATATCAACAAGCAGCCAGTTCGTTCACGTTACCACCGTTCCTAAGATTGCCAGCTCTGCCAGCCTTACCCAAAATACCAGCTTTGCCGTCTTTCCCTTCTTTACCAGCAATACCACAAATTCCTCCTCCTGAGTTACCAGATTTTCCTCGTTTTCCAAGAATACCACCATTACCAGCTTTACCAAGATTACCAGCTTTACCAAGATTACCCGCTGCCCCCGCTGCTCCTGGTTAATTCAAAAGAAATATTCAAAAAATCAAGAAACTCTTTGTTGAGAGATTTAAATTTTCACTCATTTCTGGTTCTTTGAAATTGTCCAAAGAAATACAAGGGTTAACATATTTATGTTATGTTTTTATAACAATACAATTCTTAATTGCTTATTGTTACAAAGAAATGAGGAAAAAATTATGAAGTAAAATTGTCACATTCAACAGCTAAATCATAAAATAATGTTAACACAAATCAAGTTTTCATGCTCACTCGTTTATCTTGTATTGTAAATCTCGTATAGCTGCTAAACTAAGTGTGAATTTTTCTTTAATTTCAACCGATTATTGACAATTTTTTTTAATTTACACTTAATTAGTTTAAAAGATAAATTTAGCCTTCAAAAATTGGCGCTCGATTTATACCGAAAGAATCGATGAGCGCTCAACTTAATTCCATGGTAACTAACATAAAATAAACAAACAAATAAATGATTGATATGAAAGTATTACAATTATGTCTCTTTTAAAAAGTTTTATTTCTTAATTTAATTCTTAAATTATTTGTGAAATCAATTCTATGGATAATAACTGACGAAGAGTTTTTTGCGTGATTTCGATAACTCTTTTCATTTCTTTTCTAAATTTCACTGATCATGTCAAATCGGCCATGGTATTATGTTAAGGGCCATGGAAATCGAGAATATATTGAAAGATTGATTGCTTCCAAAAGAGATAAGGAAGCTCGACAATCGGAATTCAGACGACAAACAAGTGATTACTTTGATCGATGGCAGCTACAAAATGAGTGGATGGGCAGGAAAGGATCTAAAAAGCAAACCGCCAACAGTAATCAAACTAACAGTGCTGGAAAATTTCATTCAAAGGTCCCGTATGATCTTGACTATGAGATTGATGATGATCCAAAAAGAAGTGAATCCATCAAATTAAAGCGTAATAAAGCTCGAAAAGAGCTGAAAGTTTTATTGGAACAGTTGATTGATCTGGAAAAAGAAGCAAAAGAATCAGAAGAGCAACAATTGTTTCTAATCAAACAAATTGAAAATTTACTACTTGTTCGGCGTCAGCTGAAAGATAAACAGGAAAATTGGTCCATTCGGGGTAAAAAAATGTACTACAAGCGTTTTGCTAAAGACAAAATGAGACTGAAATCATTTCTGATCTGTGAACAGTTGAATAGCTACAAAATAGTAATCCAGTGTCTATCTAAATCAATACCAACCGTTTTTCTGAGCAAAAGGGAAAAAGAAGAGCTTTATGGTGTAATTGAAAGCTCATTAAACATCATCAACATGTATTTAGACATTAATTATAAACGCAATTATGAGTTGATTCCGCTATACAAGTAAGTCTTGGTTTCTAATGATAATTTTATTATTGTCCAAATATGCTTCACATTGTCAATATCTGCATAGTTTGATTACTTTCCATTAATTTTGAATCGATTTCTATCTATAAGTTTTACACAGACAATTAAGCCACTATACTTTACTAAAGGTAATTCAATAGAGTAATCTACCACCCAAATTGATTTTTTACGATAAAAGAGAAGTGTTAAATAGACGATATTGACTCTGTTATTGATTCATATTTTTCATGTTTAAGTTGCATATTTATTAATAGCTTTTTATTTTTTGTTACAGCGAGGAAGCAGAGAAGAAATGGCTTGAATGTGAATCTAATTGGGAACGAGAAAGATCCATTTGGTACAATCTGGTTGATCGAGTTATCGAAGCCTTTTTCACTACTCACAAATATCAACTTGAAGACAATCTCGAATCGCTAGAAATATTGACAGAAAAACGAATTGCTTTGTTAGATCAAATGTTAGTTTTCTCAGAAAAACTTAAACAAGATAATGATTTAATGGTAATTCTTAGTGAAGACATGGATCACCTTATAGATAATGACAATTTTAAAATTTTATCCCATGGAAATTGACAAAATGATATTCATTATGGTGATCGTTCAATATTTATTTAACTTCATATAAACTATGTTTATGTTTTCGTTATACTGTATCATTTACCTGATTGTTTAATTATTCAGCTAAATAACTGATTGAATTGCCTATTTATTTACTATTTTTGAGCTTTCAATTGTTTTCTTGATACTTCGTAAGACTCTATCGTCGTTGATGATCAAGATGGCCAGTTTCCTCACAAAGCTCGCAAATCCAAGCAATCAAATCATGTAACATTCAACATTATCATTGTGAAACATGAACAAACACTTTTTTATTGTATTTATTAAAATCAACTCATTTTTCAAATCTTCGAATTACATAAATACAGTAACCTTTTCAGGTCATAAACTGATTCAGGTCAAATAAATTCAGCTGAGCGTAGTTCCCAATACAGACATATTGAAAGTCTGATCTTGAACTTTGAATTTTAAACAAACGAAAAAGCAGGTTTTCTCAAATCTATTTAAGAAAATTTTTAATTGTTATCATGTTTTGTCATATTTGACATTTTAAGAAAGAAAATTTTCTCTAAAACGTTACAAATTGTAAACAAATAGAGAATGCTTTAACAAAAATTATGCTAACTATCCGATCATTTTTGTTCCAATTGATTCAACAAAGTCATAGTTTACTGTTCGAATGAATTAGTTTCAATTATAATCTATAATTATAATCGTAATTACTATCGAATCAGACAAGGCAGTGATTTCAGATGAAAGTCCTTCAAATATATGAATTAATTTATTAAATAAATTTTTTTATGTTGATTCAATACGAGTACTACCATTATACAAAAAAGGCTGTTTAGGCAATGCATTCGTTACGAAAGTACAAATTGATCAAGAGAATAGAGAAGTTTATCTAACTAATCTTTGGATGCTTCCTGTTGTTCGAAGAGAGGATACATTTTCATAGCATCGTCCCAGCTTTTAACACCTGAACACAAGTCTCTGACTAAGGGAGCTGTTTCGTCAACCTGCAAAGAGTAAAAAATTGGATGAAATTAAAATTGTTTATGAATTCATGTTAAAGTTAGACTTACAGGCAAACGAATTTGAAGCATGGAATCTCTTTCACGAAGAGTTACGGTGTATGGGGCTTTGAGAGTATCGAAGTCCACAGTGATTCCATATGGTATAGCAATTTCATCAGCTCGTGAGTATCTTTTTCCAATGGATACACCAGAGTCATCAATTTTATGTGAAATAGAAAACTCCTTAAGTTTAGATGATAATTGTTGCACGAATGGCACAAACTCTTGTTTACCGCTCAATGGAAGCACAGAACATTTAGTTGGTGCAATGATGGGAGCCAATGTTAAGTAAACTCGTTGTTCGTCACCCTCTCTTATTTTGAAACTATGTTCAAATATGGAGTACATTATACGCCCAATGCCAAATGAAGGTTCAATAACACTTGGTGTGATTTCTTTTACGTAGATTTTCTTGGGATAACGACGAATCTTTATCATTTCTTTAGATATTTGAAATGACTTATTATCTAATTTGAGTTCGTAAATTTCGTCTTTCTCGTGAACTTTTTCTATATTGTTGAGATCTTCAGTTGAAAGTTTAGCAAGACCATCTAAAAGAATTTTTGCATCAGCTTTATATTTCTTACCAATCGTGGCTCGATCAGGTAAACAATCGACAATATTTACTTCCATTGGTTCTGATAGTGGTTTTTCAGCAACAAGTTTAACTCCAGTTGCTTTCGAATGTTGTGTAAGATCGTAACATGATCGATCAGCACATCCGACACACTCAACCCAACCATAGGATGTGAGACATTCAGCATCCCAACAATCACAGGCATAGTGAGCCATTTCATTTCCCATATGTTGTCGAAATCGAACTTTGGTAGGATTAACTCCAATTTTAACTAAAAATTGGTAAATGCGAGCCATAAAGTAAGCAAGAGTTTCATTGGCAATTATTTTATTGGAAACAGCATCACGTAGTGACATTTCTTCCACCGGTTTACCATCCATTTGATTACAAGCAGAAAACAATGGTAATTTCATGTCTGCCACTGTCTGGAATCGAGGATGATCTTTGTTGTCTGGATCCACAAAATACTCAATTTCAGCCATAGTGAACTCACGAACACGAATAAGACCAGATCGAGGAGAAATCTCATTACGGAAAGCATTACCGATTTGGGCTGCACCAAATGGCAATTTACCCTGGTTGAATTCAAGTAATCGCTTAAAGTTGACGAAAATTCCTTGTGCTGTTTCAGGTCTGAGGAACCCTTTGACTTGTCCACTTGGTCCAATTGATGTGCTGAACATTAAGTTAAACTCTACTGGTTCGGAGAGATCATTGCCAGTCAATGGCGCTTTCATGTCAAATTTTTTCAGAACACTAGCCATTTCATCCTTTGAGTACCCATCTAGTCGAGCAATGATTTCTTCACATTCATTCTTTACAGTTGGACTAAGATCTTTGTCCTCCATAATTTTTTCCAATTGAGCTTTGATCAAATGATCTAATCGAAAGCACTCTCCGGATTTTTCATCTTTAACCATAAGATCAGCAAATCTTTCCACGTGTCCAGAGGCTTTAAGAACAGGCTCTGGTGTAAGCATGGTGCAATCAACTTCGAGAAGACTATCCTCTATGACAAAATGATTTCTCCATAGATTTAGAATATTGTGCTTCATGGCACATCCCATAGGACCAAAGTCATACTGTCCTGAGATACCACCATAGATAGAAAAGCTAATGTCGATAAAGAAACGTCTCTTTAATAAATCCTCTAGCCGGGTTCTTTGGAAGATAGCATCACTAGGTGTTAGTGATATTTCTTTATCCTCTAGAATTTTTTTCCTTGCTTTCAACTCGTTTACTGCTTTTTTAATGTCAATATCATTTGCTTTGGATTCCTTAAGTTTCCTCACAAGATCACCTGTGCACAAATACAGAAAACAGAGCTGACCGAGAGTTAATCAATCAAATGTTATTGCACTAATATTAAACCAGAAAATATGAAATTTGAATATTTTATACGCACCTTGTTCTTTAACAGAGTCCCTTAAGGGTTGCAGAATTTCTTGAATGGATTTATCGGTGGCAGCCATCTTATTGAGAATACTTCGACGATGAGCAATTAATCGACCGTGTTGCCAGTTGGCAGGTAATTTTTTAAACAATTGAGATGAACAATGGAAACTTTTTACGAAATGTGTACGTAAGCAGAAACAAACATCTACCGCTAAAACCAATTTGCGAACTGAAGAAAGAATCATTAACCAAGCAACTGAGTCAATGTTAGGTCATCATGCACAGCCAAGTCAACAATAAAAATACGATAATGTACGCTAATTTAACCTCAATTAAAAACTATTTGAAAAAACGTGAATATATGTCAGGTATGGTAAACAGCAAAAAAAATGCTAACAACTAAAGCAAACTAAAGATGGCGTAATAAGCCAGTCCGTTATTTTGTGGCTTTTTCAAATTTTGATTAAATTTAATTAAACTAATTTTTTAAAATAATCTAATTTTTCTTTCATTTATGATTCAAGTATTTAAATACATTTTACACCAATAGATTGAATCAGAAGTTTCAATCGTACATTTCCTAAGTTTTAAACCAATGAATTTTTATACGCAATACATTGAAAAAATTACAAACGGCAAAACTGGTTAAGAGCTGGTTAATCAAGGTAAACTTGAATGCCCTGAAAAGGTATGAATGATAACCTGATTTCAGGTTTGAATGCAATTGTTTTCAATAAAAATGGTGAAGAAAAGGAAGGAAAAGGAGTGTTAACGATCGAAGCGCCTCTATAAAGCTTTCTCTTCTCATCGCCATTTATTTAAACTCACTTAACCATCACTAACCAGTCTTAACCGTTTGTTGTTTAATTTGTATTTATACGTTTTTTTATTTAATATCACAATTAAAATGTATTCTGTAAAGCAAATCAAGTTAATGAATGAACTGATTAGGACTGGAATATCGAAACAAGGTATTAGTGAATTGTACGATGTTCTTCATGCTGATGTCGCAGCCCAGTCTCAACCTTCACCTCCTAACTCTCAACCTTTACCTGACTGTGTCAACAATGATCATAGCTCTCCACCATTGCCGGACACTCAGGGGTGAGTTTTATGTCGGTTTCCTTCTTGATACACCAAGACCAACAAACATTGAATCTCCACCGTATACAGATGAGGAACCATGGCCTCAGTGGCCATCCAATACAACAAATAGTGAAAAGAAAAGAGATAGGTTCGTGTTTAAACACGTCCATCACGATATATTAAATGAGGCTTTCCTCAGAAATCGTTATCCTGAAAACGATGAAAAAGAATGCCTGGTGGATAAATGTAATGCAGCTCTAGAAAATTATAAAAGTAAGTTCTTTGTCAACCCTTTAACGCTTTTTGATGCATTCTGACCTTTTTTTTCTTTCTTTTCCGCAGATAGACCTTTGAAAGAGTCAGAAAAGATGACCATTTTAAATATTACTAATTGGTTCAATAATCGACGTAAAGAAAAGAAACGAAATCGCCGTACTCTAGATCCAAGTTCCTATTGTGTTCAAAATTTAAAAGAAAACAATGAAGTTAAAGAGGAAATAATCAGTGAAGATGATGTATAAAAGACTATAACGTAGAGAATGTAAATTAAGATAAATCAACTCTTGGAATGGCCATCGCCTTTAAAGGATGCCAAATTTGTCAATACAACAAGATTCTATTTGTAACCATGAATATATCATATTATTAAATCATGATATTTAAGTGATGATTATCAGTATTTGAGTGTAACAGTTGTACGCTGTTGCGTAAAGCAAAAAAAAAGAAAGCTAAATGACTGAGCAATGGGATCGGATATTGGATTCGATATTTATAATGTTGCATGAAAATGATGAATTTCATCATTTCAAGAATCAAATATGCTTTAAACAAATGTGTTATTTTTTTTAAATAAAAGATCTAATTGTAAAAAATATTTAAGTTGATAAATTGATGGAAATAGCTGGCTTTATTGGTATAAATTTTGCGTCAAAAAGTCTTGCTAGACTAATACTGTAAGATATTTCTAGTCTTATTCGTTATTTCAAACAGAAAAGCAAATTTTAAAACTCCAATTGACCCGCCAAACTCCGGGATCGTATTAAAATTGAGAACTGTAGATTATCACAGAAATGTAAAGGTGACGTGTTTACAATGAAATGTTTATCGATGAAGTCAATTGTGATAAATGAATTTTTTTTGTAATCATCGTTTATTTCAGTGTTTCAAGCATAGAAATTCTCTCACCGTTTGTATTCTGTCATATTTCAATCTGGTCAATCATGAGCAACAGTAAGTTATTGGCCCGGGTTGATATACCCATTTACATGGTTAAAGTTGTCAGTGAGAGGCATATCTTGGTCGCTGGTGGAGGTGGTCAAGCTAAAACCGGTGTTAAAAATGCTGTCGAAATTTATCAATTAACTCATTCATCAAATACTTCAGAACCTTGCTCAGCTAAACTAGTTAATCGTTTTTACACTGGTTCTCGAGCTATTATGAGTGGAACTGTTTTTGAGAATGATAAGCTGTCTATATTAGCCGGTGGAGGTATCAACGGGGAATGTTTACTCTGGCGAATGCGACTTCTAACTAATTACGACAGAGAACCTGTACATATTGGAAATGGAAATGCTCGAAGCAGTTCCAATGATGCATTGAATCTTCGCAGGCGTAGGACATCATCATCTTCCAGTATAGGTGGTGGTGTTGGTGGTGATGATGTAATTGACAGTACTGAACATGGATTAAGAAGTAGAAATAATTCTACTGCTTCCAACGATTCACGGAGACAATCTGAAGATATTAGTTTCGAAAATGGGTCAATACTTGGGTTTGAACTGTCTCAAATGTCAGCTTTCAAGACAGATTTTCCTGAAAAGGAAGAACCTTTCGTTAAAGTGATACGTTATAACGATGTTTTAAGTGCCCTGGTTACTGGTGGAGCTGATGGCCACATAAGGATATGGAGGTATCCTGATATAGTAAAACAAACCGATATACGTGCTCACACTGATGAAATAGATGATCTGGACATACACCCTAGAGGTACTGTGATTGCTAGTGTTTCACGAGACAGTCATGGTTACATTTGGGATGCAAATATGGGAAGAAAACAATATGAACTTAAAGTTCAAATGCCTGTGATTAAAAACTCAAATCAACCAGTTAAATATGTTATGAGAGGGTGCCGTTTTGGCTTGGTAATCGACTCTAAACCAACAACATATAAACTATTCACTGTCCATAATCCCGCAACTCGTCATAAGCCACCTCATCCTGCTTATCTCTGTAAATGGGATGCCAATAACTACACTGTGGAAAAATTATCATCAATAGGACCGATTATGGTGTCATCCATGGCAATATCAGATGATGGTAGATTCATTGGTATTGGAACTCAAGAGGGAAGCGTAGAGATTTATATTGCATTTAGTTTACAAAGACAATACATTTGTCCTCAAGCTCATAATATCTTTGTAACCGGACTAGAGTTTCTCAAAACTTGCCAAGAGACACAACTTTTAAATGGAGATAATGATTCCTCTCTGGTCAGCATATCAGTTGATCGTCGAATAGTTATCCATAATATTCCTAAACAAAGAACTATTGGACTTTATGGACTTATGTTTTGCTTTGTAATCACAATTATGAGTATTTTTTATATCCTTGAATATATTGGTCTGTGAAAAAAGGATAACTGTATAATGTAAATTTATGTAAATTTTTTTGAAACGCATAGATTCTATGAACGGAAACATTAAGAGTTGTCCAAAATCAATTTTTATTATTTAGAAAATTATTAAATTTTTTATTGCAACAACTGAAAAAGCAATTGATTTATTCCCCTAATTCCAATATAAGATTTAAATCCTATTGTGCATTTGAGCAAATTTTTCGCATCTTTATTAAACTTGAACTTAAAAATGTCCACTCGTACAGTAAAAATTTGTCAATTTAATAATGTAGTGACTTTTATTTATCAAGAGTTTAGACGATCAATAGGTTTTAACATTATCCTTAATGGTTCATTCTAAATATAACAAAAACTTGTTTCTATTAAGGAAATTGAATATTTACAAACAGTTAGTCCATTTGAAAGTGAAATGAATTGTTGAGGAAAGAAGGTGATTTGAGACAAGTTTAGCCTCATCTTAGTTGGCATGAATAAAAAGATTAGCTCAAGGTGATTAGATAGTGAGATGCAAAAAGGCTGAGTAGAAGTATAAAATCAGTTGAAATGACCAAGGAAATCGTAAAACCTAATTATGTCACCTTCACTGATACCGAAAGGTTAATTGGTGATGCGGCCAAAAATCAAGTTGTTATGAAGCTATCGAACACTGTTTTTGATGTTAAAAGGTTGATTGGTCGACGATTCGATGATTCCAGCGTTCAAGCTGATATTAAACATTGGCCATTCAAAGTCGTCAATGATTCTACTAAACCTAAAATTTCTGTCGAATTGAAAGGTGAAACTAAAACCTTCTGTCCAGAAGAAATCTCAGCCATGATTCTCACCAAGATGAAGGCAACCGCCGAAGTAAAATCTACTGCTGGTGATACTTATCTTGTTGGTGAAGACTTTGATAACAGAATGGTCAATCACTTTATTAAAGAATTTAAACGAAAACATAAGAAGGGCATTACATCTGATGAACGAGCTGTTAGGAGATGAATTGCCTGTTAATGAGCAAAGAGAACCTTATCCTCATCCACTCTCTTCATGAAGGTTTCGATTTCTACTCAACAATCACTAGAGATCGTTCCGATCATCATTGGATCCAGTCGAGAAAGCCCTCCGTGATGCTAAACTAGATAAGGCACAAGTCGATGAAATTGTACTTTACTGTACTAAATTGTACCACTGGTTTCTTCAATGGTAAAGAACTCAACAAAAGTATTAACCTAGATGAAGCTGTTGCTTACGGTGCAGCCGTTCAAGCTGCAATCCTTAATGGTGGTAAGGATGAAACAGTTGAAGATTTATTACTTCTTGATGTAACTCCACTATCTCTTGGTATTGAAACTGCTGGTGGAGTAAAGACTACATTGGTTAAGAGAAACACCAACATTCCAACTAAAACATTTCAAATATTTATTGCTAACTCGGATAATCAGCCTGGTGTGCTAATTCAAGTATACGAAGGTGAAAGAGCAATGACCAAAGATAACAATCTTTGGGTAAATTTGAATTGACTGGTCCTCGAAGTGTTCCAAAATCGCAGTTACCTTCGATATTGATGCTAATGGTATATTAAATGTATCGGCAGTTGATAGGAGTACCGGCCAAGAAAACAAAAGCACCATCACCAATGATGAAGGACGTCTTTCTAATGAACAAATTGAAAAGATTACGAAGCTGAAAATATGAAGAAGATGATGAAAAAGTTAAAGAACGAGCTGCTGTTAAGAATGGTCTAGAAAGTTATGCATTCAGTACGAAACAGAATATGGAAGAGCCTTACATCAAAGATAAAGTGCCTTAAGACCGCAAAAAGGTAGCTGGCAATTGATCAAGTTTTAAAATGGTTAGATGCTAATCAATTATCAGAGAAGGAAGAATTCGATTTTGAACAAAAAGAATTACAAGAACTTTGTAATCCAATCATTACTAAAATGTATCAAGGTGCCAGTGTAGCTCCAAAATCAGGGTGAACTGTTGGACTAACTGAAGTTGATTAGATCTGTGGCTTTTTTAGGCTTTCATTTTTTACATGGATTTCAATGTTTTCATTTACTTTTCACAGAAAATTGCTTGTCAAATGTCGCTTAAAATTTAAAAATATGTTCATTTGAATCCAAACTAAACGCACAGTTATTTATTGATTTCATTGTTGATTAAATAACTCTTGAATTAATTTTTTGTCTCTTTATTTCGTGCATTGAATTTAAAGAAACCGCAAAAAATTAAGACTTTTTAAACTTAATCATACGTCGATTAAGCAGCGGCAAAAAAATATTCCAACTGTAAACTGCCACGAGTAACAAAACCCTCCCATTGTTGTTGGCAAAATTCAATTCTAGATTTTTCAAGTTTGCCGGAATCACCAACCTTCAAATCATAGCTGATAATTCTTCAGATAATGGTTTCCATTCGGTTCCACCATGCTTAGGAGGATAACTGTAAGAAACAAAATTATTTTCTTTTGAATATTAAATACAATAAATCTTGGTAACAAAAATTGACAAAATTAAATTAACTCACCCAAATTCACCAAAATATTTTCACCATTCCACGTCTCAAATCATCATCTTTTCGTGAATAGCCTGGTGCAACCAAAGGATAACCATAAACATTAGGAAGTTCAGCACCATGACAAGTACCCATCCAAGGAGTTACCTCCACTCTTATTAGCTTTTAATGCGTATTTCAAACCAAAAATATAAGTTGGACAAAGTAAATTTGAATCACTGTAAGCCTTTTCAATTTGAGATCTTAAATAATTTGAATCATTGGTTGGAGGACCAAAATACAGTTTGCGGTATAAGTCTAGTGATTCTCTTTGGAAAATAAGGGAAAGATAGACAAGCGCGTTTTGGTAGTCCAGTGGAGCCGGTACTAGTGGATTGCATTGTTTTGAATCAAGAGCTGTCATGAAGATGGAGAACTCGTTTTTCCATTACCAAGCAAGAGGCCGAACGCATTATCGAACAAGCCTTCTGAACCTAAGAAGCCCATCTGATTGGTTATCAATGATTTCGGACACGGGGAGTCCTTGAGACATTTAAGGATGTCAGTTGTGTTGGCACATGAGGTTCGGTTGAGTACAATAAAGGCAATCTAAATCATCTCTTGGGTTCATAATTATTCCTGACTCAAGGATTGCTCGTTTGAATAAACCTTTGGATAGAGGTGATAAAATATGTGCTGAAACTGACATGAACCTGCAGATTCCCCGAAAATTTACACCTAATCAGGATCACCACCGAATTTAGAGAAATTTAAAGAAAAATGTGCAATCGATTTAAAAGTGAATTCAACTTTCAATTGATGGCTTTATAACAAAAACTTGTCTCTATTAAGGAAATTGAATATTTTCAAACAGTTAGTCCATTTGGAATGAATTGTTGAGGGAATTTGAAAGTGATTAGAGACAAGTTTAACCTCCATCTTAGTTGTCATGAATAAAAAGATTAGCTGAAGATGATTAGATAATGAGATGCAAAAAGGCTGAGTAAAAGCATAAAAGCAGTTGATGGTTAAATTGAATAAAGCTTGTATTATGGTGAAAATATCGAGTTTATGATAAAAGTTAAATTTAAGGAAACGTATAAAAATAATTTGATATGTATTGAGAATTAACCAGAGAGAGATGATGATAAACCCAAAAAGAGAGAGAAAGAAAGACTAGAAATGGTTGTGAAGGTCCCAAAGAAAGTAAGTGTTGTGTTATGATGAAGAAAAGAAAGAGAAAGAAGAGAAAGACTGGGATGGAAGATTGACTAAAAAATCGATAATCTAACCTCTCGCTGTTAGGTTTTTGGTTCAAGAGTGGTTCTCATTATTATCATCAGTAGTATTGTTCAAGCTCTCTCACTCTCTCTTTCTCTATATCTTCATATATCATCCATGGTCTCTTTATTTCTCTGTCTTCATCATCTCAAATCTGTCTTCTTTCCCTTGGTTAACAACTTAGACTATAAGAAAATAAGTGTTGATATTTATTTATTGGGATTTAAACTGATATACATTTTGGCTTTCCTTTTGTTTCCAATCCTGATCCTTTAACCAGAATAGTAACACTTTTCAACTCATCATCTATCCATTACTGCGTAAGTTAACCTTTAATTTATATCTCAACCTAAACCCATTTTTAATTTTTTCACCTCCATTAACACACATTAGTTATTATCTAAAAATAATCTCCATCCCAGGAACCATTCCATGTTCAACTACATCCCTACTGAACCTCTAACAATCTGTCTTTCTTGCCTTTCGATTCCTCTCCCAATAACTCCTCATTATTGACCTTTCTCTCTATTTTTGACCATTTTTTGTACATATTCATGATTAGCCCCTACTTACCACTTACCTACCCAATTTACCTTTCTTAATTATCTTCATTATCTATTGTTTTCTAATTGATTTTATTATTTCTATCCATGTACGAGATTCAACAATTTAACCTCTAAACCTCACTCCATCTTCAACTCATTGCTTTCACTTTTCTTGTTACATTTCAATTCTGTTTCTCCGTTTTTGTTTTGATTATTGCAAATTCTGCTTATCATTTATATTATGTTATAATGCTTTTTATTAATTTCAAATCCATGTAATTATGTAAACTATTCATTATTTTTATTATTATTAAGTTTATATTAATAAATCCTGGAATCAAATTGTATTAAAATCTGTTTCTTTCTTCTATCCTTTCTCCATATTTATCTTTCTCTTTCTCTCTTTCTTTGTTTGATCTTCTGCCTCTCTGTTTATTCCGGTTGATCGATTTTATTTTTTTTATACTTTCATTTTTATTTAATAAAACCTATTTATACCCAATTTATTATTTGATTAAGTTATGTTTATAACCTGCAATTGATATTTGATAAAACCAAGAGTTTATTTTTAAATCTAGTGATTATCGTTTGGTATAATTTCAGATGAAAACAAATCTGCTTCATTGTATTTACTTTGGCAATCAATACTCGTCTTTGGGATCCATTTGCTCGTCATAGGCTCTCTTCAGTCTACAAATTAACCAAATTGTATTGATTTTAAATCAATTTATTCTTCAGTGATTAACCTATTGAAAGTGGAAAATTTAACTCTATTGTATCAAACTGTATATTGGCCATTCGACTTATAAATGCAATAGGCGATTGTATGCCCTTTCCAGACGAGTGTAAACCGATTCAGTTTAACCAGCTGATTAACCTAGATTGTACGCTTGTTTGGACTAATTGTGATATTTATGATGGTCAAGCCAATGATTTGGGAAGCTGTTTTGAAACAAAAGTCCTGATGTACAATCACCTTGTTGTTCCAGTTGTTGATAAACTCGATTATTCAAACTCATCGCCATTAAACTGGTTAACGGTTTACCCTAAGGATAAGCAGCTAAACCTTTCATTTGTAGTGAATTGGATTGGGAAGGAGAACCAAGACGAAGAAGACAAAGAAATTGGTAAATTCAATCTTATTGAAGATCAATTTTGACGACAATGAACAATCTAGATGAAGATGTTAGTTGTTTAAGTTCAAGTAGTCTAGTAGAGAATGAGGTGATTGTTATAAATGGTAAAATCAAGCCCATCAGTTTATCTGACTCCTGCAGTATTAAATTGGAAGATTCTGGGAGTGTTGTTGATCAAAATCACCATCACTCATCTCATACCATAATCAATCAACATTCCGGACTTGGTTTGATTTCAACTAGTCAACAATTTCGCCGCAATTCTCACCTTACCCTTGCAAGTGATTTCATTACCGATTCCAACAATAATCATGCTAACCTAAATTCAACCCTCATCCATACCAATAATAGTAATAATAATAGTAATAATATAATCAGTAATAATAATCTCCACAATAATAGTAGTAATAATAATAGTGTTATTGGCCAGTCAAATGGTAAAGTAAGCGTGCAATACATTAATGTCTCTTATCATCCGACCACTGGTTTGTCAAATTGTTCAACGGTTACATCTAATCCTGCTGTTTCAACATTAGTATCATCATCGTCATCAAATTACAAAAATGATGGTCCAATGTTGCATCCATCGACAATTAAATTGGAACCTCTTGATATTTCAGATAAGGTGGGCTTCAATTCAATTACAACCACAACAGTCACAACCACGTCTAATTCATCCATTAAATTGGAATCATCGTCACCCTGTGAAACCAACAAAGGATCTTCATCTCATTTAGACGATTGTTTCATCTCTTGTCCAGTCGTAGTTGATGATTTAGAGGTTAACTCTTCAGTCGTTAAAGCAAACCTCTCTCTGTCTCATTCCCATCACAGCCTCAACTCACATCTTCACCACCATTCACACCACCATCACCACTCTCACCATACAAACCATCAAAGAATCTTAATCAGTCCAACCGATTTCCTAAGCTTAAACGAAGAGCCGTCATCAGTTGTTTCCGCAGTCAAGAAGGATGTTAACCTGTCAACAAGTCGTTTAGAGATAATTAAAAAGTCAAATGATACTCATGAGTTAACCGTTAGCTTGGATCGTTATTGTGAATCGCCGTTTCTCATTGATTCTCATCGAGAAATCCATTTGATTAGTGATGATGATGCCTCCAATACAGAGCGAGCATCCCGCTTATCAGAGACTCATGAAGAGATAGCACCTGAAGACCTTTTTGCTTCAACATTGGCTGATGATCAACATAACGTGATTAGAGAAGTAGTTATAACACCCATTGAGTCTGATACCAATTCCCGTGCAACACCCACAGCATTAATTATAACCAAAACCTCTTCATCGTCATGTTTACACTCTCCTATTGCTTGTCCATCTCCGTCACTCTCATCTTCAGCGCTTTCGTCAGTTTCATCCTCAATTTCCTCCTCTTCTCCATCCCTATTAACTTCAACTACAGTTACCGATGGACTTTGCCATAATGTTCCGGTAACATCAACTTCAATGATAAATGGATTCGACTTGGCTTTGGTTAAAGAGGAAAAATTTGACGAAGAAAGTGTTGAACAAATGATTGTTGAAGATGGAACAGTTGACAATGATCCGATAATAGTGAACGGCATTGTAAACGATGATGATGATGTTGATCTATTAAACAATGAATCTCGATCAGCGTCCACATCTACTGTAACTACTTTTAGTGTTCTCAATACACTTCACAATAACAGCTCAATTAGGTTAACTCCTGAAGAGACTAGTTCCTCTTTGGAACTACGTACAACTTCACTTACCGATAAAATTACCACCATTCCATTACAATCATCGTCCTCTTCATCATCCTCTTCTCTCACCTCATCATCACCACCCAATTTAATGGTCCAAATACCTTCTTTCTCTCACTTTGGAAAACAACAAACCTCTGGTTCTAATTCTGGTTCTTCACTTGTTCAAATCACTCTTCCACCAACTCCAACCTCATCAATAGCCACAACTCCACCTACACCAACATCAACTTGCTTAACTCCCATTTTATCCTCTAGTAACTCTGTTGGACTGACATCATCTTCACCACCCTCATCACTGTCATCCTCTTCACCCTCTTCTACTTCGACTGGTCTTATTCCTATTACAACATCTTCATCTACATTATCTTCAACTAGTCCAGTGAACAAATGCAAAAGTAACCTCATCAACAGTAACAATCCTGCTAATCAAAATGCATCATCTTCTTCCAATTCATCAACTTCATCATCATCTTCACCACTCTCTTCAACATCTTCTACCGCAAATGTAACCCTTCCTTTGACTCCTTTAGATATCAAAATACTTCCCGGAGGTTTGTTACAATTTGCAGCCAATGTCGCAGCTGTTTTCCCTTCCTCCACAATCCTTCAAAAACAATTAGCCCTGCAGTTGCTTCGAGAAGATGGAACCTCAATCATACTGCCTCTAACTACTAGAAGTGGCGATTCGAACAGTACAACCATTAATTCAGCATTTTCCGCTAACTCTGGCAACTCTGGTAACACTGGATCTGCAACTAGTACTGTTAATCACAGTATGCAAACTAATAGCAATACGAAGACTACTACTGTGTCAGTATTGGGAAACAGTTCAGCAACTATTGGAGGTGCAAGAAGCGGAGGAATCGTGGTTGCAAGTTTGGGCAGTGGAGGAGGAAACCTGACTGAAACAATACCTTCAATTTCAACTAGTCATATTTCGCTGTCGAATGAGCGTCTCGAACAAACCCAGCAACAGACAATTGTTGCAACAACAATTAGAGATCCAATCAACAGTACTAAATTGTTGACATCTACTGAAACTGGCCAAAATCCTGAAATCGATCGACCTTTCAAATGTGAATTGTGCAATTCAACCTTTACCCGGCTTGGTAATTATACCAGACACAAGAAAATCCATTCTCTCCCTTCAAAGGCAAGTTAAAAATAAGCCATAAAATTGTCTAGATAAAGTAACCAACATCATACTAATTAATTTACTAAATCATAATTTTCTTTACCCAACAATCAAACAACAAGTTAACATTCACCATCATTTATATCATTTTGATTATAATTTGGTCATCACTTTCCATAGGAAAAGGTTATAATTTTAGTCTTATAAAACATTTTTCTTATCTTTTTCAATCTACAGGAAGATCAGAGGTTTCGATGCGATATTTGCGGTAAATCTTTCATTCAAAGATGTGATCTTGCCCGCCACTTACATATTCATCGTGGCACTGAGCCTCATCGATGTTCCCAATGTGGGAAGGGTTATATTAGGCACAGTGATTTAGTTACACATCAACGATTCCACAATAAAGAGAAACCCTTTGCATGTCCTCATTGTTCAAAAGGATTTTGCCAAAGAGGTGAGTTAATTAACAGACTTCACTTTATCTCTCATTGTTTCTCTTTCCTATTCAATCAATACATCTTGCAGCCTTTTAGCAATCAATTATTTCCTACAATCTTGACGACCTTCCATGTAACAATTTTCTTAGTCAATAAAAGCTTACATGTATTGATGATCTGCAGTCAATGAATATATTGAATAGCACATTGTATTGATGTTAACAATTGATTAATTCATTCTTTCTTAAACTCTATTTTTTTATCTTCGCAGGAGATCTTAATCGCCATCTTCGTTCAATCCACTTGCAACTCAAGCCAATCCTTTGTTCACATTGTCATAAAAAGTTCGCCAAAGAGGAAACACTTTTACGCCACATTAATGCCAATCATAGGGATACCGTGGTTACTTAGTTAACCATTTAAACCTTAATTTTTCTTGCCTATTTTTCAATGTATAACTTCGTGCGACACAAACATATCTTTTCTTCTTCGATTAACTTAACAATTTATTTTAACTTTTGACCTTCTCTTTCTCTGGACATTCCAATCGAACATTCGGAATTCAATTTTACTCTCAACAAAACGTAACCTTAACTCTTTCATTCAATCCTTTCCTTCTAATTTGGAAACTCTCAAATGTTGTTAAAAACAAAATTGTGTTTCTCATCTTTTACTTCCTTTCTCTTTCATACTCTTTGTCTAACTCTTTTTATAGATTAATCAGTTTTTTGGCCCTGTTTTGCAATTAAAATTCACCAAAAATGAAACTTACATTTGTTAGCCATTTAAATTTAATGGTAAATAATCTGATCAAAATGATCTCAATCAATAACCGAGTCGAGTTGGCTACGTGCCATGAACACAATGTATACAATATGAGATAAAATACAAGGAATAGGATAATTAAATTGGAATACAATCAAAATATAGTAACTTTGGTTGGTTTTTTATTTTTTGTTTTATTCATAATGAAAATTGGAAATTTTGGGTTCAAGCTGAAGTACCATTTCAAAAATAATTAATATTACATTCCAATTTCATGAAATAATTTACATATTTGAAGACTTTAGTCGTTAGAAAATTAATTTACTTTTAATCTCTTTATTGGTACACGCAATTAGTTACTTTGTATTTAAACTGGCACTATCTTCAATAAAAGCTAAAACCTAAAATGCCGCGTTAAAACAGCTGTTTCTCATGTGTGTTTTTGTTTTTTTTGCAATCATGGATGTTGACGATTTGTCTCTTTCATTTGAAAATGTTAATTACGTGCCCGTCTCAGGTTTTGATTATGATTTCTCAAAACCGCTAATACAACTCAAGTCAGTTACAAAACCATATCAATCACCAAAAAATTACTTAAAAGGATGTAAGTGGTCTACCGATGGATCATGTTTCTTAACCAATAGTGAAGACAAAGTGTTGAGGATTTACAATCTACCCAATGAAATTTATTCAACTCCGTTGGATGAGATAAAATGTAGTGCTGATGAGCAACAATCAGCAATTTCACCAGTATTAGAGATGAAATCAAATGAACTGATCTATGATTATGCTTGGTTTCCCATGATGAATTCACTTGACCCTACAACATGTTTCTTTCTCACCACAACTCGAGATAATCCAATTCATCTTTGGGATGCTTATACTGGGAAAATCGCTGCTGTCTATAAATCTTACAATCATCTTGATGAAATTGTATCAGCTTATTCTGTTTGTTTTAGTCCAGATGGAGAAAAAATTTACGCTGGTTTCAAAAAAGGAATTCGCGTTTTCAACACACGCAATCCTGGCCGAGATTGTGAAGAAAGATTGACCTATGTTGATGGAGGTGGACAACATGGTATTATCTCGTGTATAACTGTTAATCCTGTTCGACCAGAAATTTATGCAGCTGGTTCTTACTCGAAGCAGATAGGTCTTTATGAAGAACCAACTGGTGAACCAATTTGTATATTAGAAGGCCAACGAGGAGGCTTAACTCATTTAATGTTTTCACCTGATGGAACCAGATTGTACAGTGGAGCTCGAAGAGATGGAGAAATCCTTTGTTGGGATATGCGAAAATTAAGCACTATCTTGTTTACAATGAAAAGGACCGTAACAACACATCAAAGAGTGTACTTTGATATTTCCTCTGATGGCAATTTATTGGTTTCTGGTAGTGATGATGGAATGGTTATATTTTGGAATACAAATCAACTTGATAACAAACAAAATGGATACCTTGAGCCAATTAAAAAAACTGAAGCCCACAATGAAAGTGTCAATGGAGTTAGTTTACATCCAACTCTCCCATTAATGGTTACTTCATCTGGTCAGCGGAGATTACCAGAAACTACTGAATCAGATGATGAAGACCATCATTTTGTTTCATCAGTGAATTTCGATAATTCTGCTAAAATTTGGATGATTCCGATTGTATCAATCACAGAGGACGATGAAGTGGACAACCCAGAAGTTACAAATGATTTTAAAGAAAATGAATCGACGGATGATATTAAAAATTCTTAACTTTATGATTCAACTCCTAATTTCACGATTTTCTTTGCCATTCTCGATCATTTCCATCAATCTTTTAACATCATAAAAAATAAAAAATCCTTCTTGGACAAAGTCTCATAAGTCAAATGACTTGGGTTCAATAGGTTGTAGCATCGATTTGTTGACTTGCAAAATTCTATCGATATGCTGAAAATCAAAATACAAAAGTTAAGTTAGAATTGAATTTGAAAGAACATTTATGTATTAATAATAACGAATAAGTAAATTACCGTTTCCGTGTTCCCTATTGCATGTTCATGGTTGGCAAATGTTTTAGTACATTGGGACAGTAACTATGAAGGTAAAAAGTATAAATGTGAGCTTTTAATAAAAATAGTATCAATAGTTAGCTTAAATGAAAAATACTTTAATTATAAAACATTTTAATCACTGATAAAACTAATAAGACTCACTTAAACTGAATAACATGAGATGAAGGAATATTATTTGGGTGTAAATATTTGAGATACAACATTGACAAACAGTAATCTTTGTCAAACGTTGGCAGTTACAGTGAAATTTGGAAAATTATTTTAAATTCAGTAATAGTGATCCATTAAACAATAAACCCTGTAAATAGATATAAATGGTGTATATTTACCTCAGGTGTTTTCGATCCTCTGACAATTTGACGGACCAGCGAACCCCAATTGTTGATATTTCCATTTAATCTTTCAATCAGTCGTTTCTTAGTTTCAATAAAAAGAGCACGAGTATCATTTGAACTCATAATTATAATAAAAAAAGTGTTGTGAATAAAATTAAAAGATAGATTTAAATAAGAAGATTGGAGATCCAAATGCTTTGAGTCAAAACTGCCTTGTTTATACTTTACAGCTGATTAACTTGTCAAATGCATCTGAAAGCGGTTGTTTGAAACTTATTTCAACCTTCATTAAAAAGATCGCTTTTGACATTTCGCAAATCTCCGTTTCGATTTTAAGATAAAAAAGTACTTGAAATTAATTAAAAGGAGATATAACCCTTTTAATTTCTGATTTAATTCTGATTTCTCTTTTCAAAAAAAACAAATTAATCTCCAGCTTCCAATTTAAACATTTAATTTTCTATTTAGTCTTAGCTGAATTCATTAGACGAAACTTATGATTTAGAATAGATCTTGGAATTAATTTTCTTTTTTTATCAAATAGATCGGCATGATTAATGAATTAACCGTATTTTAAATTGTTTAAAAAATTTTCTTTCTATTTCATAATAACCGCGCTTTTAGGTAACAGTTTTTACCAAACCTTTTTCTCTCTTTACTCACTAATCGTTTAAGCAAAACATTCAACTCGTCAAAAATCCCTTAAGGTGAGATTATACTTTTCATTTAATTAATTCTGCTATCTTTATTGTATTAATGTTTGGCTAATCTAATGAATTGTTAATTTCTTGTTCCTTGTGTTTGAGTTAAAGTTAAATTAACAACAACCTTATTCCATAGAAACCATCTCCAATTCAACCCGGACTTGCTTTATTTTTTGTTTATGTTTACATTGAACAACAACTAATCTATTTCATTCTCTATTTTCCACTTTCTTATTATTTCTTCTTATCGATTATATTGTTGTTATTAAGATTACATTTTTATCACTGGTCAGACTAAAATGAGTGGAAGCAGCATTAAAAACCGTTCAATAACGTCTACTCAAAGACTGAAACGAGACTATTTAAAGATTTTGAAAGATCCTGTTCCTTATGTATCTGCTCACCCTCTTCCTGATAATATTTTAGAGTGGAATTATGTTATCCGTGGACCTGAAGGAACACCTTATGAAAATGGTATCTATCATGGTAAACTGCGATTCCCAGCTGACTTTCCGTTTAAGCCACCAACTATTTTAATGTTAACTCCCAGTGGACGTTTCAAGTGTAACACTCGACTGTGTTTATCTATATCGGATTTTCATCCAAACACATGGAACCCTACCTGGAGTGCTTCAACAATTTTGACCGGCTTATTGAGCTTCATGTTAGAAAAAAATCCAACCATGGGCAGCATTGATACACCAGATTGGAAGAAAAGATGTTTAGCCAGGGAAAGCTGGGCATTCAATTTAAATAACAACGAATTCTGCCAATTATTTCCAGAGCTTGCAGAAGAGGCGCGTGAACGTATCCAAAAAGAACAGCAGCAACAATCTGCTGACGCCCTAACCTCAGTCTCTGAACGAGTTGCTGGTTTAAGAAGTTCAATTGGATCAACTGCGGCAGGATTAAGAGCTGAAAATGGTTCCCTTACCGGTGCCTTGACCAATATCGGAGTTGTAATAGGTTTTATTGCATTTATTTATACTGCCAGATATGTTTTAAGAGCTTTAAGTGCAGCTGACCATGATCCGTCCTCCTAATTGTTATCTACTGTTATTCCAATTCTTACTTCTCAGTTCTATTCATCTCTTCCCACAGTCTAACCTTTGCCTTTTATTTTCTCATATTGCCTTCGTTTTCCTTCCTTTACAACGGTGTCATCTTTCTTTCTGTTAATTGTTTTGTTCATCGCACTTTGTTTTCTTCTCAATTTTACTGTGTATCATTATTGTTTTCATGTGGTTATTACCAACTCCTTTACCCTCAACCCCCGTGAAAATATTTGTTACTGAAGAAAAAGTTATTCAAAAAATGAATTATATCCACAAAACTATATGATCATTAAAATATGAGTAAATAAAAAAGTCAAGTAAAACACTCTACTTCACCATGGAGATGAGACAAAATCATAACAAAACTATTAGAGTGTCGAACACTTAAGTACATTAAATTTTTGTCTATCAAATTATTTCAACTTTCAATAATTATTTACAATTGGAAATGAATGTCAGAATATCCAGTGGAAGGATTAAACAGGGTGATTACACCAGACAAGTTTATACATGGATTAAATTTGGTAAATATGACAGTTGAATTTTATCAGTCCATTTAGCAATTACGTTTTGAATTATTTTACATAAATCTAGTGTAAACTTACCAAAGACATTGAAATTAGTTGCAATTTTGTAATTGTTCATTTCATTTTGCACTGGATTTCATCAATCATCGGTGAAAAATAAGCTAAAATCATTCAAGAAACCTTGAAATCAACAAGCAATATAATTCATAATTTTGATTTTCTGGTTATTTCGATTCTTTCTTTCAGGTCAATACAAAGAGGCAATTAGTTTCCTGACTGAACAATCATTAATAAATCACAATTCCCGAGAAGCGCTTTCATTACTTGGTTATTGTTTCTACATGATTCAAGATTTTGCTAATGCTGCTCTGAGTTACGAATCTTTGAGCTCACTTTATCCAGATAATGATAATTACAAGCTTAATTATGCTCGATCACTCTACCAATTATGTAGCTTTGATGATGCCTTACGAGTAACTTTAACCATTGACAATAGAAGCACAATGATTGAGAAAGGACAATTGGTTAAACTACAATCAGTGATAAAATATGGACAAGATGATTTAACAGCAGCGCGTTCATTAATAGATCAATTGGCAGCTGATGATCCGGATCGTGAAGTTAACCAAGGTTGTGTTTTATACAAAGAGTCTCGGTACGAAGAAGCATTGACTAAATTTCTTAATGGTTTAACCATCGAAGGCTATAAACCTGATTTATCATACAATGTTGCTTTGTGTTACTACCAACTCAAACAATATCCTCTGGCAATGAAATATATTGGTGATATAATAGAAAAAGGTAAGAATCGGTTAAAAAATATTAAAGTTAAAATTTACTGTTGATTTGGCCGTATTTAGGTATTCGAGATCACCCTGAATTGAGTGTCGGAATGACTACTGAAGGAATTGAGGTTCGATCGGTTGGGAACACAATTACTTTACATGAAACTGCTCTGGTTGAAGCATTCAATTTAAAAGCCGCAATTGAATATCAAAATAAAAACATGGCAGCTGCTCAAGAAGCGTTAACTGATATGCCACCTCGATCCGAAGAAGAGCTTGATGCCGTTACTCTCCACAATTCAGCTTTAATGTCCATTGATATTGATCCAGCCGAAGGTTTTGAAAAATTACAATTTTTAATCCAACAGAATCCATTTCCACACGAAACCTTTGCCAACCTGTTATTGCTCTACTGTAAATATGAATATTATGATTTAGCGGCTGATGTTATGGCTGAAAATGCTCATTTTACATACAAATATCTAACTCCTTATTTATACGAGTTTCTTGATGCTCTAATAACCCAACAGACGTCACCTGAAGAAGCTTACAGAAAGTTTGATGAAATGTCGGCTAAGCACAGCGATCTATTGAGGAAGCTATCCAAACAAATCCAAGAAGCCAAGGTTAATCCAATGAGTGATGAGAATGTGATAAAGAAGTTGAATTATGAATATGATAAAGCTTTGGACAGCTTTATGCCAGTTCTCATGGCTCAGGCAAGAATCTACTGGGACATGGAAGCTTACTCACAAGTCGAAAAGGTTTTCCGTAAATCTGTTGAATTCTGTAACGATAATGATATTTGGAAATTAAATGTTGCTCATGTTTTGTTTATGCAGGTAAAAATAGTTTAAAATCAAATGTATTTTTTAAGCTCTAAAAAGTGGGATCTAAAGCTAATTATTTGCTGTTTTTTACTTACAGGAAAACAAATTCAAAGAAGCAACCGGATTTTATGAGCCTTTGGTCAAGAAAAAATATGATAACATCCTGAATGTTAGCGCAATTGTTTTAGCCAATTTATGTGTCTCTTATATAATGACTGGTCAAAATGAGAATGCTGAAGAGTTGATGAGGAAGATCGAGAAAGAGGAAGAGCAATTGGCTTATTCTGAACCAGATAGGAAAATATTTCATCTTTGCATTGTAAACCTGGTCATAGGTACTTTATACTGTGCTAAGGGTAATTACGAGTTTGGTATCTCTCGAGTTATTAAAAGTTTGGAGCCATTCAACAAGAAACTGGGAACAGATACTTGGTTTTATGCTAAAAGATGTTTCCTTTCATTGCTGGAAAATATGGCCAAACAGATTATTGTAATGAAAGATTCATTTCTTCAGGAGTGTCTAACTTTTTTAACCAACATCGAAGAGCATGGGACTCGAATTAAAGCAATCATTGAGCCTCCATTAGAGCTCGAGACTTTACATCCAGGTAAAAATACAGTCACTTATGAAGCTAGATTATTGAAATGTCTTTTGCTTCAAATAATGTAACTGTATATTGACACTTTCCTGCTTAGAGAGGCTAGTTGGCTTCGCTAATCCAATTCAAATAACATGTTGATCCGTCTTTAGTTCACAATCTTTTTAAGGATTCCCTGCAATCAGAATAAAAAATATATTAAAATATGTAATCATTGTCAAATTAAATATGTTTACATTGAATAATCTCTTTTTTCTCATTTCAATTCAACTTTACTCCAGTAAAATAATCTAATTAAGCTGATCATTTCAACTGGAATGGTGAATTGATAAAGATGAAGAGAGTGCAATAATAAATCGAGAAAATAAGCTAATCAAATACGAAATAAAAGTTAGTTGAAAGTCAAATTGATTCAAAGACCTCTATTGAACAATCTTTAGTACAATTCTGTAATTCAATCGAAAGAAAAGTCATCCAAAATGTAAACAAAAAAATAGTTGTAAAGTAGCTTTTGTACATTTCAAGACATCGAAGTTTAGACATCGAGTTGATAGTCGATTCTTATGTAACATTAGTCGGAATTGGCATGAAAATTTCCATCAGATTAAAGGACAAATAAAACGAAATCCTATTATAAAGAGTGAAAATTCAACTATCAATTGTATCGATAGATTGTTAAATCTGCCACAAAAATCGGACAAAATTTTAAGCATTCACAATATTTATGAAAATTAAATGAAATAATTTCGTTCGTTGCTCATGCGATGATGTAAAATAAATCAATTTTGATGAAATTTATGTAATACATGTAATATTGATTTCAAATCATAATTTGTTTAGTTTGTGATTTTAGTTAATTTGTGACTTTTTGGATCCTCCAAAATAGTGGTGTTGAACTTAAAGCAAGTTGAACAAAATGAGGCAAGGAAAGTCGGATGAGATACTCTGAGATTTTCTGATGTAAACTTCCTTAGAGATATTGATAATACTCACTCTGGATAGCAAAAGGGGCATCAAAATCTGTAAATAACAGTTTCTTTCAAGTATTATTTGAAATGAAAACAGCCGATCCCACTTGAGTAAAAGTTGAAGTTGACAGTTGAATTACAGGTTAGAGTAAGCTTGTTGCATCATTACAGATGATTTTTGTTGCCTATTTCACCAATTCAAATTGAAACATGTTCATGAATAAAACATGGAACTAAGTGGCAAGTCTTACTAAAATGCAAAACGGTAAATTTTGAACCTGAAAAACGCAGCTATTTAAAATGAAACACAAGTGCAAACAAGATCATTGAAATTGCTCTTGATTTGTAACACAGAATTTTGAATTTTTAATTCAAAATGTAGTTTTTTGTTAATAGGCGGCGCTTACAAAGAGAAAGGCTTTCCCCTTAATTCAGGGGAAAGAAAAAGCGTTGCATTAAAAATTAGCTTAAATCTGATTGAAATGACTCGCTATTTGATTGTTCAATTATGTCAATATGTTTTAATGATTTGTTGATAGATTCAAGTTGACACTGCCATCAATCTAATCCATTTAACCTCTGCAAAAATATTCAACTTTAACTGTTTTTTTCACTTTGATTTACTCTTTGGTGATTTCCGTATCCTTTTATTTCTTTCCCCTCTTCGTTTTCCTCTGACTAAACTGAGAGACTAAAGACTCCTCTTTCAAATCTTATGTCCTTGCTCAGACTTAAATCGCCTTTTCTGTTGTGTTTTTTGTTTCTTTTTTATTCTAAATCAATTACTGTGTTATTTACTTGAACAATTGTTATCTAATTATTAGATTAATTACCTTTTTGATCTCACTCTTGTTATTCCCTACAAACACATTCTCTCCTAATACTACATAACTCTCAGTGTTTTCATTTCATCTGTCTTGTTCTTCATTCTTTCCTCTCTATCTCTTTCTCTCTCTTTCTCTTTCTCTTTTTTCTGCTTCAATTTCTTTGTTCACATCCTTTCAAATGTCTGCTGCATCTAATCTTGCTCCACACCGTCAGCGGTACAAAAATGCTGCTTTGGATGCCCAAGAGTTGAGACGACGTCGTGAAGAAGAAGGTGTCCAACTTAGAAAGCAAAAACGAGAAACAGAATTACGTAAGAGACGAAACCTTGATGACAGCGCCTTAGATGATGATTCTGTACCAGGAACCGATACTGGTAACCAATCTGGCCAAGTATCTACCATTACACAAGAAATGATTGAATCCCTTTACAGTGATAATGTTGCAGCACAACTTCAGGCAACCCAGAATTATAGGAAATTATTATCAAAAGGTAATTGCATTAAATTCTTATGGTATTGACATGAGTTTATTACGCATTATAAACAGCACGTTGGTTAGTTCGGGCTATTATCTTTTGGTTTCTAATCTTGTTTTCAAAATTTTACAGAGCCTAATCCACCAATTGATGAAATTATAAACACTGGAATCGTACCTAAATTTGTAGAGTTTTTAAGAAGAGATGATAATCCCACACTTCAGTTTGAAGCTGCATGGGCATTAACCAACATTGCCTCTGGAACCTCATCTCAAACACGAAAAGTTATCGAAGCCGGCGCGGTCCCTGTTTTCATTCATTTATTGTCATCAAATAATGAAGATGTTCAAGAGCAAGCAGTTTGGGCTCTTGGAAATATTGCCGGTGATAGTCCAGATTGTCGTGATTTCGTTCTGAATAATGGAGTCCTACCACCTTTGTTAAAACTTTTAGGTTCATCTACTCGTCTATCAATGACCAGGAATGCCGTTTGGACACTCTCCAACCTTTGTCGCGGAAAGAGCCCTTTCCCTAATTTCGAGCAAGTATCACCTTGCTTACCAGTGTTATCCCGTCTTCTTTATCATAATGACTCGGATGTGTTAGCAGATGCCTGTTGGGCTCTATCATATCTTAGTGATGGTCCTAACGAAAAAATTCAAGCAGTAATTGACTCTGGAGTCTGTCGTAGACTTGTTGAGCTTTTGCTACATTCTAGCCAAGCCGTCGTCTCTGCTGCTCTCAGAGCAGTAGGTAACATAGTTACTGGAGACGATTTACAAACTCAAATTATATTGAACTGTAATGCCCTGCCTTATCTTAAAGATCTTTTATCCTCTACTAAAGAGACTATTCGCAAAGAAGCATGTTGGACGATATCTAATATCACAGCTGGTAATAGGCAGCAAATTCAAGCAGTTGTTAAAGCAGATATATTTCCAATTCTGATTGACTTGCTACAAAATGCTGATTTTAAAATCAGAAAAGAAGCAGCTTGGGCCATCACAAATGCTACCTCAGGAGGCTCACCTGAACAAGTTAAATACCTCGTTGAACTTGGATGTATCCCGCCCATGTGTGAGCTTTTGGGGGTATCAGATGCCAAGACTATTCAAGTTGCGCTTAATGGACTCGAAAACATTCTCAAATTCGGTGAGCCCCATGTCAAAACAAACCCAGGAGCAGTTAATCCATATGCAAATATCATAGAAGAATGTTTTGGTAAGTTTACTTTGGCTTATTTTTTATTTTAGGTTTACCTTTAAATTTTTACCACTCTAACTCTCTGTCTATTTGTATAATTTTTCAGGCCTTGACAAAATCGAGTTCCTTCAATCGCATGAAAATGTTGACATCTACCAAAAGGCATATGACATAATTGAAAAATTCTTCGGAACAGAAGATGAAGAAGCAGCCATTAAACCTGAAGTCGATACTGATAATCATCAATTCCGATTTGGAGCTCCAGATGATCCAAATGCAGCAACCGGTGGTCAACCTTTCACTTTCTAATTCTCCCTCATCATCTAACAATCTTAATAAACCTGAAATGAAACGTTTAAGTAAAAATGTATTTTATGATTTTAATGATGAAATGAATTAAAAGTGAAATGAAAGATTCATTTCTTCAAGAGTATCTAAAATTTTTAACTAATACGGAGAGTAAAACAGATGCTCCAAATTAAAACAATCGTCCATTCAACCTCCACCAAAGTTAAAGATTTTACATGCAGGAGAAAATAAATGGAAAAACGATTATAAAGCTTACCTGTTTGCGATGAATAGTTGACTTTGTTACATTAATTTTGTTTACTTGTTGATCAAAAAATTCTTTTCTTCTAAGCTTGTACTATATGGAATCAGAATGAATTAAATAAAAAGAAAACAAAAAACACCAAACGCTGCAAATCTAAAGAGATTAGTCATTTCTACTCTATTCTTTCATGTTCAATAGACTTGCTTTCATAGCAAAATATATAAAGTTTAACCAAATCTGATTAATAAAATGAATTAATTTGATTGAAAATAGAATCTAATTGTCTAAATGAATTAACTAAATGATTAAATGAAATATGCTCTAATCAATTATAATTGATAAAAATAAATAAAAGGTTCGGGTCCAAATGGACCGGACAGGCTAGATGCTGTTGACTACTCACAGACGCGATCCCACTACTACTCAACGCGGAAGCTTTTGCCTGCTACGTTTCCGTCCTGAGCCGTTACACTTCTCATTAAATCAACCTGGTCACCCAAGGTTCTCCCAAGGTGACCATATTGACGCAGAGCTTAGTGCGGACGTCCGATCAACATAGCCTTACAACACCCAGTGACCCTGCCAGCCACTCGTCCACCGACCTAAGCTCTCCAAGTCACTGGAGTTACAGGAATGCGCCACCATTCCCAGCAAAAGAGATTGACCATAATTTTGATCACTTGCCTACTCAACTTTCATTAGATACTCAACTTAATGAGTGCAATCAATTCAGTTACCTTTACTTGTTTATGGCTTTAGTCTGAGGAGTTATTGGCTGAGGAAGCTTCAAGCTAGCTGTAAATTAGTCAGCTTACTTGCATTTCAAGCTAAAATTTTCACTTTAATTTATTAAAATATCAATTTGATTGATTCAATTTTAAGAAAAATAAAGCTAAATATTAGGGCATAATGGGTTTATTAATAGTTTCTGAAAGGAGATTCTCATTTATGTATTTTTTTCTGGTGAATGATGAATACCTCTAATCATTTCATTCATATTTCTTCAATTTCAACATTTAAATCAACCCACTCTTGCAATTATCATTGAGTTAATCAATCATTAATTACGCATAAAATATGAAAAGAATTGTCATAAAAAGGCTCAGTCGAGAATCAAATGAATTAGAAGTGTCTATAATTATCTGAATCTGGTTGTGCCTAGTTTCAGATTATAAATTACATGTACGTATATGAAATCCTAACAGTTTATCATGAAAAATAAGCGCGAAATTATAAAAAGAAGCAGCAAATGAGAATGGTTTAGTACAGAATGTAAATCTATTTAGCGCGAGTTTCCTTACCTTTGGTAAGTGGACAGTCTGGACATCAAGTAGAACGCCTTGAGTGATGATAACATCGGAAAGTAATTTGCTAAATTTTTCGTCCTTCTGATAGCCAATTGAAGATGTCTTGGGATAATACGAGCCTTTTTACCAGGAGCAGCATTGCCTGCCAATTCAATAACTTCAGCGACCAAATATTCTGCTATTAAGTTTAAATTTTTGTAATTTATTAATTAAACTCACTTTAAGTATGAAATCCGTTAATTTTACCGTTGCCTCCCTCCAGTGGGCATGAGTTTAACTTTCTACCCTTTTCATCTTTACTCTTTGGCTCCACCTACCGCTGTTGTTGTTTACACTTTGATGAAACCAATAATCGAATTCAAAATTCATTCATTTTTTTCAATTGTGTTAATTTCTGAATTACTGTCAACTTCTATTGTTAATAATATCGCCCTGAAACTCTTCATGTACAATCGTTGCTGGATTTAAGTTTGATTATTTTATCAGTTATCCAGCAATCCAAGAAATGCATCAGGTCTTACAAATTCAGTTTATTTCTGAGATCAATTATAAAATGAAGATAGTCGCTGTCTTCTTTATTAAAAATAATCTGGCTAATGTTTCATAATCACGATGACCTTTTCTCATTGGTGTGCATCCACAACCTTGAATTGCCATTATCTCTATTGTTATCGATTAATCTTCGAAATAATCAGTAGCAAACGTAAAAAGTTACCTTCAACCAGAGTCAATGATAAAAATGTGATTGTTTTTCATGTTGACCCAGTCAAATAAGACAATTTCACGATTAAAATGAGGATCGAGTATGACTCTTGACTATCACCTAAAACTAGTGCTAAAATCTGTGTACAATTGTGAAATGACCTAAGTTTTCTGGCTTATTCTCAACCGTTATCTTTAGAAATATATGTTTATCATTATGTTGACGTTATCTGGATTAGTTATTTCTTTTTTTGTGAATTATATGCAATCTTAATACTCAAATTATTTGAATATGTCAAAGCTTCTATTCATGGCAACCATTAGATAAAAGCTGTTTTCATGTTTTCTAATCAACTTCTTGATTAGATCTAACTTATAATTATTGGAACTGATTTGTTAAGTCACTTTGTTTCTATTGTCTTCACTCAACGTTAAGTCTATTGTTTCCTCTAAAATTTTACTATTATTGTTTACTGACTGCTGATTGTCAGATCATTTTAACTCGTCTTGATTGGGTATTTACTCTGTTTCTTCACGCAAATGGATATCGATTTGAAAAGTGAACGAGAAAAGGCATTGGAAACCGTAGAGAAGTACAAAATGAGTGGGAAATTACTTGCCAGATACAACAAGTTGATTAATTTCAAAGGAGCTATTGCTGCTGTTGCTGTCCCCTTGAACCCTGACGGGTAAGTTTCTTATTTTATCCCCAAATGTCCCAAATCTAACCTTCTATTTTTAATATTCTTAGCACCGTTAATCATGAAATGTTCAATGCGTATACTGACCACCTTATATCCATTGGAGTTGGCGGAGTATACATTAACGGTACAACTGGTGAAGGATTATCTTTGAGCGGTGCAGAGCGAATGGCTGTCGTTCAAGCCTGGTTTCAAGCAATTAGAACCAAAAAGCCAGATATGTTGGTTATTGCTTGTATATCATCAACTGTGGTTAAAGAGACATTGGAACAAGCAAATTTTTACGCCATCATGAATGTTGATGCTTTAGCTGTCCTGCCACCATTTTATCATCGTCCGGAGACTAATGATTGTCTAATTAGATATTTACAATCAATTTACAAAGCTGCGCCCAGTCTCCCTTTAATCTACTATCACTTTCCTGAGATGACCAACGTTAAGCGTAAGTTATTGATAAGAAAAATCTGTGAATCCCTTTGCAGTTCCATCGTAATTCTTTCACTTTTTTCAATCAAATCTAAATTTCTCGCATTTTTTTTATTTTCCAGTCGATATTCGTATTTTCCTTGAAGAGGCTAAACTTCGAGTTCCTAATTTAGCTGGAATCAAATATACTTGTAAAGACATGGCTGCTATCAGTGCTGTTGGATATGATTTACGACATAAATACAAAATATTCACAGGCTATGAAGAGGTAAAGTTTAACAATAACCTAAACCGAGTAGTAGCGAAACAATAACCTTAACTGATTGTTATGTTTAATTTTAGTGCCTATTACCTATGGCTTCAATGGGTATTGATGCTGGTATTTGTGCTTTGTTCAATTTTCGTGAGGCTGTGACAAGATGGCAAGCTATTTTGAATTACTTCCCATCAGATTTAAAAGCTGCAAATGAACAACAAGATGGTATCAATGATATGAAAACAATTTTCGCTGGTGGTAAGTATTTAAAGCAAGAATAAATCTTTTCCAATCTTCTAATCTTTTATCAAATCTCATTCTCTCAACAGGTAATTTCATCCATAATGTGAAAAAAGCCATCTCAGAGGAAACCAAAGGGCTGGTAAAACTTGGTAAACCTAGGCCTCCTATTCATGCCCATGATCAATAATTGTCCATTCAAATATTGGAAAAGTTGGAATCAATCTGCAATATATTGAGGCATATTTTACAAATTTTAATAAATGTTTAAATTGTTTTACACGGGACGAAATGGAAAATGTTCAATTTAAAAAAGAGCTTAAAGAAATGTATGAAAATAATCGTGTAATTTGTCGAGCAACAAATACAAAATGAAGTTACATTTTATTTGCAATTTAATTTCATCCGTTTTTTACGTAGCTTTTAGTCTTTACTCCCCTCATGAAAGATTGATTTTAGCGCGATTACTTCTTCTCTGGTGGTGATTACACATTACTTGATGATCAGATTAAAAATGGTTAACTTCGGATTTGTGACGATTCAGTTTTGAAGTTAATCAACCTAAAAGATTCTGATCTCAGTTCGTATGTGCTTCTACCTCGCACCTGTGGGGGTTTATTACTTGAACGCAGTAGGAACCAAATTGCGATACAAATCAAAGAGGTTACTATTAAAACACCAGTTAAAAGCAACCATGTTTGAGGAATAGGAGATTCACAATCCAACAAAAATGTATATCTAAGACACAATCCTGGTTTTATTGAGTTCCTGTAATTGTCCACATCAATCATAAATTGCTCATAAACTGTTTCATTGCATGAATTCATAATTATCGGCTTGAGACAATTGCTTATCATAAATGGTAGACAGCAATTAGCTTTAATTTCATTTTTCACACTCAAAGAGCTGTAGACACTTTTATAACATGGATCCAATTTTTCTGCAATTAGTGAACAGTTATCGATGATTGTTGTTATGAACGGTATTATTTCAATCACTTTTTCCTTTGAGTTTGATGGGAATGGTTTAACTGTTTTAAATAATGAACCATTTGAAAGATTTGTTGAAAAACATAAAACTACAATAACAATTATTACAGAAGTTGATTTATCCATTTTGCTAAACATTGAAGATCAATCAATTAAACTTAACAAATGCTCACATCTCTTGAATTATTTGGATTTAGCTTTTAAATCACATTTTCAAAGTAAATCCAATTCAACACCTATTTTGGTTGATTTAAAGTAATGGTTTTATGATCAAATCCTAAACCAAATTTCCAATCACATTGTTTTGACTCTGATAGTGTTTAGGGTGTTTGATGATTGAATCAAGATTCTAATCACATGAACATAACTGATTGTATCATAAATTATAATTAGAATGCGTTTATTAATCGTTTGCTTGGTATTGTACGATTGAAATGTTTGAGTCTATTTAAGACTAAAAGATATATTAACCATGAACAAATTTAGGCAAATGAGTCAACTCTTTGGTTTCATAAGTTATTGTTTGTTTTTGTTATTATGTGATTCACAGTTAATCAATTATGGAGGTTCAGATTAATTTTATTGAAATCTTCCACCGATAACTAACAGTTTTGAGCAGTTAAAGCTAGATATTTAATCAACCAAAAGGCAATCAACTCAACACTGTTTCAAAAATTTTTCATCTAATTAAGTTGCAATTGCAAGTTAATTCTTAAAACAATATGTACTTTCATAATTATATTTACAATGTTTGAGAAGTTAAGTTTCATTTCTTCAAATTGAAATCAGATTAACTAGTTTTTAAAATTGATTAACAAGAGAGTTCAAATTGAAGATTGAAAAGTACAATAATTGTAAAATATCTTTCGGTAACAATTTCAATTGTTTTCAACGGCTGCAGTCTTAAAATCTCGTAACTCCGATGGATTTAAAATTGGAAGAGATGCAAATGCTTCTCTAGTTCAAAAAACTGTTCAACTTAATAAAAACAATGTGAAAACCATGTAAAGCAGATTAATTATATTGTGATTTTTAAGATTTATTGCAGATTATTTTGAATTTGTAAAGTTTTGGCTGAGTTAGCTTGTCTTTTTGAGCTGTGTTAAGCTAGGTTTGCTTAAAAAGACACACTTATCCTTCAACAGCTGACATGCTGTTACACTTTGGTTTTAGCTCAATTTAATTGTTTTGATTTGTTGAATTTATTCTGTATTAATTATTTTACTTTATATTAATTTGTACCTCAATTGATGTATGTTTGTTTGGATCAGGTGAAAAATTTGGTGTTACATTAATTTGCTTTTTTTTCTCCCGCAAAAATCATCTCAACCTATCTTCTTTGCTAACTATTCTGCTTGCTCTGTTGCCGATAGGTTGCTGTTAATAATTAATTTTGGTGTTAATCATGGCTAAAAATTTCAGTGCTTTGGCTCATCTAACTCACTATGATGATTCAGACGCTGAACCAGATGTTGAAGAATCGCCAATTAACGATAACAGAAACTCTGAAGGAGATTTTATCAATGAAGGCAATTCACTGTAAGTAAACATTGTTCTCATTTTTATTTCTTTCATTATTCATCATTTCTTATTTCTTTTCATCAATTCTAGCCTATGTACAATTGTAATTGACTCAAACCGCACTTCTAATCATCATTCTAATTCAATCTCCATTGAATATTTTCCTCGTTCAAAACAGGGAGCCAAGTGGGATAGATGATCGTGTTGAGGAATCTCCAGAACATCTAGAGAAACAGAAAGAACCTTTTAGGCCGATATCACCAACAACTTTTCACTTAGGTCTTCAAGGTAAATCATCCGATGAAATTGAAATACCTCCACCCCCGCCAGGTCAACCGCCTATAGATTTAGTTAAAAAAATTAATAATTTACACGAAAAAATGAAACAAGGAATTGATATGAAAGGTTCCATTGAGAGTCGAAAAGACTTTAGGAATCCAAGTATCTATGAGAAGTTAATAGTTTTCTGTGATATTGATGAACTCGGTACAAATTATCCTAAAGACATTTATGATCCTCACTGTTGGGGTCCCGAAGCCTATTATGACGAATTAGCGCGAAAACAAAAAGAAGAAATGGATAAAAAGGAAAAGGAACGCAAAGATAGGACAAAGGTAGAGTTTGTAACTGGAACTGCCAAAAGGACTCATGGTGAAAATGAAACAAGAAAAAAATCAAAATGGGACGTTTCCTCTTCATCGACTTCATCCTCATCGACATTAACTACAATACCGCCAGCACCAAAAACATTAACATCCAAAGTAGGCGCTCTTATTCCTGGATTGAATAACAGACCGTCTCTAGTCGGAAGTAATTTAAATACCTCTGTGCCTGTTGTACCATCAACCGTTGGAATCGTCAAACCGCCAGTTCATAATATTAAGGGTACAAAATAGGATTTAATTTTTGATATCTAAACGCTCATTGTACAAAGTGAATTTTTTCATTGATTACTCATTCATCTCTTTCTCTCTAGCATTTTCATCTTTTTCTCTTTTTTCTTTACTTTCCTGATTTGCAGTTCATCATATTGCTCTTTCACTCTTTCAAATTAACCAACTTTCGTTTAAATTACAGAAGAAAATTCCATTTACTTTTTTCTCAGTTTGTATTTTTCTTCCACGCTGTGTGACCGTGAACAATCATTTTGCATCACCCAAAAGTAAATAAATTATTACATTTTATTAGAACTTACGTTATGTTTTACCAAAATATCTATTCAAATTTACTTTAGGGTAATCTTGATTACAATAGCTTAAAACAATGATTCCAAGCATCTACGGCGATTACACAAAAAGGACAGTCCAGACCTGAGTCATTGGCATATCTAAATAGTTAAAATTTTAAGCTCAGGTAAACTTTTCAAATAAGAAATGGCAATAAACTCATAATCCACTTTTGTTTCTTTCAATGTTTTGACATCTTGGATCCTCTGGTGACTGATAAGTGAGTAAAAAGCCATAAACCTTTGACTTTTTTTGATGTGGCTCTCTGACTTCAACTACTAGGCTACTAAAGTTGGCCATTTTCTATAATTGGTCCAATTTTCCCAATCTTAAGTTGAATTATTGAATCAATCACAATCAATCGCAACTAAACTCGTTACTGTTGCATCATTGAAAATAGTTTTAGCCTCACCTCCTTAAAAGTGACGTCAAATTTAAAGCTTGAGTTGAAATGAAACTGTAAGCCAATGTGTGCCAATTGTATCTATTATTTTTTTTAATATCAATGTAATAATTGTGTCAACTAAACAACCATGGTTTATATCAATTCAAGTAAGTATTGAATTATTAGTTTAAGTATAGAAATCCTAATTCAATAATTCTATAAACCTTTAGAAATCAGATGTTGGTTTTTTGTCACTCTTTCCCTGTTTCGCATAGTCATTGTTGCTATGTTTATTATCAATACCATGATAACATGACTCAAATTTGAATTTTTCTTTAGGAGGCGAAATCGTCGATAAACCAGAAGTCAATTGGAGGGATCCTGTCGCTCTAATTTTTGGCCTCTTCTACTTCATTCTTGGCTTGTAAGTTTTGTTTTGTTTTTGCCATTGGATTACATATATTAATATGGCTGTATTTTTGGTCTTTGTAGCTTCAAAAGTCTATTACCAATTGAAGGCCCTCCTAAAAATGGAAAGTCTAAAAGTAATATCAGGGGATTTTCTGGTCCAGGAAGTGGTCCACCACCACCTCCTGCTCGAGGTGGATGAGGTTAAAGAACGATTTTCCAGTTTTAATGGTAAGTTTTGAAATTGTAAACATGTTATAGTGTAATGTAATGTAATATAATATAGCAAAGTAGGATAAGCTTTATAATATCGCGCATCGCTCAGAGCCAAAAATTTTAGCGAAAAATCATCATTAAATATCAAATCTATTTAGGTTTAGCAATCAGAATTTAATGATACTAATGCGTATTTAGCTGTAAGGATTTTCTAGCGCGCTATCAGGTGTCAACAAAACTTAAAATTCAGGTACATGTGATAGATTTTAATATGAAAACAAGATCGCAAGATCCAAGATAAAGTTAGGTCACCATTTGGTCCGTTGTCTATCTTAGTATTGATAATCACCTTAATTAAAACTATATTTTTTATATTTACAGGAAAATCATTCTAATAACGTGGTTGATTCTGGCTTTACATAATATGTAACTTTATGATGATCGATTCTTTAAATGAGAAATCACGGGAATCGACTGATGCGTCGGAGTTAACCTCGTTTCTCTCCCCTTACCCTTTCCATAATTTTTAATAAATATTCAATGCAAGCAAATATTTTCACTCTAATTTTATCGCGAAAAAATTGAAATGAGAACAACAATTGTCTTGATAAGTATTTAATGTTCAAGATTTGTCTTTTTAAATAATTTAAAGTTTCGTTTAGTCCTTAACCTCGACAGGCTGTTTAGGTTGTTCAGCTTCTTTAGGTTGTTTAGGTTCTTTAGGTTCTTTAGGCTGTTTAGGCTCCTTAGGTTGTTTAGGTTCTTTAGGCTGTTTAGGTTCTTTAGATTGTCCAGGTTTTTTGGTATTCTTTTTACCTCCTTTTGCTGGTTTAGGTACTTCAATTTCACCGGAAAATTTCTTCTTGAGAGCATCAATTTCAGCCTGGTCAATCTTTCGAAAGAGTGGTGAAGGCTAAAGCAAAAGAAATAAAAAGCATTAAATAATGAAAGAAACGACACTTTTGTGTCCTTGCAATCAATCAAGTTTGGTGGTAATTTCTCATTCAACCTCGAATTCAAAAATAATTGATTTAAATGGATTAATAAGGACTCTAAAATCAAGTTTCAAGTCTGTACCATTCTCGCAATTTTAAAGTTTAGATACAAGCTTTAAGAATGGTTAAAGAAAAAATACCATTTTTTGACGGAATCAACGAAAAAAATTCAAGCCGAATGAGATTACATATTCAAGAAATTGAAAGTTTGCAAATGTTTAAAATTTGTAAATCAGATCTGAAAATATACATACAGTCCCAATGGAATGTCCTTCTTTCAGGAAGCAAATTAAGTGATCATTCTCTAAAGTTGTTCCTTTAAAATTGAGTTGATCTCTCAATTTTTCACTAGTTTTGGGAGTGTAAGGAGCCAATAAAAGAGCAATCAAAGCTGTGATGTTTGCACAAAGAGCCATAATGGATCCAGCGCGTTTTCTGTTTGGAAATAATGTAATTGGAAAGATTCAGACGCTGTTCATAAGAAAAAAATAATACACAAGAAATAGTACTAACTTTTCTTCTTCAGACCCTTTTACGAGATTCCAGGGTGTATTTACTTGGATATGTTGGTTCCCTAATCGTCCAATATTGAATATCTGTCGTAAACCATCTCTCAATTTGATAGATTCCAACAATTCAACGTAAAGTTTTAATTCGCGGTTTATAGCAGCTATTAACTCTTTGTCTGATTGGTCTAATTCAATAGCAGGAATTTTGCTGCCAAAATTTTTGGCAATAAACATCAGAGATCGATTAATGAAGTTACCTAGATTGTTGAGTAATTCACTGTTATTTTTGGTCATCAAATCAACCCAAGAAAATGAGGTATCTTGTGTTTCAGGTCGAATGTACATCAAATAAAATCTCCAGATATCAGAATCGATTCCAGTATCTTTAGCGTCATTACCAAAAATACCAATACTTCGACTCTTAGAAAATTTAGTATTCTCATAATTGAGGTATTCAATACCACTGAGATGATTGACTTTCGTATAAGGTTCTTTGGTACCAAGAAGGCAGGAAGGGAAAATAACTGCATGGAAGGGAACATTATCTTTAGCCATGAATTGAAATAATTCAACTTGGTCAGGATTTTTCCACCATTTTTCCCAATCTTTGGTATAACTGGAACTTATTGAAAGATAGCCAATGGGGGCATCGAACCAGACATAAAAGACTTTACTTTGGTAGCCTTCGAGAGGCACAGGAGTTCCCCATTTGAGGTCTCGTGTTATACATCGAGGTTTAAGTCCATCTTTCAACCATGTACCAGCAACTACTCTAGCTGTTTGAGTCCATTTACCACTATCTTCCACCGTTTTGTTGAACCAATCATTGGTTGATGATTCAATTTTAGGCAAATCAAGGAATAAATGTTTAGATGAACGTATAATTGGATGAGCAGAGCAAACTTTACACCGAGAATTCACGAGATCTGGTGCATTCATAAGTTTACCACATTTATCACATTGATCCCCACGAGCATCTTCATATTGGCAGAAGGGACAAGTACCTTCAACAAATCGATCGGCCAAAAATCTTTCACAGGCTTCACAATAGAGTTGCTCGGTTTCGTCTTCTAATATGAAGCCATTCTTATGGAGAGCCCAAAAGATATTGTGACAAATTTCAGTCTGTTTGGTCGTAGAAGTTCTGCCAAAATGATCAAAGTGAATGTTAAACCATTCGTAAACCTCCTTATGACAGTTGTAATATTTTTCACACAGTTCAGCAGGAGTACATTTCTCTTCCATAGCTTTGGTTTCAGTAGCAGTACCATATTCATCAGTACCACAAATATATATTGTTCGGTAACCTCTTAACCTACAATACCGAGCGAAAACGTCAGCAGATAAAACTGAACCAACAATATTACCTAGATGAGGAACATTGTTGACATATGGAAGGGCACTGGTTACTAGAATATTGCGACAGTTTTCACCAGGTAACACAACCGAGGGTTCAACAGGTTCAACAGTTTCAACGGCTTCCGGTATATCTTGATGAATTGAAAAGTATTTCACGGCTTCTGTAAGTTCATCAATAGTTGCTCCCTCCATAGTTTGGCTAATGAAATGATCTGGTGATGATTTGAATATAATTTTTGCTCTTTAAGGAAGCTCTAAAACTGTAAAGATATTCAATATTTTAATTCGAGTGAACAATCATTTAATTAAATTGATCTTACCTGAATGTTGATGTGTAACAATATGATGTTTGTGTTGATATTAGTGATGGAAGCACTTTGTATTTTGTAAACCACACTAAGGTCCCTCAAACCACGTGATTTAAAAGAAAGAATCCTTTTTCCCTTCTCTTTGCCTGTTTCTCATTTCTCTCTCTTAATTGTTTATCAACCGGTTTTCCTTGTTGTAACTAATTGCATATCTAATTATGGTTGTGTTCATCAAATAGTCCAACAATCAACTCTTACTGATTGACATTTAACAAAGTCCACGATCAATTTATGATTTCCATGAATTTCCCTTTAAGATTTTCTTATAACTGCTATTGCTGATCAGCAGGAGGGAAACTTGAAGAACTGTTGAGTCGATTTGTGATTTAACAATTAAATAATCATTAGATATTACAATTTCTCACAACCTCTTTCTCATTGGTTCACAATCGGCTACCGACTTTACTTTGGTCTCATGTTAACTGTGAGCAATTTCTTGACTGATTATTGATTAATATTGGATTCCGGTTAATTTCGTGATGGACGTGAGCTACTGTTTAATCGATGTTTATTCATTTCCACTTGGATAGTAGCTCATCGAAGTGTCCAACGTGTTCCCTTAAAGTGTTGAATGTAAACCGTAAAGTAAAGAAAAAACTTGGAGCAATTGACCTTAGAAAACTATTTATTCAGAAAACATGAAATCAAAAAATAGGCATTTCATCAAAGGAAAACAGATAGAATAGAGTTAATTTACAATTTGGAATGAGCTTTCATTATTATTTTGGACTAGAGTCGATTAGACTTAGAAGTTAAAGGCGGGTGCAAATATAATTTTGAAAACAAAAATGTATAAAATTTGTTATAAAAATAATTGAAAATGAAATCATCTTTTCATAAATACAAAATGTATATTAATGTCAATATAAATATTGACAAATTATTGGACTAACTGCAATGACTGGCTGAGGTTGCAATTAGCTTGAAGAATCTTAGAATTCAGAATTCGATGATATGTAATTGAAATGATAATTTGATATTTTCAATAAGCAAGTTCGGCATCCCATGGGCGATATTTAACACCAGTAGTTAATTGATTTTGGTCTTGAATTGGAGCAGGGAATGAGGTTGATGGAGGTGGATAAGCTGAAGGTATATACTGATGAACATTATGATAGGGTTGAGGATAAGAATGAGGCGGTGGCGGAGGAGGAGGAGGGTGGGGATGAGAGTGTGGAGGAGGATAATGAGGGTGGTGAGAATGATGTGGATGGTGTGGTGAAGGATATCCTGGATGATGATGAGGATAACTCATTTGAGATATCGGTTGCATATTTGGTGTTCCATAGGCACCTAAAATAAGAAAAGATAAATGGTAAGATAAATCAGTGAGAAAAAAAGTTGGAATCATTCACATTGAAAAAGATAAAATCAGATAAAATAATCTTGAAAAATTTTGGTAAATCTTTAGCTTTTTCAGTGTTAATGATGTTATTGCAGTAATTAAGAAATGATCTTACTTGTTTGGCATTGCTGGGTTGATGATATGGGTGGACAAGGTGATGATGGTGACTTTATTGGAGATTGCTGGTTAATGGACGGTGATGAGATACTATTTGATGATACAGAATCTGCTGAAGTGTTGTGTTGATTAGTATTGTTACTTGAATTGGTGCTATTCACAGTGTTGTTATTAACATCGCTTGATGTCCCAGAATTATTGTAATGAGATGAACTTGATCCTAAAATGGTAATATTTTCACTTGATGTTGTTGATAATGCTGATGGTGTTGATGATCCAACTGCGGATGTTGATGATGCACTTGCTTGGATTGCTGACATTCCTGATGGTGTTGTAGATGATGTTGATATTGAAAGTGGTGGAAACTGAGATGGAGTTGTGAATGCACTAGGATTCCAAACAGTAGCAGTTGATGCTAATTTCAAAGCTGATTCTCGTTGAGTTAAATAACGAGAAAGGTGAGTAGAAAGGCGAAATCTCAACGGATTTTGATGATCCATTTCCTCGACGGTAGATAAATAATAGTCAACTTGTTTAAAACACTCATCAAATCCAATTTTGTGATATTTCATTGCAAAAGCATTGGGTTCAAAGGAAAATGTATCAAAACCTGAAAAGACAAAAAAAATTCATAAATAAATATTCGACATTCATTATCATAAAGTGTTACTATTAAAAAATATTCATATGATAAAAATTAAACTATTCAGATCCAAGAGGAGTTGAACAAAAAGTGTACCAATCTGGTTTTGTAAAACTGAAAAGCCCAATACAAAAAATTGAATAAAGTAAATGTATTAACATCAACTTTATAATATTGAGCATCGCATTTCTGCCAATTTTGCATAGTCATTGTTGCTATGTTTATTATCAATACCATGATAAACATGACTCAAATTTGAATTTTTTTAGGAGGTGAAATCGTCGATAAACCAGAAGTCAATTGGAGGGATCCTGTCGCTCTAATTTTTGGCCTCTTCTACTTCATTCTTGGCTTGTAAGTTTTGTTTTGTTTTTGCCACTGGATTACATACGGTATATTAATATGGCTGTATTTTTAGTCTTTGTAGCTTCAAAAGTCTAATACCAATTGAAGGCCCTACTAAAAATCATCACTAAATATCAAATCTATTTAAGCTTAGCAATCAGAATTTAATGACACTGCTGCGTATTTAGCTGTAAGGATTTTCTAGCGCGCTATCAGGTGTCAACAAAACTTAAAATTCAAGTACAAGCAATAGATTTTAATATGAGAACAAGATCGCAAGATCCAAGATAAAGTTAGGTCACCATTTGGTCACCATTAATTATCACCTTAATTAAAATATATTTTTTATATTTACAGGAAAATCATTCTAATAACATGGTTGATTCTGACTTTAACTTTATGATGATCGATTCTTTAAATGAGAAATCACGGGAATCGACTGATGCGTCGGATTTAACCTCATTTCCAGAGTTATACTTTCTATAACTTTTAATAAATATTCAATGCAAAGCAAATATTTTTGCTCCAATTGAGACAAAAATTACAAATGAGAACAACAATTGTCTTGATACGTATTTAATGTTCAAGATTGTTTTTTTAAATAATTTAAGTTTACGGTTAGTTCTTAATCACTACAGGTTGTTTAGTTCTGTTTCTGAAGTAAAGTATTTCTTAATGGAAATGAAAATTGAATAAAAACACTAACTGAAACATTACTGTCCACCTTAACGAAACTATTGAAAACTAAGCAACACTAACAAGTAAATAACACAAAATGAAATTGAACTTACCTTTAGAATGTAACATGCGAAGATGATCAACAGTCATTTGAAGTATCTCAGCCTTTTCGAGTTTAGCTGATCCTTGTTTCTCAAAGGCAGCGGGAACAAGTCGTCTTAATTCATTTAAAGAAGCATTGATTCGATCTCTTCTCTTCTTCTCAACCATTCCTCGTCTTCTTTTCCGATTGAGTACATCACCTGTACTAGAAGATGCCATGGATGATTGTTGATTAGTGGGATGAGACTGGTGATGATTATGATGATGATGATTATTTTGTTGGTGATGCTGTTGGTGATGATGATGAAGAGGATGCATAATGTTGAAGGTGGATGGACTGCAAGGTGTAGGTGGAAGTGATGCTGATGCAGTTGCAGTTTATGTAACTGTTGTTGGTGTACTTGTTGACGATGGTGATATTAGTAAACTATGTTGCTGATACTGTTTCTGTTGTTGTTGTTGGTGATGATGAGCAACACGCATTCAGAAACTATGGTGATCAACACGATAGCAGAAAAAAATTATAGATAAATTGTTAGGATGGACAAGAAGTAAAACAGGACAATATTGAATAGATGATTATAATGGAGATGATGATGATGATAAGAACTTACGGAGGTCGACTGCCAGACACGAGACAGTCAGGAAATGTATGAAAAAGGGAAGAAATTGAAGTAAGGAGAAGATAAAGAAAGAGAGAGAGAAAGGAGAGGAATAAGAATGAAGAGGAAGGATGAAGTCCAAGTTGTGTTGAGTCTAGTGTCTAGTGTCTAACTAACGCAAGACGAACTACAAATAACATTTCATTTCATCTCCTTCGTCTTCTCTCTTCCAGATTAATAAGTGAGAATAGCTGTAAAGCCGTGTGGCTATGCGTATGCAAAGCACACGCCATGGAGGGAAAAAGAGAGAGAGAAGAGAGTGAAAAAGAAGCGAAACAAGTAAAAGAAGATAAAATATCGAGTAAAGTTAGTACTTGTTATAGTCATTCCTAGATGTCACTGGTTCTGTATGGGGGTAGTAAATGGATATTTTAGTGGTAAATAAGTGTTACTCTCCCTTTTGAAATGATGGAAGTGACCTCCCAAAGAAAGGCAAAAGAGGCTTTCTAAAAGTTCCCACGATTTTTGTATTTGTGCATTTTCTTGTTAACATAAAATCCATGGGAAAGTTTAATTATCATTATATTGTACTAAGCATTTACTATTTATTATTATCATCTTCTTCATTGGTATAAGAAGTGGGACCAAAAAGTTGACAAAAATCAGCTGATTGGAAAAGATTTGTATCCTGATGAGAAAATGGATCAAGTCAATATCTCACACATCAAGTTACACTTTGGATAAGCTGTTAAATTTTCCATTATTTACAATGATAATCGATCTTTAACTTTCAACTTGTTAAAAGGTATTTATTGTTTAACTAATTAATGCAATCAACTAAACCCATTTATTTTCCATATTAACTCATTAACATGAACTTTGGCTAAGAAAACTGTAAACTTGAAATTACCATCTAACCTTTACTTTTTATTCAACTTTCCCTTTTTTTCTCTATAGACACTTAATGCATCTCAATTACCGTTTATTGAAATGATTCCAGACCATGAGAAAACAGATCAACTCTCATCTCACGAGTTATTATTATCGCATAAGATGTAAACAAGAGGACAAATTGGTATTTTATATCATTTTATTGAGAGTTATGTCACAAAGTTTCAATCAATTTTTGTTTCTCCCATTTTCACTGAAAATATTGCCCTTAAAACCCTTGTGTGTTAAATCATCAATACACTCAGCCCGGATTACAACTAGGCCATGCATGAACATGTTACACACTTACCTCTTTCTCTTTTCTCAGGCTTATTATTTATTTTGCAACCCTAACTTCCATTAATTGTGATGCTTCATTACTCCAATTATAATCATACTTTGTTAAATTTTTCCTGTCGACCGCATCATCTTTCATCTTCACTTGCTGTCATCGTGATGAACATCATACATAACATTGGTTGACCATCATCAATAATGCAAACAATTCATTTTAATGAAACTATGAGAAGATCCAGTTGATCTCCACGGACTGTCCAATGTCCAGCTCGTGTTGAATTATTTATTCAGTTTGTCTTTCAATCAAATCACTTTTGCATACAATAGAAGCTTTCGAAGACAGTTAACATTTGAACAATTCAATAACCTTAATTTTTCATTTGATTGCAAGGCAAAGTTTGCTGAAACTAAGCTATTTAATTGGTGCATTTAGATCAATGAAATAGGATTCAACTTGAAATATTTTTCATGATAATTGACAGTTATTGAATTGAAATTATTCCGCTAATCTTTAGTAGAAAATTATAATTAGTCCTTAAAAGTTTAAAGGTTGATTTAATTAATGATTTGCTTGGTTGATAAAGATGATCAGATTAATGGTGAGAATGGTACCAATCAACTTATACAAATCAAAATAAGATTCTTTGATTGATTGTTCATTTCTTTAATGATAACCTGCGAATAGAAGTTCAATTAAACTCATTTAAACCAATCATTCCTACTAAAGGTTACGTAAATAAAGAATGGTGAATCAAGTGATAGACAATTTGATCAATCTATAATCAAAGTCATTGTAAGGTTCACTTGTTAACAACACCGAATCAATGGGAAAGCTTAATTATTATTAGTATTATTATTGTTATTAGCAATATCATCTTCATCATTTGCTATAAGAAATAAGACCAAAAAGGTGACAAAATTCAGCTGATTTATCCAGTTTAATGCAGCTTTCACCTAAGGAATTGACTTTACCATTGACTTTAGACATTATTAGAGACTTATATTATTATTATAGAAAATTTAATTCATTTGATTAACTTAAATCTTAATTTATAATTCATAGTTTGACTAAAATAACAACTTGTTTGATTGAAAAACACGGGAAAATGTGTGACATTGAAATCATTATACTTGATTTTTATACTCTGTAATTGAACCATATTTGTTTGATTAATCCTCAGATGCTCAAATCTTCATAAATTTCATATTCCTTAATGACTCTCACGTAAATAGATCATTTGATAGTTCCGAAAATCAGATAATTCCGAGTTCAAGCGGTTCTGTATTGATATGAGTTTCCTGTTTTGTGAGATTGTCTAGCTGATGTCCAGGTCTTGGTGAGGTAACCACATAAAGGTTTGCCATAAAAAACAATTCTGATTTTTTATTTTCTGATCGTCAACAATAACTTGATTTAACTGTAAACAACATTCAACTAAGAATTGATATTTTAATCATCATTGCCCTTAATTATTTCGTTTTTACCTTTACTATTTATAGTCTTGGCAATTTTGTTGTGTTGCTACTCGCTGACATCAACCCAGGCCTTAAACTGCTCTACGATCAAATCATCAGCCCAACTCATGGATTATAACAAACCATTAAATTGTAATCAGCAATTAGAGCTTGTTTACAATTTGACAGTTAAAAATTACATGTTAATGTGAAAGGTCAGTCAAACACGTTGAATAGAAAGAATGGAGATCAGAATTAACTTGAAAATGGCTTGATAAATTGTCAATTCATATGGAAACTTGAAAATCGTAATAGTTTAAAAGGGTAAAACAATGATTTGGTTCAGTTTGCAATATTCAATCATATTTCACATATATCATGGTTAAATCGCAGAGAGCTTCGAAATTTTTTGTTCAATAATTTCAGTTTACGATTATTGATCTTGAAATTGAAAAGGAAAAGGAAGAGAAACTTTATATTTTTTTACTTGTCTGTAAGGTAAGAAAAAACGAGACATTGTTAGTCGCGTGGTTAACGTATTTACCTTTGATTGTTAACTTGTTTCCCACGATTCTCAGCAATCATTTGCTACTCAATTTACTTTACAAGTCATTCTGTCCTCAGGTAGGTTGACAAATAACAGCAACCACAATAACAATTAAGTAACAAAAAACAATAATTATACATAAGATGAACGTGAATGTTAAACAAAACAAAGTCAATGAATACAGTACTAAATGCAGCTTACAGTAAAAATATTGAGAAAATATAATAATTTCACTATATTTAAGAGTTTTGGTTTAAAAAACAAATTGATAATTCATTTTCACATGTTAATTAGATAGAACTTTCAAATCAACATTTCTTTAAAGTCAGTTAATCATCATATTTCAAGCCATTAACACTGAAAAAATAGATCCATCAATTGGTTGATCATAAACAACACAATTTGTTGGTTTTGTCTTCTCCAATCCCAGTAATACGACCAGCAATCCACACCACAACCAGAATATCACAAGACTTTTAATTACAAATTAATAATCTATTTGCATCTAACAATTTAGGTAGAGATGAAAAAGCTATCAGTCATTTTGGCTATGAAAATGGTTGTCATTACTCACAAGCTTATTTTTAGTGCCTTCATTATTTTAGCTTTAACCAGTGATGATTTAAGAGGACATTTTGCCTTAAGGTTTCAGACAGTGTTAGTCTGATGGACAAAGTGTGAAGCAAATAAAAGTCTTGATATGAATAGCATAGGAAAGCTTGTTTATGATCAAAGATTGAAGATTGCTGCTTGAAAAGTAACTCTGAGTTATCCTACTTATTCATGTTCAAATGATTTTCACCACCTTTTTAATATAGTTTTTAGTTGACATAATCTTCAAGATACTTGCAACAACACTTGACATGCATCTTTTTAAGAAGTAAATTGCCATAATCAAAACTCTCGAGTTAGTGACCATTGAAGGCTGAATTATTATAATTTTGGACATTCATCAATCGGAGTTCATTCTTCTTTCTTCAGGAGTCTCATTATTAACTTTCTTGTCGTGTATCTTTTGTTCAGTGGTTCTTCTGTTGATATGTTAACACATACAAAATGTATAGATTTAATTGGCCTAACTCACTGACCACAAACAATCAAATCTGAAGTGATAAAATTAAAAGATGGTCAACAAAAGGAGAACAGCCTGGGGACAAGTACAACTAGTAGCTCTGGTTATTCAACGCTTTTGTTCACTGTAATTCAACATGTAATCAAAGTTGAATTAAAATCCAGCTAAAATGAGAAAAAAATGAATCTTGAAAACTGTTAACACGCAATGTTGGTCAATCATGAACAAACAAATTTCGAGGAAGTTGTTACCGAGTTTGATTATTGATATAATCTTTTGATGGTTTGTTTTCACTCGATTCCTCAAAAGTCAAATACCTAGAATAATGATTTAGGTTTAAAATTAAACTTATAGCTACTGAGACTATTACGGAATCTTGAAATGAAAACAACTTCAGGAAATGCTTTACACCTGATTCACCTTCAATCATCTTTCATATCCGAAAATTGCGTCTATTGTTTTGATAAATGATTATCATTATTCAACTGTTAATTGTTTCCTAATTAGTAATTACCGTTATTTGTCTATGAATAAGGAATAAGGGAAATATAACCACAATTTTAACACCTTATTTGCATCATTATTTAAGTACTTTTTTATCGACTGAAATTTAATGTTATCGCGTTGAAAACTAGCAGCTAAAAAAGATGAGTGTTTCACCAGATTTTTATGTTGATTGGATAATTTATTCCTGAATTAGAAATGTCTTCTGTAGACTAGACTTTTGTATAAATTGTATTTACATTAGCAAAAAATATAATTTTTTTTACAAGATGAAAGTTATTCCATGTTTGAATGTTGACTAGGAACAAGGCAAATAACCCTTTATGAAGAGTTTAAAAGGTTGATCACTTTCTAGTAAGCAAGTTCAGGTCCCCATGGACGGCAGAGTTTAAGACCGGTCAACTGACTTTGGTCTTGAATTGGAGTTGGGAATGATGTTGGAGGATATCCTGCAGGTAAATACTGATGTACATTGTGATGAGCTTGAGGATATGAATGTGCATAGGAATGAGGGTAAGATTGATGTGTTGTTGGTGGTGGTGGAGGAGGAGGTGGGTAATGAAGATTGTTATTTACATCAGTAACTGAAGAACTGTTACAGTGCAAAGAGTTTGATCCTAAAATTGTAAGATTTTCACAAGACGAGGTTGATGATGTGTTGGCTGGAACTGATGTCATTCCTGTTGAGGTTGATGAAGAGGGTGATGATGATGTGATTGGAAGTGGTTGAAACTGAGATGGAGTTGTGAATGCACTAGCAGCGGATGAGGCCAATTTTAAGGCTGACTCTCGTTGAGTTGAATAACGAGAAAGGTGAGTATAAAGACGAACTCTCAACGGATTTTGATGGTCCATTTCCTCAACGTTGGATAGATATTGATCAACTTGTTTGAAGCACTCATCAAATCCAATTTTATCCAATTTTATGGTATTTACTTGCAAATGCATATGGTTCAAATGAAAATGTATCAAAGCCTGTGAAAAAATGTTTAGTTAAAATAAGTTAAACAAAGTTAAATCAAACACAATCTACTTTTGTTATTGAAATGAATAGTGAAAATTCACTAAAACATTTGCTGAACATTACTGGTTATCACACTGGAACTACTGAAGACTTGTCCCACTAACAATTGTAAGTTACACAAAATTAAATTGAACTTACCTTTAGAATGTAAAACTTTCAAATGGTCAACAGTTAACTGTAAAATCTCAGCTTTCTCGAGTTTAGCTGATCCTTGTTTCTCTGATGCAGCAGGTACAAGTCGTTTAAGTTCATTTAAAGAAGCATTGATTCGGTCTCTTCTCTTCTTCTCAACCATTCCTCGTCTCTTCTTTCGTATCAGTAAATCACCTGTACTGGAAGATGGTAAAGATTGTTGTTGATTCGAGGGATGATGGTCATGAACATGGTGATTATTGGATTGGTGATGTTGTTGTTGTTGGTGATGATGATGATGAAGAGGATGCATAATGTTGAACAAGGTGGATGGATGGTAAGTTGACAATGGAAGTAAGGTTGTTGCAGTTGCAGTCTATGGCGACTGTTGATAGGAACACGTTAGATAGATTGGTTAAGAAATGATGAAAAATAACAACAAGACTGTATTGAAGTGAAGATGATTATGGTGATGATGAAAGGAACGAACGGAGGTCGACTGTCAGACACGAGACTCACATCACATCAGACCCATCGGAAAGAAAAGGCGGAGTTAAGAATAACCGGCACCGCCTAAAGAGAGTAAAGAAAGAAAGAGCGAGACTGTGTTCCCACGGTTTTTGATGTTGAGAGTTGTTAACAAAATTCAATCCATGGGAAAGCTTAATTATTATTAGGGCTCCGAAAGATCTATTATATTATATTTATTATTTTTATTATTATTGTTATTAACATTATCATCTTCATCATTTGCTTTAAGAATTAAGACCAAAAAGGCGACAAAATTCAGCTGATTGGAAAGCAAAAGATTTGTATCCTGATGAGAAAATGGATCGAGCCAGTATCTCACACAAGTTTCATTCACCAATCTGTAAACATTAGCTTCATATCTTCAAACTTCATTTAACCAAGAGGTATTTATTCAAATTAATTAGTTCCATGATTTAGTTACTTTCAATGCTTATTTCTTCATATTTCTTGCTTTTCTTACTGCAACTTCTGATTGTCGTTTGGTTTTGCAAACAGAATGCAGCTTTATCTTTATTTTGTTTCCAAATGTTAGCCAAATCCGTTAACATTGAGATTCACATGAATGACAAACTAACGAGTTTTTGAAACAAAAGTCAAGATAAGCAATTGTTTTCCAAGACTTTTGTCATTCAATCTTCCCTTAAAATCTCTATTTCATGACAAATGAGGCAAAACAGTGTAATGCAAGCTATTTTACTCAAACTTATCGAATATCAACCCTTTATGATTCTGTTTTTTTTTCTCTCTTTTTTCAATAGACTAAGCAATTGACTTTACCATTGACTTAGACTGGACATACGCACTTTTAAAAATGGCTAATCTAATGATAATCATTGAGGATCAAACATACGATCAGGACAATTGGGAAGTTACATAAATAAGTAAAAAATGGTTACATAACAGCGATAACACGAAAAAAAGGACAACTTCAACAGCATGGTCATTGTATTTGGTGCTAAAGTAGTAAAAAGTGAAACAATAAAATCAAATGTTTTCCAAAAGGGTAAAAAAATCCGAGAAAAGGAGAGACAACATTTGACCTGAAAATGACCTGATCTTACTGTACTGATAACGGGCTCAACTGGGATACACGAGAAGAAAAAAATGTGAACAAATGCTGTTTGATAAGAAGATATAGCCTTTTCCAGGATTTGGGTCAACTATATTTATTTGGATATTGAAAAAAAAAATCGAGAGAGTGAAAGGCATCTTCACCAGTATACAATAACGTCAACAACAGTAATATGTTAAAAAAAGATATAAAGACTTTGATCTAGACCCAGGGAAAGCTGAAGATAAAGATGACACAAGAAAAGGCAAAAGATGGCCAGCTAACCGAACTAGAGAAAAAAATTTCTAAAGTAAAAGAAGTTCAGGGATTCATATTAAAACCTTGGCCCCCCTCCTTGTTATATTGTGTTGGGTGTTAAAGATGATAAAGAACATGAGACCACAGTGATAACCACCCCCAAGAAGAAGCCCCTTGACATTACCTTGCCTTTTGGAAGAAGCTTGCAGTCCAAAGTAGAGAAAAATATTACTCACTTTGCTTCAATGAAGCCTCATCATCATTATCATCACCATCATCATCTTTAATAGTAACTCAAACGTCTTACGTCTTACGTCTTTCTTAAAATATTTTCCCACGGCCTCTTTGCCTCCTCCATCTATAGCTTGTTTCATCCATTCTTTTTCCATTTCTCTCTCTCTCTCTCTCTCTCTCTCTCTCTCTCTCTCTCTCTCTCTCTCTCACTTTTCACGCGTAACATTTTCTTATGATTTAATATCATCTTAACTACTACAATTACTATTACTATTTGCCACCAACATACACACACATGGAGAAAGAGAGACAAAGTTAAAAGTCTTACCTTGGCCCAGTCAAAAATCTCTGCCCAGGCCCTTAAAAGATCATTTTACAAGATTCAAACTTGTTGTTATAACAAAAAAAGGTGAGCAAAAACAACTTCTTAAAGATATTGAGTTAAACTTGGTTTCACTTTCCATAACAATAATAATAGCTCTCTATCACCTTAGGGTAAATCACAATTCAAATCATTACCACTGTGACGGTTATGATTATTGTTACTTTTATCATTATTATTGGTAAATGTTACTTTCTTATCCCTGTCTAAATTGTCATTTGTCATGTCATTTGGATTGTAATCAAATTATTGCTATTGATAGTTCAACTATTAACCTTTTAATGATTTTTGAAAGGTTGCTCATCATTAGAGGCATTTTCCTCCAGAAATTCATTTATCTCGCAAAAGGAACCACTTTTTTTACAGAATTTACAGTCACAACTAACGACGATTATAATGATAATACAGTTGATTATAATGCAATTTAATAGTCTAGAGTAAATTGAAACGCAATGTTAATAGTTTACAATAATGAATACTTTCATTGATCTTAAGATTCCTTTTTTCATCTCATAACCATCAACATCATTGCGATTGTGCTTGTTAGTTTAGTAACATTTAATTGTTATCATTAATTTATAATTCAAAGTATTAATTATTAATATTAGCATCATGTTGATGAATATGAGTTAACCTGATTCCTAAAATAGCTGATATCATATTAATAATGTTGATGAGGTTCATAGTTAACTTGTTATGGCTAGCCTTTGTTATGCATGGCTGATACCTTTTTTATCACATCTAATGGTCCATCATTAACTATCTGTGTTAACCACACTGTGAAAATATCATAATTATCATCATCATCGTCACCATCAGCGTTGTCATCGTCATTATCGTCATCTGTACCACCACCAACAATAATAATAACCATTATCAAGTCATTCCGTTTTTTTGCTCATCTCTTTGACCTTGCCTCAGGGATAAATAACCTCAATTGACAATTCACTTTTAATTATTGTCAATCATTGACAATTCATGTACTAAAATTGCTAACCTAAGTTATATAATTTAAATTACAATGAACAATATAAAATATTAAACTAATTTTCCTTTTTTTACATTTTATTGCAGTTACAACTGGTTCAAATTTAATCATATCATGGTTCAATTTAAATGGGCAAATCTGATGAATCTTGAACGTTTCCATTCTAATTTAATTACAGCTACAGCTATTGTTGAAAGCAATTAAAGATGTCGTATTAAATTTTATAAGAAGCGCTGGATTGATGAAAATTGTTTGGACAATTGAGCAAAATGTTGATCCAATATATTTGGAAAGAGGGAAAATACCTGGCTATTTGCAGCTCTAATTAACTTAATCATTCAAGACTCAATACACTGAATAATTATCCAACAAGTAAAATCAATTTTCATGAGCAATTGGATTAATTTGCTAAATTCAAACTATTTTATAAGCTGTTGAAGCTGTTTTTTTAAACTCTCAAAATGACAACCTTGTTGGACTAAAAAAGCAATGGCATATAACAATCAAGTAAACAAATCAAATTAAGCAAATAACATAAACACGTGATGGTCAAATAGTGAAAATCAAAGGGGAATTAACTGTTCTGACAGTTAATGGAGATTAGTCTGGAAACTCGGCATTCAGGATCAACATAAACTTGGATTGATGATAACAATTTGATTATGGAAACAAATTTAGATCTTGACAAAAAAAGCAACTTCGATAAAGCCAGAGATTGATTGAGCCCAAGTGAGCAATTGAAATTGCTGTCGAGAAACAAATATTCAAAGTAACATTCAACCTTTCCATTGGCTCATTTTTTGGCAAAAGGAGGAGTTTAAATGGTTCCTTGGGCCAATTGTAAGCTACAATTTGGGAGGATTATAATGATAATAATAATAATAATCACCATCATCATCATAATGATACACTTGAAATGATAATCATTTTGAAGGTTCAACATGAAACAGTGAAGATAACCTCTTTTGTCTGGCGATTTGCTTGAAGAGCTTTTTTGTTTTTCAATCGTTTTATAATCATTGCAATGATAAACAAACTGGAGTTACTAATAGTGATCATGTTTGAAGTCAATTTGAGTTTTTAATTTAATTGTCTGAAATGTTGAACAATAAGTGAATTTATCAATCTTGGGTAATTTGAAACTAGCTTCAAAAAAATGGACTTGTCAAACTGGTTGCTGTTAATTTTCAACTAATCCATCTTATTCCTGATTTTTAATAATTTTTTGAAAACTTTCAACTTAAATCACAATCAAAACCACAAAATGATTCAAAATTTCAAGGTTATCTTCTGCTTCCTCTGTTTTTCCTCCTCTTCCTCTTGCACTTTATAACATTCAATTTTACTTTTTAACTGTAACTTTACAGCTTTTTTTGCATTCAATATTTTGTCTTGAACAATGTAATATTATCACCATTGAATTGTTAACAAAAATCAAATTTGAATGTCAAAACAGGCTTTTCAAAGATTGTTATGAAATTGATTGATTTAAACCATCGATAATGTAACTTTTAAATTGAAAGAATCAAGGAATTGCCTTTCCTATCGTTATTTTTGTTTATTTGTACCTTTGTTGACTTTTTTGATGGGAAACAACTTGATTAGTCCAACGGGAATATGGTTAATCAACTTATTGTTAATATTCTTTCAATAGCACTGTTATTACCTTGATATTGAGTAACCAAGCTTTTAACCAACTGGACTAATCAATCAATTCAAACACAAATTTTGATCAACTTTCTCATATTCACTGTGAACCATTCATTCAATGAAAGTTTTGTTTAACTCATTTCTTCAACCAATATTCATCCAATTTCAAACTAATTACATTTTGTGATTTTAAATTTTCTAGGACTGAAGTGTCCATTAATTTTGGACTCGGATAGAGCCAGTTTTGAATAACTGACCATAAGATCAGACATTTGTTTCATCATTAGAGCAAATTCAATTGATTCAGACAAGATAAAGGATTACTTGTGGCCAATAATGATTTATGAGTTATGAATAAAGGCAAAGAAAACAAATCTATTTTAATTAATGTCACTGTTTGAAGTTGGTTAACCAAGTCAATGTATTAATTTAACCTTTTCTAAATTATTTTTAGATTAAAATACAATTTGTGGATACAAATAGTGTATATGGTGATGATGATGATATCAAAATAATATGAAAATTGGTGATAAAAACGGAAAAAGTGGGCTGTAATCGGTAATGTACCGTTTCCACAAGGAAACAATGGTTAAAGCAACTCATTTTTTACTTAGTAGACATTAATTTACACGTATTTTCACGAACTATTGACCAAGGCTAGTTTCTTTGAAGTAAAGCATCATAGATGAAGATAATGAAGATGCGAGTTGGAGGATGGAAGGAAGAGCGAAAGATGAAAGGGAAAAGGTTTGATAAAAGGCCATCAAATAACACATCTCTTTATTATTTTGTCCCATTGAAAGTTACCGAGTAGAACGGCATTCGGTGGGTCGACCTTCAATAGCAACAAGTTCGAGGAATTTTTCATTCACTTCTCTATGTAAAAACAGTATAAATTGTATTTACTCTTGAAAATTGCCTCTTTTTTGTGACTTTCCCTTCATTTTGAGTAAATTTTTCACCAAAAAAGAGGCAAATATATAAATGAATAAATAAATAAAACTAAAGACATAAATAATTTTGTTGTTTTTTGACACTCTTTGCAACATTTTGGTCACATTGTTCAATCAAATACAGATGACAAAGGCCACTATTTATGTATTTGTTGGCATTTGATGATGATTATTATTTTTATTGGTTGCAAATTGGACATTATAAATGATCGACCAGCCCACTCATTAAATCTGATTTGTAACAATAAAATTAACTCTCACTCTGATCTTGCTAATAACAACGGTTGGTGGTTAACATTTAATTCAAGGTTTGCGATTCACTGATTATTCAAGTTAAAATTCAAAATTATTTTCTAAACTATTTAGCTTAAATCTCTTAATCAGATGAAGTTATAAATAAAATGCTCTCATAACAATCTGATGATTATCCGATTGAATAACAATAGTTTTTGCTTCACAACCGAGAAAAGGTTTAATCTTTAGATTTTAATAATCAACAGGTTATTCTGAATGTTGACTACATGTTCTGATAAATCCAATCCAAGCCATGGCGGACATCTGTGAATAGACTTGGTGCTCCTTGAAGACCACATGGATAACTGGGTAAGACATGGGAATAAAGGCCAGCCAGATAATATCGTTGACTGAATTGAATCATCAATGGTGAGCCTTCATCGCCCTAAAAGAATACAAATTGAAAAGACAAAGAATTAGTGATTTGTGTATTCACATTTAATTAACTTACATAGCAGGGTCCTTTATTGTATTCCTTGGCACAGAACAGGTCATTACTTAGATTAGATGAATAATATCGAACACATTCCTCTCGTCCTGTTAATTTGAGATCAACTTGTTTTAATGATGTTGAGCCTCCAGAATCTAAAAGAGTTAAGTTATTCAATTAAAATAGTGAGTTAATTGGAGTGAAATCTCTAAGGATGATAGCTGAAGATGTTAAAAAGGTGAAGAAGTCCGGTTAAATTGATTATAGATTAACAGCTAAAGTCAACAATCTACTTGCGTCTCTATTTGATTAAATTCATGTAACTTCTCAACATCTTTTGTTAAGATACACTTTTGTACTTTTCAAAGAGGAGTTGTATTATTGTTGTAGGAGGAGGAGGAAGAAAAGAAGAAGGAAGAAGATGATGACCAAGAGGATGAACGATTAAGGAGGGTCACTTACTAACTGTTGTCCGTCCCCATCCCAATGACCGGACATTATATCCAACTGGATAAGGTGTATCCACAGTGGGCAAGCAAACGGGAGTAAATTGTGTGGCCGGTGAGGTTAAAGTTAAAATAGCCAAATCACTTTTGTAACGGTTCCATAGTTGATGGTTTGGATGAATGATGACCTTTCTTACTTGAAATGATCTCCGGTCACTTTCACGTTTGGTTATATCAAAGGCACCCAAAATGACCATCAATTGTTTAACATCAAATCCAGGCGATTCAATGCTGTTTTTGTATCATAATCAATAACCACAATTGAATAAGGATGAGAGGTAAAGAAGAGTGGGAGGAAAAGATAGAGAGAGAGAAGATCATGAAAATTATGATGTTTATGTAAACATGTTTAACAATCTGGAAAAAACAACTTAAATTACTAGATTCATAAATCTACATTTACATTGGTCTAATCAATGATGCAGTGGTAAGAATCGCATCCGATGAAATTAGAGCTCCACCCCCAATCAGCTGTCCCTTATAACCTAAAGCAGCCTGAACAAGTCATGCATAAATTAACAGGTGTTTTATTTGTAATTATTATTTTAATCGACCTTACATTCCAAGGATAGTCAATCTGTTGGGGCGATTGGCCTCCAACTATTCTTTTACGACGGACTTTACCTTTGGCCAAACCACATCCTCCACTTGTAAGGGAATCTCTTCTCAGATCTGCATCTATTGGTTCAAATTGGGTAAGAAATTTTGTTTAATTGTTATTCAATAGCTATTTTAAGTAAAAGTAATTTATGGTTTTTTATTTTTGTTTTATCCCTGACCTGATGAGAAGCAACCAGAAAATTGTGAATTGATGGCAATCCAATCAAGATATTTGGCAACATTAGTGTAAACTCCAGGAGAATCGGTATTTCCACATCCTCTGCCAAATGAAATTATTCCAGTGATTTCTATTCTTCCCCTTGAATTACGTTTCATTATGGGTCCACCTGAATCACCTTGACAAGCGTCTGAATTAGCTGATGAAGCACAAAAATTTCTATCTGTGATATATGATGGCGGATATGATGATCGACAAATTGACTGATCAACATAATTGACAGTCGCGTGGCGCAGTATATCACTACCCATGCCACCTTGTTCCATTAAACCCCATCCAGCGACAATTAACTTTGATCCATCTGATGGTGTTGAAGTTGGTGGAGGTAGACAAGCTGGACGAACAGTTGATGAGAAAGAAACGGGACCAGCTAATTTTATCAAGCCAATGTCACTGTCATGGAATCTTCGATTATAATTTGGATGAGGAATTATTTTTACCACTTTATAAGCTCTACAGTCAACCTTTTTCACATTATGGCATCCAACAAGTACATCAATTTCACTAGGATCTAAACCAACTAAACAGTGAGCTGCTGTCAAAACATAATTGGAATCAATCAAAGCTCCACCGCATATTATTGATCGACCAGCAAATCGAATAGCTATCAACCAAGGATATCGATGTTCAGGATAAACTTCAGTTCCTCCAACGATTCGATCTGACCAGTTTTCTCGACCGCACTCTATACATTCATCAAAGATAATTTATGATTCGATACTTACTCTAAGATGCAAATTATAAAATTGAGCTCTTACCACAAGTTTGTATTGAGTTTTGCCGTTTTACAAGCTGTGACTCGATGGTTTGATTAAAGTAGCCATCCCTGATTTTTGCGAATCAAATAACAAATAAAAATTGAAGTTTACTGCTTTTTCAAAGTTTTTACAGCTCTCACCTTAAGTTTGATTCATTATCAGTTGAGCACTGGACTATTGAACAATAGTTTACTACACAAAAAATAGAGATTAAACTGTTAATCAAAAGTTTCATTTTGATTGGGATTTTCATTGCATCAGAAATGAAAGAAAATTGTTTTTGATCATTTTATATTACATTTAAACGATCTTAATACGCCAAATATCAATCAAATCATCAATATGTTTCTGAGTTTGATAAAAACAATTGAATCACCAAACAATCTGAATGAAGTCAGGTGAAAGCAAAACAATGAAGAAAATGTTACTGTCGAATGTTTAATAGCATTAAGTAATTAATTTTCCCATGTTAATCTATTATAATGTATTAATAATAACACGTACATTACATTTGAAAGGGTCAATTGAAACCATTAATTTATTTACAGTATTTAGCTTTACATTTTCATAAACTAAACTGAAATCCACCTTTGAACATTCTGAACTCTTGAACCAACCGTCTTGAACATTTTACAAAACAAAAATCATCTTTGCTGCGTTCATTTTTCACCATAACTATTTGATAAATATCAAAATATCTAAAAATTAATGTAAATTGTCACAAGAAATAAAATTTTTGCATTAAACATAAAAAATTACAAGTGTTCGAGTTCTTCTGCCATCTATTGTTGCCCAATCCAACTGCTTATGTAATCTTTTCCTTTTATTGTGTTTCTTAATTGACCAAAAATTGATCGCAATAATTATAATCTTACTCAAATACGCAAGTAATGAGCAGAATTTTGTCGAGATAATGACTTGGTTAGAAATATGTTGAAATTCATGCAATTTGCTCTTCGATGATGATATTAAAGATATTAGAGTCAAAATCTTATTGAAATTACGTTGCAAATGATAATTTAACACTGGATGTAATTATATTGTTAGAAGAAGATTAATTTGCATCGAGGTGGCAATTCGGAACCATTTAAAGATGGGATTATTAATGTTTTATAAAACAATTTTTCATTCTTATCCATTGTTTTTCATGCTTCTAGTAAACAGCAAGGAATTGAAGTGAAAATGAGTTGACAAACATTTGATCAATATTTACATTGTATCACATTTGTATTATATCTTGAAAATGAATCATTGAATCATTCATTGAGGAATAATTAGGCAACAATTAATCTATTGCTATTCAAAGGTGTAATCGCTGATAATGTCAATTTCAGATTGTGGTTCAAGATTTTTTAAAAAAGCTTAGTTAAAGTCTATTTGTCCAAAGTAATGATGGGCTCCAATCAAAATTTCAAATGGTCAAAGGTCCAAGGATGGGTCAAAACACTAATCAGCTTTTTTTATGCAAAATTTTAAAATTTCATGTTGAAATTTATCAAGCAGGAAATACAGTAAAAATAGAGTATTTTTTATCGAAAAATCTATCGATCAGAATTCTTATGAAGAATGAGTCCGTGGAAAAATGATGATGCTATCTTTGGAAGCTCGAGTCATAGTGCAGTCTCTGACTTTACAGGTCTTTTAGCATCGATCTCTATTTGTTTTTTATCACTTAAGTAGTGGTTAAATTGGAAACTACTTAAGTTGGAAACTTAAATTGTATAATAAGATCTTTATTGTTATTTTTGTAAGGTTGATTACATAAAACCGAGATCTTTTAATATTATTTTGCCAAGTGGAACATGATGGATAAGGAACTGATTCAAGGGAAATGGTAATTGTATCGAACAATTTTACAGTCAAAATTACTCCTCATTTTCATTCTCATTGAGACCAATATGCGCTTTCAAAAAGTGAAAAATCTTTCTTGACAATTTAGTCATTTCATCTCTAATAGATGGAGCTACCCATCTATAATGTAAAATTTCAAGATTTAGTTGTTGTTAGTTCACAATTAGTTGAACTAAATTAGATTCAGTTTGAATTAGTTTTTGTTTTTATTCGTGTTTTAGTTTTCTTTTGTTAGTGTTTCGTCTATATTTTTCTGAGCAGAAGTAGAAATTTTGACTTTGACGATCGATTAGTTAATTTTTCTTAATTTTTTTCAATTGCAACCGTAATCCATTTTTTGAGAAGACTGGTCGAGATATTGACCTTTATGACCGAAACCTGGAGTTGCTTCTTTCGTGGTTTTGTTTTGACACTAAAATTTTTCTCTAATTCATCAAACTTTGGGTTATAATTCAAAATTACATAATTTGATGATTCACAGCACATTATCTCTAATGAATAATAAAAGATCTTACGATTGATTTCCATTGAATAGATGATGAAAAGAGTGAACAATAGATACAGCAAGGTAAATTATTATCCCAATCATAAGATTCTAAAACATTGGAATCGACATCAATTTCCATAGAAGAATCTTTTCTATGGAAATTCAATGTTAAAGAAAATTCTGGAATAATTAAATAACAGTAATGATCATGATTTCAGAACTTTGATTATTGATTGGATAAACTTTAAGCTTTTTTGGTTGTTGGTCATTTTAGACTAACAATTGAATTGCTATGTTCAAAAATTTAAAAAATGATGCCACAGTCAAACCAAAATTTAAATATGTTTGTGGTTATGAATTTAGGTTCAGATTAAAATTCAGGATTTGATTGATGTGTAAATTGTATTATCTACTATTCTAATGATTTAGCTATTAAGATTAGAAACTTAATAGCTTCATTTGTCTAATTACATATGCAACAACCTAAAACTGTACATTGCACATTGAAAAAACTTATGTCTTCTACTGGGAAAATCAATCCAAAGCTGAATCATTGTACACAATTGTCAATGAGTACAGTTAAAGCAACTCCAATCAAGACTTTGATTACTTTATTGCTGTGTTTTCTTTCTATTTGATTCAGATAATGTTATAATCTTCAGCTACTGTAAACAAAAACATTTGACGATCAACAACCTGACTTGTCGGTATTGACTGTTATCAAAAAGATAAATTTGAGTTTCCAATTTATTTTTCGTGAAATTTGATCTCTTAATTAAGATGTCTGGCCATGTTATACTGTTTTTTCCCCAACATCAGATAAATATACTAGCCAGAATAATAATGATAATTTGAGCAATTTTTCCCATGAAATCTTGCCTTTCTATTGCGCCATATTCTGAACATTGAATGATTGCAATGTTTGTACTTGTTCATTGATTGTGATTTTATGCTCTTTTTAATCAGTTTTTGTAGGTATTTTTTGCTCTTCTGAGAATCGGGTTATTGCATCCAGAAACGTTAACTCATTTTTGTACAAAATCCTTGATACTTTTCCAGTGAACAAAATGACAAATTACTTTGATCTAGTAATTGGAATTTGGGAATTACCAGTTTTCTCAAATTTTCAATTCAACACCGTTTTTCATCTTCACACCTATGACTTGAATAACCATTGAAACTCTCCATTTTGTATACAGTTGGTTACATTTAACAACCAACAATTGGTTAATAAACATTTGTTCAACTGTAGCAAGGTCGGTGAGAAACGTGATTGGTGATAATTCAACACTTTGGAGCACCTTTCTTACACATGAAAGTTTATCCGTGTTAATTAGATGATCGATAGACAAAAACTCGGTTACTACATCACGAGACAGTTAATTGAGAAATTTGATGAGTCGATAAAATCTTAGACTCTTGATGAGATTTTGCTCCTTGCTCCAATTAATCCAATTACGCAGGTTAACCATATTAGCTTTCATGTTATGTAGTAATCTCTTTCATTTACATAAGATTACTCGGTCAATACTTGATTGTATAATCGACTTGAATTGAATGGGCAGCATAAGTATATTGAATTCATAACCATGATCAGATCATCTTGGCGAGTGGACGATTAAAATCAATTTGTAGATGGCCATAAGCTAAGAGGATGGCGATTAAACTGCTTAAGGTTGTTGAATGATGGTGACAGCTTTTCAGTGATTTATGATCAGATAACTGGTAAAGGTGATGTAATTTCAATTACATAAAACTCAATCTCTGCTAGACAGAATTATCAGCCGGTTAAATAGCCAACTCTTCAGCCAATCCTTGTTAACAGTTATCAACAGCTAATATTTGATCATCCAGAGCACATTCGTTTGGATAATTCCACTCATTCTGTTTTTGTTGTTTAAAAAAATTCCCAAAAGTTTAACTATCAAATTGATCGAGTCTAGTAATGAAAATCATCAGGATTGTTGAACTAGGTTGATCATGACAACTTTCAATGAGAATAATGATGATTTGATGATAAATAACTTTCCATCATTAACTTGCCATTCACCATAATTTGTACACAGCAAGTTATCGGGTTGATTGTACAATAGAACTAGCTTTTAAACAAATACATCAAACTTATCAGCTAATAACTGACGTGCAAAGAAATACGTACACAATCCATTTATAGAAGGAACAAAAATTAATTCTAAAATTAAGTTTCCTCAATTGAAATGTAAAAAAACAAATTAAATACAATTAACAATCAACATACAATAACAAAATGGTTAACATGTGGTAACCAAAGGTTAAAACAGTTAAAACTTGACAAAAGATCAAAGCAAGGGTCAAACTGCCATCTATTGACAACCCAGAGTGATACTTGAGCGAGACAATTTTCAAAAGATAAAAGCTAAATGTAAATTTGATTAATTGCTTTCATTTTGATTAAAGGTTGTGCAAAAGTCCATCATGTTTATTGCAGATGTTAATACTCAAGATGTTGATATAAACAGATAAATAAATGAGGTGAAAGTTTAATTGTTTGGGAATTGTAAACAAATTGTGATTTGAACAATCAAATGATAATGAAATGTCATTCAACATGACCAAAGCCTCGTAAACAACACTTTAATTATCACAATTACAATTCACGTTCTTAAAGTGTGTTGATCTAAGGTAATTATAATAACTACTGTCACATCGTACACTTATTGATAAAACTCTGAAAAATCACTCTTCATCATCAGATTTGCCTTTTTCAGCATTTCTCCTTGACTTTAGACAAGTTTTCCCAGTGTTTGGACAGTTCTCATAGTCGAGTTCTAAGAATATTTAGACAGAATTTTAAGGAAGAATCAAAGTCGAAACAATATTCAATTTGAATTAAAAGCCTTTTTTCGTTTTTTTCATTAAAATGTCTGAAAATAGCAGGAACAGAGGATCGCATCAAAATATAGTGATGATCTTAGCTCAAGAATTATGAAAGCTCATTGTAACATGGGTTGCTGTTTAAATTGAAGTTTAATCACATTTTGATTAAACTTTATTGAGTTAATTTAGCTCAAACGACAGTAAGGAATCGGATGTTTTTTTAATCATTGCTGCATTAGATGATGTTTAGTCAGTCATTGACCTAATCAATTGTAAGTTTTAAAATTACAATTAAAAAGAAGCAGATATTGACCGAAACATCAGAATGGAAATCACAATTTTTAAAATTTCATGAAGCATCTGTTGAATTCAATGTCAAATTGATTGTTGTTACTGGATCACCAAGATCAGGCCATACTTTTCATCATGTTATCACATTCAAACTTGATCAATCAAGGTTAATTAATACAATTGGTCTGATAAAACCCAAAAATGATGAAAAATCAGTGAGAGCAAAACAAAAGGCTAACCAAAGTAACCAGCAACCAGAAGATTAATGAGACCAAAGCTGATGATTTATGGGTTTAATTATTGGAATTATTTTTAAATATATTTGATTCAGTTCATTAAACAATTAATCAATTGTAAATGGTTAATAAGATTGAATGAACGTATAACTGTTTCTTTGTACAAATATTTAATATTATGAAAACCAGGAAAATGGTTTCTTGTTTGCTTAGTAATTTAACCAGTTTAATAAATATTGAATTTTTAAGTGGATATCTGAACAATCACTTTAATCAATCCTTTATTCACCTAAGTGAATTAAATTGTAGCAAACTATTTAATTTAAATCAATCAACACAAAGGAAAGGCTTAACCAACAAAAGTAATTAAAATGATTACCAAAACAGTTTGGTGTAACCAGAAATTTTTAGGTAAGGTTAAAGTAATTTTTCACTGTTTTACAAGGTAAGGGTTGCTTGGTTGGTTAGTATGGTTGGTGTTGACTGAATATGTTGTTGATTATTCAATTTATTAAATTTAATATTTGACAATTCAGTTGATTGTTGATTTAAGTCAGTTAATCCAATATGGTAACCAAGGTTAATCATCGATTGAACACCAAACGACGAACACAATTTGAAAAGCTTAAACTGACGATCAAGAATCACGCCACTTTGGGGGAGGAATAAGAAAGAGATTCTCTTCTCTTTCTATATCACCCTTCACCATCACCATCATCATCATCATCATCATCTCATCATTATAATAGTAATCATCATTATTTTCACTCCAATCCGGTTTTACTAACCATAGACAAATACAGAAATACAATTAAAGCAGAAAAAGTGATTCTGGTTCAACCCAATAATTAAGAGATTTTAAATTGCCTATTTAATATGGTTTATTGCCTGGGTTGATCAACCTCTAGTCTAATGAAATTCAAGTTCAGACTAATTGATTATCAAAGAGTGATTACTTTAATCAAATTATGAACAAAAAGTGAAAATATTCAGATTAATATCTGAATGAAGATGAATGGTGAAAAATATTGAACTGAAAAATTGAGATGAGTGTTTATATCGTATTAGCATGACAACAAGCTAATGTTGGACTGTAATTGTTTTCATTGGAAAAGTTGGAAAATTGTCAAATCTTCTATTAATCTAATCACAATTATCACCGAGAAAGATGTTAATCAATTGAAAAGGTACACAGCAGCGAAACTTGGATAATATTACAACCATTATTTACAATGATAGCAATTAGCAACAGTTGTAATCAAATCACTTTGATAATCTTAACTGATTAACACTGTTACCGGGGTATTTTGACCCAAAGAAAGTGTTGAATGGTTCAAAGCAAAATTGGGATAATCTGGATTAATTTGAAACCATTTTGGGTGCAATTCAGACTAATCGGTTTAATTGATGATCAGTTAAATTATATAAATATTAATCCTTGAAAACTTGATTTAACATTCAATTTTCACGTGATCACACAAGTTATCTTACATTTTACTCTTTCTGCTCTTTTAATGGTTAAGAGTAAGCCGGTTTTAATACAGCAATGACAATTGACTCCAACGATGTTTGACATGTATTTAATGTGTTTTGATATTCAACAATCTAATTACAATACGGTTACCAATTGATAACAAATCATCTTACAATTATAATATTATTATCGGGCTCATAATCATGAACACTTTAACAATGCATGGTCTAATCATCTGTTCACTGTGTGGACAATACAGTAATCATTGATGAATTAACTTCAATCACTGTATTCACATTTACATCAATAGGTCGGTAATTGCATCAATTGAAATTTAATATTCATTGTAATTTGATTAACCAATTTTCCTCTTTGTCAATTCATTGTTACCTTTGGTTATAAGTTTACGCTGATTCCCAATGAATAGGTTATTTATTAATTTAAAATACCATTGAAGATAATTTTCAGCTAAAAAATGGCTTTAAAAATACCAATTTTAGTTAATTTTTAGCAAAGGGAAAGCTTAAGCTTGGGTTAGATTCAATTGTTTGCCATTATCGATAGCATCGATCTTTGTTTGGGTTTTAAGGTTGAATCATTCAACTGTTCATTTTTAGTTAGCATTTCATTATAATTTTAACACTACTTTTTAGGTAATGCTTACCGGATGTCTTTTGTTTATTGGGAAAAAAATAATATTGTTAATTTTGTTAATGTGAAGAGATGATTGAGTGGAAAAGTGTGTTAAATAGTGTTGGCGCTAAAAAGAAATTTTAACACGTTGTTTGGAGTATCCTGTGTAATCTTGATTATTTTTCTTGTCGTTAACACTTGATTTTATTTCACAATTTGGCATCAGTAATATCATCAGTTTCTTTCCCATCATCAAGATCGTCTCATGTTAATCAGCAGATACACGCGGACAGTCATACAATAAACAGACTACAACCAGAAATGTAAACCATCATCCGAGTGAATGGAAAACAACGAGTGAATTTACCCACGACTCTTCTGTTTACCATATCAACAATGGTCTAACCAGAAGTAAAGAAGAGGTAAGATGTTACCAACTTTACAAGTTGTTGTGATAAATATCTAATCATAATCAATATCTTCTTCTTATTATCAATTTAATCCAACTAAATTTTCCTCTCATTTCTCTTTCTTTTCCAACTATTTTACCGGTCCACTGATAGCGTGTTTCAAAAGATGGATAATAGAGGCAATACTGTGAACGATGTATCAGGCAAGCTGTTAAAAAACTCAGTCAAAATCAGACAGAAAAGGGCTGAACTAATATGGTCTGACAGCCTTTAACATGCTGTTCATTAAACCAAACCTCCAAGGAGATGACGTAAAGGAGTGGTGTGAATGGCTAGGTGGATCATTTTTACATTGCCCCTCTCGTCTTTTCCCTCATTATCTTCCTATCATCCTCCCTAATCAACTTCTCTCTCTCTCCTTCTCTTTCTTTTTCTCCTTATCTTACTGTCTTCTCCTTCCAAATATTTTCCCTTGACTTTGTTTAGTATACATTTGTATATAAAACTAAGACTCAAATTTTTATTATCATTAGTTCTCACTCGTTCGTTGATTCCTGTACTCCTTTTTTTGTCAATTTTTTCCCATAAAATCAATTCTTTTTATGTCCATCTAACCGATTTGGCCTTTTACAATCAAAATTCAGTTAGTTCTCTCTCCAGTTTACCTACTAAAATATCCCTTTAACTGTTTCTCTCTTAATTTAATATTTTCATCAAGTTGACATTGATCTTACTGTTTTGCTCATCTTTTTTTGTTTGTTAATTCATTACCATTCTTTGGTTCACTACATTATTAGCAGAACCATCAACATATTGACGATTTTTTGGAGGACACTACGAGTACGAATGTGCAAAGTTACCAATTTCCAAGGAGTTCAGAAAGATAATACAAATCAACTCTCACTGTATTTTTCGATCCCTGTCAAATTTACATTTTCCTGGTGACCTGTCATAGTTGATACTCAAAAGCTGACATCAATACTTTTCATTTTCCTGTTTTCATCATTACGCCTGGACCACCTCAAAGCAATACCATTTCATTGCCAAATACTTAAATTCTCAAGTTAATTTAACAAGCATCAAACCGTTAATCACTCAACTCTTTTTTTGTCCTGTTGGAAATATATATCTTTAATTACAATGGAGGATATGCGAAAAATTAGCTCATGTTCATTACATTCATCGGACCATAATTATTCTCAAGAGTCCATCTTATATGCTCTTAATCGTTTTATCAAGTCAGTTGGTAATATGAATAATAGTGTTCTCGTGCCAAATAGACTTCAGGACATTGACGAGGATCTCGATTCTAAGTCAATTGTCTCCCTTTGCTCGGATGATGGATCAACCTCTTCTCTAGGTAACTCATCTTCAGGAAGTGGTACTCTTCACGATCAATATCGAATGATTATCGAAGCCAAAGAAGACATTCTATGGGGAACCAATTTAAGGCAACCTGAACCATCTGAAGCATCAATTAGTTTACAATTTAAATATCATTTACAACAATTACAACAACTGCTTAACCAATTTGCCGATGTTGCCAACCATTTGACCGCTAAATATGAATCTACTTCAGTTTAGGTTAACAACATTCAGTCCAATCTTTTTTTTGTGCCGGTCAAACCGTAATTAATGATGAACTGGAGTGCAACAAATTGAAACACCTTGTTTGAATCAATAATTAACAATCAGCCAAAAAACAATCACAAACTCATTTAATCAAATGTTAATCCCAAAAAAGCAAATCAAAAATTTAATATGCAATTTTTATCCATTGGAAATGCAAATGTCAATTTTGTTGTTATAATTGTTGTTGATATTTTTTTCACAACATAATTTTTTCTCTCTATCCTTTGTCTTTCCACTAAATTGTCAGTTCAAATCACTTTATCTCGAACATGTCTCTATTTTTTGTAAGCATTTCAATTTCAGCTTCCAAAATCAACTTGACTCTCAAAATCCAAAATGAAAGAGTTATTTAGTTAACTCTCTTTTCACCAGAAATAACTTTTGTAATTAAATTAATTTCCATTTCCTATTTATTAAATTTAGATTATATGATAATGTTAAACAATCTGATTGAAACCATTCATTTGAAATTCACCATCTTTATAAGCCAACCCTTAAAACATTCAAAGTGCAGTGATCAGTCTGTGAGACTGATTGAGCAAGAAATGATGATACTATGCAAATTATCAGCCTAGAGGTTCAGTCTAGGATCATGAAATTCATTGAAATCAATGGATAGGTTCCCTTATTGTTCGGTGTCGCAATTGATTGTATGATTTCCTTCAAATTTAGGACAAAACAGTACAACTTGATTACGCTTCACTTGACTCTAAAGCATTAGTACTTTTGGGATAATGACAAGTGTGATATAATAGTAATAAATATAATAATAACTGGTTAATCATTTACCCGTCAAACCTTCGATTTTTCAATAGCCTTTTTTCACGGTCTTTTTGGTTGCTCAAACCAATTTATCATTTGCTACTTTGGTTGTTTTACTATTTGTTGGCCCAGAATTGATTATGATTACGTTACGGTTATATGATTAACAAATTTAACTAATCTTTCAACAGGCAAATATCTTAATTATTGTTACAATTTTTGTGAACAATAATGTTGCTACAAAATCATAATCCTCTAAATGTATATGTAATTCATAATACCAAGTAAAGCCTACAAGTTTGCTGGACTCATGTTTCTGGTTAGATTAGAAATGATCAAAATAATCTGACTGCTGATCGAAATCAAGGTGATTTTTAATGCTATGATGGCTGGTTATTAGTTACCATGTAAAATGATCGTTTTCCTTAGTGGTTAGCATCGAGTTGGTTGATTTTCCAATAAATAGGAGATGAAGAGGGCAATTAACTTTGATTACTTCCATAGAAGGATCTTTTGTCTACTTAACCATCTGATGTTAATCATCGTATGAATGAAGGTGAAAAGGATTGTAAGTGTTCACCTGATAAATAAATAACTATTATTTCAATTGTCAGGTTATGTTTTTTCAAATCTAAACCAGTAAAGTATTAATGCCAGCAATTTACATTGACATGATTACTTTCGTCTTTGGAGTTTTATTAATATCAGCCAACCTTGAACTTGTTTTACTAGTAAAGAGGATTCAAGATGATGATAAGACAATGTAAATTGCCATCCATTTGATTTCAGTAGGTAAAACAGCATCATGATAAGATTGTCATGGTTAACGAGTGAACACACATATGTGTCATATTGCTTGATGTCATTTTGGTGAGTAATGCCTTGTGAGAGGAAGAATCCAAAATGTCGATAGATTGATGGTTAAAAGATGAGAATAGGTTTCTCTTATAATTCTGGGAATCAACAGGTTTTTAAGTTTATAATTCATTACACACTCAAACCAAAAGAGTCAGATGAAAGGCAAAGGAAATTGAGAGAAAGAGAAAGCAACAATCCACCCAAAGACTGAGTCTAGCTGATATCAGATTCTAATTGGAGGCTATCCAAATTACAGATTTTCTCTGACACTTGAAATAACTTGTGGAACGATGGATGATAGGCTTGAAAAATTTTAAAATGTGAATATGAGTACACATAGTGTACATGTGGTGTTTAGAATGGGAAAACGAGGAAAGAACAAGGTTAACCTTGGATTATATTTTTAGACGGAATTACACAGTGGATAGTTTTACACCAATTAGCACCAACATGGGATCAAGAATTGAAATCGTAAAGAAGATATGATTATATTAAGTTTGGTCAATAAAAGATGACAACACCATTTTTACAACCAAATGCCTGGTTAGGGGTAAGTATAAAAATTGAATTGGGTAAAAAGAAAGTTGAACTTTGAGAAAACCCCCGAGACCCTGGTAATTAACCAGAGGTAATCCTGGTTTATTCGGAGGCCTTTGAGTCCAGGAAATTGATCGCCTTTCAACCTTTGAATCATCTTTCATTTTTTTCTAATCTTTTCCTTTCTTTCTCCATTTAGTTTGATGATGTTCATATCCAAGTCTTTGGCTTCAATTCTTGGGTTCTCACCTCATGTTGCAGTTATGATTAGAAGCCGTCAAACTACTGATGAAAAAACAGAGTAAGGAATGCCAAAAGCTATACCTAGTTGGGGAAAAACGGAGCCTTAGGCCTTAAATATTAAACATTTGAGTGAAATTATATCTTTCAAATCGTTAAATGTTAACATCAGCTTTAAAGTTTATCTTCCTCATCTGGCTCAACTTGATAACACTTTCTTCTCGGCTGATCAAGGATTGGGCATGAAGTAATACGTCTTTCGGGAAACCAAAATTAACTAATCGAAGACGACAATTCTGATTAAAAATATAAGCGAAACAACAAATTACATAATTTTCTGTCTGATTTACATGTTAGTGCTGATCTCAAACCAGAAAAGGCAATTTTTCATTACTTAAGCTGCTTTCAAGCTATCATGCTGTATGGATTGAGGATCAACAGCTGTTAAAATTTAAACCTTGCATTCAAGTGAGTGAAAGTCTTAACAGTTAGTCAAACTGTCAACTATTAATCAACATCTAATTGATGTCCATTGTACAACAATCAAAAGTTTAATCCAAAGGGTTTTGATTTCCATTGAAAAAACGGGTTTCTCAACAAACCATTTCAGTCATTAATCGACTATTCCTAGTATTAACCTGACATTGTCTAACCAATTTTCCTTATTTAGAATTAATATGCTTTGAATTAAGAAGGAAAGTTCAGTTTTAACTTTATTGAGCAAGAGATTTGAATGAAATTGATCTGGAAAAACCTTGAAATGGTGAAAGAAAACTCTGTTGAAAGATTCAACTTCGAAGCTCTCTACGATTTAACCATGATATATATGAAATAATGATTGAATATTCATCATAATTGTCATTAGCTTCCCCTTAAACAACATTCATTACCCAATTTATCATATATGCACTAAGCTATACCAGGTTTATTCTGGTGCAAACTCAACCAAATCATTGTTTTACCCTTTTAAACCATTACGATTTTCAACTTTGCATATGAATTGACAATTTATCAAGCCATTTTCAAGTTAATTCCGATTTCCATTCTTTCTATTCAACGAATGAGCTTATTCAAAATCGATGATTGATCACATTTCAATGATAATATTTGATCGTAAAGGTTGAACATTGGAAATACAAAAGTTGAAAAATATCGACTTAGCATTTCATTTTTCCGCGTTTGACTGACCTTTCACATTAACATGTAATTTTTAACTGTCAAATTGTAAACAAGCTCTAATTGCTGATTACAATTTAATGGTTTGTTATAATCCATGAGTTGGGCTGATGATTTGATCGTAAAGGCTTGTGATTTGAAAAGCAGTTTCAGGCCTGGGTTGATGTCAGCGAGTAACAACAAAATTTCCATGACTATAAATAGTAAAGGTAAAAACGAAATAATTAAGTTCAATGATGATTAAAATATCAATTCTTGGTTCAATGTTGTTTACAGGGAATTAAATCAAGTTATTATTGTTGACGAGGAGAAAATAAAAAAACCAGAATTGTTTATTTATAGCAAAACCCTTTGCTGTGATGTAAATATTATAATATTTCATTTCATTTTTCCCTTATTTTTGTGGTTAATGTTTGCTCGGATAATTGGTTGATAACCAAATGATAGGAATTAAAGGGCAAAAGAATTAAGTTAATCAAATGAAACTTCCTTGTTGTTATATAATGATTGTCATGCCAAAAGTACATTGATTAGCTTGATATGCATATATTTGAAAATTGAAGTTGTTCCGAGCTTCTTCCTTGTCTTTCACCAAATAAATCATAATTGAGATGCCATTTAAACCAGTGAAACGATCACAATTTAATCATGAACTGATCAGCCATAGAAACAAAGTAAACATATTCATGTTTACACCTTTGCCATTGATAAATTTTATCAATATTTAATTGACCTTCTAAATTGTCATAAGACGAGTTGAATGGTGCAGCACCAACATGTTTATCAAATTGAACATGATTTGTATTGATATTTGCACGTCTTTCCGTCCTCAAGGCATCCTTCATTAACTAATATTACATAGTTAATTAAATGTTTAAACAGCTTCCACCAAATGTTATTGTAAATCATGGCATCTTTGTTTACAAGGATGAATCAGAAGATTCTGGAAATTATCAAATGATCTATTTACACGAGAGTCATCAGGAATATCAAATTAGTTTATGACGATTTAACGGGGATCCGAGGATTAATCAGGCAAATATGGTTTATGGTCCAATTACAGTGTATAACAATCAAATGTAATGATTTCAATGTCACATATTTTCCCATGTTTTTCAATCTAACAGGTTATTGTTGTTATTTTAGTCAAATTGAGTGAATGTAAATTGAATTTTTGAATAGGAAAATGACACTTTTTTAATGCCTATTGTGGGCATTGTTGTGGTTACGTCAAGGCAAGAAAAGTACCTTACATGTTACGTCAAATGGTTTGTTATCTAGATGATTGAATGTGGAATTATGATCTTCATTGTGTCCATCAGAGCTTAAAAGAACTAGAAAATGAAGAAAGAAAGAAAACAAAATTTACTATCCTCAGTGTTAATACTGTGTCTAATAGTACTTACTTTGAAACAATTGTTATTCGCGTCAATGCGTTAAGTTTACCAACAGTTGAGGAAACAATCAATATGTTTATGTCATTAACTATTTACTAACAATATTAAATGATAATAAACATAGGTACACAATCAATCAAATAATGGCGAGTCATATGACGTACATTAATGGTTTTAAAAACATGGTTGACCTTAAATGAAAAAATAACAGACTTGAGGTGAGACAATTAATAATATTTCTTGGGCCTAGCTCATTCAAAATAGGGTAAAATAAACAATCAACCTACTCATAATGTGATCTAACAAAATGCTAAACTTATTGGAACCTTATTAGTTGAAGTGGGAAAAATAAATACAAATAAAGTACCGTAAGATCTTGAACACCAAACAATACAACTTACCAAATTACATTGGATTTCAATGATTGAATACATTTTAGTCGTTATTTTATTCACTAGATGGTACCGCAATATCAAGACATTAAACCAAATCCTTAACTAAATCCTGAACAAAATACATTATACAGTATTTTCACGTACAGTAAGGGCTGAGATAATGAGACGCTGAGATAATGAGACAAAATTTATAAACGATCCCTAATCAAGGAGGAGTCTAATCTCATTTGATTTCTTCAAATTTCATTGCTATTTCTTTAATTATTGATTAACGCAATTAAATTTTCTTTCGTAAAATATTAATCAAAAAACTCTAGAAATCAGATTAAAAAACCAATTTCTGTTGAATTTGATCGATTAAGGAAGATTGAAATCATGAAAATACGCTGCCCGGCGAATAGTGTGAATAAGCTATTCCAAGAGAGTCTCATTATCTCAGCCCTTACTGTATGATGCTTTTCGGTTTGTGACCGGCTAGTGGCGGTTGCAACTAGACCGGACAGCATGGTACGCTATCTACCCCCTTGCCTAGGAGGACTTACCAGCTCTATGCACTGGGCACTGTTAGATTGGGAAGTGAACAATACGGTGAAAAGACGGTAAAAAAAGTTAGATGAAAGTGTTAGACAATTTTTTTGAGAAAAGCCTCTTTAAAAGTAGGTTTGATTTGGTTGATTTGGTGGATTGAATAGACAATTCGGTGAATGACTCAGAAAACTTTAATTACACTCAAATGACCATTCTAGTCTCACTAAAAGTTCATCAAGTGACAACTCTTTAAACAGAAAATGATAAAAACTTACCATATTCACTGGCATGGTGAGTTTCAAGTTTTTGACAATTTTGTTGAGAAAAGTCTCTTTAAAAAGTATAGTTTGATTTGGTGTATGGGGTAGATGTGTAAGATTGGGCGGTCAATCAAATAGAATTGAATTGGGTGGGCTCAATCTCTGGGTTAGCTACTGTATGTCACCCCAACTCCAAGGATTTGACGAGTTTCGAACGCGTACCCCAGAGAAAGGGTGCAATCTTCATCGCACACGCAAAAAATTAGGCTAAGTATAATTTGCATAAAAAAATAAATAATTGCAATCTTTATAAGCCATTTGGTCATAAAATTTGGTCAACTTTAAAAACACACTTTAACTCTTACTCTAGTAGTGAGTAAAAGTCATCTTGGTACAATTTTAGTGAAAAAACCAATTTTTTGAAAATTTGGTCAACTTTAAAAACACACTTTAACTCTAACTTTACCTGGGAAGCGAAGAATACCTAAAAATCGTCGAAAGCAGGTTCCGAAACCTGCATTATATTAATGGGCGTAATTTCTTTCCATGGATGGATAATTTGGTCTGATGAATAGCAAAAGTGAAATAGCAGTTATTTTTTCCTGCTAAATCATTATAACTGATATAACGTGTGTCTCTTCATTTAAACATAAAAGGGTGCGGAGAAGTTGTTATTGATCATTTTCATTATCATTTGCGGCCGATCACGATGATCAATAACTACAACATCTTCATAATACAGTAAAGTACCAGATAGTGTCAGTACCAGATAATGTCACTAAATTAATCAATGGCCCCTCAATCCCTTTGTTTACATTTCTTATCAAGAAAGTTTTTGTTGAAATGATTAAGATTTTATCAAGAAAATTGAATATCTTTGCGAATTTCAACTTAATTAATGCTTTGGAGCTTGGTGATGTTAATTTCAAGCTTTTCCTGTAGACAATTAATTTAAATCCTGTAGTTGTTTTGATTAATTCAACATGATTTGCTCATTGAATAGCCCTCGCTGTGTAAATAAGCTATTTCACAGGAGTGACACTATCTGGTACTTTACTGTATTATAAAAGTAATCTTTTATTGACAATGAAAGGTTAATTTGGTTTGATGAATAGCAAAAGTTTAATGGCAATCATGTTTTCATGTCTAACAGTTAAAATAGAGATAGCAAATTACATAAATAGGGAAAACAATTTCGTTCTGATTGTTATTAAAACATTTACAAATAATAATTTGTTACCTAATAGTTAAATACTGGAAGAAAAGGCTTTGACTGTTTCACATCAGATTGCAGAAATCTTTTACTAATACAATATGAAAAATGGAAAATGGAGTTCAATGAGTGATAGCAGTTTTGAAGTTTATCAAAGAGAAGCTGATAAGCTGATAACTTTCGCCTCAGTCTTTCTATCGATGAACGGCATAGTATAGAATCCAAATAAATGAAGTGAGGATTCTCAATACAGTTATTGTAAATATTTATTGTATTGTTTATTCCAGCGTTAGGGTACGACGCTTACTACCGAGAAACTTTTCAAAACATTTATCCTCCATTATAAAATCTGGAAGAACTATGAATTAATACCCTAATCAAGGAAACTGAGCCCTCAATTTTTGAACTCACTATATTCATCAAGAGTAGATTTCTTTGATTATCAACTGAATAAATTCGGTTTTCGGCCGTAAAATAGCAAGCATAAATGCTTTATTAGCTCATTTTCTTAGTAACAGCTAAGTTTAATTTCGTTTAATTGAGTAAAGTTACAAGATGAAGGCTATTTCTTTACCATTCTGTTCTGTGAGTAATATGTTCCTTTGTTATAATCCATATATTTTCAACAGTTTTTATTATTTATTTTATTAAAATTTCTTTGGTTTTAATTTTAATTAATTAATAGTTTTTAGGCAACTGTTTAATTCGTGTCTAAGATCTCAATGTTTCAGTATTTTAATTGATTTTGTGTTTTTTATTGCTGATTTTATTTCGATCTTCACCCTGAAGATTTTGGTTTTCTGAGGTGCTTAGATAATTTTTCATTATCCTTCTTGTCCTCTTCTGGACCAAATTTTTATTAAATCTCCAAGGGGTAAGGGAGCGTGGGAAAATGTTTACGCGGGAAACGAAAAAGACTGGGAAACTTTTCTAAACAAATTAAACCTTTATTTTCTGGTATTAAAAATTGAATTTTTGCCAAAATGATTACATAAGGTATTTTAAATACATTTATTTAGGAAGTGAAACAATTAAATTTAAACAAACTAAAGGCCTCTGTACCTTTCTTCTAACATATCTTGCGGTACTTTAGTAATTCTCTGCAGTTCAAGGGCATATTTAGCAAAAGTAAAATCTTTTTGATTTTTGATTGCTAACATTTCTTTAAGCACAAAATTTTCGGCTGCCAGTTTTTCTTCTTCTTTCGCCTCCTTATTTAATGCTCGATCGAGCTCTGTCAACTCTTTTTTATATTTTTTAATTTCGTGGTTCCCATTCTGGTCAATTCCGTTCTTGATCATGTTGAACAGGACAGCTTCCACTACTGTTTTACATTTATCCTTATCACTTTATCTATAAGAGGAATAGGTTTCCATTAACTGGAACATGTCTTTTACCTTCCCACCTAACGGGCAGGGTTGCATCATTCTTTGATGGAATTTCTCTATGGGGTTTTCTGATGATCATGATAATGATGAAGATGAAGATGATGGTTCAGCTTCCATTTTAACAAAATAATAAATCACTATAGATTGAATAGATGGATCACTTAATGAAAAAATTAGATCCAGAAGAGGACAAGTTGGTCCAGAAGATGACTTTTTATAACTACTGAGGTCTACGAAGTTTATCATGATATTTCGCTTTTCTCTGAGCCCACTAATAAATTGGTGTTGTATGACCCAGATCCGGGTTCAGAGGGTTATGCTGTCCAAAGACTGAGAGATTCTTCTGCTAGGTCAATGCTGGATAAATCCTTACTTACCACACCCTACAACCCTGTTTCTCCTGATATAAATTTGCAGCATTATCTAGATAGACCTGAGTATTGTATTGAGTGCAGAAATTCATAGCCATTCATTTAAATGTTGATAGAGAATCATGTAACCATAAGATCAGGTCTTTTGTAAAAGCTGATTATTTGAATGCATCAAAGCTATTGGTGCATTCAAATAGCTTTGTACTGTATGTATTTCAAGATTGAAAATCATGAAATGGGCTGCTCGATGAATAGTGTAAATAAGCTATTCCAAAGTATTCTCATTATCTGGTTCTCACTGTATGATTAAATTATGTTTATTAAAATAAAGGGCGACCTGATAATAGAGTCCGCATTTTTGAAGCTTAATTGCAATATGATAAAATTATTTAATCTAATTTTTTTAAGAAAATTAGAATAGATACAAGTCTAAAAATTAGAATTTTTCAGTCGATGCATGAAAATATTCTTTTTCTACTGAATAATCTGAGTTCTTGCTTGAGTCCGGAAAAAAACTTTTGCGCAAATGTTTTTTTCTATTTTATTGAATAAATTCTGTAAAATTTTTCGAATGAATCCAAATTTTTGCGCAATTGTGTCTTTTTAAGTGCTGATTCTTATGCTATGTCCTAATCAGTCCAAAACTTTTAATTAACCTTGCTATCGATGAAATAGATTGCGAGAGTTTAAGCTTTTTGTCGTTACTCAATTTTTCTATGTGTTTTTAACATGGGTTTGTCAAACTATTTTTAAAAAGAGGTCATTTAAAGCCCATTGAAGGAAAAACGTCGTATTTAATTGCGATGAAATATATATTAAATTAAAGAGCATAGATTTGTGATTAAAATGCTTTATTATTTGTCTGGGAACGACATTCCTAACTTGCTGAAATTGCCGAATCCTCAGGAGGACTTTACTAACAGGTCGCCCTTTATATCAAGTTTTAAAAATTTAATTTTTTAATTAGCAAGAGAAACGATTGATTTAAATAAAGTATTAGCAATTTGTTGAAGCCACGATAAATTTTCCTTGGTTATTAACCTGGAATCGTCACATGCCTTATGGTAACAGTCAATCATAACTCCTCGATAGTTGCCTGTAAACACATCAAATAATAAGTATTAGTTAGCGATAACAAACAAATGAATAAATATCAATGTACCTGTATCAGTCAAGAAAACAGCTGGAAGTTGTTTTTTATATTTGGTGAAATCATGGTACCAGAAAGAAGCATGATCACTTCTGAGAAGTTCACCAGCGTATGCTTCATATTCAACTGGAAAGTTTACCGGTAACATTTTGAATGAATTATCTGGTTCAATCGATTTCCAATGAGTTACAAATGCATTGGTCAATGAAGTGTCCAAGGTTTCTCGCGAAATAAGAGCCAGAAAATCGCCCATCTTTTCATTAACATTGTTAACCCAATTTTCAATTTCTGGAGCAATCTAAGTGAAGATACAATACAATTATTTAAATTTTTCTGGTCAATAGCCTGCTTCTAACCCAGGTTATATGTTTAATTTTCATGGTTAAATCTACTTACAAGTTCAACTAGATCAGGCAGTAATTGTGATCCTTTTGTTGTATTGTAATTCATAATTGTATCCATAATGAACGCTCCTTGAAATGATGCAGATTTCTTGCCGGCCAATTCATATGGAATCAGATAATTATTGACAAAAAGTTGACTTCCAACATAACCATACTCTTCAAAATCAAAGGCAACAAACATGATTGAGTTTGTTGGTTTAATCGAGTTCGCTCGATATTTGGTTGACACTAGACGTAAAACTTCAAGAAGCACGGCTAAGCCTGAGCCATTGTCGTCTATTCCAGCAGTTACATCATTTGGAGTCAAAAATGTATCATAATGAGCTCCAATCAGAACCAGATTATCATCACTGGTGTTTCTTTTGGTACCAGCAATGGTAGCAATGATATTGATACCTTTGACATCGACTTCACCTGGTTGATCAAATGATTGAACAGCAACTTCATCTGCATATTGTTTCATTGAATTCAATAGAAATGAACGAGTTTTTTCCTTGTTTTGTGGATTAACTGTGTGATGTCGAGGCAAGCTGAATTCATTACTCAGTAAACATTCCAAACGATCTACTGATGCAGTTTCACCAATTGACTCAAGTATTGCTGAGCAATCTTTGATTGCTGATTTGCCCTCAATGCCTGTAAAACAGAAGGGTTGAAAAACGAGCAAAAAAATAAATAGATTTGAATTAACTTACCGAACTCGCTTGATGTATAAAAGCTGGTCTTGTAGGCATTGGATAAATTAGGCGTCAGTAGGCCAAGAATGACAATTATGTTGACAAATGAAAGCATCCTTCGTTGATGAGCACGAAAAGCAATGTCTAATAACTTAGTTAACACGTATAAAATAATGAATGATGTATTTCAACAAAGTGTGATTAATTGCCTCTTTGTAAGGGTTTATATTCAAATAAAATAGAAGTTCCGATTGATTTATCATCAATATCTCATCTTTATTTGATCACTAAATAATCAATATCTTCTTTTATATCATTCACTGTGACTCAATATAATAACTCCTCTAAAGTCAATCTTGAAACTATGATTTAGCATTAGTATCTGAGTAAATGTATGATACACTTAAAGGGAAAATATTTTGGACAAACCTGTTTAACTTACTTTCTATGGGTCAAATGCTAAGAAGTTTAAATATTAAACTAATTAACCTCGCTAAACTGATTAAAATTGAATATTTTCGAGAAAAACAGGTTATTTTTAATGTACTCGGAAATGTAACTCAGCTAACAATCAACCAAGATGGTTAATTTAACTATTTCTAGTTTTATTTATTTATTTGTCCAAAATATTTTTCCGTTTATATGAAAAACATTCACAATCAAGAATTGATGAAATGCTAATATTATTTATCAGAAATAAGAAGGACTCCAAACAATGAAGAATTCAAAAATTTAGCGCTATTTGAATCATGCTTTATGGCTGTCAATAAAAAAAACACAATAATCACATTTGAACACAGATTGAGACAAATGGGAAAAACGGGTAAAATCTAATGTCTTTCAAACCTGGACTCTGTAGTTTAGTTAGCCTAATTTGCAGGGAAAGATAAACTATTTGTGCGATTTATAAGTTTCTCTTATCCACAAAGTTTCGAGACCACAGAGTCCAATTCTATTGCTAACTCTTTTGGCAAACAATAATATTAAATGCAAACAAAAACGAACCAATAGTTGATCAAAGCGGCAAATTATTAACGATTAATTAGCCGTAATACCTAATAAACGAGCCGTAAGCCGTTTAGACTTTAATGTAGCCGTTATTGATATAGCTCATAATTTTGTTGAAATATCATTACCAGTGAGTCAACAAACTGCTTGTGTACCTTTAGTGTCACAAAATGTACCAGAAAGTACCAGAAAGATTTCTTCGTTGGGTAAGTTGATAATTTTGTGAGCTAATGGGACTGGATTTCAATTTAACATTCGTTAAATTTAATCCAATTCAAATTGAAACCTTTCGTTGAAATCTTTCGCCAATTTAGTCAAATCCAGTTCTTAAGTAACAAGTGAAATAACGATTTAACTTTTTATCCAACACTAGAAACGTACCTATGCCACTCCGTGTATATTAGCATTAACTGGTCTTCTAATTAGATTGTTTATTTGTACAGTTATGGTAAGCAATTGATCATCGATCATTAATTAGTCAAAATAATCACAATTTTCTTGTACTTTTACAGCTTTATGCTCTTTATTCAGTGTATAGACAATACACGCTCATAACTGATGGTACAAGTAAGTTTTATTTGATTTTGTACCGTCTAACATAATGTCATCATGAGTTTACTTTTCATTGCATTCCCTTATTCAGATTCTAGAACAAAAATTAAAGTATTTCCAGCCGATGGAGAGGAAAATGATAATGGATCTAAAGCTTGACTGTTTGGAACTGAAAGATCAAATATGGGTGCAGAAATGTATAGAAACGCACATTAGAATTTCCTTCAAAATGTAACTTTAGATTGTACACTTGATTGCTATTAAATGATTCAAATTGTTTTATTACTGGTTATTTGTACAATAATCGGAAACAAATGTTTATATTCCTAAATGTTAGAGATAGTTATGGTTAAATTGGCATTTTGATTAATTGCTAGGACTCGAACAATGAACATTAAATTGCTTTCGTCTTAAATTGTTCCTTAAATTGAAAGTTACCAATTCTATTGCTAACTCTTTTGGCAAAGAATAATGTAGAATTGCAAACGAAAACGAAACAATATTTGATGAAAGGCACGATAAAAACGGCAAATTATTAACGATTAATTAGCCTTTAGGTCTCTCAGAGGTTTAACTTCAAAAGTGTCTCTACAATTTTTCATTTCCCATCATTTAAAACGCTTTAGTGTTAAAAGTATTCTGTGTTTGTTACTAAAAGACACAACTAACCTTATTGTAACATTTAAGAGCAAGTTTGTTACACTCGTTGAAACAAATGGGCGAAAAACGGATAAAAATAAATTTCTTTCAAATTCTGACACTTTTACCTTGTAAGGATATGAAAACTGATTCCGATTGTGCATTCCAAAAGTTTCTCTGATTGATAGTTTGCGAGATACTCAAGTTCGAAGTTAAAACTTTGATCGTCTTTTGTACCTTAAGTGACACAAAGTTTTTCATGAAACTCATTCACAATATGTTAATTTTGATGGCCAACTAGTCAATACACTTTGTTACACGAAAAAAACTTTTGCTTTTCTGTAAACCACTTTAGTTCGATTTTCAATTAAATCGACTTATTTCTGTCTCCGTAATATTTAGGCAGCTGAAACTCATTAAAAATCATCGTCGTCGTGCATAAAAATTATTTGTTGACATTATGGCTTGACCGATTTTTTAAAATCGTCTATTGATCGCTTGATTTTGGCCTTTAACCCAAAAACTTTGAACTTCGATATTTCGAGAATGGCATTACCTAAAATCATGATTCTTTCACTAGTCGCTAGATTTTATTATGGTTTATGAATTTTGAAGTTTTGAGACAATTCAAGCAAGTCAAAAAAAAGTGATAGCATTTATTGCTTAGGTTACCAGATTTGATACCAGATTAACCAGAATAATTGGTTTCTTATCTTTTGTTAGATCTATCATCATAATTAAGTGTTTTAGCTCCACTTTCTTCGATATTTATTTATATATTGTTGAAGCCCATACAAAGATCTAGTGTCTGGTCAATGCATGATGATTGTGGGTGCTGCCATTTTCGAGATATCGAAGCTTAAAGTTTTTGGGTTAAAGTCCAAAATCAAGCGATCAATAGACGATTTTAAAAAATCGATCAAGCCATAATGCGCAAAAACAAATTTTCATGCACGAGTAATAAGTTTCAGCTCTTTAAATTATATGGGGACAGAAATAAGTGCATTTAATTGAAAATCGAACTAAGGTGTTTTACAGAAAAGCTAAAGTTTTTTTCGTGTAACAAAGTGTGTTGCCTAGTTGGCCATCAAAATTAACATATTGTGAATGAGTTTCATGAAAAACTTTGTGTCGCTTAAGGTACAAAAGGCGATCAAAGTTCCAACTTTGAACTTGATTATCTCGCAAACTATAAATCAGAGAAACTTTTTAAATGCACAAACGGACTCAAATTTTATTTCTTCACAAGCTAACAGAGTTAAAATTTGAGTGAAATTCATTTTTATCCGTTTTTCGCCCATTTTTATCACTGAAGGAAACAAACTTTACAATTGTTACAATTGTGTTAGTTGTGTCTTTTTAACAACAGTAATGTGTTGACTCTATTCGTTCCATCATGGTTATAAGTAATATTATTATTAGTGGGCTCATTAAACAACAGAAATAAGTCGATTTAATTTAAAATCGAAACAATGCGTTTTACAGAAAAACTAAAGTTTTTTTCGTGTAACAAGTGTGTAGCCTAGATGGCGATCAAAATTAACATCTTGTGAATTAGTTTCATGAAAAACTTTGCTTTCCTAAGGGTACAAAAGGCGATCAAAGTTCCAACTTTGAACTTGATTATCTCGCAAACTATAAATCAGAGAAACTTCTTAAATGCTCAAACGGACTCAAATTTTATTTCTTCACAAGCTAACAGAGTTAGTTAATTCATTTTTGTCCGTTTTTCGCCCATTTTTATCACTGAAGGAAACAAACTTTACAATCGTTACAATTGTGTTAGCTGTGTCTTTTTAACAACAGTAATGTGTTGACTCTATTCGTTCCTTCATGGTTATAAGGAATATTATTATTAGTGGGCTCATTAAACAAGGTAGTCATGGACTGTTAATTTAGCATTATCGTTAGTATAAGTTAAAGTAAACGTTTGAAGCATTTGCAAATGAGTCCTTAGGCTTAATATTTGACCATTCCATCATAATTATTAATAAAAATCCTGCTAACCCAGACAAGTCGAACTTAATCTAAAAACAATTTAGAGAAAGAGCTAGTCAGCCCTTTGATATAATAATATACAATAATAATATGGACATTGAAGCGTTGATGGATATACACTGACTTCGGCTGACCATGGAGGTTGCTCCTTCTTGACCACTTCCTCAACTGCTTCGCCATCCTTTTCTATCTTTATGCTTGTTTCTTTGATCATTATACTATCAAATTGTGATTTGTCTTTAGTCTTCCATTTATCCATACCTTCGAACCCTTCACCAGTTTTATTGTAGAGCCATTGACTTCAATAGGATCAGGTTCAAGGAGATCGGCTGGTATCTTAATGTCTTCGACTTCCTTAAGTAAAGGTTCCATTTGATCATTGAACTTGGCCAACATTAATCGAGAGTCTGCTTTTGGTAACTCATCAGGATCCTCTTCCATTATTTCCCCACAATATGAACACTGGAATTCATTTGATACATGATCTCATAGTTGATCTGCTTCAAGATCAATGAAAGTCTTCTTACAATTTACAAAAATAAAGGATGATCTTTTCGTCCAAGTCGCAAGTCTCATGAACTGTTTAAGACCTATTGGCAAAGAATGATGTACAATTGCAAACAGGAACGAACCAATACTTGATGCAAGGTACGATGAAAACGGCAAATATTAACGATTAATACCCGTTTAAGTCCCTTTTAGGTTTATCTTTAAATTGGTCTCTACAATTTTTCATTTCTGATCATTTAAATCGGTTTTTGGCTTGAATATTATGTGTTTTATACGTAAAAGACACAATTGTAACATTTAAGATAAAGTTTGTTTCACTCATTGACACAAATGGGTGAAAAACGGGTAAAATAAATTTCTTTCAGATTTAGACTCTAATGGATTGAACGGGCATAAAAGCTGAGTCGATTCGTATGATTTAAAAGTTTCTCTGAGCGATAGTTTGCTAGAAAATCGAGTTCGAAGTTCAAACTTTGATCGTCTTTTGTACCTTTAGCGAAGCAAATTTTCTCATGAAACTCATTTACAATATGTTAATTTTGATGGCCAACTAGGCATCACTCTTTGTAACACGAAAAAAACTTTTGTTTTTCTGTAAACCACTTTAGTTCGATTTATAATTAAATCGACTTATTTCTGTCCCCGTAATATTTAGGCAGCTGAAAATGATTTCTCGAGCATAGAAATTGTTTTTGCACATTATGGCTTGAACGAGTTTTTCAATATATCGACGGATCGTTTGATTTTGGCCTTTAACCCAGAAACTTTGCCCCTCGATATTTCGAGAATGACATCACCTAAAATCATGATTCTTTGACTAATCACTAGATTTATCAATTGCTTATTATATATTGAAGATTTTAGATAATTAAAGCAAATCACAAAAAAGTTATAACATTTAATTACTTAGGTTGCCAGATTTGATACCAGATTAACCAGAATAATTGGTTGCTTATCTTGTGTTAGATCTAAAGTCATAATTAAATGAATTAGCTCCGCTTTTTTCGATATTTAATTATTCATTTTTAAACTCTATACAAAGATCTAATGTTTGGTCAAAGAATCATGATTTTAGGTAATGTCATTCTCGAAATATCGAAGCTCAAATTTTTTGGGTTAAAGGCCAAAATCAAGCGATCAATCGATAAATAAAAAAAAGTAATCCATTTATAATGTGCACAAACAATTTTCATGTTCTAGCAATAAGTTTCAAGTGTCTAACTATTACCGGGACAGAAATAAGTCGATTTAATTTAAAATCGAAACAATGCGTTTTACAGAAAAACAAAAGTTTTTTTCGTGTAACAAAGTGTGTTGCCTAGTTGGCCATCAAAATTAACATATTGTGAATGAGTTTCATGAAAAACTTTGCTTCGATAAAGGTACAAAAGAAGATCAAAGTTTGAACTTCGAACTCGATTTTCTCGCAAACTATCAATCAGAGAAACTTCTGAATTGCACAAAACGAACTCAGTTTTATGTCCTTGCAAAGTAAAAGTGCCAGAATTTGAAAGCAATTTATTTTTATCCGTTTTTCGCCCATTCGTTTCAACGAGTGTAACAAACTTGCTCTTAAATGTTACAATTGTGTTAGTTGTGTCTTTTTAACAATAATAATGTGTTGAGCCAAATAAATTGTTGACTCTATGTCGTCTTTTCATGGTTCTAATTGATATTATTAATAGTGGGCTTATTAAACAAGGTAGTCATGGACAGTTAATACAGCATTATCGTTAGTATAAGTTAAGGGAAACGTTTCAAGCATTTGCAAATGAACCCTTAGGCTTAATATTTGACCATTCCATCATAATTATAAATAAAAATCCTGCTAACCTAGACAAGTCGAACTTAATCTAAAAACAATTTAGAGAAAGCGCTAGCAGCCCTTTGATATAATAATAATATGGACATTGAAACGTCTTTTGTCGTCGTGCTCTAATTTCGTGAACTAGAAATGCCTCTAATACCTCTTTACTGTAACCATTTTCATCTTTTGGTGAGTTGAAGTTTCTTTGATTTTATTTGAATCATTTTTGTAACATCGGGCCTTGATGGATAAACTGACTTCGGCTGACCATGGAGGTTGCTCCTTCTTGACCACTTCCTAAACTGCTTCGCCATCCTTTTCTATCTTTATGCTTGTTTCTTTAATCATTATATTATCAAATTGGGATTTGTCTTTAGTTTCCATTTATCCATACCTTCGAACCCTTCACCAGTTTTATTGTAGAGCCATTGACTTCAATAGGATCAGGTTCAAGGAGATCGGCAGGTATCTTAATGTCTTCGACTTCCATAAGTCCATAAGGTTCCATTTGATCATTGAACTTGGTCAACATTAATCGAGAGTCTGCTTTTGGTAACACATCAGGACCCTCTTCCACTATTTCCCCACAATATGAACACTGGAATTCATTTGATACATGATCCCATAGTTGCTCTGCTTCAAGATCAGTGAAAGTCTTCTTACAATTTACACAAATAAAGGATGATCTTTTCGTGGAGTCGCGCGTAGCATGACATGTTGTCATGTGACATGTCAAAACCTATTGGTTATCAAATCTAAAGGCTATCAAGATCCATTGTTTTATTTGAAATTACATTTTCTGGTAAAGCCATGCAGTGGTTTGTTATTAAAAAGAGATAGCTAACACAATTGTAACATTTATGAACAAGTTTGTTTCACTCATTGACACAAAAGGCGAAAACGGATAAAAATGAATTTCTTATAAATTTAGATTATGTTGGCTTGTAAAAACATAACAACTGTGTGTGCGATTCAAAAGTTTCTTTGACTAATAGTTTTCGATCAAAGCAAGTTCGAAGTTCAAACTTTGATCACTTTTTGTACCTTTAGCGAAGTAGATTTTTCCATAAAACTCACTTTAAGACGTAAATTTCAATTAAAAACCAGGAAATACTCTTTATTAAACGAAATAAACTTTTATTTTTCTGTACAACAGATTAATACGATTTTCAGTTAAATGGTCCGTTTTCAAAGTCCGTAACAGTTACAGAGCTGAAACTTATTTCTTACCGAAATACCGTACAAAAAGATCTAATCAATAGGATAAGGAATAAACTCAAAAATTAAGATCCAATTCACTTATTCAATTCAATTAAGAAAGTGTTTAAGGCGAATAGTGAAAATTTTAAATAACCTTATCCATTAATTATTAGTAATCTCTTTAAGTTTGTCAAATAAATCAAATGTCTACCATCAAAAATATTTCGTGCTTTCAGTTGAGCTTGGATCTTTTCGAAGACATTGTGCGAAAAGCCTAGTTTTTTTCCTAACTTTGATAGTTTTTCAATCCAACTGCTCTAATAGATGAAATCTTTGCATATTAATTCATATAACATCTATTTAACAATATCAAATAATCAAAACAGAGTAAAAATATCAGCAAATAACACGCCCAAGCTTGATATCACTTTTTGCTCAAGAAACTTTTTTTGTTTGAATTTCCCACATAAAACAGACTCCTTGGTTACCATTAGTTGAACCTTTTGAAGCATTTCTTCATTCTGTTTTTGTTTTGATTTTGCATCCATTGCAATTTAATTGTAAATTTTATGTAAATTGTTGTTTAATTGATTTCATTTTTACAGATTTGCTCAGTAGCAATTTTTGTTAAAATGTCAAATCGCTTGTGTAGTTTGTTTTCTCAAATAAGTCTTCAAAATGTAGCCAAAATTTATAATGTGTCTCAACCTTCTAATTGCCTATTAAATGTTAAAACTTGTTCACCATCATCTTTGTTCGACCATCAAAAAAGAACCGGTGCTACCGTAATTTTCAAAAAAAATATTGCTTATCCGCGACGTTGCCCTGTTTTTAAATCAAGACCAGGTCCTTTCAAATACGTTTGGAAACCAAATCCTCCTAAGGTAATTATTTAAATTGAAAAATGATCCTATTTTATTAATACTCTATACTATGATTCGATCTAATCGTTCTTTCGTTCTAGGATGGTGAATACACACACAGGACATTGATAGCTACAAAGTTAGGGGGTCGAGACCCAGAAACTGGAAGAGTTGCTATTAACACTATTGGTGGTGGAGTTAGAAAATTTTACCGTTGGCTCGATCATTCATATCTTGGCAATGAAGGTGAAACTGTCCAAGAAAAAGTGTTTAGTGTTCGATATGATCCATGGAATACTGCTTTGTTAGCCTTAGTAGCAAATGGTGGATTCAAAAGATGGATCATTGCCTCTGAAAATATGAAACCCGGTGATATTATTACTACGTCAAGAGTTATGCCAAAAAATCCAATTTATGCCAAGGAAGGCCAAATGTGGCCTGTTGGTGCCTTAAGTCCCGGTACTCTTATTCATCGAATTGAAATTGTACCAGGTAAGTACAAAACTTAAGAAGTGTTTATTGTTATTTATGTGTCTATTGAATTTGATTTTCACGATCTATTCTTACTTTTTCTGTTAGGTCAAGGAGCTAGGTTGGCTATCGCTGCTGGTACTAGTGGAGAAATTTTACGTCGAGCTGGTAAAAAAATCATTATTAGGATACCAAACGGTCAAGAAATTGGAATTGATGAGTGGTGTATGGCAAGTGTTGGCAGAGTTTCAAACCCCAACCATTACACCGTTAATACAGCTTGTACTGAAAGGAGATTCTGGAAGGGTAAACGACAAAATAAGGGAGTTAAAATGCGAAAAGATGGTTACTGTGGTCGTAAATTGAGGCCTCCAAAGCCACTCAGAATTGTAGATGCTGCCCAGTTGTTACCTCAGAAAAAAGAACAGTTAAAGCTACGAACATGGCATTTTTCATAATATTTGTACTTTATTTTAATTTGGAAAAGGTCAGTTAAAATTAATGATCTCTGATCATAGGATACAATATTAAATTAAGAAACAGACGATTGAAAACAAAAGCAGAAAGTATTTCTTTTTTCAATGTTATGGTAGAAAAGAGATCAATTTATGAATCATGATTTACATTTCAATATAGTGAATTGTTGATGTCATTGAGTTTGGAGTAATATAATAATCATAAATATTAATTTATTAGTTTAACGTTATTTTTCATTTTATGTAAAGCAAGTGATGACTAAAATCTTCATCAACTTTAACCAAAACGTCCAATCAAGCTCGTGAAAAAGCTCAAAGTGTTTTTATAAATATTTCTAACATAACCTGGAGATGATGTCCTATTGTTGTGTTCATTAGCTAATTTCAAATCAACTAGACTTGGTGAGTCAAGCATTCTACTCCTTTTGTTATCTACCTTCTGAATATCATCATCATTCTCTTCACGGAATAAACTAAACTCTTCCGTAGTTGGTTCTAAATCAATCTCATCTCCTTGAGTTGCTAATATTATTGGGGAAGATTTAGGTGATGCTGTTGTTGGATTAATTGGTACTCCTGTTGTGGTAATTATTGACTCCGTATTTGCTCTGTCTGACATTTCTGTAGTAATTATTTCAACCAGAGGATCTTGATTGTTCAAATGAAAGCCCGGTCGATAAGTTGTGGTTTTATATTCCTTTGAAAGCTCTTCAAAATTCATCTCATAAGGCGGTTTTCTGGTTTCGGTAGAAATTTCATCAACAAAATCTTTACTAGTCACTGAAGCAACTGTTTCCACCGATTCTGGTTCTTCCCTATCCTCAATTAAGCCTGAAGATATTGCGATTATTCCTTTGATTAGTGGCAGCTCAGTCGTTGTTATACTAGTTGGTAACATAGTTGTAGTTGATTGAACCGATGACTCCGTCAATAGCTTATTATTTTGGCCAATGTATACTTTTTTCTTTCGTGTATTTAAACGATTTGTTAAATCATTAATTGCTGATGATTTTGTCCGATGTTCATTTCTCATCACTTTGACCACTTCTGTAGTTTCTTCCTTTTTACCAACTTCATCTCGATTCTCCTTCACCAATGTTGCTGGTTCAATATTTTCCTGGATATTACTTGATCTAAATTTATTCTTGTGATTAGAAATGGTACGATTACAATGATCATATCTTGGACAACACTGTCCAGGAATATATTCAGGTTCACAATCATATCGAAACCGGCATTCATTAAGGGCACAGCGAACAATATTGCGTTTACAATAACAAGTTACACACGGACTTGGAGCGTGAGGTATTTTTTGACCATCATAATAGACTCGACCATCATATGTACAACCTAAAATAGATGAAAATAAAAAATAAAAAATTAGATTGAACAACAATCAAATAGTAAACAAATATAAGAGTGAAACCATCAAAGAAATTAACTGATCCCTTTACTAAAGGGACTTTAGTGTATTTCAACGAATAGTTTTACCAAATTTTTGATTAAATATTTAAAAAAAGCTGATGTTGAGATCACCAGATCATTACAGTATATTGCTAATCCAACATCTTTTGATTGTGTGATTGAATCATGATTTTGGGTAACTTTGTGTTTTAAATATCAATTATTATCAATCATGAACAGGAGAGTTACCATATTAAATTGCTGGTCAAACCCATTTTCCTGCATTATGCTACATTTTAAACTTAAACCAAGGTTATTTATTATTGATGCTAATAAATAACCAATTATTGGTATCGATTTGATTTGAAATAATAAGTTACATCAACATCAACCTTGTCCATTATTTTAACATTCATCAGGTTCAATGATCTGTTTAAGCAGTAAAGTTAATTTTCCTCAAAACATTACCCTGTTATTTCCAATTGTAAATGATATGGATATTTAATAATTTATTGAGTTTTTTTTCAAAATGTGATCAATTGAATGTAAAATATTGACTAGTAGAAACAATTTGAAACTTTCCAAGGGGAATTACACTCTCAATGAAAGCAGAAAGATGATGAACATGAAAAAAAGACTGTTGAATGTGTACAGAAGTCAAGGTGAGAGTGAGAAAAGCCTGGCAAATTGTTAATGATGATGATGATATTAATATGCATATAAAAAAGCTGATATAATCAAGTCTCAACAGTCAATCACCACCAACAGATTTGGATAATATTTTTGCATGATTTGGTTGAATAGGTTACAAAAAAAAGAAGCTCAGAAATGATGAAAAGGTAAGTTGCTATCTTTTTACCCTTAAAATCCGTAACCTTTTACCATAGTGTTAAACATTTCATCTCCTCACCCATCATCTTCATCATCATCCTTGTTGATCTTATTCATGGTTACAAACACTTCCTCAATTCAACCCTGACCCAGTAACAAATGTCTGGTCAAGTTAACTTCCGTTACCGTTATTTTCAATCAATTCACAGGTAAAGTGTTTGATATAAAATAGATGAGAGATGTGAAAAGCAAGGAGCACAAAAAAACTGGGCAACAGCTAAAAAGAGGTAACCCAAAACAAAACAACAAAAGGCGAGCAAAAGATACTGAAAGATATTGAAAAGTAACAAGGTGAAGATGAGGATGATGAGCTTGGCGAAAAGGAAAAATAAAATGGATGAGCGATGTTATTCCCTTTGCCAGGATAAATGAACTTGTTTTCCAAGTTCAATGAATCAAAACTAATCAGATTCTATTTTTTTGTCCTCATTGTGCTTCCCTTTTCATTCTTAACCTTCTTCTTATCCTCATCTTGTTTATCATTATGTTTTTATATCATCAACCTTTTAGGATATTTATGGAGACAGTTAGTGTACAAATTATGTACAAAAGGAAAACAAAAATCCTATCAAATCTTAACATATCGGGTGTCAACAGTGTAAAGACAAGCGAAACACACAAATCATCCTAATACCGTAATCATTCAACAATGTAACCTTTGTGTATATTTAATTGTTAACTGTCAATTTAAAACAGATTATTTTGGTTAATCTTTCCCATTGTTGGAGAGTAAGATGTTGAAAATAATGTGACAACCAGAAAACACTTTAGTATAACAACGGAATGGCCATCATTTCTGGAAATGTATCATTTGTCTTTATTTAAACCTTCATTCAACCTAGATTCAAACTTGATCTATTTGACCTTAAATTATCATAGGTAGATCAACAAGTAAATTGTAAGGTAAAATTAAGTACTGATTAAACAATAATAGAACCTCTCATCTCTTAAAGCCAACAATAGTCTTATATTCACACAAAAAGTAATTGTTGAAAGAAGAGTCTAATCAAGGTTTGGTAATACAAATGACAACATTGATTGATTGGTTTAAAGTTAAAATTTACTTACCACAATCATAATCAGGACAACATTGTCCTTCCACTTCAATGGAGCGACAACCAATCGGTTTAGGTGGACAATGTTTATATGAACATGAGAATCCCGGTGGACGACATCGACATATTTCACAGGGATGATCAGATGGGATTAAATCGCCCTTCTCATATGAATTGCCATTGATAAAACATGCTAAATTGAGAGATTGATTAAAAGTTGAATAAAATTAACCAAAGCAACTTAAGACAAAACGATTCATTTTTAAGAAAACAAAATGTAAACAAAGATTGAGCAAACCAAAGCTATGGCGCGATAATCAAACCAACAATCACCCAAATTGTCCAGATTAATATTATGGAATGAATTTTCATAGTTTACCATTGAATGGTTAATAATCAGACTTTGACTTAGTCTAGCATGAATTAATACGAATGAATGATTCTGAGATATCAAATTTGGTGAAAATCTCAACATATTATGAGTAGTAACTTAGTTATGATTAAATCTGACTGCCTTTCTTGATAATATTTATGCATCCATTCAATATTTTATTATTATATTCATGATTCCTTCCCATTTCAACTGCCTCATCTAATATACCAACATTGAAATGATTGATGAGCCTTTGTATTGTGTAAGGAAGTAACAAACAAACAAAAGTTGAGATGACATTAAGAGCCCAGGAAGATGGCAGAAAAGACGATAAAAAAGATGGCCGAAAGGATGGAGAAGATGATTTAAAGTATTCTTAAATTGACATAGACCATTCTTTATCATCTTCATCTTTTTTACGTTATTTTGTGGTTCCTTGCAACCCAAAAATGGATGAAAATGGATGAAACCTGGAAACCTTTTTCTTTTGTGGTTCAAGCTCATTTTTTCATATTTTACTTGCTCAAAAACATAAATACATATGCATTTATATGTATTTTATACATTATTACATATTACTTTTGCTTTCAAGTCTGAATATATTATTATATATTATCTTTTTATTTTCCTGGAAATAATAACTTTGTAAGAAAAGAGATGAGAAAAAAAATCTTATATTGAAAGTTTTTCCTATTTTTTTCATTGCTTCAGAAAAAGTCTCTCCATGAAAGTCACTTTTTCCAGCTATTATTATTAAATGGAATTTAGTTTGTTGCTTTTTCATGATGATTTATTGATATTTCATGATTCACATTTTAATTTTACACATCTTCAACAATTCAATTATTGTGCCAAAATCTGTGTTAATCAGCTGATGTTTTTACGCTTTTTATGCCTTTACTGCTTTTCATGCTTTCCTCACTCTTCAACCGTTAGTAAACTGTTACAGCATTTATTTTTATTGTTGTTTTTTTTCTCTTGATTTGGTGTTTATTTGATATACGAAATTTCTTACACTGTTATAACCGTTGATTGATACACCATAATGATTGATTACTCACTAGACATTGATCTATAAATGATCAATAATATATTATCTTAGGGAAGCAACGGTTAATCAAAAAGTAAAACCTTTCACTTTTTCAATCTGATTCATGCTTCTGCCTCATCCATGTGCTTTTATATCGCTACTTTAACCTAATCAACTTTAATTGAAATGCTTCTTACTTGGTAATGTTTAAATTATCATATAAACTGCTTAACTGTATTAACCATTATCTATGCAAGTGGTTGTTCAATGTTTACATTTGGAGTTTACAAGTGTACTTACCCGTCTGATTTGCGAAATAAGGTGAAAGTTTAATTTGTGGTGCTGATGGTGATTTTGATTATGATGTTAATGATGACAAAGATGACAAAGATGATGGCCAAGAACATGAATTTGATGGTTCAATGGAAACACGGAAACATAAATTGGAATCCATAAAGATGAAAGATGACAACAAAATAAATAAAACAAAAGGATAAATACAAGAAACTGGCAAAAAGATAACTTGGAATATAAAAATTGTTGCCTTTTTTACCATGAAACTGCCTCAAGCTACTTTGTATCTCAAGAAAATATTACCAAATATATTACAACATTAGACATTTCGTTGGTTAAATTGTTGTAACCATTATTAGGATCAACAAAATGACATTTGTTTACATTGTACATGAAAGTCAAAAATATGGATAAATGATGGACAGAGACTGAAGGAGTACGGCATAAGACAACAATGGATATGAGTAAACATAATCTTACCAGTTGATGCAGCATCCCATGTTGATATTAATATGAATAAAGCCAGATGATATTGCATTGGTACTGATTAAAGCTGGGATAAAACGGAAACAAAATGTAAAACAACTGAAAAAAAGAGTCAATGTAGTAATCAATAGACAGGGTCAGCAACTAAAGTTTACATTGAAGTTTATGGTAAAAAATATTTGACTCGGCTTGTTTCTCTCTCTCTCAACCTTACTTCTCACTCTCATTTACTCTCCTTTTACCTGTAATAGGAGGAGGAGGTGAAATGAAGGGAGTCAGGTAAGATGTTGATGATGGAAGGAGGAGAGCTAAGAAAGTATGTTAAAGAAGATGGGAAAAGATGAAAGAGGAAAAAGTAGAAACAAAACTGTCAGACTTACTATCTGTTAACCTTTACTGGTTTAAACAAATTGTATATTTGACCCATCTTGGAAACTATTCAATTTTAAATAACCAGAGTTCCTTCTTGAACTTGGACTGAAAAAAAAGGTTAGGTATTTATTAACTTGAAGCGAGGAGTAAGGATGAAGATTAGTAATGAGTAGTTTTGACCCTTACACAGGTAATTGAGAGTCGTAAGTCACTTGTAATTGGCTTTTCAACTCAATGTTTGTTTGCTTGAAACATTTGTTTTTGGTCAGTCTTTTTCTAGGTAAATATTGTTATTCCATAGATCTTGACACTCCCTTGTTGGTCAGTATTTTGAAGGTTAACATTAAAATAATTTTTAGGTAAAAAGATGATAATCACTGTTATTGCCCTGTGTTGCTTGTTTACCTTGAACGTTCACTGGATTAAACCTTATTATTCAATGTTGCCTATTAATTAACTTGATTAGTTGATTTGTTTGATGTTAATTTTAAGAGGTCTTATAATGATTTAGGAATAAAAGTATTAGTTAATGTGATTAGACATAATTTGCTTCCTTCAACCATAACTTATGCCTGTTATCTGGTTAATGCTTCTGGGTCTGTGGCTTTGGGTTATTGTTTTCCTACAAAGTTAGGCCTGAGTGATTGTAATCTAATTGATTAACCCAAATTGTGGTCCTTTGATTGACCAACTAGTTTCAACCTTACAAGGCTGATATTTGTTGAGATACAAGAAGTGTAATCATGTTAAGAAATTGAAAAGTGTAAAATAAGTGAATACACCAAAGAATTGTGTTTAACCAAGTGTAAGGTAAAATATAAAGATATCTCTCTGTTGGTAACAATTGACCAGTTTATATAATACAGTTAATACAGTTAATATATTTACTTGAGTTTATACACGTTTATTTAGTAATTGTAATCATCTTACATTTTCCCTTCCAAATGATTAATTTAAGATTAAGTTCACTTCAAGTCCAGTCAAGCTGATAATAATACATTTACATTGTCAACTCGGCGGTTTTGTTTTCCTTTCAAATTACACTCTAATGTTCATCTCATTTCAAACTGTGCTTCGTAATTAAATTAAAATCTCCTTTTAATTATCCATGTTAATTGTGCTCTGTTTAATCAAAAATATGTGTCTAAAATGTAAATGTAATTAATCACAGTGGATTGATCACAATTTGTGAGATTTTCTTGTTCTCTTGTTTAGGGCCTGAAAAAAGGTTAACATTGTACAGGCCCAACATATGGGTTAACATTACTTCCAGTGTAAATAATATTTAATCAATTAAATGATAGATCAACCCTTGTTAATCAACAACCAACCTTCATTTACAATTCAACAATCAACTCTAAGTATACCTATAAGTAAGTCCACAATTAAAGTGAATAATCTTGTAAATTGTAAGCTGTACTTGAAGGCAATAACCATTGATTGTGTATACATAAGCTGTTGCCTGTTTAAGAGATTCAATTGTTTTAATCAGAATTGTAAGAGTGTAAATTGTTACTATTAGACAGTGTAAACATGAATAAAGAACTGAATTAAAGATGATTTCCGTAAATAATGGTTCAACATTAGTTGATTAAATGTCTGTTGGTGTAGTTTAAGTTTCATCTGATTTTTAGATGTTCAATGATTACAATCAAAGTAACCTTAATCATCTTCATCTTACTCATTGTTATATCAACATTATTCTCAAGTGTTTATCAAAATTATTGATCACAGTTAACCTGTAATCATCCATTGTACAGTTAATAGTTAAGGTTTGGCAATTGAAAATCAGTGAATGAAGTAAAGACAAAATAACGAGAAAAAAAAGGATTAATGATTGTAAGTCAATGTTGATATTATATTTATCTAACAATCTAAATCCAATCAATGTTCATTCATCAGTGTAACTGATTCACATGAAATTCAATCATTGGGTTTGTTTCCTTCCAGTTAGATGATTTACTTTTGATTGTTTACTATTTGTTTTACCCAGTTAATCATTAACAAGTTAACTCATTGTTTCCAATCAGATCTTTCCGTTTTCCTAATCATTTCCTTACCGATCATCTTCTAATTAACACACAATTTGCTCTGTTAATCAACAATAATTGAAGTTGCCATTTTAAAATTAATTATTTCATTCATCTTGAGTTGCAACAAAATTACGATTATTTTGTTAACTTGCAAGTTTAAGGTTTAAAAGCAAAGGCAAACCCAAAAAAAATGTTTCTCAGCTGATCTTTTGATAAAATGATCAATCAACTTATTGTTGCCATTTGTAAACTAAATCAACACCTTTACGGTTGTTGATCAAGTCTTGCCGGTTGATTAGATTAACTTTGACTGGTTCAAGTTAAAGGCCATTCAAATGAGACTTGATAAGAAGGTGAATCAACGGAATAGCCAACAATTGAAACTGCTTAAGGACAAAAAGATGGATTGGTTAGATTTTTATATTTGATCATTTGATTGATAAGATGACTTGGTTAACAATCCTTAATTTATTACCAAAGCAGACCAGTTATTCATTGAACACAATGAAATCAGATACAATCAGGAGTGGTTAACATGATTTACTTTTTTTGTTATATCAACTAATCAGTTTGATAACAATTGAGATTGATTTTGATTTAGCCAAATTCAAATGGATTGGTTGAAGAGATAGGAATCAATGAGATTTTGATGATTTGTTCAAACAAAATGATTTATTTTTTAATTTTTAACCGATTTTTGGTAAAATATCAAATTCAATTTGAGCGCTTTTTTACTTAGCGTTGGCCACTTAACGCTGATTGGTGCTTTTATGTAACCATGAAGACTGCTTTTCATGTCAAATGAAATGTCAAACAACTTGACGTCTTTAATAAACCAGTAAGTGGTCAAACATGTTAGCCAGAAGACAACATGACCATCATCGTAATCATCATCTTTGAAAGATGAAGATTAGTTTCACAGGAATTGAATCTCCTTGACTTACTTGTCATTTTGATTACCAATTTTTGCTCTAATAGATGTCCATACATATCAAGACTGGTTGCTTGATGATCATCATGGTTTTTAGGTAAATAATGGTCATCATCTTTTCTCAATCACTTAAAATTAACATCATCATGGTCAACCTCTTCACCATCATCATCATCATCATCGTCTTCAACAAAAAGGATTTAACCAACACATCAAAAGCTGAAATGGACATTGTTTTTTTGCTTTTCTGGTTTTTAGGTTTACAGAATGGTCATGATGCAAAGTCAAACGTTCAGATCATTTTTATCACCAACATTTTCACCACCATTTTTATCATTGCCTCCATGATCACCCAGAAGGAAAACAGAAAAAACAGAAACAAATATTGATTATCAAACAACTACTTGATCTTTACTGTTACCAGATGACTGCAACTGAGTTTGTAATGTTTCGTCCCTTCAATTACTCCGATCATTACTTTTGATGGTAGAAACTATTAAATCAACATTTAGACGTAATTAACTTTCACTTGACCAATTGATGTTAATTTGGTCAAACATTTGCTTATTTCCCATATAAATGCTCAACGGTCAACCTACTGTTGCTATTTAATCTGCAAAACCAACATTACAATCTTGCCGTCCTTTTTCAATGTTATTTAATATTTAATAATCAAAGGACAATTGAATACGAATGACAAGAAATGAAGGTAAAAAAGCAATTATAATTGCTTTCAACATTTGATTTGATACAACTAAATATCATGTTTCAATTGAAAGATCAAATAAAATTTGACATTCACTGATGATTGAAGGTAACAAAATAGCCTGAAATGAGTTTGACAAAAGCAAATGAAAGGAAAAGCTGAAAGGAAAGTACAAAAGTCAATCGAAATGCAGGCAAAAATGAAAGTGAAACTGAACCATACTGAATGATACTAAATAGAGAATCAAAGTTGGATATCAAGAATAATCAAAACTCTGAGCTTCAGGGTAAATTGAAAGTAAATAGAAAGATAACAAAGGAAAAGATGGCGAAGATGAATGGTGAAGATGAGGGAAACAAAAATGATAACTAATAACATGTAATATAATATTTTGTATCAATATCTTGAAACAAAGCAAGAAAATGATTTCTCCTGATGATGAGAACCATGTAATGGTCTATTCATCATTTATCATCATTTCTATGGAGATTCGTGTTAATCTTGAATCTTTATCTGACTTTGTTGCTTCTTCACTTTCCATGTAAGACTTATCATTAGATGATACTTGAAGTAAAGGTAAAGTGAATTAACCTTCATTTTCATCCTCTTCTTTACCATCATTATCATCATGATCAGGGTGGAAATGAGCTGAAGAAACAGTAATAGCATGAGAAATGTTGAATACATTCTCATCCTTAGGGTATTAATTCACAGATATTAACCTTTATTGAGGTTTAATGAAAAATCGATAAAACCAATTGAAATGCTTTTCTCTTCACCTAATCAAGATAATTGTAGCTGAACTTGACTATAAAATTGATTATCAACCGTTCCAAGATTCATCTGTTTATTAAACATTTTTCTGGTGATGAACCAGTTTACCCAAAACATTGTCAACAAGATCATTATAAGGCTCATCTTTAATATCAATACACATTAACATAATCACTGGCAACATTAACATTTTGTATCAACATTTAACGATTTAGTTTAGGTTAACAATTAAATTGAATTAACAAGGAACCAAGATTAACGGAAATGGAATGAGAATTAAATTAAATTGAAAAAATCCATGAATTTGTGATCTTTTGATAAAACCATTTAATCTTTGGAAGCCAGTTGCTGTTATTGGAAACTATTAATGAGACTTTATCCAATGATGAGTCTCATCATTAGCTGTTTCCTGGTTCATCATCATCATGTTGCCATCATTGATCATCCTCTTCTTCACCATGGTAAAAATTCCTAATCCATTGTCATGCCACCAGATGATGAGAAAAGATTACACCTTATTATTAGATTTCTTTTCACTCCCAGTAACCAGGGATTCCTTTGCACTTTTTTTCCTCTCTCCTTCAATTGCTCATCTTTTTTTAAACTTTTCTCATCATTACCACTTAACACCTAATTACATTTAATTCTGACAATTTATTTCCTTGCGTTTTCCATTTGGAATCATTTCAACATTCCCTGCAAAGATCATCTTTATAATTGAACAATCTTAACACATCCAAGAGTCTTGAGCATAAGTACTCTGTTTACTGTTCACATGATACATTTCATGGCTATTGTCATGAGAAGGACATTTTCATCTCTTTTTTTTCTTGTTATTTACTTTTTTCAGGCTTGACTTTTTTTTCTTATTCCCTGAGCCGGAGGCTGAGCAATTTCCTGTTGCTCTTCATATCATCATTTTCAGAATCATCTTTGGAATCATTTTAAGAATCATTTTCAAAATCATTATCTTCATCTTCATGGTTTTGGATTCAACATTTCTAGTTATGAATGGATTGACTGGAAAGTGCAAAGTGACATTGTTAGTTTTGTTTTGCTGGATAAAAGGAAATCTTTGATTCAATGGAATCGGACATTTGATGGAAGAATAATAAGATTGATGATAAAGATTAAGAATATGGTTTGGTGAAGAGGAAGAAATTGGGATGAAAAAAGATAAGACAGGGAAGATGGTGGATATGGTGAGGGAGGATAAAATGAAGAAGGAATAACCATTACTATTTTGATGGAAACAAACTCTGACCTCAAACTTTTTTTTTCCTTCCCAATATAATATTGACATCAATTGACCATTAAAACAAAACATCAAAGACAAGGTTTAAAGTATCAGCAAAAACAACTTTTCCCAATCAAACATTGGCTTGGGTTAATAAAAGCTTTCCAGATTTGGCTTTAGTTTTGTTAGACATTAACATTGTTCAACATTGAACAGTTGATTGTTGCTACCAAAATGTCATTTCAGCTTTCAATTGTTTTGTTTTAAATAAGCAATAATAAATGTGAACATTCAAATGTTATTCAAGTGAAAATCCTTTATTTAAACCAACTTAAGTCATCAAAATAATCTTGATTAATATAGTTGCTTTATTGTCATAACAATAATGTAAAATAATGAGACGATTCGAGTTGATTTAGAGTTGAATCGGTTTAGTTAACATTGTATTATCAATAAGAATCAATAAGATAGGCATTTCGCGAAACCATTTCATAAAATTATCACAACCAGACAATTTCTGGTTCAAATAATAAAGCAACGTAACCTGGTTAAGCTCATTGAATGTAAATGATTTTCAAGTCAACTTTTAACCCTTTTTTGTTTAGGATCAACGAGAGTCATTGTTATCACAATTGTGATCAGAGGTTAAAATAAAAGCAAGTCAATGATGAGTAAAATTGGTAACCATTTTGATGAACCTTTACAATTTGAGTAAACTTGGTAAAGCTAAGCCAAGGGTTAATGAGATCGTTAATAATGATGATACAAAGCTCGGTGTGATAACAGCAAGATGAGCAAATGTAAAGCCAACATCATGTCTATCGATTCTTATTATAAAAAGGTCAACCTGTGAAGGATTCAAGTGTAAATTAGACGTTTCACTTTGTCATTGATTAACGTACCTCATTGATGAACTGGGATAACCGTGATCGAACCGGTAAAAAGGAAAGAGCATAAACTTTGTCAAATATTTTGACAGACAATTTATTCACTTGAACCAAATGGTAGGTCAACCAGAATAGGTACATTGACCCTCCGGTTAAACGGATGATATTTACCAACAGTGAATCAGTTGATTGATCAAAAAGGTTGCTAAAAATGCACAAACAGTAACCGACAAAGTATAAATAAAAGGCTGTTATTGCTGTTGATAGATAAGTGTTGATCAGTCGAGAACAGTTGATTACTTCAATGTAAATTGAACGGACTGAACGGACAAGAGAATCAAAGCCGTAATCATTGACCGATTGAATGTAATTCAATTCAAGTGACTGTAAAGACTCAAGACGATCCTCAATAATAATGAAAGCTGATTGAAGATGAACGGCTGTTTCAATCATAAATTGAAAAAACAAAACCCAACCAGACTGGGAAATGAAAAGGGTTAGACAATACCAGAGTTGGGGTTGGTTTAACTTGAAAAGTGAATATTTTTGCCTGTGATTGTTAATTTCAATGGCAATTATAATCAGTTCATAAATGATTGCTGCGACAACACAAATGCGATTAATTAGATTCCATTTATGAAGATATTTTGAAACTGAAAAACCATTGCTTTTGTTTTTTATGGTTTGCAAGTGAACCCAAAATTTGGTGAAATTTGACTTGTTTAAGATTAAATGTAATAAAGTAAAGCCAAGGCTTAAAGCGTACAATTTATTCCAGATTTGTGCAAATTTGGCTAAATTTTTGGCACCAGAAAGGTTGGACTGTTGGACCAGATTATTGTACAATCCAAGTGAACCTTTAACAATATAACCAGCTGAGACAAGTAAATGGACACATCGAGTTGACTTGTTTGACTGTAAAATTGACTGCATCAATATACTTGACGGTTTATCTGATGAATTTTCAGATGCAACTTTGTTTTCAGTTAACATTGTTATCTAGTTGAATCAATTGATCAACTAAAAGTGTCAGCTTGTTTGGCTCATGAAAGGAATGATAAACTCGATAAATTGATTGGTTGATATTTCATGAAACAGTTTGATAGAGAAGACTCATTTTTGTACATATTTAATGTCCCATTTTAATGATCAACTAATTGTTTTTATTTGCATAATTTAGAGTTGACCTTCTTTAGGTGAAAATATTAAAATTCATTAACAGATTTTATAGCAACATTTTTCATCCTGATTTTATCAATTGGACTCGTATTTTGATGTTGAACTTTCATGACTTGAAATTTTACTCGGTGGTTTTTTTTAAGTTAACATTCCTTTTTTATTTTGATATTTTTTGAGCACCTTTGGGCACTTAAACAATTTTGTCTACATTTGATATCATCAATTTATAATAGAAATATATTATTCATATTTATAAATATTTATAACAATTTGTTATCAACAAATTAAAATTTCATATCTTTTTTTGGGAGTTTCATGTATTATAACATATTGATAAGCAACACACAAAAGTAGAAAACAAAGTGAAGATAGAAAAATGGAAACATCAAAAGGTGAACTTATTTGGTTAATCTAGTCAGTCTTGGGTATTAATGATGATTAACCGGTTAATCCGATGGACTTTGCAAGTTAAACAGGCGCAACGAAACAAAAACAGTTCATTAATTGTTCAGGTAATAACATGAAGCACAAAGAGGTGATATGAAGTCAAGGTAGGCTTCACATATTTTAAAAACAAGACACAAGATCAAGTTTATGATTCACTATGTACAGGGTTTTGGTTTCCGTTTGCTTACAAAGTGGACTTAATTCACTGCGACATCGTCCTCCAGAGCCTTTTTTGGCCTTCACAAGGGTGAATTATGTCCCTTCGGTAAGAAGCACCCAACATGGAGAGAATCCTATTATTGTTGCTTGATCGTTCATTATGAGTATTAACATTATTATTGGTAAAAGAGTTCACATTATGATTGTTGTTGGCTGTAATTAAGGGCTGTTGATGCTGCTGGGAAGTTTGATTGTTGACAGAGTTATTATTATTGACATTATTATTATTACTATTATTATTATTGATGTTGTTATGATCACTGTAATAATTTGGTGTCATTTGATATGGTGGAGGTGGGTCAATAAATCCAATTGTCGGTGGATTAATATAAGATGATATGGTTGGTAAGTAAGAGTCAAGGCGAGTCCCATTTGCTGTAATCAACTGTGTTGGTGGTGAAATTAGATTGGCATAAGGTGAAGCTGAAGATGTCTCTGTTAAATCAAATAAATTGATTGACGTTGTAGTTGCTGATGGTTGAATTGGCACTGATGAATTTGTTAAAATGGTTGATCCAACACAATTGGTTTCTGGGTTAACATCCCCATGACCGGCTGACATTCGATATGAATGAGTCTCTTCAATCTCTAATCCACCTAAATGTCGTTTGAAAAATTTTCGGCAACAAACAAATCCTAAAACAGTCAACATCACTGCCAATATAAAGGTCACTATGGTCACTGTGAACATGGTCGATGAACTGAGAGGACAATCGACATTAAAATAACAATAGATGACAAAACCAAAGGTGATTAGCATCGTAATAACCAATGAAGATTACACCAGGCAATGCAAAAGAAAAGGGAAAAACAAAAAAGTAAAAGATTAAAGGTTATAAGACTGACTTGCGAATTGATTAATGGTTGATTGTTCACAATAATTATATACTGTAGAGTACCCAGTTAAAGCAACTTGTTTCCAGTCTACATCTAGTGAAAATGGCTCTCAAAAATGGCATCGCTTGAGATTTAGGTAACGCAAGGATTCTTTAAATTGAAATAACTGTGTAAATTTTCAAAATCATAGATGTTGAGCGTAAAAATTGAACAATTTAAAGAATCCTTGCATTACCAGAATCTCAAGCGGTGCCATTTTTGAACCCTTTTTCACTAGATGTAGACTGGAAACAAATAGCTTTAACCGGATACTTTAAATCAAAATAGCATTTGATAATCAGTTAAACTAATTCAGTTTCTGGTAAACATTTTCATTTGCCGCTTTTTAATGGCGTCTCGACTAAACCAAGGAGGGAAAGTGAGAGCCCTCTGATAGGGTTTATATCAACTTGCAATTGTAACCAATTTTTGAATAAATGATTAAAATGGTTGATTGCTTTCATTTAAAATGAAATAATTAAAAATTGCAAATAAAATAAACCAAAAATTAAATTTAAACTCAAGTCAAGTATGATATTTGCGTGTATAATGTCACGGTGCTTCAAAAGCACTCGCTTAAACAAGAGCACTTGCAAGCCACTTGTCGTGACTCCATGGGTTACTGTTTATGGTCACTTTGACCTTTTTTCAATCGGTCATCAGCGAAAAAGTTCAATAATATTTATAAATTTCTAAAGAAATGACATTACACGCGGATCCGGTAATTAAAGTTTATCAAGCAGATTGTTATTAGACTGTAACTTGATATTAATCTTGAGCCAATTTCAATTTTGTTTTTACATAATGTTTACAATACATTATCCATGTTTGTTCACTATCGTATAACATTATCATTTATGTATATTAGATCAAATAATAAATCAAATATCATTATTTTGTCAAACAAAAATTGTCATTCCTATTACATTATCAAATTGTTGAGTCAACCTTTAAAGGTAAAGAGTTGACAAAATGGTAAAAGATGGTAAAATAAACGCACAGAAAATATTTCAAAATAAATTGCTTTTCAACAAATCAAACAACCAAACTAAAAATGTTAACATTAATTCAATTATTTGCAATAAAACATGAAAAAAAGAAGAAGAAACGAATTGAATCACAAATTGAACATTGATCAACCAACTGGTCAAATTGGTACAGTTAAACATAAATTAACATTAATCAACTGAAACAGAGTCAAATCAGTAAATGCAAGTTTCATAAGCTTCACAAATACTTGCAAGATGAATTATTTAAGGTTAAAACAGAAAGCAAAAGGTAAAGATTGAATGTAAAGATAATTGTGAACAAAAACAACCTAATTGTAACAATTAAACTCACCTAATATAAGACACATTTGATCCAAACAATTCATTTTCCTCCTTTGAACCACAACAATATTTATGAACAGTTGATCCACAGCAGTACATTTTCCTTCCCTGTGATTTTGGTGGACAATAGAAACCAGCACGCCATTGACCACTTTTATCAATATAACCGGGACAATATTGGATTCCAATGGCTAGCAATCAAATTGATTAAAATGATTAGGAGAAACAAGTAAAAGGCGAACGCGATTGTTGGACAAAATGAAAAATTCAGCTTTGCTTTTTCAGTTTTAAAAGCTTTTGCTTTTCACTCTTATTTGTCAACTAATTTAATTACAAAAATTGTAATTACAATTGATATGAGAAGGGAAATGAAAGGTAAAAATGAAAGGCTTACATGACAAAAGTAATTAAATGCCAATCAAATATAATTACTTACTATTTGAGTCTCCATCAAATGGTGACATTGTTTATCAACAAGTTTCAATGTTTTTGTTTTGGTTTCTGGTTAAGAGAAGCACATTGATTTTATACAATAAATGGTGACAATTAAGAGCAAATTAAGGCCAAAAGTTTGATTGAAGAAGCAAAGAGTTGAACGTATTTTTGTTTCAACTTGTAACTGTAACAAATGTTTACGCTTTCAACTGGATTCCTTTCAATTGACAGTGTTATTAACATGATGGAAATGATATAAAAATGAATATCAACATCAATTTTTGCAGTATAAAGATTGTTAAAGGTAACTGTTTAACTTTCATGTTTGATGATCAAGTGAAATACAATGGCAAGGGTAAAAAAGGATTGAACAAAATGAGGTTGCCAGGGAAAGAAAAGGTGAAAAAAGCAGAATGAAAAAGTGTAATGAAAGACTGGAATGAAGGTTGAAACTGAATTGATAGCTGGGAGTTGAAATGTAAGGTTACAAGCGCATGTCTGGTCACAGTATAATGTTAATAATATGATAACATTTGTGTGTTTTGATAACGCTGGTTAACAGGCAGTCTAATGAGATAACAAATGAGCTTCAATCATGGAACAAGGAATAAAACGATAACAAAGCTCAATATGGATAACAATTGTATAACAATTTGATAATGTTCAAGTAAACATTGATACAACTAAACATCAGATGCAGTCGATTGCGATAACTCGACGATAAATCATTTTTAGAACTTTTTTCACCGTCAAACTGAGAAATAGGAAACCAGAGATTCATATTATTCATCATTTTCAATTTTACAATTTAAACATTTCAAAAGAAAAACCATGAAAAATCTCAAAATTCATTTTTCGCTTTTTTAATTTTTGTTTTATTCTCGGATTGAAACTCGGATTTGTTGTTTGTCTTTTAAAATAGCAAATAACAGTTATAAGATTATGTGCTGAGTTTAATGGTTAAAATATGTTCAGAATTTTAGATTTGGTGCAAATAGAAATTTCTTTTAATTATCGAAATTTATGATTTCTTTATGAATTTAATTTTGATGTCGGATTTGAAAGCAACAAACATCGCCTAAAACTGGAATCTTTGTGCTTCTTTTGGTTTTGTTGGATTTGTTTGACTTCAATTGAGGATATGTTTTGAATCCAAAGGTGATTAAGTCAAAATTTTGAATTCTTTTGATTTTCGATTTTGTGATTCCAAGGAATGAGAAATTTTATTTTTGGTAAGATTTGGATTTGGAAGAAAACGTAAGCTAGAAAAATTTTGAGGAAAACTGGCAATTTTTGGCTTCTTTTGATATGGTTTGATTTCAATTGTTGGGCTGAATTTTGGATTTATTTTGAAGAATTGGATTCTGGATGAAAATTCAATTACTGGCAGATTAAAGAATGTTAAATGTGAGGAAAAAATTACGTGAGAAACGATAATCTTTGGGTAAAATGGTTATATCGCCATTTATTAATAGATATGATAACTTGATAATAATGATGATAATGATTATTACTCTCTATTAGCTGAGTAAATAGAGTTGAGTGGAAAGGGAAATCTTGAAAAAAGCATCTTCTCAGTGTTTGTTTACTGAGAAGAGGAAAAACAATGGGAATGACAGGGAGTGAAGATGATGGAGCTGGGAATGATGGGAATGATGAACAAGACTGGATAACAAGGGAATTGTGTTAACATCTTATCTGGAAGAGTGTAATACCTGTGAGTAGCTTTAAGGTTTGTTTGTTATACCAGTTAGATAATAGAGTTGACATGAAAAGGACAAACTGAGAAATGTTGAAAACCATGAAAAGTGAACAAATATTTATCGCAATTGTTAAGTTACTCTTGACGATTATTTGCCTCACTACAGATGTAAAAGGGTTGAAGAAATAAAATTTTGTTATAAAACTCGATCAAGATTGACTGAAAGATTTCAGAGTAACATTGAAAATCGTTCAACTATCTTTAGGTTAACCCAGTTCTGCAATTTCATTTGCAAATTCAATTCAACTCGGTGTTTCAATTTTTGATTTCAATTCCATGTCAGACAAAAGAAAATGAATTTTCTCTTTCAAATGTCTTTTGTTTTTCACTTGGAAAGGTTTAAATTGTGATGAATTAGGATGAAATTAGTTTCAACTTTGATTTATTGAATTCCATTGGAAACAATTGTTCAATTGTTACGTTTTTGGAATAAATTTTTATCCTTTTCTCGATCATTTCTTGGAACTTTTGTGTTTCCATTTTCTGTATAAAAAATGATTTGTTTGATTTATGATTGAAAGAGGATTGAAAAGATGATCCAACAAGAGGATTTAATGGAGGATTTGTTTTTCCAATCAACCATGATAATCTTTCCATTGAACTGCATCTTGAATTTCATCTGATGATTAAAATGTTTTTTTATCAATCAATCAAAAAATGTAATCCAATTTGGTGGAGAAAAGAGAAAAAATGAACAGAAAATCATTTTTTTCATGTCATTTTGCTTTTCATTTTTCTGCTTCTGCTTTTTCCTCAAAACTGTTGGCCTAATTTTGTCGTTTTTTGGTTCCTTTTTTCACTTCTTTTTGCTTTTCTTTTGGTCAAAAACCAAGTCTAAAATGGTCAATCATTTGTAACTCATTCATCATTGAAATTAATTTAATGCAATATTTGAAACATTCATTTACTTTGACTGGACTTTTTGGGTTAAAATGCGTTTTCTTGGCTTTTCATCTTTTCTGGTTAAAGTCATTGCAGTATTAATATTTATTATACCCAATAATGATAATGTAATATCATAAATAGCAAAAAATGATAATCATTTTTGGGCTTCATTTCACTTCTTTCTTGGGATAAAAATGTATATTTATTCACTTTCAGTTATACATTATCATTATAGTGAAAAAAGGAATCAAATAGATGATTGATATTCATAAATATCATTATTATTATTTTATCAAAGTTATTTGCTTAACCACAGTTTTCCAAAGTCAACTCTTTTGTAGTTAATAAAAGCAATTCAAGTTGATCAACTTTAATCAACAATTGTTAAGAGTTTCATATTAATGCTGTTCAAGTGGAGTCACTTGAACCACTAAACCAAGTGACAATCAAATGGCATCAATATTCAACTATTTGACCAGCAATTAACTCGATTATCCAAAAATCAAACTCGATTCCATTCAACATAAAAATCTATTAAAATTAAACTCCAAATTCAACCTTAAATATAACATTAACCTTTAGATTGAAAAGAATTGCAAAGCTTTGAACAATTGAAATATCATTTTACATTTGAATCGATTGAATAAGGTTTGAATATGCTTCATTCCAACAATTAATCATTTAATTTCCAAACTTTTGTCATTTAATTGTAAAAGCAAATTCATTTTTGAACTGAAGTTGACTTACTTTGCTCAAGTTTAGTCAAACTGTAAGAACTTTGTTTGAAATTATTGATTAAAGATTAAATTCAATTGAAAAGTGTAAAGCTTCTCCTTGGCAAAGTTAATCTGTTTATTTGTTGACTATGTTAATCAACTAATCAATAATGTTCAACTTCGAACCGTTGAATAATTTTAGGAAAAAAAAACGATTTTGTTCATCATTTACTAAAGTCAATTTTGAATTTTAAATTAGCTTATTATTATTATGGATATTTAGTAGATTATAGAGCTCGTAATTATGATGAAAAGTTATCATCATTATTAATGTTTATTATGCAAATACATTATTAGATGAAACTGGAATTGATTAAAGTTTAATTTGAAAGTGAAATGTAAAGCGAGTTTCAAATCATTTCGTTTTCTGGTTAATTTTGACTTTTAATGCAACTTTAGCTGTCAAATAACGGCCATTTCATTGAATTGAAAAGTTTGATGGTTTAATAGTAAATTGCTTTCTTTGCTGTGAACAAACTTCACTGAAATGGGCAAAAGATGATAATAAAATAACTGAAAGGAAGCAAAATTTCATTTCTTTTCTCAGTTCAACTGAGGATATCACAGTAAATAACATGCTGAGATTATTTGAATTGCTTTGAATATAAAAGATGTTATTACAATGTATTGAATGGTTTACATTTTAAAAACAGAACAATTTTATTCAGCGAATGTAATAATCAATAAAATCAAAACTGTTGCCAAATGATCAAAATTGGCAAATTGTTAGTTGTAAAGAGCAACGAAAGACATTGAAATTGAATTGTGATTTTTCATTTATTAAAACAGTAAACACATTAAAAACATGTTTCTGTATTGATTGTTCAAACAAGACATGAAATTGTTTGAAAAATGGTCTAAAAGAGCAAGGAAACTGGCATCAATGGCTTTTCTTTACCTTTTAGCACAGTTTCTGCAATTTTGCTGCAGTTGATCAACAATTTATCGCTTAAACATGTAAAAGAATGGTCAGAAATAGTTATTATACCGTTATAATATCTGTTCTGTTTGTGAATTCATCTCTAGACAGTCAAAGATTCTCAAAAGATGATCGTTTATTAGCTAAAATGGCTACAATCTTTGCGAATTGAAAACATGCTGATGAAATATGCAAATGCTTACTAATGAGATCGTTGATACTAATGAAATGATTGCTATTGTACTTTAAGAGTTATTTGCCAGTTTTATTGTTCTCAGAAGTTTAAAACGATAGATTTTTAACATTTATTTGTTCTTCTCGTATGGAAAACAAATTTAGTCTCAACTAAAACTCGGTTTCAGTGGATTTGATTAAGCATAATCGAGATCAGATTTAAAACAACAGTGTTTGCTTTGCAATAGAAAAGGTAAAATACGATTCGAAAAGAACACGAATAAAGTGTTTTATTTTGAATCTGAGTGAATATCATAAGACTTGCAACCAAACACTTGCTAAGCATTCATAAGAGTCTCAATGCGACAACTTAACGAATTGTTTGCATAAAATTAGCTCGAGTCTTCCAGCATTCGCTGAGTAATGACTTTTAATTTTTATTCTGTGGCTTTAGTTTTTGAGAAACAATGGATCTCCAAATTACGAGTCTTTTCTTTACCTAAGCAAGTCTAACGATCATTTTGCATGCAATTTAGTTTAGCTCTAAGTTTTGATCTAACTCTAACTAAAGTTTCAACATCATTATCACCAACTCTCTATGTACATGAATGCATGTGCGATCTGTTTGTCAGCATCTTTGAAACACTGGAGCAAAGTAAAACGATACCTTTCAGAAATGGACGTGAAAAGAGCTCTTGACGCTGTTTCATTCGAAATTTTTTAACAGTAAAGAGATCGAAGTCTTTGAAGTCAAATCAGTGTTCCTCTGAGGATGCTGAAGGTGCTTACTTTGATTTACCACAATTGCAGTCAATCTCGACCTGGAATTGACTCAAATCTCGAAATGTATTTGATAGCATAAAAGTTAAGAGCATTTTCATACAAAAAGTTAACTTATTTACATTTGATATTTGAAAACATCATTTCTTGAAATGGTTAAAACGCTGGAGATTTGTAAAGCGAGAAATAAAATTTCTAATGAAAATACGGATAAATTTGCCATCAATCATTCAATTGCATCAACAATTTTACAATTTACAGTTGATGCATTTATATACTGATTAGATGTTTGATAGAACTCGTTAGATGCGTTTGTTTAACTAAATTATCTGATTTTCGGTTGGGAGTGAATTTTCACTCCCAATAAGGGAAAACAATTTCCAATGTTTCCTTTCAATGAAAATAACAAATTGTAAGCAAGGTTTAAAAAGCAATAATAGTTGAATGTTATCATGTGTAAGAGTAATTTGAAAAGTTAAACTTTTGAACCAATTGATGAATTGAATGGTTCATTAGATTTACTTTAAAGTTTCACGATTATTTGTTCACAATCAACTATGAGAAAAGTATCTTTTGTTGTTAAGGTTAGTTGCTCTGACAATGGAAAAGGTTGAAATTTTAAATTTAAATTGTTGCTCCAATGATTATTGTAACAATTACTTTCTACTTGAACGATAATTGTTTTGCAAGTAGAAACTGGTAAAAACCAGGAAAATTTTTCTGGTAATGATCATGTTAATGAGACTATTTGTATTGTACAATTTAATCATTGATTTAAATTTAAAATCTGTACAATTGTCAAAAGTCAATGGCAATTTACAATTCAAATGAACGACAAATTAGGTTTGGGTTTTAAAGGTTAAAAAACTGGTTAACTCTCAATCATTTTACTTTTCAATTCCAACTTTCCATTTCATTTTTTCCCATTAATATTAGCTTCTCCTATTAATGTAACAACAAGAGTTTTAAATGTAAATTTACAATCAAATTGCAATAAATAAGACTTTATAATCGCAATGATCAAAAGTATACATTAATGGATTGGGTTTGAAGGCGATTTAAAGGTTTTAACCTTAAATTGTCCAAATTTATGTTAACTGGAATTGAATTATTCTGGTTTAAATCAATTGCAAAGGTATAATTTTAGGTTTCAACTGATCGTAATAAAATGGTTTAAAGTATTGTAAGACATGAAAAGGTTTAAGGTTTGAATTGATTTGAGAACAGCTTTGAGATGATTTAAACAATTCATTTAATGGACAAATCAATCACAAAGGCTCAAGTAATCCTTTGTAATATGATCATTATAATTGTCAGTTAATTAACTGTTTTTCGTTGAAAGAGGAGTAAATAATGATTAGCTGATCAACAAATATGCCAATAAGATGATTAACATTATTATTAAAGTCACTTCAATCATTGGAAGTACAGTAATCAAGCGAGAAACAAAAATAAGCTTTTGTAAGGTAATTACGAATGTATTACAATATGATTGAAGGTAAATTGTCGATCAACTGTTCACTGTTTACAACATTTAACTTTCAACGTTAATTTGATTATCAATTTACATATTTACTGGTAAAGAAAGGAGTTTTGTTTATGAATTTTAATGTTGGTGAAAATGGATCAACATTTGATTATGAGTTTTAATAATCATTATGTTGATGTTAATGTTTCATTGTTTATATTTAGTTAGTTAATCATAATTTGCCATCTATTTTGTTGTCATTTTGCTGTTGACTTTGGCTAATGATGTAAATGAAGCTGCCTTGTTATAAATATTGCAAGTTTAATTAGATGAATAACTAAATGAAATAACTTAATTAACATGGAACGTTATTTTTTAACCTAAAAATGTATCATTGCTGTTGTTTAGTTATTGAATTTGATGTACCATTTAAACGAGAATAATTGTTTCAATCGAGTTTCTGATTAACAGGAAATTTAATTAATATGTGAAATCAATCAATGAATTTAAGCGTCATTTTAGATGTAAATCTATTGTTCAACCTTAAAAGCCAATTACAGTGTTGTTTAAATATTTGCTTGTAATTTTGTTTGCATTTTGTTTCATTATTGTTTTAATCATTGTACTAATTGGATAAGACTTAAGTATTTTGTATTAAATTGTTGTCAATAATGTAATACAAAAAAGGTAAGTAAACATTAAATTTTGGAGTCAATACAGTTTACATTGGAATCATTTTAAACACATTTTTTGAGACAATTAAAGTTGGTTATTTGATTAAGTGTTGGTAAATTTAGATGAGTTGTTTCTTGTCGCTTGATTGTGACTCTACCTTGGAGGTGAAAATGGTTGGAAGATGTTATTTTTGTTGTGCCTTTTGTGTTCCTTTGGTCTGGCTTTGGAGGAGAAAGGTGAAGATGAGGAAGGGATGAAGATGAGGATAAGTTTATTGGGTGGCTTATTGGGAATCTCAGGGAAAATAAAGACAGACAAGTGAACAATCTTGTTAACAAAGCTTTTAACAAGAAGTAAAACTTAACAGAGGAAGAGGAAGAAGAGGAAGAAGAAGGAGTAAAAAAGATGAGCAATGGGAAGGATGGTGAGGATGGAGGTTTTTAGGTTCTGGTAAAGTTAGTGTTGAACGAAGTAAACAGTGATTTAATTTACTTTGAGAAAGAGGGAAGAAGACAAATGATGATGCCTTGGAGGAGAGTTTGCTGGAGATGTCAAAGGCATTTGGAAGCTGTTTCTTAATGGAGTGAAATTAAGTTTATCAAAAGGCTAAAATGGAGTGAAAAAAAGCAACATTAACTTCATTGATTATTAGCCTATTAATTTGTTTTGACTTGACTATTTGATTGTAAACATGATAATATTTTGATAGAAGCCATCAGTAGCGATAATTTGCTCTTGATTTAGTCACAGTTTTAGGTGATGCTTTAGTTGTTGGATTGTTGATTGGCAGTCACTGTTAGTTGGCTTGATCTTGCTACAATTAACTTTTTAATCTGGATGTGAGTTAGTTGTAGAGGATTTACTTTCTCATGGTAAAGTTCATAAATAAATCTTGTTCTGTCTCCGTTTCAGTTTGTAGTTTTCCTTCATTTGTTATTGATCAAAGAGCTTTACTTTTGCCAAACCTGGAATTAACATAAAATTGTAATTAGTGATTTTTCAATTAAATTAGGTCTGGGAAATGGGAATGGATGTGACAGAGGAAAGGTTTAATCATTGAAAGTGTCAGGGAGAAATGAAAAGATATTGAATTAAACGCCTTTAAGGTCAAGAGAAAACAAATTTCCTTTGACAAGTTTAATCTTTTCAAGACTTTCTTGAGATCTCATTTTGGATACAAAATTGACAATTTAAGTTGTGTTAAACTAACGAGAAGAAATATATTTATATAAATAGGAGAAGATTGAAATATCATTATTTTGTTTTGTTCAATGTTTAAAATGGATGGGAATGGGAAGAGATAAAAGTGTGAAAATGAGAAGGTTTATCATGAAGAAGGTAAAAAAAGAGAAGAAAAGAAGATTAGGAACATTTCTTTTATTCTGCTTCCTTTTTCCTTTTTCATCTTCTCAGGGATTTAAAGTCCATGGATCAACAAGCAAAATCCTTTTTTTCAATACCATTTTCAGGATATTTGTCATTTCTTTTTGTTTTTCCCCTGCCTTTCCATTTTCCTCCGCTTCCATTATCGACATCACCAATCATCTAATCATTTATCAATATGATGAAATTGATTAAGTATTTTCTTGCACTCCATGTTCCAGCCATTTCACTTGAGGAATGTTTCAAAATATTTGTTGAATTATGTTTTGTTGTTGAGTTTAAATGAAAATTGGATCTTGTAACGTTGAGTTGTACAGTCCTTTTTGCCTTCATGGTGACAACATGAAATGAAGCTGTTAACGTTTTGCTGATTCAAGTCACATTCCTAAATCTAACGAGAAAGAGAGAAAGAGAGAAATGATAAAAAGACAGGTAAGAATGATGATAGTTATGATGATCTTGGTGATGATGATGATGATGATGATTTAGAGAAGAATGAATGAATAGAATGATAAAGGGAATCACTCAAAATTGATTCTACCGTTCCATTGAAAGAGATAGAAAAGCTAAAGAAAAGTGAGAAGAAAGGAAAACCAATGAATAGCAAATATTTTGCTTCGCTTCATTGTTATCTGATTCCAACAGGGGAAAAGGCAATTCAACAGTCCGATCGATAATTTTGCTTGACTCTTCCTATCTTTCATTCTGTTTTTTTCTCCTTCATATATGTATTATCTATTTCATCTTCACTTCAGTTTTTCTCCTTTTCACTTTGCTTCTTTATTCCTTCCAATATATTCAATTCTGCCTGTTTTTTTCTCCTTCTTCTGTAATTTTTTGCTTCTCTTTCTCCTTTCCTCTTTTAAGGTGTTTGATTTATCACTACATGACTTCCGGGCTTCCATGTTTTGTCTTTTGTTTGCTGTTGAATTTCATTGGAGGTACACATTGATAAAGTAGAACATGATTTGAGAAAAGTGAAAATGGTAATAAAAAAACAAATTGAATTGAACAAAATGAACTAAATTCATGTGATGTGTTGGTAACATTGCGTGTTGACAGAACTGTGAAACAGTTTTGTATCTCACTGTTTTTCATCCATCTTTCTCTATTGAATGGCAAGTTGAATAACAAAAATTGGTGTCTTCTTTTAAATAGATAGAGTTGAAAGTTGAAATGAAAAATCTGAAAAAAATGGAAACAGGGAAAAGAAGAGAAAGAGAAATGTTATTTGATGAAAAAAATGGAATAAAATCTGTTTTGCTTTTTTTCCTTCTTCTTCAGTTCATACCAAGATTACCTTAGGAGTAATATTTTGTGAGCAACCGTGTTCAATATGATATTAAAAATAAAGTAGAATATTTCAAGCCAATTTTCATGAATCATATTTTACTCTTTGTGAGTATATTTATATAGCAGCAAAAAAAGTAGCAAACAAGAAGTATGAAAAATGGCATCTCCAATAAATCCCTCTTTTTCACATTTCATACTTTCCTTGCCTCCAATCAGATAAAACTGTAAATATAACAAATGAAAAAAAGAGTTAGTTCAGTAGAAATAGAATTGGCAGATTTATCATGATTTACCTTTTCAGTTGATTGTTTTGCCAGCATTAGGTAAAAAATTTAGGATTCATAGAGTTTACAGGTTTCCCATGAACTTGAATGTAAAATTTTGTGGCCTGAAATAAAGTGTAAAAATCATGTGAAGATGTGTTTAAAAAATGTAAGAAAACAATGTATACTTAAACCTTGGTGATGTTGTGTTGACATGTGACAAAATCAGCATCAACATCTAAAAAAGATAAACTTGCAAGACTTTTTTATGGTGATAATAATAAAAATAATGATAAAAGAAGATACCTCAACATTCAATGCATCATTATCATGTTCATCATTCTAATCATCAACATTCGCTGTTCAGCCAAATTATTTTGCACCGTTTTACAATCTGGTTTTTTTTGTTGGCAAAAAAAGTAATTTCCAGGCAGCAATCTTCAGCATATCCATTGAGTATTTCGTTTTCACATGAACATTTCAGATCCTTTTTTTTCCAAGAAAAATGGTCTTCTTCATGGATAAGTTGAAGCAGTAACAGGAATAGTTTTCCTCTCTTTGCATTTCTTTTCCTATTTTTCACCCTAAACTTGATACTGACGAGATAAGATTGAGAGAAATAATAAAAGTTTACATCTTTGAGTTTGCTCAACAGGGAGTAGAAAAAAGTTAGGATGAAAAAAATGAAGAAAATGTTTTTTTTCATCATTTATCTAAAGTAAAGAAGAGTGCTGATGATAGAAGCTTTGAACTTCCCTTAAAGAGTATTCATCTCACTATAAACTATTATTTCTGTTTCTCATCTTCTTTTTTCTTCTTCCTTTGCTCTTCCTCCCTGTTCTACCTCGGTCTGAATTTCTTACATAAATGTTGTAAGAAAGAGAGGTAAATGAAGATGAAGAACGATGGGAAAGAGTTAGATAAAATGATAGAGGAATTTACTCCAATTTCAAGACACGAATCATGGTTGAACAATTCTCAATGGACTCTGAGTGGTTGACTCTGTATTCCATCCTAAAAGATAGTTGTGTGTATGGTTTATAAGGATATTTTCACCCAATGGCTTTAATCATGCTTGGTGGTTCCTTCTTTATTTTGACTGTCTTTGATTACTTGATGGACTCTTTGGTGTCTTTGTCTTTCCAAATGTTTTTGTTATTGTCCCCTGATTCCTTGATTCCTTGAAATATCTTTTTGTGCTTTTCACTAGCTTGAACCAATGAACAATCTGACATCTCTTTGCTTTGTCTTCCTTCCACCATTATTTATTTAAACCGTTGGGTTAATGTATATCTTGTAAAATCTTTTTCACTTTAAACATATGATCTTTACACTGGCTTCTCTGTCTGGTCCAATTACAGTAATCCCCATATTTTAATCACCGTTATCACAATAAAATAGCTTCTCATCCTATCCATGAAGTATCTCATGATCCGCAGGCAGAAAACTGGAATAAATGAAACAAAAAGATATAAAATACTAATTATTGTAATTGGTAAAACATTAAAATAAAAGAAGAGTTATGTTGAACAAATAAAAGCTACTTACATAACTATGACAACATGTAGAGTTGAATTTTTTTGTTAACCAATTAAAATGGACCGTTTAATGAGATACATTTTCTCATCGTCTGACTTGAGGGAATCTTTTTAATGCAATGTAAAAGATGAAATAAAATAAAAGCAAAATTAGATTGGCAAACAAAAAATTTCAAATTAAAAGCCTGAAGAAATTAACCAGAGACACAAATATTCAACCATCATGAAGTTGATCATGTTGAAACAGTAATTGCATTACACAGAAGGAGAACATTTTTTAAAACAAAAACACAAGATTAATTGTAACTATTTATGGACACAAAAACAAAGAAAAATATTAAATGGAATTTCTTTGTCAGTTGAGAAATACATTAATCATAATTAGCGGTTAGATCAAGTCGATTTTAGCTGCATTAGTTGTCATCTGATCATTTTCCTTCAATTAATCAATCAGCCACATTATTATTTTTAGTTTTGTTTCTCAACTGAAATGTCGCGCCATTCAGTGCATCTTTGCCATTTGTTGATTGTTTTTACATTTTCAAAGTTAATCCTTTCTCAACTGACTCATCAATTTTCTCTGTTGGACAATTATATTATCTGTTCATTATTTCAACTGTTTCATCTGAAGATTCCTTTGTATTGTTCTTTATTCAACGTTCTGTGAATTGGACAGTAATCGAGTTATTCTTTTGTTAACAATTAATTATAAGAAATAGAGGTAAGCAACCTGATGTGTTGAAAAGCAAGAAAATTATCTTGAATAGTGAAACTGTTTTTTTTTTGTTCACCAATTAATCATTAATTTTACTCTTTCTAGTCTTCTTTTTTGTTGAATTCTAGGTATTTTTGATGCTCCAGTTTTTCAATCTGTGGACAGGAAAATAAATTATACTCAACAAAGCAGAAGAAATGTGAAGGAGAAACATACAAATGATTCTTTGGATAAGGCTCGATTCAGGCAAGTTTAGGTTACATTTGTACTGAAGTTGAAAATCATTTAACTTGACATGACTGAGAAAACAGTTTTCATTTCATTCCTTAATTTTCTTTATTATTGTTTCTCACCCTTTTTCATGTTCTCTTTCTCTTTCTCTCCTTTCCCTTATCATGATCAATTTTTTGCTTATAACATCCACAAAATAGAACATGTTTAATACGGTTGCAATTGGTTTTGTGCCTAAATGATCTCAAAGCTAATGGTTTTTTTGGCAAATGGTTTTGACTTTACTCTATGGTAAAACTGTTCTGATCTCTTTGGTCCCTTCATTGGTGGGAGATCATTTGATGAGACTTATCATTTAATTGGATGCCTAGCTAATTGGAACCAACAATCAGAGCTAATTATTTTGGTTTGAGTTGTACATACATACATGTACATAGCTCCAACAGGAAGACTTGGAGAGGCGAAGAAATAAACTGAACTTGAAAGCCAGAGCAAAAAGGTTTTTACTAGCTGAATTAGCTGTGTGTTTAATACCTTTTTTATGTTTCTTCCTCTACTTTTTCCTCCCTGTTTCATGTTTTTTTCTCTCTCTCATACAGAAGGATTAACCATTACAAGGAAAGTCTGGGCTTCCGCAGATTGTTTCATTTGATTGAACTATTCAAGAAAATAATCAGATACCATCGAAAGAAAGATATTAACAGGAGTATACAATTAATTATATCACTCGAAAAGATTTTTTCCTCGATTTTTGTTCAATTCTGTTGATTAAAAGCTACAAGAGGAAAGTGGAAGTCAACTCTCTAATGTTCATTCAAGATTTCTCATTATACAGTTTGGATTTTACGTGTAAATGTATTCATACAGATCTAACGACACACGAATAATTTAATCAAACAATCATTGTTCAAAATGAAGAGACAACCAACTATTCTTTAATAATGGTAATCTGAATTAATTCATTCAACTTAAATCCTTTTGCATCTTTTCATTTCTTATGCATGTTAGCACAAGAAATTGTCATTGTCTCTCAAGTGGAACCAAATTTCTTCTAATTTCAACTCCATGTTATTTCGTCTTGTAACATTCATCTTCATCTGTTTCGTCCCATTTTTTCACTTCATAGAGTCAAATCTTTGATCTATTGATGTTATTCAATCCTACAATCTTGTTAGTTTCATCAATATTGTATTATTTTCACAACATGGAAACTGTTTCAGCATTTTTTTCACATACTTTTCCTCATTCTATCATTTTTACATCTTTTCCCTAACATACTTCTCTTATTTAGTAATGGCATCTTTTTCCCATTAATGTTGATGATGATTCCTATTAACTATCAAAAGCATTTCATTCATACTAAACAAAAATTTCAAAAGATGAATTGATTAATTTAATGACTGAAATGTTTTCAACTGAATTTTATATCTATACAGAGCTTGAACATCAACCCTTTTAAACTATAATTTTCTCTTGAACCGTCAAATCGATAATTTCATTAAACACATTTTTCACATTTTTCATCAAATCAAGTCTGATTACTTTTTGATACGTAATTAATGTATCTTTAAAGAGCGGCAAGAAAGGCAAAATTGAAAATTTCTTGGTAACAACGTAAAGGTTAATAACATTTGTTCATAAATTAACCGGTTAATAACTTTTTCGCTTTAATTAGCGCAATTAGTTAACATTCTTCAACAAATGAAAATTATACAAAAAATAATCAAAACTGGTTTGATTTGATTGAAAATCACTTGCTGTCGCCACTGGTGAATTGAATGAGCAATTTCCATAGCAACGTATAACTGCTGTCAGTTTGTTGATTTTTCTTACCTTGATTAATGCTGATCGAATTGCTGAGCAATTGAAATCATCAAATTACCCTCTTTACCTTCTTATCTTGAGAGGTTTCTTCAGTGTTCTATCAGCTACCTTCAAGTTTCATCTCTTTATAATTATCGACCAATTTTGCTACCTTTTCATTAAGAGTGTTTATTTTTTGATTTTTCATGTTTTACCGTTAAAAGTATAAATTTATTTACGCTAAACTGATTCGATTGACTAAATTAGTTATGGCAGCACTTAAACCTAAAGTTGTCTTCGTTTTAGGACCTCCAGGTTCCGGAAAAGGCACCCAGTGCTCAAACATAGTAAAGGTACGTTCAAAATGTTAAAATGTTAACATGTCATGCTGTTTTTTTGATAAAGAAACCTGTATCACAGACAATGCTCATAATATCCTTGAGTCCATCTTTTATGCTTTTCGGCATTTCCTTTCTTCATATCTCTGACTGATTGTTCTGACTTTATTGTTTTTTTACAGGAATTTGGATATGTTCATCTTTCAGCTGGCGATTTACTTCGTGAGGAAATGTCGGCGGAGGGATCTGAATATGGACAGTTAATTTCTAATCATATTAAAAATGGAACTATTGTTCCGGTAGAGATAACTTGTTCCCTTTTGGATAAAGCAATGGTTAAACACTGTTCTCAAGTCAATGGTACAGTTGCCGGAGATGCTTTAAACAGTGGAAAACCTAAATTTGAAGGAAATTTTTTGATCGATGGATTTCCCCGTAATGAAAATAACCTTGAAGGGTGGAAGAAAGCGATGATTGGTAAAGTTGAGGAACGATTTATGTTGTTTTTTGATTGCCCACAAGAAATAAGCTTAGAAAGATGTCTTAAACGTGGACAGGCTGGGTCTGGTCGCTCAGATGATAATGAGGAGAGTCTGAAGAAAAGATTGGTAACCTATTATAATGACACGCTTCCAATTATCAAATACTACGATTCGCTTGGGTTGGTTCGTCGAATTAATGCCTCACCAAGTGCAGATGAAGTTTATTCTGAAGTTAGAAAACTATTCCTTAATTGATAAACTTTCCTTGTCATTTTAGACACCTTCAATTGAAATTTCTTTCCGTATAACAGCTCTCAAATCTCCATGAGCTATTTTCTTAACTAAACTATTATCAGTCTCATGAAACTGAATATGTAAAAACTATTGTTTGTTGTTCAATTCCCCTTGAATTTTGTTCTCTATTATATTTTCTTTGTTAAGCTCAAATAGGAGAATCACCATACTGCTACTTTCATTGTCTTCACTAATTCAATTAATATGATGATTATCAATGTCATCTGTTCTTATAATAAGTAATTGGATTGACTAGACAAACTCCGCTGACAACTCAATCTACTTATTAGTCATATCCATCAAAATACTTGTCCAACCATAGCTCAATTTTAACCTTAATTGGATAACTATCTTTAGCTGCTACTCTATTCTGATATTGAAATAGATATAATTGTACAGTTTATATTAAATTTCAATGCTCGAAATTAGATACAATCGCTTTACTAGATGTTGTATTTCATTATCATTCTATCTCACATTATTCAATGAACTGAACTATTAAATCTTTTTAAAAAGAAACACTCTTACGAAAACTCTTCGTTTTCCGTTCTCAACTCGTCTATTGTGTTTATCTAATCTATAATTGAGTCAATTTTCACTACGATACACTTTTCGACGTGACGTGTAAGTTGGAAGCATTCAAAGTTTTGATTTGATGAAACACTTTACAAAATCTACAGGAAAAATCTGTAAATTGTTTGCTTCTGTTTATTTGATTAGCTGCATGATGTCAAGGTTTTTAAATTGCTAGGTTAGTTGGCAAGGCGGAACGACTAGCAGATGTAGCATTTCACGTATTTGCTAATGACGATGGATCGATTGACGCAAATATTGATATTTATCATAATTGTCAGTTTTTATTATTTTTGAGATGTGCAACAACAATCATATTTTATTTATTTATGTATTTATTTAGTTATCAATAGTCAACAGTAAAGATTTATACATGAATTCACACTACTATAAGAAAATTTTTCTAAAAGTTATGACAGATTATCAAAAGAACAATTAATACAAATTTTGACAATTTATAAATGCTAGTCAATTAATTCTTTGATCGACGATTTGAATTCTTGACCAGTTATTTCGCTCAATTCTCTTACTAAGAATAGACCTCTTTCTCGTTCAGTTAAACATTTCCAAGTATCTACATGAATCTGTTGAAAATATGAGATATTAGTAAAAAATAAATATTAATTGTACAAAAAAATATTGCAAATATTTTCGGTTTACTCACTCTAAGTATTTTGATTCCAAGCGTTTCCAATGTACGATACCTAAGATCCATTTCCCCTTTTAATTTATATGGTTTGACACAAAAATCATCATCAGTTGTTGGCAAGACAGCAACTCTAAGAATAAACAAGATAATGGAAATTAATATTTCATGAATTAAAAAAGACAACGAAGGATGAGTTCTTACAATTGACTTTGAGGGTCAATTTGATAATTATGGAGAAAAACGAGTCCATTTTGATCATTGTTACTTGTAACCAATTCGTTTGGTTTTCCATCTCTATTTATCATTATTAAATTATTAATGAAGTGACCATAAGATGTCCAAATATTATTGGCAACATTTTTTGGACCTCCACAGCATAATTTTAAATATGAAGATAATGATTTTTCGAATAGACTAGAACTGCGATTCGAATTGAGGTAAATTATTGCTTCTTCGATATAAGAATCCAAGGTTGATTTTAGTGTTGATGAAGTAACGTTCATAGCTTCACATTTTACGCCAATGTTTAGTGTCAAAATATCTTGGTAAAAGATGTGAAGATCCTTTTCGGGTTTGTCGATTATACTAGATGCTTCATGTTCTGATAGCTCTTCAAATAAATCGTGTTCTTTAAGAACTAAATAACTAATCAAAGTTTTGGTCGATGAATAAAAGCGACTCCCAGAAAGCTTCACATCTTCAATAAGAATAGGACAAAGAGTGTTCCAATCGACATGTGTTGGCTTCCAATTTAATTTTCCCATAATTTGAATTATATTACTTGATGATAAAGATGAATCCCATAAAAATGAATCTGGCTTGGACACAATAAGAGACATGACTTTTTCTACAGCTTTTAAAGAGTAGTGATTATATTTCATTCCAAACCAAAGGAGATCATCAAATGCGTTGAAATTGTCCAACGAATCAAGTTTTCCATAAAGTTCGTAAATACTATCACAGTATGATGAATTGTAGTAAATTTTATCGTCCGTAAGGCACATAGTCTTTAGAGTTTCATCAAAGTAATAATCCGGTTCAAAGTAAGCGTCCTTTAATACAGCATCGATTCTCTGCCAATATCGATCAAGAATTTGTCCAACCAAAGGTCGACCAATCGAATCAATATTAGATTCAATATACTGATGGCATAAAAGGCCAAATAACTGAATTAGCTGGGAACTGTGCATGTATCTGATTTTGTTGAAAATCACTCGAAATAGAAAACGGATAGAATCTGTGTTCACTTTAGCTGTGATAGAAGCTTTGAGAATCAACAAAAGATGAGATGAATTACTGGCATAAAACTGTTTCCCAATTATTTTTTGCTCCATGGCTTTAGGTAAAGCAATTAATAAAGCTTTTAAAACAGGGTTACTAGGCTCTCTTTCCTCCTCAGGATCACGTTCGAAAGACCGATTTCTCTCTAAAAGTAAGTAAATATCAGCCAATTCACGAGCATCGTACTCATTTAAATGAACTCGCAACATCTGTAAAACCCCTTTAGTAATACCAACATTAGTTGGTAGATTGATGCCAATAACAAGATGCGCTAATGAACGAACCTCTGTTGGTGAAAGATAACGTAATTTTTTCATCAAGCTGGTGCAAATTTCTCGGAACTTATTATCACTGAGCAACGAATTTTTGACATCTCCTTCTGTATAAAAAGCTCTTAAACTCCAAAGCTGATCCAGATCAGCGGCATATTGACTGTCATTATCCTAATAATATTAAAAGAGGTAAATACAAAAAAGTTAGAAAAAAATAATATAAAAAAATTAAATAGCCGACAGAAAGAAATTTAGAAAATATCTTTACCGAAGTTGATGCTCTTTGTACAATCTGTCTCTTTGTAATATTGTGTCCATTAACACTGAAATACTTTGAAGAACACGAATTTTTCTTGAAAATCGTCGTTACATTAGTCCAGTTTGATGAATGATCAATTAACGATAATGATGCTAAACACCTTTTAACATTCAATAAGTTACCGGGCTGAGTTAAATTAGATCTATGAATTTTGATAACTGGACTTAATTTACATGAATGAGTGAACAAGTTAAAATATTGATTTAACATTATAACAAACTTTTCTGATAACTGTGAAAATTATGCACTGGACTTAAAATTAAGACAATTGACTGATTAACACATGTTAAGCAAATTCAAAACAAACAACCAGATTTGTTCAAATAATCTCATTGCGGCTGCTTACTGATGGTAACCAAAGTAACAAGCTAGCGGCGGGAGGTTTAAGTTTATTGGTCGACTAATTAAAAATAAAGCTTTTTTTCAAGACTTTTTTTTGTAAACAATTCTGTGTGATTTCGAACATTTTTTATTTTCTTTTTTTTTGAAATACCGAATTTTTATTGACTGTTTTGAGATGAATGACTTTATTCATTGTAATAAATGCTTTGCTGTACATGATTCAAGCGGTAAAAAATTTCTGTTAACCAGTTGTTCCCATATCTTTTGCTACTCATGTAGCGCGTCAGGTAAGTTTCTTTGGTGCTTGATCTTTTACAGTTAATTTTATAATTTTCTCTTTTTCTGCTCAGTGGCTAATGACCGAATCTGCCTTAAATGTAAGAACCGCTGCAACCTAATTCAATTAGATTCAGGCACCAGACCCGATATAAAGATGTATTTTGAGCCCCTCGATAAATTGATACTCAAATTGCAAAAGATTGAGAAATTTCAAAGGACACAGCGAGAACATTTATTTAAGCATCTGACTTCTGAGGTAAGTTTTAATTATAACTTCACCACTGGTTACACAGAAGAAATGACTAATTATATTGTGTGCTTTCAACAGACATCAAAAGGAAATCAAGCTCAAGAAAAATGGGAGAGAAAGATGTCCGATCTGAAAAAGGAAATAAACCACCTTCGTTCCAAACTCAATAATCGCTATGATCCTATTAAAATGTCTAGTTCGTCTGCTGGGTATTATTCACGCCAAAATAGCAGTGTGTTAGGACCAAGTCGACAAGGAACTTCATCTTCAAGATTACAATGTAATTCGACTTTTGGTAGTTTACGTGGAGCCCCGATTACACCATTGATTGATCACAGAATTACTAATTTAGATCAACACTCAAATTCAAGCTCGAAGATAACCTTACGCTCTGTATCAGACTTGTCATCCTTTCAAACTCGCTAATTATGGATTATAATTAATAAATTATTGATAATAAATAGTGAATTATTAATTTGTGGAACATATAAATGAAAAGAGAGAAAAGAGAGAGTAAGAGATAAAAGGAGAGAAGAGAGATAGAGAGGGAGAAAGAGAGAGAGAGAGAGAGACATGAAAAGAAAAGAAAAGAAAGAACCTTCTGATTTCAAAGCATTTCAGTTTGAGGAGAGAGAGCAGTGCTTTGCTTTTGCTTCTCTCTCTACTTTTGCTTCACAACTATTCTGTCTATAAATAATTTATTGATTATTTCAAGAAATCATAGCCACCATCATCTTTATTTATTGTTGTAACAATCAAATTTAATTCTAGTGTATTGGTTGTAATCTTCCAGTTTTGTTTTGAGTTTATAGTGGTCTTATATCTTTACTTTTTTCTGTTGTGTGTACATTTGATGGCAACGGTTCTCAAAAGGCAAGAATCAAGGAGAAGGTTAGCAGCAATCACTTTCCTTTCCAACATTTCATTGGATGGTACCCACCGGGATACAAAGTTGGCCCCATTTGTTATAAATAACAATCGAGATAATTACCTAGAAGGCTCATTTGCTTACAACAGTAAACCATATCAACCTACATTTCCATCATCTGATCACCAACATAAAGAGTCTCACCAACAACTAAGCGGTTTAGTGCCACTTCACCAGCCAGAAGATAAACAAAATCAACATCCACAAGAATTAGAGAATTCAGAGATCCATTTGCAAAGACCAGACCGAAATAATTCTGACTCTTTATGGTCGGGCAATTGCAGTACAGATTTGAACGCGTCTAAGTTTGGTAAAATAGATGAAAATGGTGAATTTAATGATGTATCACCTTCACATTCAAGACGACAAAGTTGCTCATTTCCTCTCGGTCATCATTCTTCAAAAGATATCCGAAACTCAGTTGATCCTAGTGAAAAGTAAGTCTTAAAATTATTGTTTTTTGTCTGTTCAAATATCCTCTGTACAGTGGTGTCTAATATTTTCCATTTATTCTCCCTTATTTACATCCATTTCTTTTAGAGCTGCTAATTCAGATATTCGAGGTGTTTTATCATCGGTTGGTAGCTGCAAACGTAGTCGACACAATTTGTTATCATCGTCAAGTATCTTAAATCATCAGTTGAATAGCTGTGAAAGCAAATGTATGTGCCATTTCATAATTAAGATACATCTATTAGTAAAAATAACTTTACTCGAGAATTATGATAATACTTGATTGAGATCTATCTTATCTAATTGATTTTCTTTTATCCTTTTATCCATCTCTCCTTCAGTGTCAATTGCAACTCAACAATCTCTCAGATCGAGAAATGGTTCTTTGAATAGAGGTGGAAATGATGTACCTCTGAACTCTGGTAAAGCTACTACTGAGCAACGACATCAGGTTCGCTTCCAACATTCATTGAGAGAGCAAACAGTTCAAAACGAGAAAATAGTGTTTGTCGCTTCGAAAAGGGCTCCGGTTGCCTTATTTTCATACATACCCTTTTCAAGGAAATCTAACAATTCACTCAACAGGTAAATTATTGTTGTAATTACACTTCATCATAAAGAATTAATCAAATCTCTATATCACTAATCTATTGGCATTTTTCTTTCTATTTTGCAACCTCATCTACAGAGAAATAAAACAGGACTTAATAAATAAAAGAAGACATGGACCTGGAAGTGTCAGACAATTGTCCACTATCAGTGATGGCCCAGACCCAACCGATGTGTGCATGGTTGGATTCGAGAAACCTTCCGATGGACTGGAAGTTTCCTATTCAAATTTACTTAGTCCAACAATTAAACTAATTCATGGTAAAAAGGCTAAAATCCACACAACGGAACATAATTTTGTCAACCGCTGTATGTCTTATGACTCTACTGCTGCATACTCTGGAAAACAATCTGTTATAAATAATCACTATCTATTGCATCAATTAACTGCACCTTCGGTATTAAATGACTCTGAATCAAATCTTTTAAGAGACAAACAGCAGTATTATGGGTACCCTACAGCCTTTCTCAAGTACAATCCAGATATTCTTGATGATCCAGAATTGATTACTGGTAAACATAGTACTCTATTAGATTTTCCATCCTATTTGGTAAGACAATTACTACATTTTTTTCTTACAATATATTTATGAAAACACTCATCAACATAATATTTGATCTTATATTTGTTTAACTGATCAAAGTCTCAATCTGCGCTTCTCTTTCCAGACTTCGATAATAAATTACGTTAAACCTTCCGATCTTAAAAAGGAACTGAATGAGAAATTCAGAGAAAGATTTCCATACATCCAGTTAACCTTAAGTAAAATGAGGAGTTTAAAACGAGATATGTGCAAGATTGCCAAGCATGAGGTAAAGTAAAATTTTTTGTTTATTCAAGTAGAGATATTGTTTCAATCCAAAGATCAACAATGATTTTTCTTGGAGGGAAATGTGATTCTTTAATTTCAGTCTAGAAACATCTAATACTTCAAGTGATTTGTTGTCTTTGTAATGATGAGGTCAAACCATGAGTTCAATTAGTTCATTTTTGCTCTAAACTGTGATAGTGACTAAGTAATCGCATATTTCAGTTATTTTGTGCACTAAAAAACCTTTAGTTAACAATGACATAATGTTTAGAATGAAGTTCTATTTTCATTTTGTCCTTTTCATAATTCCTGAGTCATTTTTATATCTAATCAGTTTAGAATGACCAAAATAAGAATAAAGCATGAGTTTCAAGGTTATGTTAGCCTATGACTCAATTTTGAAAGAAATTGAAACATTTTCTGATTTCTTTCATCACTATAGCATTAAGTCAGTCATTATTTACTCTTCTGAAATCACATGAAGTTATGATGTTACCGGTAATCATCATTTCCCTAACTGAAGATTTTTTTTGTTGATAATGGTAACCGTTTGGAAAACTCCTAAACAGGAATTATCATTTTGATTTCAAATGTACTTCATCTTTATCCCATTTTGTCTTATTCTAGGGTAATATTGATTACTTAACTGTGGCTCAGGCGTATGTTTACTTTGAGAAATTGATCCTCAAATGTTTAATCAATAAACAAAATCGGAAACTTTGTGCTGGCGCTTGTTTACTTCTCTCTGCGAAGTTAAATGACATTAAAGGAGTCGAACTTAAAAAACTAATTGAGGTAATTGCTAATTATGCTTCATCCTTTATAATAATATCGATGCTGCTTCTCAATTACAATTTTACTCATGGCCGTATACAGTGTTGATTCATCTCAAGTCGATTAAAAAGTTTCAATGAAAAGAAATACCAGAGTACGAGATTTAGTTCATTGGCAATGATTCAAAATTCTATTTCAGCCTAAAAATTACTCATAATTCAATGTCATGACTCATAAAGCTGCAAGAAAAATCAGGATTAAAAATAATATCCTTATATCGTCAACTGACTGATCAATTGTTGTACCAACATGTATTGTCTAATGTTTAACATTTAATGAGTGCGAGTGGGTTAATATAAGTGATATAATTAATACTTCTAGATTAGATTTTATTTTATCTCATAATTGTTTCTTTTATATTGTACTAGTTTGATCAGCAGACCTGTTAGCTACCAATGTTGTTGACATTAAAAAGCATTAAAGCCTGGGAATGTACCAAAAAATTGAGCTGAAACTTATCTTGCAATTTTGAGTAATTTTTCTATTTGCCACAAATAGATTAGAGTTAAGTATGGAAACATCCTTGAACTAAATTAAAAAAAACTATTATTATAACTTGAAACTCTTTAAATTCACTTAAAATTGATTAAAGACAATAATCAGATGAACATCAATATGATCTTTACGGCATCGACTTTTTATTTTTTTCGTAAGATTTTCGCACAAAAACATATGTTATTATAACAAGAATATAAAATCAGCCTTTTGATTAATTAGGCTAAATATATATCTGATTTACTAATTGTTGTTTTTTATTTTTGTTACAGAAAATCGAGAATACATTTAGAGTGGATCGTAAAGATTTATTTGCTATTGAGTTTACCGTTCTTGTGGCCCTTGAATTTGGTCTACATTTACCCATCAACGAAACTCTTTCCCATTACCAGAGACTCATGTTTGAAACTTAATCATTGATAACCAGCCAATATCATCTTCATCTTTATGTCATCTTCATCTTAACAATGTAAATACTGGGATGAATACTAGGACTGATGGAGTCAAAGTTTTCCTTTGCCACGCTTTTGTAAGCTCAGCTAAGATTGAGATTTCAAGATTATTGTTAAAGTAATCGACAAAATGCTTAATAAGACGGCAAACTACGTCATGGAATAGTTAATGTGTTACTGATATGGTCCATTGAAGTGATCCTATCGTCATAAAATGATCACTTGCAATGACACACGAGGATCATGCTAACTATTACCACCAATAAGACGGAATCATTCAAATCTTCTTTCAAGTTCAATTTTCGTTTCATCTTGTCTATACGTGTTGTTATCAAAAGTCGAATAACAGATTATACCTGGATTTAACAGAAATTAAGATGCCTTGTACTTAATTCCAATCCAAGTGGAATCTGTATTAGAAGTCAAAATTGTTGATCATTATATGCCAAACTATTTGTCTGGAGATTAGTGGAAAAGTCAGAAATTATCCCTTTGAAACACGTTGAAAAATGTCTTTTAATTCATTGTTATTCTTTTACATTTTAAAATTCAGATGGTTTAATCTATTAATATCTATTATCCTCATTATTATTATTATTATTAATTCTTATTGCTATTATTATTACCATTATTCTAGATATGTATTCTACGTTGAACTCTGTCAAAGAAAGCATTATCGATGAGAAAATATATAAATATAACTTCTTATACATGATTGATAAATTAATTTAGAAATTTGTTCACAAATTAAAGTTTATATTTAAGAAAATAGTCATTAAACAATTGTCATTTTTTAATCTAATCCAAATCAAATACTTGAATTTGAAATGTTTAAATTATAAAAATTAAACGACAATAAAAAGAAATCCTTTATTGAATATGAAATTTCATTCTTTATTTTATTTTCATTTTAAACTCTCTTAATTTTTGAGAGATACATTAGTTAGACTTTATCAAAAGTTCATCTTCATATTTTGGAAACAAAAAAGAGTGTTTTTTGTTGCAAAATGAACCCATTTCTTGGTGAGTCTTGACTCCTTACCTTCCAAAAAGGACTCTGTGAATCGTCTTGAGGTCAATGTGACATTTGCTTAATTATTTTATTGTATATTCACTTTGACCATCTTTCGGTGGTTAATGATGGTAATTATTGTAATGTTCTTAATGGCCAGATAAACCTGTTATTTCTTTATTGTATTTCATATTTTCGTTTAATCCTTTCTTTTCAAGTTTAAGAAGGCGAAAAGCTTAAACGGTGTTTCAGTCTTTTTCGCACAATCATTCGTAGCGAAATCGTCTTTTTCAAAGAGCCGACAAGTGTTAATTCACTCTGACAGGTAAGATGATGAGAGAGGGAAGTTATTAGTAGATAAAAGTGAGCTGTTGAAGAAAACCTCATGAAGCTGCACAGTTAATCATTGAATTCAATCCTCGAACCCTTCACTAGTTGTAACTTTTATTGTAGAGCCATTGACTTCAATAGGATCAGGTTCAAGGAGATCGGCTGGTATCTTAATGTCTTCGACTTCCTTAAGTAACATGTATAAAGGTTCCATTTGATCATTGAACTTGGCCAAGATCAATCGAGAGTCTGCTTTTGGTAACACATCAGGATCCTCTTCCACTATTTCCCCACAATATGAACACTTGAATTCATTTGATAGATGATGTCATAGTTGATCTGCTTCAAGATCAGTGAAAGTCTTCTTACAATTTACACAAATAAAGGATGATCTTTTCGTAGAGTCGCGCTCTTCCGTTTCAATCTTGCGTCGCTTCAAATCTAATTTTTATTTGACAACATTTACAAATCCTCTATAGTTAATAAATTAATATGCTTGGCGAGTAGCCTTTCCTTCCGGCTCGGTTTCCATAGATACTGAAGGCTATCAAGATCTATCGTTTAATTTTAAAATTTAATTACATTTATCTGATCAAGACATTCAAGCTGACTCTGAGAATTGCTTCGAAACATTATTTTAAATGATTTTATTGCTTTTTGTTAAGAGTAAGGTAGCTAGATACTAATCGGAAACCTTGTGCTGGTGCTTTTTTACTTCTTTCTGCGAAGTTAAATGATATTAAAGGAATCGAACTTAAACTGATTGAAGTGCTGATAATGTTTCTTCCTTTTTACTAATATCGATGCTGTGAATCATAACATGCCAAACTATTTGTCTGGAGATAAGTGGAAAAGTCAGAAATTATCTGAAACACGTTGAAAAATTGTCTTTTAATTCATTGTTATTCTTTTACATTTTAACATTCAGATGGTTTAATCTAGAAATCCTTTATTGAATACAAAATTTCATTCTTTATTTTATTTTGATTTTAAACTCTCTTAATTTTCGAGAGATACATTAGTTAGACTTTTATCAAAAGTTCATTTTCATATTTTTATCATCATATTGAAGGCACTTTTTATGGAAAATTTTAAATGAATTTAACCTCACAGAAAACATTCACAGGTCAATGTTCATTTATTGGTGGAGTCAAATTATCTGGAATTTATGAAATTATCTTTTTTCTAAATGAAAACAATCAATCATGCTAATTTTAAACAAATGAAATATTAGCTGATTAGCAATCTTTACCATTCTCTTGATTTCCTATCATTGTCTATCATGGCAAGTATCAAGTTGTATATTTCATTGCCTAAGTTCAATTTGATTGATGCTCATTAATATCCTATTTTAGATAATGTTTCTCATAAACATCGATTATGAACATTAATGTCTGATAATTATATAAAATTGAACTTGATATTATATACTTTAAGTCGAAATACCTGAACAAATGGTTTCCATTTTCTCTATTATTCCTATTCACTTTTGAAGGAAAAACATAATTTTTATAGTTTGTTGAATATCTGAATCATTTTTTCGATAATTTCAAGATATTTCCGAAAAAGTGTATTTACTATAGGTGAAGAGAAATGGAAACAATTCATTTACCTAAAGAGAATAGAGATGTGGAATTCAAGAGATTGGAAATGGTTCAAGAGGACAAAACATTCCTCGAACAATAAGCTCGTCGTAAATTAAAGTTGAGTTAAGTTATTTTTATGGTGATATTGGAATCATCATGGGCGTTCATTAATTAGGATTAAACAAGAGAGGCCATTGAACTGGTACGACTTTTTAGTGAATTTGGCGATCTTTTGGCAAGTTTACCGCCTCTAAATCGTATCATGTTCAGAGTTTGAGCACTTTCTAGATTTACTGGAAATGTTGAGGGCAACAAAGTTATGTCAGTTGTACCAGAAATATTGCATTGTTGAACAGTCATATCATCTTCAATCAGTAGATGAGTGATGTACATCATTTTTCCTGGACTTTTATTGATGATAATTCCAATCATTGATCGGATTTCGCCAATTGTTTGCTCTTTTTTTACCTCCATTGAATAAAGTTTGCCATTTGAGTTGAAATTTAAAGTAATGTCCTCATCCTCTGAGGATTTATGATTCAGACAATTCGAGTAGAAATATATTGCTTCTTTAGATTTATATTGGGAATCGGTTGAGTTAGTTGGTTGCCTAAAGCCTTTTAGACCATCCAAAGGATCACTAGAGTCTTTAAATCGATATAAGCCTAAACGAAAACCAGGTTCGTTGTAGTCCGGGGTGTCGAAAGGAACCAATGAAATAGCGTTAGATCCTGGTTTAAATCCACATGATCCAACAGTTTGTCTATCATTGAGAGTTCGATGCTGAAGTAAAAGCATGATGCCAGGATCAAATTTCATCATATCAGTGAGTAATGATCGAAGAGTTCGGAATGTAAGAGATGCCTGAACTTCGTTGAGATTATAACTTCTTTCAGCATAATGGAAAATCAGCCGAATCCTGTGTTCGGGCCTATGTTTGGGAATGTTGGAATGGAATTTATATTGTGGCATAGATCCTCGTAAGAAGCCAGTTTTTTTATCATCTTTGTCCTCATTTGTAAGTCCTGAGCTAGGTTTAGAATCAACTGACTCATAGACACTGTTCCGCTTTTCTTTTCCAACTTTATTAATCTTATTAAATCCTGGCCTTCTTGGCGAATTATTATTGTTACTATCGTGCGACGTCAATGTACTGAAACCATTGGTATCTCGGTTATCTGGAGAGCTGCATTTATTTTCGTCATCAGCTACAGTCGAAGATCCATTTTTAATCTTTCCAGCTCTTTCAAAACGCAATAGATCCAACTCCCGTCGAAGCATATCTATTTCATTTTTAAGCTGTCCATTTTCCTTCTTTAAAATTTCGCCGGTTTCCTTGAGTTCAACAAATGCAGACCGGCAACTATGCGTTTCACTTATTCTAGGTGAATCACAGATTTTACAAAAATTGGTAGGGTTGGTGGGACAAATATCTCTATGGGTCCAATAATCGCGATAAGGAATCACTTGGTTACAATTGAATTCACATCTTAAAGTTAAATTGGAAAGTCGAGCTATCTCACGGATACCCAATTCACGTAGAGATGCAGCATTAAAACCAGTTGTCAAGCACCCTTCAGCTGGGCAAGATGATAATCCGGAGTCACAATATGTTTCAACACAAGGAAGACAAAAAATATTGGAACATTTCACATCAGGTCCAGGAACATGTTCCAACGGATCGACGGCCATGAAGTGGCAAATTTTACAAACATAATCATTAGCAGATGATGGGTCAGTGAAAATATCTGGGCTTAAAAAGGTACGATTGAAGTCGTTCTTTGTTTTGACATCCACCTGTTCTTGATTTTCATTGCAATTCTCCATATGTTCAACAGAAACATAAAATTTTTTAAAAAAACTCATATTATGAAAAATAGAAACGAAAACCAATTAGTTAATTCTAAAAAATGGCTACTACAAAAAAAACACAACACAGAAGATTCAGATGTTAACGAGATATGAGAATGAGAATGAGAGTCAACAAGTTGCTGATGGCAACACTCACTGAGTGTCACTCAGTTGCCCGATAAAAGACTTACTGAAAATAGCTTATTTTCACAGCTCACACTATTCCTACTAAATGGGCAATGAATTTTCAGCAACTAATGATTAAGTGAGTGAGTTTTGATACTAAACTGTTGAATCTTTACAAAAATGATCGCTAAGAAATAGTGGGAATGAATTCAAAAGTAAAAATAACGGTTTTACACAAGGATATTAAAAAAAAAATAAAGTTATAAAATAAAGATTGCACTTTTTTGATTAATTTTATACTGTAACGTGAAAAGTAAATGATGATAGAGGTTATAATGTAAGGGACGACTGTATTATAACATTAGGTTCAGATGAATGGAAGGACACACAATACAGTAATAAAAATCATGGGTACCAACTAAAAGATGACTTGACACTCAGGGGTCGATTACAATTAACATTAAATAAACTGAATAACAATTCAATTGTTAACTCTTACTCTTAGCTTCAACACTAACTCTTCTTTCACTCTTACATACTTAATTCAAACTCTCCTCAAAGATCGAGAGAGATTTACTTTATATCAGATAAAGGGTTTCATCAATATAAACCAGAGTGCATTGCCATACATTCGTGATACAAACATGACTAACATTAAATAACTTAATTAACATCACCAATCGGTGGGAAAATATCTCATAAATCTTATTTAGGTAAATCATTAGATATGCAGCCGATATTTGCGTCTCAATACCAAAAGTAGACTTAATTTTGTGTATCAAATATCCTTAATAAGGCCGAACGCGATGCTCTCTCGTTGTTTCATTTTATTGTGATTCTGATGCATTTGACTCTAAAGAGATCTGGCAACACGCCAAGCATGGAGCAATTTCAAGTTCAACATTTACTTGTTCTGACTCTGAAAATGTTTTGATTGAACATAAAATAGATCATATCAGCGAATTTCCCAAAGCCGAATATCAGAGAGTGACGATGATCTGTTCAAAAAGCTTCAGATCTGACTGATTTTTTAAAGGGCCATGCATTCAACTTCAAATAAATCAAAATTGACTTACAAGGGAAGGTATTGAAACACCCGAGCTACTTTTGAATGGTGGTTAAAGAAGTAAAAGAAACTATGAATGTTTTGGGTTCGAGACTCGTTCACTTTAAAATTTTCTTAATTGAAAATTGATTTTAACCACTGCACTACGCTTTATCTCGTATTTTTAATGATTTTTAAATCTGAATGTAATAAAAATGCCCAAATTTTAAACCAAAATATTTTAGGAACCACTAGGTTAGCAGGAAAAGGCCTCGACAGTTTTTCATAACTCACCATCCACTATCGAATGACAATCAATGCCTCAACCATTCAAAAGTAGCTCGAGTGTTTCAATAGCTTCCCTTGTTAGTTACAATAACTCAGTGAAAAAATTAGTTCCATAATATTTTAGTTATCCTGATTGCTTATGATTGTTCCTTGACTGACGGAATTCACTAAACTTATTTCGATTCTAAATATTACATCTTGTCACTTAAACTATCGCGGTTGAGAGATCAAAGAAAGTGAAAAGTCAAAAATTTGTTAAATTTTTTCAACCAAACAATTGGAATATATTTTAAAAAGCAGAGGTGCAAAGTGATTTCAATCAATCAAGTGTTTTATTTACATTTATATAAAATTTTAATAACCTTACAAAAATAAATCAATAAGAAATCTTTAGGCTTGAATATCATCTAAAATTTGTCGCAAGTCTTCATCGGTGAATCTCGTTTCCAATGATGGCAATAACGCTTTCGCTTCTTCTGGAGTTTCTGGACACAGATTTGCCAATTGAGCAAATTCAAATTTATGTAGCTTTTTATTCATCAATTGATGTCTAACAGCGGCAATTGTTTCACGATTCTTAAATTTACTGAAACCTGACAATAATTTAATGTTTTGGTGAAAATTTCATTGAGTTCTTGTTCCTCTTCTCGTTCCTCGTTTTGTTGTTTTCTGTGTTCCATCAACATACAAACTTCACTGGTCAATAATGTTTCAGCATTTTCAAATTCAACTGGAAATTTCAATTCGGTTGCATCTTCTTCAACTGCAACAGCTGCTTCTCCTTGTTGATTTGGTAAAGCTATGATTTGAACAACTCCAAAAGAGATTTACCGTGAAAATTCGTAAAGTTGAAATACATGAAGATATTGTATGATGAACTGAAATATCACAATCAGCTAATCACAACAATTGCCTCTAAAATCCTCTGTGGTTTGAAAGTTTCAACACAAGTCATTAGAAAGAGCAAAACAAGTATTTAATGTATTTTTTCTCGATTTTATCCTTCGATTTTGAAACCAGACTTTGATTTGAGTATCAGTTAATCCAAGTTCATTTGCCAGCATCTTTCGCTCTCGTCCAACCATATATTGATTAGTCCTGAAGATTGTCTCCAAAACTTCCAATTGAAATGCACTGAAAATGGTTCGAACTCTTTTGCTTTTCTTTTGTTTCTTTGAACCTGTTCAAATTAAAGATGTAGTCAATACGTTAGTTATATGATTAACTGAAACGAGCAAGAAGCGAAAAGAAGCAAAACTTACTTTTAGATGAAATTCCCAGTAAATCTTCAATTCCAAAAGATGTCAATTTATTACAATTTGTAGATTTGTTCTCGATTGATGTTGTTGTATTTGCTATTGAAGTTGCTGTTGGTGTAATATTTTGTTGAGTAAAATCCAATGGAGAAGCACATTCAGAATGGAAATTAGTCGTTGAATTTGGAAGTTGAATTTCGGATGATTCATGTTGGTTTCCATGAAAATATAGATGAGATTCTTGGACAATCATGTTGAGACTTGACTTGATGTTTAGACCTTCAGCTATAGACACAAACTGCACATTCAATCTGGAGCACCTTTCATTCAACTAACACTTGAAATGCAAGTTGACGCCTTTAAAGGAGGAGTTTTTACTGTTTGTCATCTTTCCTCATCAGTCCTCATCTTTCTTCATCTTTCTCCATCCATCCTCCTTCCTCTCTCTCCTCTGTCTCTTTGCCTTGCTCGTCTCATTGAACGCAGGTCACTTTCAAGACATGATTATAATGATGATTATGACATTTGCTATCTTAGACTTTTACTTTCGCCCTGTTGATTGTAAAAAAGTTTAAATTTAGACCAATTTCACTTTCTTTTTTCCTTTCAGATGAAATAAAAAAACGAAAGTTGACACTAAAACTGATTAGTTTCGGCAATAACAATGAACTATTGATGGACTGAATGCGCTCAATTGGCTAATCTATGAAAGTAAAAGCGTTGTTACCATTTTTAGAATCCAGATTACCGATCAAGATGAGTTACAAATTTAAGCCTTATAACCAAGTTAAGGAAAGGTGAAATAAAATTGAAACAAAGATGTGTTTTTTGCTGCAAAATGACCCATCTCTTGGTGGGTCCTGACTCTTTAACAACAAGAAACACTCTGGGAATCGCCTAAAGATTTTCATGACCAATTTAGGGGCTCTACATGATTCCTAATTGAAGATATCGTCTTAATAGATTGCGAGACAATTACCTGCTCCTTAAAAAGTCATTCAGAGTTTATTCCCTTTCCAAATCTAGCTCAACGTTTATTGCCATTATGGCGACTACCATTAGTTTCATCTTTTTAAACATCTTTTTAAGTAACGGTGTATCTTAACTGTCCATGACCACCCTGTTTAATAAGCCCATTAGATACCTAGTTATTTTAGTATCATAAAGAGACAAAAAAAGAGTCACCGTTATATTTGGCATAACACAAAATACTTTTTGTATGGAAATCACTCAAGTGTCATAGAGGACAACTAAGAATGCAATAAAGTGGTGCAAATCTAGCTACCTGACTCTTAACAAAAAACAATAAAATAATTTAAGATAATGTTTAGAAGCAATTCACAGAGTTAAACTGGAATGTCTTTGTCAGAAAAATGTAATTAAATTTTAAAATTAAACAAGAGATCTTGATAGCCTTCAGCATTTATGGAAACCGGGCCGGATGGAAAGGCTACTCGCCAAGCATATTATTTTATCAACTAAAGAGGATTTGTGAATGTTGTCAAATATAAATTAGATTTGATGCGACGCAATATTGAAACGGAAGAGCTTCAGTGATCTTGAAGCAGACCAACTATGGGATCATGTATCAAATGAATTCAAGTGTTCATATTGTGGGGAAATAGTGGATGAGTATCCTGATGTATTACCAAAAGCAGACTCTCGATTAATGTTGGCCAAGTTCAATGATCAAATGGAACCTTTACTTATGGAAGTCGAAGACATCAAGATACCAGCCGATCTTCTTGGACCTGATCCTATTGAAGCCAATGGCTCTGCAATAAAAGTTACAACTAGTGAAGGGTTCGAAGGTATGGATAAATGGAAGACTAAAGACAAATCCCAATTTGATAGTGTAATGATTAAAGAAACAAGCATAAAGATAGAAAAGGATGGCGAAGCAGTTGAGGAAGTGGTCAAGAAAGAGCAAACTCCATGGCTAGCCAAAGTCAGTGTATATCCATCAATGCCCGATGTTACAGTCACCAAGAATAATTCAAATAAATCAAAGAAACTCCAACTCACCAAAAGATGAAAATGGTTACAGTAAAGTATTAGAGGCACTTCTGGTTCACGAAAAATTAGACCGTAAAAACGACCCTTCAATGTCCAGTATCAACGCAAAATTACGAATAGAGATCGGATGGCCTCAATTCACATGTTAAGGATGAAATAAGATAGAAAAATTATAAAATGTTATGAATTTATGGATTGTAAAACTGAAAGTCATTTTGATTTACTCGATAGTATTGTTTAAGTATCGATACTATTGATCAAATTATGAATACTTTAATCCTTTTAATTTGTTATTTACAATAATTTTTAGTGTAAAACTCAATATACGCAGCTGTATAATTAATATATCGACTTACAATTGAAGCTTAAGCTTACCTTAATCTTTGCTTTGCTTGCCATTCATGTTATTCATTTTCATCTTTTCTCTACTAATAACTTCCTTTTCTCATCATCTTACCTGTCAAAGTGAATTACCATTTGTCGGCTCCTTGAAAAAGACGCTTTCGCTACTCAAATTTCGCTAACCATTAATATGTATTAGCTGAGTATCTTTGAGCCAATCTTTCAATCTTTCAACAACTCACAGCTAAATTAACATAAGAGACTGCTTGAAAAACATCGTAAACAGAAATCTTTGTTTTTCAATTAAAATTGTTGATATTTTAGAGTTGTTAGGAAGGTTGAAAGATTGTTTGAAAAAGACTGAAACACCGTTTAAGCTTTTCACCTTCTTAAACTTGAAAAGAAAGGATTAAACGAAAATATGAAATACAATAAAGTAAATAACAGGTTTATCTGGCCATTAAGAACATTACAATAATTACCATCATTAACCACTATTTTGGTTTGTTAATGGTTAACCTAAACGACCTTAACTAGGAAAATAAAGAAAAACAAAGAAAAATAATTGACCACATAATGAGATCTTAATGACCTTTAAACCCTTTTCACTCAACATAACAATAAACATAACGTTAAGCATTGCAATAAAAAAACTCCTCCTTCAAAGGTGTAAATTTGAGTGAGGTTTGCCTCAACTTGAGTCTCGTGCTATTCAGTAATGAGATAAATTATTAACCGAATAATACAAAATTGAAAAAATAATAGTTCCGTAGGTAGCAAAAGAAACGCTGCCAATCATGACTTACCTTTGACAATCAAAATATCGATGCATTGATGTCAATCATAAGTCAAAAAGAGGCTCGCTAGATTAAAGGGTAATGTAGGTTGTTACTGAAAACCCACAATTAACACAATTATCACATTTATCCACAAATTGATACAAACGGGCAAAAATGGGTAAAAATCAATTTCTTTCATATTTAGACTCTGTTGGTTTGTAGTGACGTAAAAACTGAGTCAATCTGTGCGATTTAAAAATTTATCTGAACAGTTTTCGAGAAAATCGAGGTCAGAGTTTAAACTTGGATCGCCTTTTGTTCAGCTTCACTCAGAAACTCATTTTACTGGGGTAGCTTCGCCTACAATCATCATTCTTTCACCAAAAATTAGATTTCATTATGGACTAGAAAAGTATATGACTGAGTACCGAATAAAATCTGAGCTAATTCATTTAATAATGAAGATCCTTCTAACGTATGAGGTTTATGTTTAGCTTTATAAATCAAGTCTAAAATCTGGTAACATAAGTTATACAATGCTATAACTTTTTTTGAAGGATTTTGAATGATTTAATTTTTTAATATAATGTAGTCCATAATGAAATCTAATGTTTGGCCAAGAATGATGATTTTAGATGGTACCATTCCCAAAATACTGAGGCTCAGAAACAGAAAATGTTATTTGTCAAAATAAGACCATTTTCTGGTCGGTCGTCAAGAGATACATTAGTCAAATGAGTTTCATGATAAAATCTGCTTCCATAGCTGAACAAAAGGCGATCCAAGTTTCAACTTTGACCTCGATTTTCTCGAAAACTGTTCATGAGATTCGCACAAATAGACTTAATTCTTATGTCCTTACAAACCAACAGAGTCTAAATTTGAAAGAAATCCATTTACCTGTCTTTGCCATTGTATCAATTTGAATTCCTTGACTCCGAAAATTTGTAGCTTAAAATTTGAAGTTTAGTACATCAAGTCTGATCAAAAATGAAAATATACAAAATAAAATTATAATTTTCTTCACAGAATTAATGAGAAATCTTACCGGTGAAAACTTGATGAAGAATCAAAATAAACTGATGACAATCATTAGTCAGATTGGAAGTCTCAGAGTCTCATTGAAAGAGAATCACTAGATTCAAGAGCAATATATAGATGAGGTGTTCATCTAACATCTACCATTAAAATTTCCTACTTTTATTGCACATTTAATCACGAGTTCAAAAATTTAGACTTGTTGAACAATTTAATATTGGCAATTTAACACAAGAATCAATGAAACTGAAAATTGTATAGAAACTATCATCTGACTACATCACTTTGTGTCAAGAAGGAGCTATTCTTCCACATGTGGCTGTTATTGCTTAGTTTCTTTTGTTATTTTTTCTCTCAAACTGTGTAGTCATTTCTTATTCTTTAAATTAGATAATTTATTAATTAACCGGTGAACATGGTTTTCCAAAGTGCAAAACAAGCAATTGGTCGAATGGATAGCTTTCTAATACCAAGTATAATTTTAAATTTCATGCTGAGATGGTTAATATCGCGCTTCTCTTACTCAGGTAACTTTCTTTATATTCATTTTCTTTGCTCATTACTTTCTTATTATCTCAAATCTCAAATCCCAAATCCTGCTTATTATTCAAATTATATTTTTCAGGAGCTCGGAATCATTGTATGGCTCACTGGCATTACTTACAACTTGCAGCCATCAGAATGGTACAAAAATTCAACTGACAATGATCTTCTCTATTGGGGCTTGGACTATCCACCTCTTACAGCTTATCACAGTTGGGTTAATGGATTCATAGGCAAATCCATCAATGAATCATGGGTCAGACTTCATACTTCAAGAGGAACACAAGGATATGATCATAAGGTTTTCATGAGAAGTACAGTTTTGATTAGTGATGTAGTCATCTATTTCACCGGCCTTATTTACTACTTCATGGTTGTGAGGAAACCTCTAAAACCACGAGAAAGAGGAATGCTTGCCACTATTGGCCTGATGTATCCAGCATTGATTCTCATCGAACACGGGCATTTTCAATACAAGTTCAATTCAGTGTCAGTCTTGGATTTACTGTTTGGACCGTGGTTATGCTTATGAGCGGCAGATATTTCCTTGGTTCTGTTTTTTACTGCTTAGCACTCAACTATAAACAGATGAGCCTCTATTATTCTTTTTCGTTTTTCTTCTTTCTTCTTGGAATTTGTTTCCAGTATCCTAATCGTACTAAAAGTATGATCACCTTAGCCACCATAAGTTCAGCAGTAATCATGACATTTATAGCCTGTTGGTTCCCATATATTTGGGATTCTGAAACTTTTCTATCAGTTGTTTATCGTCTGTTTCCCATATCAAGAGGACTCTATGAGGTAATTCTAGTTTTCATGTGCATTAATTATTCAGTATTCATTACATTTTTGATGACCAAATCTAACTTGTTTATATTTTCTCATCTACAGGATAAAGTTGATAACATATGGTGTTCACTTGAAGTATTGATCAAACTTAAAAGACTCATTTCACCTTCGAATATGGACAAAATTTCTGTCACAACTACCTTATATGCCTTTTACCGTCAAGATTCAAGAACCTGACGATGAAAAATTAGATTTATAATATGGTAAATTGGACAGTTGTTAATCTTTTCCCCATAGTTTAACACTTTCATTATTTTCAGACCGGAACGTCATTGATTTTCTTCTTATTATCCTTTCAAGTTCATGAGAAAACTATTTTTCTTGTCGCTCTGTAAGTTTGAAATATGACCCCTTTTTACCCAAACAACATTGATTTTTCAACTGTATCTTCTTTTCCAGGTCTGTTACTCTGTTGATTCAAAAGCATCTATCTACCATGTTGTGGCTTTACATAATATCAACTTTTAGGTATGAATTTTTCTCATAAACATCAACCCTGGTTTCAGTGTCTTATCGAGGAGGCGAAATCTTATTTTTGAGTCTAACCGTTCTAATTTTTCGTCAACAAGAAATGCTTCTGAATGTTGAGCTTAATTGAATTATTCTTGGTGATTGTAACTTCAGGCTCTGATATATACTTCGACTAGCCATTCAGGTTGATCTTTCTTCACTGTTTCCTCAATCAATTATTTAATCATTATACACTCAACACTATAAACCAACAAGGTTGCTATTAAATATGCAACTAAACTCAAATTTCCAGTTGATGAACAGAAGCTACACCAATTAAATGTTCATAATTAGTCAATCTGATAATCTATAATTATGCCTATCTTGAAATTGACCTGCGTTCAATGAGATGTACAACAATAAGATGAGGAAAGGGCTGACGCTAGAAACTCCTCCTTTAAAGGTGTAAACTGTTTCAAGTGAGAGTTGAATAAAAGTTGCTCCAACTCGAATGTGCAGTTTGTACCTTTAACAAGAAATAACATAAGAAAGTTAATTGGATTCCCATTTAGTCAATTGTGATTTGAAATATAATACTTTGGGCATTGAAAAAGGAAAAAAATTTAAATTTAATTCTATTTTTGGGTTTTGTTATAATTGAAACGTTGACAACAATTGAATTCACCTAAGTGAATGTAAATTGTTTACAAGTTAATCTAGCGAATTGTTGAAAGATATAATGAATTTAATGGTACAACCTCAAGTATCACTTACAGATTAAAATTCAATTATAATTAACAATTGAGCACGCATTGGGCGAATTGGATTCCAATAGTTGACTATAAGGTCAACTTTAAACTTATGGTTAGTTGACTTAAGTGTGATGCTCTTGATAACGAGATTGATATCATGCATTGAATTGTCGATTAAGAATCTTTGATCATGTTATTAAATAGCAATTGATATCAACAATTGGTGGCAACAATTGATTGCATTTGAATGTCGAAGGAAGCTTTAAATGTAATTGTGAAGAGCATGCAATTGTGTTGATGTTGTTAATCAATCAACCGAATCAAATTATTTGTTCAATAGGACAATTTAGCTTTGGGTGCTTCAATAAGGATTGTATAGAGAGTGAAAAGGAGGTGAAAAAAGGCAGAGGATGAAGAAGACACAGACATATTGATTTATCTTCATTTTACCTCCAAGAAGATTAGCAAAGATGAGCAAAAAAAGGATGACATTATTTGGATTCCCAGCATTTCATATCATCTTATCAACTTTATTTTATAATGAAACTGAATAACATTTTACTCTTTATTTTTTGTCAAAGATTCTGATGGTTAGTCAAGTTAGTGAGGATAATATATTGTAATAATAAAATGCAACAGTGACATTGTTACTTTGAAATACTAATTAGATACCAAGCATCATTGAGTTACAAACTCTTGAAATAAACTCATCATATTAAGTTTATTTTTTATTTTATTGAATGAATAACAGTTATGATATTAATTTTGTTTTATCATTTTTAGATGTAAGACACTAAAAAGGACACCAAAGGATACGGTAAAGGTGATCTTGTAAAGTAACTTTTTGAACAAAAAAAGATGGTCAAAGTGAATATACAATAAAATAATTAAGCAAATGTCGTATTGACCTTAAGGCGATTCACAGAGTCCTTTTTGTAAGGTAAGGAGTCAGGACCCACCAAGAGATGGGTTCATTTTGCTCACAAAAAACACACACATTTTTGTTTCCATTTTTTGTTTTCTTCTTCTTCTTCTCTTCTCTTCACTTCTTTTTCCTATTTTAATGACATTTTCAACATAAAACTGGACTAAGTAAACTTTTGACTGTAAAACATTGGATTCTACCTGAGCTTTAGTTGTAAGGCTTAAATTTGTAACTCATCTTGATCGGTAATCTGGATTCTAAAAATGGTAACAACGCTTTTACTTTCATAGATTAGCCAATTGAGCGCATTCAGTCCATCAATAGTTCATTGTTATTGCCGAAACTAATCAGTTTTAGTGTCAACTTTCGTTTTTTATTTCATCTGAAAGGAAAAAAGAAAGTGAAATTGGTCTAAATTTAAACTTTTTTACAATCAACAGGGCGAAAGTAAAAGTCTAAGATAGCAAATGTCATAATCATCATTATAATCATGTCTTGAAAGTGACCTGCGTTCAATGAGACGAGCAAGGCGAAGAGAGGAGAGACAGAGGAGGATGGTTGGAGAAAGATGAGGAAAGATGACAAACAGTAAAAACTCCTCCTTTAAAGGCGTCAACTTGCATTTCAAGTGTTAGTTGAATGAAAGGTGCTCCAGATTGAATGTGCAGTTTGTGTCTATAGCTGAAGGTCTAAACATCAAGTCAAGTCTCAACATGATTGTCCAAGAATCTCATCTATATTTTCATGGAAACCAACATGAATCATCCGAAATTCAACTTCCAAATTCAACAACTAATTTCCATTCTGAATGTGCTTCTCCATTGGATTTTACTCAACAAAATATTACACCAACAGCAACATCAATAGCAAATACAACAACATCAACCGAAAACAAATCAACAAATTGTAATAAATTGACTTCTTTTAAAATTGAGGATTTACTCGGAATTTCATCTAAAAGTAAGTTTTACTTCTTTTCCCTTTGCTTCCAAATTACCTTACCTGACAGTATTTTAATATATATTTACCTACAATTTAAACAGATTTAAAAAACACATTGAAACGAAAAAGAGTTAGAACTATTTTCACCCAATTCCAACTGGATGTTTTAGAGACAGTTTTCAAAACTAATCAATACATGGTTGGACGAGAGAGAAAGATATTGGCAAGTCAACTAGGATTAACTGATGGACAGATCAAAGTTTGGTTTCAAAATCGAAGGATTAAGTCAAGAAAAACGTCGAGTTCACCAAAATTTAATTTAGTTTAATTTCATTGATTGAGTTTGTTTCAAAATGATTTCCATTTTCAACTTATCTCTTGTTTCATATCCTTTTTTGTATATAATTTCAATTGTTTGCTCTGAACAACAAAAAGCCTCTTAACTTGATACAAAATAAATGTCATATTTGGTTTCAATTTCAATCTTTTTTTTCTTATATTCATTATTATCGCAAAAATATTAAACATTTTCTGTAATCAAATATGGAGTCATTTAGCTGACTGAATACGCTTTAAATGGTGGATTATATCGCGTCAACTAATCATTACATTTGTTAATCACTTTGCCTGTTAACTTTCATTACAACAATCGATTGATTTTCAAGGATTGAGATTTTGACTCTTTACTGAATATCAATCTTTGTATTATTATAACGAATCAAGAAAGTTAATTGGATTCCCATTTAGTCAATTGTGATATGAAATATAATACTTTGAACATTGAAAAGGACAAAAAAGTTCAATTTATTTCCATTTTGGGTTTTATTGTATTTAAAGGTTGGTAACAATTGAACCAGTTAGTGAATGTAAACTGTTTACAAGTTAATCTAGCGAATTGTTGAAAGATATAATGAATTTAATGGTACAACCTTAAGTATCACTTACAAATTGAAATTCAATTATAATTAACAATTGAGCACGAATTTTGCGAATTGGATTCCAATAGTTGACTATAAGGTCAACTTTAAATTTTAGTTGACTTAAGTTAATGTGTGATGCTCATGATAACGAGATTGATATCATGCATTGAATTGTCGATTAAAAATCTTTGATCAAACTTGCTATTAAATAGCAATTGATATCAACAATTGGTGGCAACAATTGATTGCATTTGAATGTTGAAGGAAGCTTTAAATGTAATTGTGAAGAGCATGCAATTGTGTTGATGTTGTTGATCAATCAACCGAATCAAATCATTTGTTCAATAGGACAATTTAGCTTTGGGTGCTTCAATAACGATTGTATAGAGAGTGAAAAGGAGGTGAAAAAAAGACAGAGGATGAAGAAGACACAGACATATTGATTTATCTTCATTTTACCTCCAAGAAGATTAGCAAGATGAGCAAAAAAAGGATGACATTATTTGGATTCCCAGCATTTTATATCATCTTATCAACCTTATTTTATAATGAAACTGAATAACATTTTACTCTTTATTTTTTGTCAAAGATTCTGATATCAGTCAAGTTGATAATAATATAAGCATTGCTCGTTGAGTCTAGCAGTTTGCATTAATAAAATAAAAACAATTTTAATGTAACATCGCAATTAAATCAGATACTAATTAGATACGCATTCAGATTATTTAACCTTCATTGTTATTAAAACTCTTGGAATAAACTTATTATTCATTTGGACGCTAATTTTGATCAAAGACATTTTCATTTGCGCAAATGGACTCAAATTACAAGTCCTTATAATCACAACTCTAAACTCGTAAAGTTTTTACGTTGAATAAAGAAAGGCTATGAGTTTGCTATGAGCTACATATTAGTTTGAGAAAAGGTATTTTTTAATTTCTTATTCTGACGATGGACCTTTTCATCAATAACTCAGATCTTTTCAATATGCATTGATAGTTGTCTACTCACATTGCCAGTAGAAGTGACTTTACCATCATTCATGATTGATAATGTACTTGGACAATATGAGATGAGCATAACAGTTATGATATTAATTATTGTTTTATCATTTTTAGATGTAAAGACACCAAAAAGGACACCAAAGGATACGGTAAAGGTGATCTTGTAAAGTAACTTTTTGAACAAAAAAAGATGGTTAAAGTGAATATACAATAAAATAATTAAGCAAATGTCGTATTGACCTTAAGGCGATTCACAGAGTCCTTTTTGTAAGGTAAGGAGTCAGGACCCACCAAGAGATGGGTTCATTTTGCTCACAAAAAACACACACATTTTTGTTTCCATTTTTTGTTTTCTTCTTCTTCTTCTCTTCACTTCTTTTTCCTATTTTAATGACATTTTCAACATAAAACTGGACTAAGTAAACTTTTGACTGTAAAACATTGGATTCTACCTGAGCTTTAGTTGTAAGGCTTAAATTTGTAACTCATCTTGATCGGTAATCTGGATTCTAAAAATGGTAACAACGCTTTTACTTTCATAGATTAGCCAATTGAGCGCATTCAGTCCATCAATAGTTCATTGTTATTGCCGAAACTAATCAGTTTTAGTGTCAACTTTCGTTTTTTATTTCATCTGAAAGGAAAAAAGAAAGTGAAATTGGTCTAAATTTAAACTTTTTTACAATCAACAGGGCGAAAGTAAAAGTCTAAGATAGCAAATGTCATAATCATCATTATAATCATGTCTTGAAAGTGACCTGCGTTCAATGAGACGAGGAAGGCTAAGAGAGGAGAGAGAGGAGGATGGATTGAGAAAGATGAGGAATGGTGAGTGAAAAAAGATGAGAAACAATAAAAGCTACTCTTTTAAATGCTTAAAGGTAAGGGTAAACCTATCCTGTATCGGCTTCGAGTATTATCGACAGACAAAGTATCAATAAATTTACTCAGGAACAAAACATCGGCAAAGCACTTGAAGCTTCTTTAGCTCATAATATCAACATTAAGTTAATGTTCAACATCCTCAACATGGCCCTAGAATCTCCGCTTTATATAAATTCCGAATGTGTTTCACGATTGACTTTTGCTCAACCCATTACATTAAAAGCGTCAAACTCACAGGTTGTAATAAAATGGCATACAATTAAGGATTCACTGGATATTTCGGCGGAAAACAATTATTCTTTGATCTAATTGCTATTGAATGACTCAATATTGATACTCTAATAATTGCTAACACAATTTTTTCACAGAATCCCAGAAAAAAAGAAAAACAAAAGAGTTCGAACCGATTTTCATCCAATTTCAACTGTTTTGGAAACAGTCCTTCAATGTAACCAATATGTGGTGGGTTGAGATATAAAAGTATTGGCCAATCAACTTGGTTTCCCAGATTCACAAATCAAAGTTTGTTTCAAAATCCAGAAAGAATGAAATCGAGAAGAAAATCATTAAATATGGACTTTTCAATGTGAACATCGATGCTTTTGCTCTTCAAAACGACTCCAGCTCTTGACTTTTAACAAAATAAATGTCACATTTGGTTCCATCTCATTGTGTTTCATTTGTAATAACTTTAATAACAACCATGATATAATGAAATAAAATGAATAACAATGTTAAATAAGCGTAAAACGATATAAAACATGATATGTATAAAAAAGTGATGAGATGTACTATGAGATTCAATTAAACTGACTGTGATTTAATATGCTTCACAAGAAAACGTTTTTACCGTTTAATATTATTATCATTATTGTCATTATTATTATTATTATCCTTGTTATTATCATCATCAATCTGACTTAACCATTTGATTGTCTGTAAAGATGATATATCATGATGAAGATGATGAAAAGTTATCCAGTTACACATGAAAAGAGGTCGATACGGTTTATAAGATAATAAGAAATGCTGAGAATTCAAACATTTCCATCTTTTTCAATTCTCTCTGCATTATGAAGACTTTCATCATTATAACTCTTCGAAATATCAATATTTTGACATTTCGTTTGGTGTTCAATGCAAACATTTGAACCTAATGTCGTTAACCGCCTCAAAAGTCCTTACAGTCATATGCATTTCATTGAATATTAAAGTATAATTGCAGGTTTTTGACTAAAAAGACACAACTAACACAATTGTAACGTTTATGAACAAGTTTGTTACTCTTATTGAAACAAATGAGCAAAAACTGGCGAAAATGCATTTTTGTCAAATTTAACTTATGTAAGCTTGTTAGGCAATTAAAACTGAATCGATTTGTGTCACGCAAAAGTTTCTCTGATGCACGATTTTCGAGAAAATTGAGTTCGAAGTTTAAACTTTAATCGCTATTTGTACAATTATGGAAGTAGATTTTTCTATGAAACTCATTTCAACAGATGTTAATTTTCATAACAAACTAGAAAATGCATTTCATTTTATAAGATAAAATTTTGTTCGTCTGTAAAACAGGTCAGTTCGATTTTAAGTTAAATCGACCGATCTCAGTCGCTGTAAGAGTTAGAGAGTTGAAACTTATTTCTTGAGCATAAAAATTGTTTGCACACATTATGCCGTAAATATTTTTTTCGCTTTACAGATTGATCGCTTAATTTTGGCCATTAACCCAAAAACTTTGACCCTCGATATTTCGAGAACGATAGCTTCTACAGTCTGGATTCTTTATCTAAACGCTAGATATTCAAATGGGCTTCAACAATATATGAATAAATATCGAAGAAACCTAAGCTTATTCATTTAATTATGACTGTAGATCTAACACAAGATAAGAAACCAATTATTCTGGTTAATCTGGTATCAAATCTGGCAACCTAATTAATAAATGTTATAACTTTTCTGTGACTTTCTTGAATCAGCTAAAAGCTGCAATCAGCATAGCCCATAATAAAATCTAGTGACTAGTCAAAGAATCATGATTTTAGGTAATGCCGTTCTCGAAATATCGAAGCTCAAAGTTTTTGGGTTAAAGGCCAAAATCAAACAATCGATCGTTCAATTGAAAAAAGTATTCAGTCTATAATGTGTACAAACAATTTTTATGCCCATGAAATAAGTTTCAGCTGTCTAACTCTTACGGGAACTGAGATCGGTCGCTTTAACTTAAAATGAACTGATCTTTTTTACAGGCGAACAAAATGACGAGAAAATGTTATCTTATAAAATAAAGCGCGTTTTCTGGTTGTCAATTGCAATTAACATCTTCAAAATGAGTTTCATGAAAAAATCTACTTTCATAAGTGTACAATAAGCGATCGAAGTTTCAACTTTGGACTCGATTTTCTCGAGAACCATTAGTCAGACAAACTTTTAAAGCACAGAAATGGACTCAGTTTTCATATCTGCACAAACCAAAAGAATAATAATTTGACAAAAATTCAATTTCGCCAGTTTTTGCCCATTTGTTTCAATGAGAGTAACAAACTTGTTCATAAACGTTACAATTGTGTTAGTTGTGTCTTTTTAGCAACAACTTAATTTAGCAAAGGTTTAGAATTAGTATTTAACATTGATCGTAACCATTGGATTAAGAAAGGAATTGTAAATGACTGAATAAATAGCCGTTTAGTAATTGAATGGTTCATTGGAAATGTGAATCAGATTAAGTTGGTGGTCCATTTTTGTGGTTAATGTTTTGTTTTAAGTTGGCAAAGTATTTTGACCATTTTAACCAGCAAACCCTATATCCAGTGTATTATCATTGCTCAACTTGAAAATGGGACAAAAAAGTAGCAAAAAGGGAAACGATCAATCAACAGAATTTTGACATAAAATGGTCAACAATCGGCCCAATTAATTCTCATGAGAGCTAATAATCGATTCGATTAACTAATGAGACTTTGTCAAAATATTTTGATTGCAAAGCGATCATTTATGGTTATGCTTCTAATAGACGGTAAAATTGTTTGCGAGTTGAAGGTTGAAAGAAATCAGTTTTGGTAAAGATTTCCCTTGACATCGCTTGAGATGCCATCTTTCCGTTTTCACCTGATTCAACCATTTCGTTACACTAATGAGCCTTTTTGTGGCGCAAAATGGACACAAAAAGCAGTCCCAATGATGCAAGGTGTACAGATGCAAGTTCAAAGCTACTGACCAAAAAAAATGCATAAACCAAAGGCAAGTAATTTACTTGCAAGCCGACCATTGACCAACTTAATATTAAAACCACAATAAAAATGTTTATCAATGAACTTCGTTTTAAAGTAAAAGCTTTAACCATTGTAACCAGATTTGTTCATGAAAATCAACTGAACATCAAGTCTCCATTTCAGATGTTTGATTGTTTTACAACCAAAGGTTAAAAAATGCCATTAAAAATGGGAAGAAAAAAGGAAAAAATGGAAACAAAAATGTATATTTTTTACTTGGTTTATGAGCCCATCTCTTGGTGGGTCCGACTCCTTACCTGACAAAAAGGACTCTGGGAATGGCCTAAAGGTCCATTTGACATTATGCTAAATTATTTTATTGTATTTCCACTTTGACCATCTTTTTTGTCCCAAACCTTACTTTACAAGATCACCTTATTTTTGTGCCTCTTTGGTGTCCTTTTACCTTCTAATGCAATAGACAATAATACTAAATATAACGGTGAACCTTTTTTTTGCCTAACATTTAATACTAAAATAACTTAATAGGCTTAGAGGTGGCTAAGAGGTGGACTTAACTGTCCACTTAAGATAGACCGTTACTTAAAAGGTTGTCTAATTATGGTAATAAATGTTAACTGAACACTGAGAATTAACTTTCAATGGCTTTTTCAAGTAACCTTATTGAACATTGTCTCATCTAATAGGACAATATAATGAAAATGTTATTTTGCTTGGAGTCAAGTTGAGTTGAGTTAAATCAAGTGAAATGCAAAGGCAAATATTGAATCATTTAGCTGACTAAATACATTTTAAATGGTTGATTATATCATGGCAACAAATGATTTAACTAATCACTTTGCCTGTTAACCTTCCCTTCAATTTTAATAAGCATTGAGATTTAAATTTAGACTCTTGTTAATCTTTATTTGTATTATTATAACGAATCAAGAAAGTTAATTGGATTCCCATTTAGTCAATTGTGATAGGAAATATAATACTTGGAGTCTGCAATAGAACCCAAAAAAATAATTCAATTTCATTCCCTTATTTTTTTGGGTTTGTAATTGAAAAACTGGTAACAATTGAACCAGTTAAGTGAATGTATAATTGTGAATCTTGCCAATTGTTGGATGATATAATGAATAGGAATTAAATAACCTCAGGTATTTACAATTCAATTATAATTAACATTTAATTGTGTCTTCCAATTGAATCTGTTAAATGATACAGTTGATGACATTTTGATAATTGAAGCGATCAACAGTGAATGTGTGTTGTGTCCAGTTGTTGACTGACAAAACGGTAAACTTGTGATTTAACAGCAATTGGTGGCAACAATTGTCAATGATTAAGGAAGCTTTAAATTGTGAAGAGCATGCAATTGTGTTGATGTTGTTAATCAATCAACCGAATCAAATTATTTGTTCAATAGGACAATTTAGCTTTGGGTGCTTCAATAACAATTGTATAGAGAGTTTAGGTTTTACTATGAACAAAAAAAGGTAGAAAAAAGAAGAGATGATGAAAAAGAAGATGAAAAAAGATGAAATTATTTGAATTCTCAACATTTCTTATTATCTTATAAACCGTATCGACCTCTTTTCATGTGTAACTGGATAACTTTTCATCATCTTCATCATGATATATCATCTTTACAGACAATCAAATGGTTAAGTCAGATTGATGATGATAATAACAAGGATAATAATAATAATAATGGCAATAATGATAATAATATTAAACGGTAAAAACGTATTTCTTGTGAAGCATATTAAATCACAGTCAGTTTAATTGAATCTCATAGTACATCTCATCACTTTTTTATACATATCATGTTTTATATCGTTTTACGCTTATTTAACATTGTTATTCATTCCCAGTCAACCAGTCAACTAATTTTGATTCAAGTATAATGCGATCATTATATAATCCTTGATTTAAGCTCATTAGTTATTTTTTGGCGTAAAGGTGAAAGTTACATTTGTCATTTGTCTTATCATTTGGAGATGTAAAGTGACCCAAAAGGACACCAAAGGGATGCAATAAAGGTGAACTTGTAGAGTAGCTTTTTGCACAAAAAAGGGTCAAAATACAATAAAATAATTGGCCTTTAGGCGATTCCCAGAGTCGCTCTTGTTTTTAATGACATTTTTTACCAAATTTTGACAAAAAAAGGAAAGTGAAATTGATCTAAATATAAACCCTTTTTTACGATCAACAGGGAAAAAAGTAAAAGTCAAAACAGTAAATGTCATGATAATCATTATCTCTTTTCTTGAAATTGACCTGCGTTCAGTGATATATTCAACTATAAGATGAGGAAGGGATAAAAACTCCTCCTTTAAAGGTGTAAACATTTTTTCTCTGTTGAGAGATTTGCTCAGTGTTCAGTTCTTGTCTATATAGCTTATAGTTGCAGCGATTTCAAGTTGAAATAATCATGGTTTTGCAACAAAATTTTGATCAATGTTTCCATCGAAATGCAAATTGTAAATTGACTTCTTTTGGGATTGAGGATTTACTCGGGATTTCATCTAAAAGTAAGTTTTCTTCTTTTCGCTTTTCACTCGTTTCAGGTAATCTTATAACTAACGCATTGACTTTAATTTGAACAGGTTTAAAGAAACAAAAGAAAAGCAAAAGAGTTCGAACCATTTTCAGTGCATTTCAATTGGAAGTTTTGGAAACAATTTTCAGGACTAATCAATATATGGTTGGACGAGAACGAAAGTTGTTGGCGAATGAACTTGGATTAACTGATACTCAAATCAAAGTCTGGTTTCAAAATCGAAGGATAAAATCTAGGAAAAATCCGCTATCTAATGGATTGTTTTGAATCTTTAAACTATAACCAATTTTGGATAAACAATCATGATAACTGATTGTGATATTTCAGTTTACTTATTTAAATTCAACATATTTTCATGTGTTTCAACTTTACAAGTTTTTTTATATAAATTATCTAGTTTGGAGTTCAAATTGTTACTCCACCATTCCAACAAAGTAAAGCAACTAGAAACGAGATTTACTGATTATTAATTTAACTTTAATAAATTTAGACGATATTCAAACTCAAAGATCATTACAATATTGAATAATTTTTTGTAAGATCATTTCAATCTAATTTTAAAATAAATCATCTTCATTGAAACCTCTTCTTTCTAACGTTTCTTTTGTGGTTAACATTTTTTTGTAAAGTGGCCTCATCGTCTCCTAGCTCATAGCTTCTCAAATGATTCCCTGAATTTCAAAAATGAAGATCATTTGTTCAATCAAATTTCTCTGATTTGCAGTCCTTCGTTCAAAGTGCAAAGTTGGATTGCTTTTTACCCAGTTGTAATCAAAGACTTCTTCATCAAACTTATGGAATGGTGGAGAAGCTAAAAAATGAATTTTCATCAATAGAAATGGTTTGTTAACATCCAATATCGAACAGTTCTCGACTCATTGGTCTTAAAGTTTTGAGCCTTGATATTCCGCGATTGACAGCTCTTTTAATCACCGTTCTTTTACTGATTGTGATATTTTATTATCTTATTATATGACTGAATACTAGAGAGATTTGCCTTCGTTATTTATAATCAAATATTATTGTAACACATCCCAAGACTGAATAAACATTAATTAAGGCTTCATAAATGGAGCAATGATCTAGCGGAATCTGGCGAATCAAATTGGTTTAATTGATGGATAAATCAAATTGGTTATAAGATCGACGAATCAAGTCGAGACAGCGTCAAGTTCACCAAATTTTATTCAGTTTGTTTCGAAATGATTATCACAAAAATCCATCGCCAGAAATTTCTTTAAATACGCCATCTATTGATTAACATTAAAACTAATAGAGGTTCAGCTGATTTTTAAAGCAACCGTGAGCTGCAACTTGTGATATTTCAGTTTATTTATTTTTATTCAACTCATTTTCGTGTGTATCAACTTTACAAGTTTCTAAGTACAAATCTATTCAAATTATGGCTTTACCAAATCAACAAGGAGAAGCAGCTGTCGCAGTTGAAGAAGATGCAACCGAATTGAAATTTCCAGTTGAATTTGAAAATGCTGAAACATTATTGACCAGTGAAGTTTGTATGTTGATGGAACACAGGAAACAACAAAACGAGGAACGAGAGGAGGAACAAGAACTCAATGAAATTTTCACCAAAACATTAAATTATTGTCAGCGTTTCAGTAAATTTAAGAATCGTGAAACAATTGCTGCTGTTAGACATCAATTGATGAATAAAAAGCTGCATAAATTTGAATTTGCGCAATTGGCAAATCTGTGTCCAGAAACTCCAGAAGAAGCGAAAGCGTTATTACCATCATTGGAAACGAGATTCACCGATGAAGACTTGCGACAAATTTTAGATGATATTCAAACCCAAAGATCATTCCAATATTGAGAAAAAATTTTGTAACATCATTAAAATCTGCCAATGGAAATAAACCATCTTTCATTAAAATCAACTAACGTTTTCTTTAAATGGCCAAGCAGTGACATTGTCACCTTTTAACTCTTAGCTTTCTTAAATGACTCCCTGAATTGCCTTGAGAAACTTGGCTAAATGATTTTATTGTGTTTTTTGTTTAAAGTAACGTAGATGGATTTTCACTGCTTTATTACCTTTTGTTATCTTCTATTAGGTCCTTGCGACTTTTTTCAGTTCTCATGATAATACAAAAAGTATTTTGTTATGCCAAATATAACGGTGACTCTTTTTTTGTCTCTTTATGATACTAAAATAACTAGGTATCTAATGGGCTTATTAAACAGGGTGGTCATGGACAGTTAAGATACACCGTTACTTAAAAAGATGTTTAAAAAGATGAAACTAATGGTAGTCGCCATAATGGCAATAAACGTTGAGCTAGATTTGGAAAGGGAATAAACTCTGAATGACTTTTTTAAGAGCAGGTAATTGTCTCGCAATCTATTAAGACGATATCTTCAATTAGGAATCATATAGTCTTTCTAAATTGACCGTGAAAAATACAAAATTTGTCAAACGATATTCAACAAGTGGAGCGCGATCATTAGCAATGTTTATCAATGCAATTAAAACTACTTTTAGTGGGTCAGAAAAGAATTTCATCAAGAATTTAATGTAGGTGATATTTAACTGTACAAAACTTGAATGAACAATGCTCGCTTATTCCTAAAAAAAATTTAGCTGAGATTGTGAACATATTTCATTCTGAATATGAAAATATTGGTCACTTGGTGGTTTCATCAAGAAAATGTCTTTCATTTTTACATTCCGAAAAATTTAGAACATATTAATTTACAATTTTCGATCCTATTTTTTATAATGATGATGATACAATATATATATATGTGATGTAGAGAAAAACAATTTTTAAGTTGGCAATTGATAAATATCAATATTTATATTTAGATAAATAATAATAATCCTAATTTTCAATCATATAAATGAGAGTAAACTTCTTGTGTTAATCTTATATATTCCTCTTTCTCCATTTGATTCATTTCATGGATAGTATCATCATTGACTTCACCAAGTGGAATCAGTCTGCCTCCAATTCGGATCATGGGTTCACTAACGTCTTCGAAGTCTTCATCTTCATCTTCGTCATTCATTATTTCATCCTTAACAGAAGAATTGAGACCATCCGATCCCCAGTCATTATTTTGCGTTGATAATATGGACACTGCAGCGTCGTTTGTATGCTCTAATTTTTCGTGAACTAGAAGTGCCTCTAATACTTCTTTACTGTAACCATTTTCATCTTTGGGTTGAGTTGAAGTTTCTTTGATTTTATTTGAATTATTCTTGGTGATTGTAACATCGGGCATTGATGGATATACACTGACTTCGGCTAGCCATGGAGGTTGCTCTTTCTTGACCACTTCCTCAACTGCTTCGCCATCCTTTTCTATCTTTATGCTTGTTTCTTTAATCATTACACTATCAAATTGTGATTTGTCTTTAGTCTTCCATTTATCCATACCTTCGAACCCTTCACTAGTTGTAACTTTTATTGTAGAGCCATTGACTTCAATAGGATCAGGTTCAAGGAGATCGGCAGGTATCTTAATGTCTTCGACTTCCTTAAGTAACATGTATAAAGGTTCCATTTGATCATTGAACTTGGCCAACATTAATCGAGAGTCTGCTTTTGGTAACACATCAGGATCCTCTTCCACTATTTCCCCACAATATGAACACTTGAATTCATTTGATACATGATCCCATAGTTGATCTGCTTCAAGATCAGTGAAAGTCTTCTTACAATTTACACAAATAAAGGATGATCTTTTGGTGGAGTCGCGCTCTTCCGTTTCAATCTTGCGTCGCATCAAATCCAATTTATATTTGACAACATTTACAAATCCTCTATAGTTGATAAAATAATATGCTTGACGAGTAGCCTTCCCATCCGGCCCGGTTTCCATCCTCAACTTTGATTTGATCAATTTATCATTTTTGAGACCAGCAAAGATGGCTCGCAATTGTTTCTTTTCAAATTTCATAAGGTTTTCTATTTCATCTTCCTTAATCGATAACTTTCTTATCATAAGGTCAACAATCAAAGTTTGTTCAATGGTATAAAAACCTCTCATGACATAGCGGACAAGTCTTTTAAGACCTGTAGGTATCTCCAGGGTCATTTTCAATGGATGGTAGATAATAATGTTATTTTACGAAGAATTTTTCACAATCCTTTTCACAGCCAACCGCTTTGAACCAACAAATTGTTTGATATGATTGTCACAAATTTCTTTTTGGCATATTGTAGTCCGTTGGACACTGTTAGAACAATAAACAATAACAAAAAAAGAGAAAGAAATTCAGAAATCACTTAATTTTGATATAAATAATAATTAAACTACAAGCGACTCAATTCAGATGAGTCAAGTGAGAATTTGTCAATAAAAGTGTTGCTGCAGTTCTTTAAAGAGCATCACAAGGGGCTGTTAACTCATTACAATTTGTTAAACCGATTATGTAGTATTTAAGCGTATTTATTTACATTGTTAGTAAACAGATTATTTAACGCTAAAGAAAAATTATTAAGTTATTAACCGTCTTAAAATAGCAGAATAAGATCAATTTTGTAATTAAGAAACAAATCTGACTCATTATTCATTCAATGGAGGAAAATGAAATGCATTTGCTAATGTCCATTTTTGATTGGATTGATCATCCAATCTTTTTACCTCAAATAGTCTATTAATTGAAAAAATGATTAAGGGATTGGAATCAAGTTCTTGAATAGCCGTTGATAAATAAATTTGAAAATAAAACGCGATTGATTGATGAAAGAGTGAAATAATTCATAAACAAAATTATTTTGTGTCACTTTTAATTTATTTTAATAAAAGCAAATCAGCTGTGGATAAAAAAGGATTTGTAACATTCTCGACATTTCAGGGTTCATTTTAACACCTTTAAATCATACAAAAATTGGAAGAGTTGAAGACAGGTTGAGTCAAATGATAATAAAAGTGCTTTGGCAGCAAAAAGCTAAAACAACTGATGATAAAAAAAGATAAAGTAGGGAAGGAAGAGAAAATAAACTAAAAACCTATGAAGAGGGTTGTATAAAGAGGGAAAACTAAATCAAAATATGAGATTCGAGAAATGATGCTATTGTACAGGTTCATGAAACGGTAAAGAATAAGATTCTCATTCTCAAGAAACACTGAGTATAATCAATTTGTACACAAGAGTTGATGCGAATCAATTAAAAACAAAAATTATCAATTAGGGATTGGGATAATAATTAGATTTGAGTCCGAGTTTTGTTTTTTCTTCTTGGTGTGCTAATAATCAACCTTATTCCGAAAGATTGATGTATTTCCATAAGATAATATGGAACTTAAAGGAGAAAAAGAGTGGGGTTTGTCCGTCTGGATGAAGTAGATTTTGATGCGAAGATGGATGTTTGCGTAATGAAGAGTAAGATGGTAAATTAAATAACATCTTAATTAAGATAGATATTTTTTGGCAGTCTTGGCCCGACGTTTCCTATTTTTGGCAACCTTAGATGTAATTTGTTCAATTTCTGCTGAAACACTATCACTTCGGGAAGAAACTGAATCTGTTTCTGATGACTTTTGTCTTTTACTACGATTAGCAATCGGTATGTCATTTAAATAAGCCATGTTATTCTGAAAACTTGGAGTTGACCTATCAGAATCAGCAGAATGGTCACGTTTCCTACTTTCCTTGGTTAACTGACTTTGTCTCTGTCCCATAATGACCTTAGACATATTAGCGCGAGCAGCATAGGCAGCTTTAGCTGCTTCGAATTCAGAAGAAAATTCATTGCGAGCATCAGCATGATCTTGAACTAGAGCGATATCATTGAGCAAAATAATAGGATTTGAATCGGATACACCACTCTCCATTGTCTCATCATAGTTTCCATTTTGTCCGTTTTTGACTTTGTCTTCAGAATCATTTTCAGCCTCTACACCGTTTTCCCCGCCATTAACTGAACTGATGAAATGGTCCTGATCTTTGTTATCAGCATTATCCCCAGATTCAGGAGATGCATGGTTATCATCTGATTCTTCATCTTTCTTTTCGTTTTCATCCACCTAAGAAAGGAGATAAAGAATGCATGAAAAATGATGGGTGGAAAAGAGAGAGAGAAAAAGAAAGAGAAAGAGAGAGAGGGCATTAATTTGAGTCTGAACAGTGAGCTGGCCATTTAAATTGCCAAAAGAAGCTTTAGCTGATTGCAACAACAAACAACTAAATGAACAGATTAAGATAACTATTGTACAGAACAAATGAATCAAACTATGAAAAAAGAGGGAATAAAGTTGAGATAAAAGATAAAAAACTTACATTTCCATCCAGATTACCGCCATCTTGATCCTGTGCATCTTCATCTCCGGATTCATTAGAATGTCCATTAACACTTTTTGGGTCACATGTGGGTTGATTTTCGGTCTCACTGGACTCAGTATTATCTGATGAAGATTTAGTTGCTTCTGAGCGCCAATAAGAAAACGGTGAAGAAATCGCAGTACCCATAATTTACCAATGCGATTAGGATTTTTAAACAAAGAAATTTAACAAGAAATATCAACGCGTACACTTAACAAAATGCAAGCAAAACCAGACAGGTTCTTGCGCTTGCCCTGTTTAGCAATACTCTTTGGGGTATGGCAAGGAAAGACTCAATGCTGGGGGTTACATTGAGAGCTTCATGCAAAGAGTTTAATAAACTTTGGGTGCCTCAAATAGTAATTAGAGGACAAAGTTTCCATTAAATCATATCCGCTAATGTAATTCATATTCCTTTTGTTCATCTATGCTGTGGATTCTCGGTCTATGGTTTACACGAATTCAAAGTGATTTTGTTAAATTTTATTCTTCCCTTTAACCCGAATTTTAAATTTGTTAACTTTGATCGTTTAGTAATACAATGCGTAATCAAATGTCAACTTTCAACCTGTCTTTAATCTGGTTTAACCTTAACAAACCAGTAGACATTATTACAAGATTTTTTGGTGGTTATGACACTTGGTGACCTCCGGTCATCAGATATTGCTGATTTTCATTGGATATTTAAGGCTGAAATAGTTACAATGTTCAAATCTGTTGATTGTTCGTTCAGTGTTTAATGTGAAAAGTTGCCAATCGGCTCAAATGATGCGGGCTTTCAATTGATTGAGGATATGCGCAATCTTTTCCTTCTTCAAAAGGTAATGTTCATTACAATGTTTACAAAACTGTGAAAAGTTAGTTGGTTAAAATTCACGAGAATCACTTCTTTCACTTGTTACATTTGCTTTTCTTAATGTTTCATGTTTTATTATTTTAATTGTTGATCTTTTGTTTTTGTATTCTTTTTTTTAATCAGGTTTGAGTGATTTTTCTGGTTCGCTTGTTAACTCACGTTAAATCTAGTTGTGATTTTCTTGCAAGTTTTTCATCCTTGTTACATGTCTATTTTTGCTGTGATTTTCTTGGCTCAAGGTTGCCAGATTACCCTTCAAAAAGTTAAAATTGATGCTTAATTGTAAAGACAAATAAGTACAAGAACATGGGAAAGCATAATAGTAAACTTAAACCCGAAGTGATTCAAGATCTACGCCAGTCAACCGAATTCACAGAATCTGAGATTCATGATTGGTACAAAGGATTTCTCAAAGATTGTCCAACAGGTCACTTATCGATGGACGAGTTTAAGAAAATTTACGGCAACTTTTTTCCTCATGGTGATGCCTCCAAGTTTGCAGAACATGTTTTCCGAACTTTCGATGCCAATTGTGATGGAACCATTGATTTTAGGTAAGCTAGTTAAACACATGAATATTTACCTATTTAGTTTTCCTAAAAATGGCTTAATTCATAGTTTATTTTGCAACCAGTAACATAGATAATTCAAGCTTTAAACAAACCAATTCCAATTTCAATCCTCGATTGAAATATTGTTGTAGCTTATTCCATCATGAGACAAGCACATTGTTAATTTTTGTCCAAATCCTTCTGTTATTAAGATACAAACTCACATGTGAAATCCAATTTCAACTCCTTTAGACGTGTTTATATTTAAATCTCTGACTAATCGCTAATTAACATCTTGATTTCAACATCTTGGCATCAATAGCATAATAATAATCTTCCATTTACAATTCTCTTTTTTCAGGGAATTCCTTTGTGCCTTAAGTGTTACTTCTAGAGGAAAACTTGAACAAAAACTTCGATGGGCATTTAGCATGTACGATTTGGATGGTAATGGTTATATTTCCAGATATGAAATGCTTGAAATTGTTTCGGTATAGCATTTTATACATTTATACAAATGTTTTTGAAACAAATATACAGATTTATGGATAGAAAAGTTGTTTCAATGATTCTAATTTTTCACCTTTTTTCCTTATATTCAGGCAATATACAAAATGGTTGGTTCTTTAATGAAAATGCCAGAAGATGAATCAACTCCAGAAAAAAGGACCGAGAAAATATTTCGTCAAATGGATAAAAATCTTGATGGTCGACTTTCTATGGAAGAGTTCATAGAAGGAGCTAAAAGTGACCCTTCGATTGTTCGCCTTCTTCAATGTGATCCTCAATCATAATATAACAAATTACCAAAAGCGCATTAATTTTACTGCACATCTGATCTTCAATTATTTATCGTTTCCTTTTCGTTTTTTTGTCTATTGATATTTTTCCTCTGTTTACAAAATTTGGTCTGTTTTCCTGATTGTTTGCTTTTCTAGTCCATTCAATGTTGATTGATCAATCTTCAACGACATTTTCACATCATCACCATGACTTTCCTTGTTTATTTTATTTCTGTGTATTATATCTTTCTCCCTTTTTCTGGTCTCTCTTGCTAAACCTGAAATACAGTCACCATCCAGATAATGTACCAATGTGAGAATAACCTATTTACATTATTTGTCCGGCAACTCAATTACCTGATTTTCTATCGTGTTTAATGGCTCAAGTTGAACTCACATCATTAACTGATTTTATAAATTTTCTGATTTCTATTTTACAAGCAGAAATGAAATTCGATACAATTCGATAATTACTGTGAACCAAAGCATCTCAAAAATAAAATGCCTTAAGACAAAATGACCATTAACTCACTGGTTTTCATCAATAATTCATTCATTCATTCATTCAGTATCTCTTGATCTCATTAGATCTTGTAAAGCAACAATGGTATTCAAATTTTAATAACCAATCAATAATCCAAACTGTAATTTCGATAAATTATTAATAATTATTGATCATTATCTAAATCACGCTCATCCTAGTAAAATGCCCTTCGAAGCTAAATTTTAAGCTAATAAGTTATCTCTGTCAAAAGGAACTATTGATTAAAAACTTTGATTTCAAGTGTAGTCAATGTTGAAACTGGTTTTTGAAAATGACACTCAATTTGCGAAAGCCGAACCGAATTTAAAACCTGGATTAATGTCATCATTGTCAAGCTGAAAATCGAGTGGTTATCATCATTCTATGGTTAAAATGATAAATATCGCGATTAAAAAGATAATAGGCATATTAGCTTATCAAGTATCAAAAATATATTTAGCTTTAATGAAAATGATATTGATTTTATAATCATTAATAAAATATTCTCGCACGATTACGGGTGATAGATAAGCTTTTTGAAGAAATAACACAAATTTTTAATGCAATGCTGATTCTACAGGCATTTGATGAAATTAGTTATTAGACGTCCGATGTCTTCTTGATCCGGGTATTGAATAACGAGGCTTATAGAGATCATCTTCGTCATATCTCTGTGAGCTATAAGTATCACTCCTGGAAAATTTCAGAATAAAAACAATAAGATTAGATTTAAATATCGATACAATTATTGCTCAAGCATTACTTACTTTCTTTTGTTACTAGATTGACTTTTCCTTGACTTGGAGTCCTCAGGATTGTGCCTTGAACTTGCTGGCGATGACTCCCTTGAACCTTTTGGTTCTTTTTTAATCTTTGGAATAACATATTTAGGTTTTTGAACGTTTTCAGACGGTTTTTCTGTTTTTGTTTCCGTTTTCGATTTAGCATCCTTTTCGGGATCTTCGGATTTTTTGGGGGTAGCCATAAGTTCTTTTACTGAACCCTTAGGCCTCTCTTGAAATCGAATATCAAAAACTGGAGCATTCGGAGCAGACCGAATAACTTCAAATTCATGTTTCACTGTTTTTGCGGGTTGGCTCGGTTGGGCTGGTTGAGCTGGTTGTGCTGGTTGAGCTGGTTGAGTTGGCTGAGCGATTGTTTTTTTCTTGCTTTGACTAAGTTCATCACAAACCCAAGAAGGTGAATCGTTTTCTTTCTTGGTTTGCACATCGCCGACTTTTTCTACTTTTACCATTTTTGCTGTTCTTTCCACTTTTTCCGTTTTTCCACTTTTTTCTAACTTTACTACCTTTTCCAAATTATCTGTCTTTTCTGATTTTTGTATATTTTCTACTTTTTCTACCTTTTCTACTTTTACTGCCTTTTCTACTTTTGCTACTTTTTCCATTTTTTCTACCTTTTCTGTCTTTTCTGTCTTTTCTATCTTTTCTTCAGAGCTTCCTGTCTTGCTTTTCAATTCATCAGCTTCTTCCACACTTGATATGCTCATAGGATCATCAAAATCAGACAAGTCACTGGTATGTGCTGAACTAACATCAGAAAGTAAATCTGTTGCGACTGGCTCGGAACTTCCTTTTGACTTTTCTTTGTCTTGGTTTTCTTTTCTCGTCTCCTTTTCTTCTTTTTTAGATTCATCTTTGTTAGACAATGAAGGATAAGACACTGATAAAGATGGTTCTGGAGATTTGGGCTCATTCTTAATTAGAGTCGCCTTGTCATTGATTTCTGAAGAAGGAGTTGTAGATGATCCTAAGTGGGCAAATGGACGCTCAGGAGGAGGTGAAGTTGAGGTACCCCAATCAATAGGTACTGCTCTTTGTTCATCAGTACTTTGTTTACCTTCTTTACTTATGTGTCCATATATATTGGCTTGAGATTTAGATTTATTATCTGGAGATTTTGATTTATTTTCGGGTGATTTAGATGTGTTTTCTTCAAAGAAATGCGGAGAATTACTATCTTCTCCTGATATAAGAGATGTTGGACTGGGTGCAGGAGGAATAGAGTCGTCACTCTCATTATCAGATGGTCCTGAGGTTGGTGGTGACAATGAGTGCGATGAGACCAGTGATGGTGACAGTGAAGGGATTTGTTTTTTTTCTGGTTTAACTTCATTCCAATTGTCTGAAATCCACAATGATTTATCGTCCTTTGGTTCCTTTTTGGCTGGTGGAGTTTCATTTCCAGGCCAAACTATCTGTTCTTCTTTAGTAACAGGTTCTTCTACCTTGATTCCAAGATAATCTTGAACATGCGAATCTATCCGACTTAACATGTATGTTGTTGCTTTCTGAGCGATAACTTGGTCTACAAGATGTTGAATTGTAGCAATAACATTATCAGACCTATGATTGAAAAGTGATCATTAGAACAAATTGAATCTAAAGATTTCAGTTTGACAAAAAAACAAATCATATCAACTTACTCAGTGAGTGATCTTCTCAATTTTTCTCTAAGTTGATTTCTATTTAATGATGCATCCCAGGTTAAGCTTTCCAGATAGTTTTTCACTTTACCATCAATTTTTTGTCTTAGATTTTCGAAAGCTGGCTACGATTAATAAAAATTTGGTAAAGAAACAATGAATAAAAGTATGAAGAGTAAGATAATAATAAAAAATACTTATAAACTAACTTACCCTTGTGTCAACAGCTGAAAGGCATTCTTTCCGAAATTCATCAAATACTCCACGAGCTTTTAGGTCATTAACAATCTTTTCAATGTCATCATTCATGGTAAATGAAAATACACTTCAATAACAATCAAATAACAATCAAAACAAATATATAATGATCATTTTAATCTTGATTATTTACATTCATTTTTCAAACAGCTTTACTTTATAGTCTTTAACCCAGTTACGGGAATAAGGGATACATTGTATGCTACTTTTTGTAGTATGCACCAAAATATGGTTGCATACTTTGCTGCCATCTATTACACTTTTTAACAGTACATACCAAAATTATTTAAATACAATAAAAATGAAAGGTTAATGATTTATCCTTTGATCTTTATCCTTAATCAATGCTTCAATTTTAGTGCAGATGTTTAATCTATTGTCAATCAAAATAATTCCTAACATATTTCTTAAGTTAAATATCAATAGCTAACCCATTGGAATAAATATTTCTGAAATCTATTTTATTGAGTATTTCATTCTTGTATAATTTTGTATTCAACCCTATCGACGTGTATAAAGTCACTGGACTCCTAATCATGAAACGACAAATGGAAGCACCTTTGGATAACTCTTTTTGGTTAGTCAACACAGAACAAAAAATTTGCAAGAATGAAAATAAAACGGTGAGAAAATTTTTCATGAATATTTGAAATTGTGTTCACTTTGAAAAAGTCGTTGATATTGTTGAACTTTTTCTCAATAAATCGATCGAAAAAAAGCTCCTTTATACCCTGCTTTCATCCAATGATTATTAATTCAAGTTGGAACGATTAAATAAAGATACTTGATTATAAGTGAAGCTTTGAACCTAAAATCGCTTCACTAAACCGCTTTTATTCAACAAAATTTTTAAAGAAGTTTGAAATGAGCGCCTGTTTTGTTGCTATAGTAATCCCTCGCAAATGTTTCGCTGGTAGGCTCCTCAATAGTAAAGCCTGGATACCATTTTAACCCTGAACATATTTTTAAGATTGATTACTTTTTTGTTGTTAAATTTTTCTCTTAACAATCTTTTGTTTTTTTGTTAATCTTCAATTTTCTTTGATATATTTCTGTGGTAGAGGTTAGATCATTACCACTTCATCATGTCAACTGCTGAAGGTATGTATTTTTATCGTAATCGATTTGTTTACTTTTATTCACTATCACTATCGATATTCTGATATTTTTCAATGTTTCCAATTTTCACCATTGCTAATCGTTTTTTGTTTATTACATATCTTTATTCTAATTTTTCTGACCTTTTCCCTCAAATTAAATTTCAGATGATATTAGTGAACAAAATCAGTATCCAGTCGAATCCACTAACATGAAACTGGTGAAAGTGGTGCCACTACCTCATGCTAGGTCTGAGGTTTGGGCATATTTTGGGTTTATTGCTGGGGACGATGGAGAAATTCAAGACAAGAAGAAAGTGGTCTGTAAGTTATGTGCTACAACCTTGTCTTATTCTGGTAACACGACAAATCTATTCACCCATTTGAAAGCCCTTCACCCAGAAGCTACTCCTGCTAAACTGGCCCCAACATCAAAACCCATCCGCGGCAAAAAAGGAAAGTTCAAGTTTATTGGTTATCAAGCTGGGGATAGTGTCGACAATGAGAACCCTCAAGAGTACATTGTCAGAGCTATCACTTTTGGAGAGAATGAGTCAAGTTCAATGCCTGTTTCCTTTTTAGAAGATGATACACAGCTCAACACAACAGAACAGCAGAACAGTGATGCAAATGCAGTGGATAGTATTATTTTATCCTCTTCTACTAGTTTGCCTAACATGGACACTTCCAACGCGGAAGTTGATACATCTAACGAAGTTAGCCCAGAGAATGTCCCATTGTTGTCTTGTGACGATATTACCAACGCAATTGTTAATATGCTTGTGGAAGACTGTCGGCCCATTTGTTTGACCCAAGGTAAAGGATTTGCAGCTTTGATAAAGTTTCTAGCTCCTGGATACAAAATACCTGATTCACCTAAATTGAAAACTTTAGTCAAGAAACGTCATAAAGAAATCCAGCGTACATTGATTTTAAGAGGGCTTAATGATGAAGATCAGTAAATTTACTAGTTTAATCATTTCCTGTTATCATCAAGACGGATGTATTATTAGATCTACTTATTTTTTGGATTATAAAAAATCAGCCTGACATCGACGTTTAATCATCAGCATTTTTACAATCATGACCCAAACGTTCATCTCTCTCATATTCTTAACCATCATCGTCTCCATCTTCACCACTATTAAAATAAAGTGAATAAATTAAACACTGATTCGTATTTTTTCCAGGCAATCACAGGTTGATAGTAAAATTTTTCAAAAATTAATCCTTGAATCTCTTTTCAGCTACAAAAAATAGTTGTAAATTAATCATTGGATTAATATATTGCATGTATTATCTTCATTATAACTTATATTTGTATTTCTTGAAAAACAGTCTAAATATTGACATTTGCACTTTGTTTTGTAAAGCTATACTTGACCAATCGACTTTGGTCACCTTCGCGTCAACCGTCAAATTAAACTATACAAGTTAAATTAAGAGTTATATCAAATATCATTGACCTGCTTAATATTAGTCAACACTCACAATAAAACAAGACAAATCTTAAAAAAAGTCTTAATAATTACTAACAATTGAAGAGCCAAACACACAAGACAATCAATACTAAAATTAAGCCAAATTAAAATAGATAAACATAAGTTAATAAATCAAACCAAATAGCCTAAATGCAATATAAGATACTAATGGAAATTAAAAAGGTGAAAACTTGAATTGACACTCGACTTGCAGTTAATAGTTGATATACGTGAAAGCAATTGTATTGATAGGTGTAATAGGAGTGAAAATCATCATAAATGAACAATTAAATATAATAATAATTTGAAAAGAGACATAATTATGATCATAATAATAAATAATAGCAATGATAATACAAAAAGGCAGAAACATTGTCAATTGTAAAAAGGTAAAAACAAACATTACCAAAAAGGATCAACTCTACTCACTATTGGCTGTTGATTTTAAGCACATACTCTTATCATCATTACAAGAGTCGGTCCTATACCAAATGTAGCTCCTCCTTATCATCATCATCACCATCATCATGATTGTTAACAAAAAAAAGAGCATCATTTCCTTTTCCTTCTTCATCAACATATTTTGATTATCAAAGCAAGAAAAAGCAAAAGAGCAAAGCAACAAAAAAAAACAACATCGACAAGAGGAGAAACAAGGAAACACACAAAGTAAAAGTGTACCAACAGATTGATCACAATTTGTCTTACAAAACTAAATTTAAAAGGCATCATCATCATCATCCATGATGATACAGAATGAAAGATGAAAAGAAAGGCTAAAAAAGATGAAAGTAAAAAAAACACAAAACTCACTTATCCTCTTTCAGTAACAACAACATCATCATATGGATTGATTCCCATAGCATTAACAGGCTGACATAGTGGCAAATTATTTGCAATAACAGGGAGAATGGATGATGAAAATGATGAAGATGAAGGTGGGGATGATGTGAGGAGGATCATTTGGTTACAACATTTGAAACCTCAGTTTAGTTACTGGCTTCTGGAAACAAATGATGCAGGAATGGGATGAAGATAATGAAGAAGAGACTGAGGAACATTAGAGTCTCATCATCATTTTTAATCATCATCATCATTCTTTCGTCACTTTCTTGGTTATCATCATGAGATCCTGTGATTGGCTCCACAAGATGAGAGAGAGATAAAGAAAGGTAACAAAAACCCTGTGATGATCATGATCATCCCTTTCAATGATAAAGATGAAGAAAGGAACTCAAGCCAATCTTTTTTTGCTTTCTTCATTCTTCTCTCTCTTTCTTCTCTCTCTTTCTCATCATTTACTTTTCATCAAGATAGTTAGACAGGTAAATATTATAAAGCAAATTGTTAGAGAAATGGATGATAGAAATAGGATGATCATGATGATCAGTAAGATGATATAATTTGATGATATGCTTTTTTAACCTCACCAAGAATGAAAATGTTGTTGGATTTTGCTCAATCCAAGTTGATGTTGTTATATTTTTGTTGATCTCATCAAGGAGAGAGTTAACAGTCAATCCTATAAGAATATATATATCAACAATTTAAAGATAATAATCTATTCAAATATCATCATTTTCAATATTTTTCATCATCTTTCTTTCCCTTTCGCCATCATCATCATCTTTTTGCGTTTACAATCAAATCTACTTTCCTTCATATTTTGTTTGTTTACATCTTCAATCTCTCTATTGACTTGTCTTCAATCACTTATCAACCATTGATTTAAAGTTCACAACTAAATCATCATCTTGTTCATCATTTACAGATTTACATTTTCATTTTAACTTTCAAGCAAACCTTAAATCGCAAAGGTAAGTTCAATGTTTCTTTACAATTTTTCATTAAACATTATAATAGTTCAGCAACAACATTCAATCCCAGTCAACATTAAACAACATTTAGTTTGATTGCAAGTTTAGTTATTTGGTTCAATTGTGTTTCAACTTTAAGATAAATTAATATTTTAATTGAGTCAACTCTTGATCGTTTCTGTGTGTTGGTTAATTTGTTTTTGTCGTCTTTACAATTACAGTTGAATGTGCACATTGAATGGGACAACAAGATGAATCCCAGTAAATCCATATTAATGGAGATTCCCTGTTAAACCTATGGAAAAACGTAAGACTCAAAAAAAGTGACAAAATTAATTCAATCGGTTCATCCAATTACTTATTGATTGCTATTCATTTTAGTTTTCATTATTTAATAATCTATCATTTTGTCTATCATAATAACATCAACAATCATGAAATTAACAATCCAACAATCGTAACCACATTTAAAACCCTTTTAACGTTTATAACAATCAACTTTAACCAAACCAAATACACCTTCAATGTTAATAGGAGACAGACTTCTTGATATTCCTTGTCGTGTTTGCGGCGATCGTAGTTCAGGTAAACATTACGGTATTTACTCATGTGACGGTAAGTTGATCACTTGAAGGGCCAATTTAAACACATTAATCTAATTGATGTACAATTGCGTCGTTTAGGTTGCTCTGGATTTTTTAAACGAAGTATTCATCGTAATCGTGTTTATACTTGTAAAGCTCAAGGGGAAGCTCATTCAAAGTGTCCAATTGATAAAACTCATCGCAATCAATGTCGAGCTTGTAGACTCAAGAAATGCTTTGAAGCTCAAATGAATAAAGATGGTAAGTTCACATTTTATCAAATCTTAACAACTGACATTTTGATACTCTTGATCACATCCCAGCCTACATTTACATGATTATGAATAAGATTTAAACTTGAACTCAGTCCGGTAACAAACTAGATTAGCATCGATAAGTTGATTAATCTGAAATCTTCCGATTGCCATTCAATCAAGTCTGCAGCTCCAAAGAAACGAAACGAACCAATCCAATGTGACATTACATTTAATTTTTATGGGTAAATGTGAAAATGAAAATCTCTGAAGTCGTGTGAAGTGAAGTCTTATGAATCTTTACATTCCAAAATTGATAAACACAGCAAATTAATTCACGAGTAGGTTTAAAGTAGATTTAGATTAACTTAGAAAATTAAAGAAAATAAAATAATTCAGAGATGAAAGATCTGAATAATTGAACTCTAATTGATGAATATTGATTGTAACAAATGAAAAAGCCAAAAGTAATCAAACTGAAAACAATGACCTTAACAATTTACAAATTAGAGGGAGCCACGAAAAAAATTAACCGCAATTTTTAATCTCAATTAGCTTAATTTCAAGCAAAAAATGAACAATAATAAGATAGTGATTCGTCAAATTCATCTCTGAATTACAATGAGCAATGATTTGATTGAAAATTATCATTGGTGTTAAAACAGCAATATCAATAAAAATCAAACTTTTATTGAAACAAAGTTAACAAATTTTCAGTTCTCATGTCTTCATTACAATGTAACTATAAAAGGTTCAATCTTTAAGAAAGGTAAAACTTGAACTAATAAGTCAAATTATTGATCAACATCACAATTAGCAGAGGATATTTTGTCAATTAAGAGGAAACTTTCCTTTGACTAATCATTAAGCCAAAAAGTCATTTAGTTTTTTTGCCGTTACTTTAATTATTGTAACCAAAGAAACAATGAAAATGATTGAAAAACAAAAAAAAGATGTAGAATTGAATCAAAATTGTAAACAGAAGGTTAATTTTTATTGACAATTGATTAGCTGCTTTGAACTACATAAGATGAAAATCCTGCATCACTTGAATTGATACAAAAATGGATTGAAAATTAAATGTAAAATGGGACAAAAAAGCCAAGTTAAACATTGAAAGTTGAACTGATGCTTGAGATTGTACAAGATTAAATATCAAATGTAAGTGTTAAAATGAATGGGTGCGACAAAGATGAGGATAAAGATGAAATGGTGAAAATGAAGAAGAAGAAGATGAAGAAAAGTAAAAGTGAAAGGAAACTTTTTGATCCATCTAATATAATTGGATTAACGGTCATCAAGTTAACCAGGTTAAAAGGTATAAGGTCAACTGATACCTCTTCACGGCTTATCATCTTGAACAACATCATCTTTGGTCTCTCTTTGATGTTGTTGATCATGATCATCATCCATATAAAAAGGTTGTTAAAGCAAGACTTTGAATGTTCATCTTTTCAACTGAAGTAACGGTAAATCCAACCATGGGAATGAAACCATCAGTTGTTGAAGCAACATTTATCAACATCAATATATTACAAAGTGCATCTCTCTTCCCTCTTTTTTTTCATCCTAATCATCATCTCAGTCTAAGACAAGGAAAGATAAAAAGATTCCCATTATTCAGGGAAACCATTTTTTCTCCTCTTCTTCACAAGATTCGGATGATTGAGTTGCAATGTAATTTAGAGTCTGAGCTTGAAATAGGGGTTCATCTTGATCTTCCCAGTTTACATGATGCCGCAAGGATTCACCTTGATGTAGACCAAAATTATGAAAAGTTTAACTCTATTTTTTGCGTCTCTTTTCATCCTTTTTTACATCCTCATCACTTTGATGTTACTTTTTTACTGATCACGCCTCATTCCTCCTCCTTTTTACCTCTCATTTTGTTTCCCTCATGCTTTGATTGTTTTAACTGTTCAGTAGCTTTATCATCATGGATTAACTGATCCTTCATCTTCATCTTTTTTTTGCTGTTCCGCATCACTCAACTCTCTTGTTAATATGTTAATTCCGGGTGAATCTAACAAATCGCACTTTTGTTTTCAAAGGTTGCCTTATTGTTAACTTCCCACGAATTGTACAAATGTTATTTAATCATCATCTAATCAATTGGTAATCATCTTGTATCAACTTTGAATGCTTAAGGCCATTGAAAGTCCACTTTTGTTTGCCCACTTTCAGTAAAAGTGAAAACCTCAAACCAGAAGTGAATGGAAACCAATTTTTATTATCAACTCACATTCAATGATAACACTGAATTTTGTCTCTCTTTTCTTGATTTAACCTTTCAAGTAAACTCAATCATTATCAATATCAATCAGGTTAAGATCAGGGTGAAGGATAAAGCAAACAAAAGTAACAATTACATTAAAAGTGAGATTCAATTGGTAAAACAAATCAATGGTTTTCCCATTGAAAGCCAATGGTTAGTGTTAAATCAACTGTACAGATCTGAAATGTTTCAAACAATCAAGACTTCTTGCTTCGACTATTTCAACTCTTTGTTAATCAAACTGTAAACCTTGAATAATTTAATGATTGTTTTAAGATGAGCAGCTAAAGGTGTAAGTATAAAAAGCAAAAAGGTAAACATTAATGTTGATGCAAAATGAACATGTTAATGGTTCTGAATGTAATATATTTATAATTATCTTCATTTATCATTTACTTTTTTCATTTTATTCAGTTTCAATTAACTGTTAATCAATTGATTAATAAATACAAAATATAAATGTTTTTAATGGATGACAAAAATAATGAAGAAACAAAGAAAGAGAAGTAAAAAAATTGGATCCAAATTTTTGAGCTTTTCAAGTAGCTTTACCTTATGAAACGCAAAATATCATTCATAAGTTATCTTTATCACGCTAACTTGTCCAAACTTATTACTTTTCTTGTTTCGACGTTCAATTGTTATAATCATTTATGACTCTAAATTGTAGTTAAATGTTCAAACATTGGCGAGACACGAATCTTCATGATTCATTTGATGATTATAATGCTCATCCTAATGACGATTTAACGTTGTTGTTAAACACAAAAAGATGAACCCAAAACAAAAACAAAAACATTACCCAAAAAAAACTGAACATCAACCTTTAATTGTAGCTTATGAATGATGATGATGAGGTGAAGATGAGAAGCAAAAAAGTCACAAATTCATCTAAAGATGAACTTTTCTGGTTATGATAATAAACATTGATTGATCAAAAGACTTGAGTTTTTTGGTTGGCATTTCAGTTTTGCATTTTCATCTCTTTACAATTCATTTTGTCTCATTTATTTCACCTCATTATTATCATGTTTTACTGAGGGATAAATAGTTGTGTAAATGTGTTGAATGTTAACAAAGGATTAAATAATATTAACGGTTAATAGAAGAGGTAAAGTTTAATGTAATTATGATGATATTAATGTAATGGTGATGGATAGAGTGTTGGGTAAATAGACAGTTTTTTGATTGTCTAGTATTTGCTTCAATGACTCTTTGGTGGAGTTGAACAGTCAGTTAAACAATCAACATTTGAAGAACCAATTAACATGAATATAACATTGATAATAAAGAGTTTTATTCAATTGGACAAATGATAATGATCATGTCTTTTTTTATATACAGATTGAAATATAAAAACAACTGATCCAGAGAAGAGGTTAGAGTCACTGTTTGCACAATTAAAAGCATTCAAATGCAAACTATCAAGTAACACTAAGCCATTTAACATTAATAAATACGGAAGTATTAAGCCTATATTTGACCTCATCTTTTATCACTTATCATCATCCTCCTGATTTATCCTTAACTTCATCCCTGGCTTCGTCCCTTTCATTTTTTGCCTCTTCTCTTCCTATACACAAAAAATGAGGTTCCTGTTTGTTGTTATAGGATGTTACAAGTATTGAATTGATAATTTAAATGTAAGGGAATTTAAAATTAACAGTTTACTAATCAGTTCAATTTAAAACGGTTATAATCCATAGTTAGACGGATTATTTTAAGCCTTTTGAATTTCGCTCCTTAATAAAGTTGTGGAGGGAAAAGGCTTATGACTTATGCAAATCATGTTTTTTTGTCTTAAATTGAAAAGTGTTGATTTATTTATTATTGATATTTTATTCATATCATCCATATTATTGATATCATTGATATTTTATTGATATGTGGTTTAATTGTAATCAATGTTTTGGTGAAATCGTTAAGTTATGAGTTTAATTAAAATGGTTAAATTGAAAAAAGCTTTACGATTCTTCGCAGCTTGGTTTCCTTGCCATTTTCATCTTTTGCTTTGATTTCTATCTGTGATCTTTTGAATTGTTAATGTCATTATCGATTGTTTGGATCTTTGTGGTCAACCGTAAGTAAGTAATTTAGATCAACTATTAAAATTGTGAGCGTTGGAATGGCTTACAAGTCCATTAGAAGGTTGTTCTCTGTTTCGCATTAAAAAGTAAAAAGATATCTTTACTTACATTTCTTGGAAATGAAAAACTCAATTTTTCATGTATAAAGCTATGAGAAGGAGAAAAATTCTATATTCTTAAGAATTGTGAGACTTTTATAGGGTTTATCTTACCTTCTGATATAAAGTTAAGTTACAGTATTTTAACGCTATAAACATTATCTTCTGCTTTTAAATCAGTCACAAATGTATAATGTTCATCTTTTATCGGCTTACTTTTTCACTCGTGAAAAACCTATTGAACCATTTCATTGATTTATCAGCCTACAAATTGAAACAATAACGTTAGATTATTCAACTGTATCTAAATTTTGTATTTACTCAATTCTAATTAATCTGATTTCTTTTCTCTTTTCTAACTGATCACTAGCTGTACAACATGAAAGAGGACCACGTAAACCAAAGTTGAAAGAAGGTTCATCGTCAGCATCATCGATAGAAAGTCATCAAGGTCTTCATCACCATTCTCACCATATTTCACATCATCACCATCATCATCTTCATCACCATTCACGGTCTTCTCCTTCATCAGTTGGAAATACAATAACTAAACCCTTTCCAATCAAATTGGAAGGACGATTGCTGAGCAAACTACACCATCATCATCACCAACAGCATTCCCTTCAACAATCACATCGACAATCTTCACCAGTTATTCAAATAACGTCACTGACTTCGGGAGGATCTCACCCTCATTCTCATCCTCCTCCACCTCCTCAATCACTACCTCCACCTCCACCACCTCTTGTTTCAGTATCAACTAACGGTTCTACGGTTGAGATGAATGACCCAACATTGAATGGTGGCTCATCATCATCATCATCATTATTTGGATCTAATGGCACCACAAGTAAACCCTCAGATGTAAGCTTAACTTCAACATCATCTTCATCACATAATAGTGTTTCCACACCAACATCAACCTCATTCATCGATGAAACTGCCAATCATCCCGGATTACTTCAGATGCTGCTCAATGCTGAAAAGTCGCAAGAAGTTATCTGGTCAAATCTTCGTTACGCAGGTCCAGGTCACCCAATAACTCGCCCTAGTTTTCCATACATTGGTACAAATAACTTTGGACGGATTTTTGATGAATCAGGTTTACCCAATCCAGCATCTTTTATGATTCCTAGCTTTTTCTCCTCGTCTTGCCCTTTATTAACTGGAACCAATGTCATACCATTAACCAGTACAGGTGAAATTGCAAATGAAAGTGATCTCAAATCTCGCGAACCTGTTCCAAGGCCAATTCCAATAGCTCAACTATCAGCCCCATTAGCACATTTACCCAAACCATTTATTGGTCATTGGGATTCAGTTCAAGAAATAACTGCTCGACTACTTTTTATGGTTATCCGATGGATTAAAAGTTTACCAACATTCCGAACGTTATCCAAAAATGATCAGGTAAAATTCATTTCAAATCAGAACAAAATAAATAACAGAAAACAAATTTATTAATTATGTAGTTTTACCACAATATTAGATTAATGTTTGACTTGTTTAATATCAGCTGTAAATCATTGTTTTGAGTATCAAATGACATTACAAAGAGAAGAGTGATTGAATCAATCCATCAACTTTAAATAATTAATTTTCTGCTTTACCGTTCCAATTGATCTTCCTTTTGTCTTGGGCAATTAAATAATTGTTTTACTTTCTCAATGAAATGATTGAATAAATCTGTTCAATGGAGATAATAGAATGAAACCTTGTTTTCTTTTAATTTGCTTCTCCTATTTACTGGCAATTTGATAACAGCCATTTACTTCTCATCATTGAACATTACCTTGTAAACATCATTTCTGCTCTTTATTTCTATTCTTCCTTTGTTATCATCTCTTCTGTTCTTATTTTTCTTGTCTGCCTTTAATTGATTGCCTTGAGGCCAAACAAATGACCTTAATGGTCATCTTGATCTGTAATGGACGATGTTAGTATAAAAGGTGATGATACTGTTGTTACTTGTGGGCAGGGTAAGAATTAGTTAAATGTTGATAGTAAATCAATTAAGATGAGAAAAGGTTGGATCATGTGTAAAAGAGTAAAAGGAAGAAAAGGGAAGAAGAAAGACGATGATTGGTTAGAAGATATGAGACCTGGAAAAGTGGATGACTTTGAATGACTTGAATATATATCTGTTTCAAGATCTGAAGAGAAGCTTTTATCAGACATTCTCATTCCATTTGGAGTCACAATAGGAATCAGGAAGCATGAAACAACGATCAGAAAACTAAGTAGTAATCGAGGATGATCGAAGATGATGAACATGAAGATGATAAAAGATCCATCTGATCAAGAGTTAACATTGATATTGATGGAAAAGGCAAGCAAGAACAAAAAAAAGATGGTGTTAAATGTGTGATGATGCTTGAAGAGGGAGAGAGGAAAAAAGGAACACGAAAAGGTTTTATTGAACAAGAATGAGTTGCTTGGATGATGATGATGAATATGATGAAGGAGTTGAAAAATAGAACATCAAAGAATAGCATAAGAACATTCATCATAACGATAATCTTTCAACATATGGTATTTCACACGAATATAGCTATTACTTTGATAATAATATTATAACAAAACGGTAGCCCTTTCATTTTGTTGCTACTCATCTTTCATTCATTTTCAACTTCAATTACTCTTCTCTTTACCTTCCCTTTTCAATCCTTCATCTGGTAAAACAAAACATAATTGTAATTAAAATGATATGTTATGAAAAATAGAGGGCAAAAGTGTTAATCGGTTTACCAATAAAATTGCTGGAAATAACTTAAAATGACTCCAAATACTTCAAATTGAGTTTAGCTTTAATCCACTTTTTATATCATTCACATTGATGTACTAAATTAATGAATAATTTGATTTCTTTTCCTTGTAGATTACATTGCTTGAAGATTCTTGGAAAGATCTGTTTCTCTTGAATATGGCTCAATGGTCAGTTACCTTTGATGTCGTCTCACCAACCTCTCCTGGTGGACCAAGCTATGTTAATCGTGCAATAATCCAAAGTAAAGCAACTGATAACCCTGAGATGTCAATTGATGTGCAATATATTCAAGAGATAATGAGAAGATTCCGTCAATTATCACCTGATGGAACTGAATGCAGCTGTTTAAAAGCTGTTGTTCTTTTTCGACCAGGTAAGTTGATATAATTTAATCCACCGTAGTCTCATTGAACTAATTTTTTTACTTTTTGTTTATCTTTTTTTCAACCAGAATCAATCCGTTTATGTGATGTTCATCCAGTTGAAATGCAACAAGATCAAGCTCAGTGTGTACTAAGTGATTATGTCAGACATAAATATCAACGCCAACCAACCAGATTCGGTCGATTATTATTAATTCTTCCTTGTCTCCGGACAATTTCATCAACAACGGTGGAGAAACTTTTCTTCCGTGAAACTATCGGAGAAATACCAATCGAGAAAATATTAGTAGATATGTATCACATGGAGAAAGCTGATGGTTAACTCTTCTCTTACTCCCAACTCTAGTCAATTGAAATTATGCCCATTTTAACTTATTTACATAATTTTTCTCTCGACCACTTTTCCACTTTTCCTTATTTTAACCTTTTCTTGCTTTCAATGGTCTCAGGATTATGGGATTAACATCCTTTTATCTAGTTAATTTAAACAACTCATTAAAAAATGAACTTAATTGTATAGAATTCATCATTATATAATTTAGATTGTAACAATATTGACAAACTGATTTTGATCCTTTATCTAACATCTCATTACACTTTTTTGAAACTAGTAAAGTTTGAATTCTTTACATACATAAAGATATAAATAAGTATGGTTAAAGTACACATAAAATATTAAACTTTAATATATGGTATCAATGTATAATATAAAGAATTACATTCCACTATAAGCTGGTCCACCACCACCTTCAGGAGTAACCCAATTGATATTTTGACTGGGATCCTTAATATCACAAGTTTTACAATGAATACAATTTTGTGCATTAATCACAAGATGCTTTCCGTCCCCGCTTTCATTTTCAACATATTCATATACACCTAATTGGAAAAAGAAAAAGTTATTATAATTCTGCATTACTATTGGACAACAAAACCGTAAGAAGTATACTAACCAGCAGGACAAAATCTTTGTTCGGGACCGTCATAAATGGCTAAATTTTGAGCAACTGGAACTTTATCATCACGTAAAGTTAAATGGGCTGGTTGGTCACCTTCATGGTTAGTTCCAGTCAGAGCAACAGATGATAACAAGTCAAAAGTTACTTTACCATCAGGTTTTGGATAATCAATTGGTTGGCATTCTTTAGCTGGCTTCAATTTGGCAGAGTCTGTACCACCATGGGAAAAAGTCCATGGTTCTTTACCTCGTAAAATTAACTGCGAGAATCCAGTATAAATCATTGTACCAAAAACACCGAGAGGGTTATGGAAGGAAGGTCTAACATTTCTGACTGAGTAAAGTTCATCCCAAACCCAACTCTCCCTTAGATCTTTCTCATATCGACTGGGTTCAAAACCAGAGGATAAATTGTCGCTATCAAATGCTTCAAAGATGGCATCAGCTGCTAGAATTCCACTCTTCATGGCATTATGAGTTCCCTTAATCTTAGGCACATTCATGAAACCAGGAGAACAACCAATAAGACATCCACCGGGCATTGTTAGTTTAGGTATAGATTGGATACCACCTTCATTTAAAGCTCGAGCTCCATAAGCTATTCTATTAGCTAAGGGATCATCGAAATATGATCTGACAGATGGATGAGTTTTAAATCTTTGAAATTCACGGAATGGACTCAGATAAGGATTTTGATAATCTAAGCCAACTACAAAGCCGACGGCAATCAGAGGAGTTTCTTCGTTTAAATGATACAAGAACGATCCTCCATACGTGTGCTTGTCCAAAGGCCAACCAGTTGTATGCTCAATGGTACCTGGCTTGTGTTTTTCAGGATTGATTTCCCAAAGTTCCTTCAAACCTATACCATATGTTTGTGGTTCACAGTTGGCTCTAAAGTTAAATAGATAAGCACAACAATGAATAGAACAATAATTTATGATAAAGGCCAAAGTACAATATAATTATAACGAGCTTATACAACTTACCTTAAATTAAAATCACTATAAAGTCGTTTGGCAAGATGGCCATGACATCCTTCTGAAAATATTGTACATTTAGCTCGAATTTCCATTCCCCTTTCAAAGGAATCCTTTGGACTGCCGTCTTTGGCAATACCAACATCATTGGTAGCAATGCCTTCAATGTATCCTGCTTCGTTTTTTAAATATTCACTGGCTGCTATCCCAGTGTAAATATCAACACCAAGCTCTTCAGCGATCCCACCTAAAGAATGAAAAGAAAAGATATTTTATAATCTGTTGATATTAATTAGACATAAATTTATTATATCTACCTTGTTACTTACCTAGCCATTGGACTACGTGACCCAATCTGACAATGTAGTTTCCATGATTGTACATAGGCAAAGATTTGAATATTGGAATGTTAAAAGCACTTTTCTCGGTTAAGTATCTAAAAATGTCTTTAGTTACAGGAGTCTTCAGTGGTGAATCTCTTTCTTTCCAATCTGGGATTAATTCGTCTAAGGCTTTAGTTTCTATGCATGCACCACTTAGAGTGTGGCCACCCAATTCACTAGCCTTCTCGACAACAGTAACTTTAATCTCTTTATTAGATTTAGCTGCTAACTGCTTAAGTCTTATAGCAGCAGAGAGACCAGCAGGACCTGCACCAACGATAACAACATCGCTTTCGTCTTGAACCCTTTCCATAGAAATATCTTTCCATCTTGGATCCAATTCTCTAGAGTGAATGGAGTAATGAGTGGTAACATGTCCTTCTGAAGATGGTTCTTTAACTGAATAATTGCGGATGAAATTGGTGGAAATTTGGCGAGATAACTTCAAACTTCTTAACCACATTTTTACAGAGCAAAATGAATTGAAGGTAGATTTTAACATGAGCAGAAGTCTATCAAGTAAAGTGAAAGATTACAAACATTAATCAATTGAATCGCAATTATGATATAAAAAGATAAACGATAAGCTTAAAACTGAAATAAGAATACACTCACCGATAAAAATCTAAATGATAAAATAACAAAATGTCGATAATAATCACAAATAAACAAACAGTAAGCTTACTAGCAATAATAAAAACTACAAACTGTCAGCTGTTGGCATGCTGGACAGTTGTTGATCAAATTGTTGATATCAAAGAGTAAAGTATATCAAAGATGACGTAAAAATAGCTACAACTTGATAAACAAAAATTTTATTTACAAAACTCATCTAGAATCTAGATTCTAGATTGAAAGATTATTGTAACTGGTTAAGGAATCAAGCTGTTCAGATCGATTCTATCGATTAAATGAGTTTCGATTCTAGGTTGATTCGATCATTGATCGATACTAGGATCGATCTTAAACCTTCTTAAATGAGTTCTTTTTAATTAAAAAGTGATTCAATTGATTATAATCAACTAAATAGTTAAAATTTATTAGTTAACTAACATTTGGATACTTCATATCCACAATGGATTTCCAATTAGATGAAATGTTCATCAATTGGAGGGCTCATTAAGTAAAGTAAGTATCAAGAGCTTGTGCACTTGCATGGCCTTGATTCGTATGCTCCTATTAGGTTGGGAAGCTCAACCATAAACCAGTTGATTTGTCAAAAGATTTAATGAGTATTAATAGGCCTGAATAAAATTTGTAATAATTAAAATTAATAATGTTTAAGCCAACCAAGCAAGAGGACATGCAGTCAGATCGGAAATTAGGTTAAAGTTAATTATTTGAAACAAGGAGACAAGAGAGGTTTAAGGTTTAAATGGCATTTGTGTGATCAAGCTACATGGAAATATATTATAAATTTTGAAGCATTTCCTAGTCACAAATTGTAATTAAACTTGATCATTATACATCGAATTAAAGTCAATCTTGATTTAGCCAAGTCCGCGGTGAGACTGGTGAAGATGAAAGTATTACTAATGAACTAACCTGTTGGAAAGTATTACTTCGAGTTTGTCATTGATCATCCGATGTGGCAAACAGATGTTTAAATACACCGGTATTCCGGGTACTCTCCGAACTTTGAATTTATGAACTGTTATCCTCAACATTATGGGTTTTATTTCCAAATTTTGGTCTGATACAATCTGATCCTATTTGTTTGGTATTCCTGCCAGTGGAAACATCAGATTATAATGAGATATCAGTCTTTTATCAATTTAGGTTAAAATCTGGAATTAACCAAGAATTGAATAAAAATGACTTTTTCCAATCAATCTACTATCGCAACCATGTATCTAAAAATATTGGTGATCTGAATTGAATTGTTCATTTATAAGTTTTTCCCATGAATCTAAACTAAACTGCAGGTTTTAGGTTACGATTCAAAGAGTAAGGCAAACCTGGTTCCAAGCTATATTTCAAAGTATTTACGATTCTGTAATAATCGAGCTTATCTTGTTAATTTTCACGAGCTTCAATGATCAAAACAAATGGACGACATAAACCTCAAATCATTTGCCGATTTCAAACGATTTGTTACGAAACTGATCAGTTGAAAACATTGTCATTCAATAAGAAATTAAAATTGTCAATTTGTTTGAGATATTAAATTTATTTATTTCATTGATTTAATCATTTGTTCAATAGTCAGCTTATGCAGCAATGATAGCAATATCAGCTTCAGTACAGGCCAATTCAGCACCACCTTCAGATTCGTAGACATGGAATTGCATTTTGCTTTCCATCTGGAGTTAACAAGTTAACAATTTGAGTAACAGCAAAAGGTTGAGTTATTCAATTCGGAATGAGCATTTGTAAAGATGAACAGAAACAGAAGATAAAATAAAATAGCATTAGAGTCAATTAAATTATAAATTATCATGAAAATTCTGAAATTTGTTTGACACTTACGGGTGGAAGCCAGTCAAGGGTAGTGATTTCAATGGTGAACTTGTTTGGAGCATTAGCTTTCAATGGACATGAAAGGTATTCACAGGCATTCTTGCTGATACCAGGGTACTCAATGAAGACACCGGCAACTTCAACTTGGACGGAGACAGTTGGGTTTGCAGCAGTGCTGGCTGTATTTACAATTAAAAGATGAAAGTCGTTAATGATGAACGTGATTCCATTAGCAATTTTATTCACTTACTTGTGGTGAGTTCACCATTGATGGTAACTTTGGTGTTTGGCTTGAAGGCACATCGATCAGCATCACAGGGTACAACATCGACATTGGCAACAGATCCTTTAGCATCTTGAATAAGAAGAGACATTTCGATAATTATTTCAATCTTTTAACTTACTGAAAACCGTTTACTTACCAGTGTTGGCACATTGACGGACTGGAGTGATTCGAGCTGAGGCAACAGCGAAGACGAAGCAAAGGGCAACAATGGTTCGGATCATTTTGAAGTTGATTGTTTGGGTTGGTTTACTTTGACAATTGAGTCTGGATAGAAACTAGAAACTTGGAATGAAAATTGTTAAACAAATTGTCTCTATTTATATGGGAATTATGGTGAGCTGGAATAATTTATCAAAGATTAACTTGATTGATTTCTGGTTTCATTAGTCTATCTTGATATTATTTAATTATTATCCCCAAAAAAAGGTTCCCTAATAATGCGTAACTGTTTAACTGTCTATTTTTAATGAATAATTGTAACTTTGAATCAATTGGAACATTGGATTTCTTTTGTTTTCCTTTTATCAGAACCATAAGCAGTGATGAAAATATATCCAATTATCTTATTATCATGGTTTATTATTAAAGCTTAATCGATATAAAAAAATACAATGAGACAAAGCAAATTAAACACTCGAATCAATTGATGTTTAATATAATTAGATAATTATTATCTAGTAACCAAGTCTATTCAATAGTCCATTTTAGACCAGAAGTACTGGTTGCCAACCAATATCTACAAATTTCATCTCAAACAGTTAAATGAGGTTAATTTTGCCTAGCAATTCTAGGGAATAAACCAATTCTGAATAAGAGATTAAAAATGATTTCAGACATTGATTCGAAAAATTAGCCACAGGCCAGTCAAAAACTATTGCTAGGTCAAACTGTGTTGTTGTGTAAATTGTAGTAGTTTACACTGAAAAGACACAATAAACACAGTTGTCACATTTATCAATATCAATTAAAAGAAATGGGAAAAACGGGCAAAAAACAATTTCTTTCAAAAGGCTCTATGGGTTTGTAGAGAAGTAGCGACATAAAATCTGAAATCTGAAGTCAGAACTTCGATTGCCTTGCATTCAGCTATGGAAGCAGATTTTTTCACGAAGCTTATTTCACTAGTTTAACTTTTGATGAACAACCAGAAAATGGTCTTGTGTTGAGAAATAACATTTTGTGTTTCTGTATAATAATTAATGTTGAATGAATTAGCTCAGATTTTATTCGGTATCCAGTAATATTGTATTTTATTTAATAGCTCATAATGAAATCTAATGTTAGGTTAAAGAATGATGACTGTAGGTGTTACTACTCTGGAAATATTGAGGTTCAAAGTTTTAAGGCCAATGGCCAAAATCAAGAGAACTATTGATAAATTGAAAAAAGTATTCATTCCATCATGTGAGCAAACAATTTTCATGGAAGAATGATAAGTTCAAGTTCGCTAACTCTTATGGCCATATAAAGCGATCGGTTTAAGTTGAAAATGGAACTAATTTGTTTTACAGAGAAAGAAAAATGCTATTTTTCAAAATGAATACATTTCCTGGTTGGTCATTGAAAGGTGCAGAAGTTTTGAAGTTTCATGAAAAATCTGCTTCCATAATTGTAAAGAGAGCTTTGCAAGTTTCAACTTTGAGCTCGATTTCCTCGAAAACTGTTCACCAGAGAAATCTTTGAATCGCACAAATAGATTGAATTTATCTCCCTAGGAGTTTAGTCAAAATCTTTGAATAACAATTTTCAATCCCAAATATCTCAGGGAATCATTGCCATTTCGTAACTCAAGATGCTCTATTGAATGCCATCTGTATCATTAAAAACGGTTTTAGGCACTTCGCCTGGTTTCTTTGTCTCCATGGGTTAGTATGATGATAAATCTAATTTAATTGTTTTTCCTGGTTATAATGAAGTCGAAGTTCAAAGTTCAGATTCATTCTAGCTATTTTTGTTCAGTTATGTTAAGTATCTTTATATCCTGATTTCAATTTCATGCGTTTCATAACTACAGGATTTAACCTTGATCATTGCAAATAATCCTAGTTGCTGCTCAACATTGATTATGGTGGTATCTGTACGTAGAAGCACATCAAGTATTATGTTTATCCATCTGATTTCAAAGAGCAAAATCACTTTTGAAATAACATTTGATGAAAAATCAACAAAATTAATTTGATTTCAATGATGAAATTAACCATCTTGTAAGTTGGCGTGCCACGGATATCGGATGAGAATCGAACCTCTGGCTCTTTATAGTTCAAAATCAATGCTAAGCACTCATTGATCTAAAACACAATGAAACGATAACTTTCCTTTTCCATCTGATTTTAATCACGTTCAATTAAAGAAATGAGACTCTTTTTTTGCTAATTCAGAACAAAGATAACAGATGACTTCCATTTAACAAGAAACAGTGCAAAAACTTTGACTTTCGAGTAAAGAGTTAGGACTTGGTAGATTTTTAGGAGCTAGTCCAGTAGTGCTATTGAAAAATTTCATCGATCGACAGCTTTCGAGAGAATGGATACTTCAAGAATGGTAGCACCTATTATACATTCAGCATTCTTTGACTAAACATTAGACTTTATTTCACACTACAGTATATTGAAATGCATTATTAAGTCATTTTAGCTCATACCAAGAGTCATAGCATTGTATTACTTATTTTCTCAGAATTGATTCTTGATGAATTTAAAGAGTTTTATTTCTGGAAATAAACGCAAGTTTTGGTTGGCCATCGAGGCTACATCAAGAAAATGAGTTTCAAGAACAATCTGCTTTCATAATTGCGCAAAGGCGATCGAATAAGGATTATTTATATCGATACCATCTTCATTTAAAGCTCGAGCTCCATAAGCTATTCTATTAGCTAAGGGATCATCGAAATATGATCTGACAGATGGATGAGTTTTAAATCTTTGAAATTCACGGAATGGACTCAGATAAGGATTTTGATAATCCAAGCCAACTACAAAGCCGACGGCTATCAGAGAAGTTTCTTCGTTTAAATGATACAAGAACGATCCTCCATACGTGTGCTTGTCCAAAGGCCAACCAGTAGTATGCTCAATGGTACCTGGCTTGTGTTTTTCAGGATTGATTTCCCAAAGTTCCTTCAAACCTATACCATATGTTTGTGGTTCACAGTTGGCTCTAAAGTTGAATAGATAAACACAACAATGAATAGAACAATAATAAATGATAAAGGCCAAAGTACAATAAATTATAACGAGCTTATATCGTATGAATTATAACAACTTACCTTAAATTAAAATCACTATAAAGTCGTTTGGCAAGATGGCCATGACATCCTTCTGAAAATATTGTACATTTAGCTCGAATTTCCATTCCCCTTTCAAAGGAATCCTTTGGACTACCGTCTTTGGCAATACCAACATCATTAGTAGCAATGCCTTCAATGTATCCTGCTTCGTTTTTTAAATATTCACTGGCTGCTATCCCAGTGTAAATATCAACACCAAGCTCTTCAGCGATCCCACCTAAAGAATGAAAAGAAAAGATATTTTATAATCTGTTGATATTAATTAGACATAAATTTATTATATCTACCTTGTTACTTACCTAGCCATTGGACTACGTGACCCAATCTGACAATGTAGTTTCCATGATTGTACATGGGTAAAGATTTGAATATTGGAATGTTAAAAGCACTTTTCTCAGTTAAGTATCTAAAAATGTCTTTAGTTACAGGAGTCTTCAGTGGTGAATCTCTTTCTTTCCAATCTGGGATCAATTCGTCTAAGGCTTTAGTTTCTATGCATGCACCACTTAGAGTGTGGCCACCCAATTCACTAGCCTTCTCGACAACAGTAACTTTGATCTCTTTATTAGATTTAGCTGCTAACTGCTTAAGTCTTATAGCAGCAGAGAGACCAGCAGGACCTGCACCAACGATAACAACATCGCTTTCGTCTTGAACCCTTTCCATAGAAATATCTTTCCATCTTGGATCCAATTCTCTAGAGTGAATAGAGTAATGAGTGGTAACATGTCCTTCTGAAGATGGTTCTTTAACTGAATAATTGCGGATGAAATTGGCGGAAATTTGGCGAGATAACTTCAAACTTCTTAACCACATTTTTACAGAGCAAAATGAATTGAAGGTAGATTTTAACATGAGCAGAAGTCTATCAAGTAAAGTGAAAGATTACAAACATTAATCAATCGAATCGTAATTATGATCGATTTGGATTTGCCAAGAAACTGATCAGTTTAAAACATAATCATTCAATAAGAAATCAAAATTTTGAATTTGTTTGAGATATTAAAATTTATTTATTCTATTGATTTGATCATTTGTTCAATAGTTAACTTATGCACCAATGATAGCAATATCAGCTTCAGTACAGGCCAATTCAGCACCACCTTCAGATTCGTAGACATGCGAATTTAACAGCAGTTTAACAATTTAACAGCAAGAAGTTGAGTTTAGCAAGTGATTCGGTGTTAGAGGAATGCGCATTCATGAAGATGATCATCAGATGCACCATGTGGCAGAAGATGAAGTAAAAAAGCATTAGAGTCAATTAAATTTTAGATTATGATAGAAATTTTGAAATTTGTTTGACACTTACGGGTGGAAGCCAGTCAAGGGTAGTGATTTCAATGGTGAACTTGTTTGGAGCATCAGCTTTAAATGGGCAGGAAAGGTATTTACAGGCATTCTTGGAGATACCAGAATAATCGATGAAGACACCGGCTACTTCAACTTGGACGGAGATAGTTGGGAGACAGTCCTTCCTATATTTACAATCGAGAGATGAAAGTGGTTAATGTTGAGATTTCACTCGCAATTTTATTCACTTACTTGTGTTGAGTAACTTCGGTATTTGGCATGAAGACGCATCGAATCGCATCGGACTTCTGCTTTCATGATAGTTTTGCACAGCGATGAAAAAACCTACCTAATTATGTTATTATCATTGTTTATTATTTAAGCTTGATCGATGCACCCAAAAACAAGGTAGGGTATAAAGATTCATAACTGAATGAAATAATCAAAGTTTGATCTTTGAACGCGATTTCATTAAAAACAGTTTTACATTCAGAAAAAATTAAATTAGGCAATCATGCACTGAGTTGTTTAACTAATTATATTCAATATCTATTGATTCGAGTGTTTATTTTGCTTTGCCTCATTGTGTTTTTCGGTGCATCGATTAAGCTTAAATAATAAACAATGATAATAACATAATTAGATATATTTCATCGCTGTGCAAAACTCTGATAAAAGCAGAACAAAAGAAATCCAATGTGCCGATGATTTCGAGTTACAATTATTCATGGAAATAGCCAGTTAAAAAGTTACGCATTATTAGGGAATAATTTTTGGGCATATGATTAAATTATATCAAGATGGACTGGTGCAATCAAAACTCGATCAAGTTAATCTTGTTGATTAATTATTAGAGATCATTATAATTTCCACATAAATAGAGCTGATTCATTGAACGATTTTCATTTCAAGTTTGCAGTTTCGATTCAAACTAATTCGTCAAAGTGAACCAACCCAAACAATCAATTTCAAAATGATCCGAACCATTGTTGCTCTCTGCTTCGTCTTTGCTGTTGCCTCAGCTCGAATCAGTCCAGTCCGTCAATGTGTTAATTCAGGTGAGTAAACGTTTGTCTCTGTGCAAAAAGATTGAAATAATAATTGTAATGTCTCTTCTTAATCAAGCATCTTCCGGAACTATTGAAAATGTCGATGTTGATCCTTGTGACTCTGATCGATGTGCCTTCAAGCCAAACACCAAAGTTACTATCAAAGGTGAACTCACCACAAGTAAGTGAATAAAATTTCGATTTAAATTGGGTTAATCATTAGTACATTATAAAATTTCATCTGTTGATTTCAAATACAGCCAGCACTGCCGCAAACCCAACTGTCTCCGTACAAATTGAAGTAGGCGGTAACTTCATTGAATACCCTGGTATTTCCAAGGATGCTTGTGTATACTTTTCCTGTCCATTGAAAGCTGATGCTCCAAACCTCTACAAAATTGAAGTCCAATCCAATGACTTTCTTCCACCCGTGAGTGTGAAAAATTTTCATGATAATCTATCATTTAATTTACTCTTGAGCTAATTTTCATCATCTTCTGTTTCATGGCTTTTCTGGTGCTCATAATTTATAAATACTCATTCCTTTAACACCGAATCACTTGAATAACTCAACCTTTTGCTTTGTTTAAATGTTTCATTTGTCAACTCAAGATGGATACCAAAATACAATTTCATGTCTACGAATCTGAAGGTGGCGCTGAATTGGCCTGTATTGAAGCTGATATTGCTATCATTGCTGCATAAATGACTATTAAACAATGATCAAATTAATGAAATAAATAATTCTTAATATCTTAAACTAATTGCCAATTTGTATTTCTTATTGAATGAAAATGTTTCCAACTGATTTGTTTCGTTGGCAAATCGTTTAAATCGCTGAATGGTTTTAATTTTATGTCGGACATCCGTTTGGTTCATTGAATCTCTTGCGAATGAATAAAAAAATTCGAATATGACAGAATTATTCATTTTAGTAATAAATTAAATAGAATTCAAGTTCCATGATTTTCGCATGCAACTCGGTTTTATTTTTGCTAAAAATTGTCAAATGATGTTTGTTGAAACCTTGCATGAACCGAAGACCAATCAACCAAAATAGTTAATTTCTTGCTAGTAATATGAGAAGTCATTTGATTCAATCCTAGGCCACATTAATGTAGGTCCAAAAATGATCGACAAATTTTGAATTTGCATACGATTTTTATCTTTATATTGAACAACTCTAAAAAGAAAAAATGAAAATCACAAAATTAGATGTTTATTTGAATTGTTGAAAAGTAAATGATTAACTTTACCTTAAAAGATGTTTCAATAGAAACAAAAGAGTATGATAATTGCACTTTGGTAATTGGTTAACAAGCTTTTGAAGAGTCTCAATCTGATCCTTCTTGTTTGGTATTCCTTTCAGTAAAAATTAGGCAATTAAAATTATTAAAAATCTATTCTCCGATAGTTTTCGAGAAAATGGATATTTCAAGAATGGTAGCACCTACAATCAGCATTCTTTGACCAAACATTAGATTATTAGAACACTTCATTGCACACTATACTGTAATATATTGAAATGGTTAGATAATTCAATTAAAAAAATAAAAAAGTGCTAGTACTGTCAAAGAGCACAACTATGCTTTGAGCATTGTATTATTAATATTGCTATGTACTCAGAAAGGTCTGAGTAAACTAAGTTCTTCAGATCAGCTTATTTTTATTGTTTAAATGAGAAGGAACACAGTTTTAGGGTTTACAATGGGTTTGTATTTGGTGTTCTAGTCACCGACCAATAGAAAATCAGAGCACAGTCCTCGTTGGGTACAACATTTGCCCGAATCGTATTTAAAACTGACCATAGTCTTGGGCTAATCCATTCGCATTGTCCCTAACATTGAATCAACATTTTGGTTATATTTTCCTTCAATAGCTGCCTTGTGTTTCAAAATATGGTAAGCATTTGAATAATTTGTTCTTGAATAGTTGATGATTATATAAAGTTTTATTTTATTTATTTTAATTGTTTTTTTTTGTCCAGATGGCAAGTACTAAACAGCCTGCTGAAGACAAGATACAGCCATTTGCCATCATGCCTGTGGCGAATTACTGTGTCAAATCAATTGTTGGGTCTGGATACCTTCCTGGACGGCCTAAAATAGCAAAAAATTTCAGATATGAGGTCGAATATTTTAACACCCTGAACCTTCCGTCCAAAATACATAAGTATAATGGACCCATTCCTGTTGGGTTTGCTGGGGACGTTTCTCAACTTCAGGACTGCCAGAATCCTCGACATTTTATCTTCAATCCTGAAAATATGTATTGCTGCCGATGGTGTGGGCATAGTTTTTCCAAGAGCTCAAATAAAGCCCGCCATGAAAGAAAATGCACTGTGAATGGAGCACCTGGTCATGAATGTGACATGGCTTGTAAGAACCCAGCTACTGGCTTAAAGTGCCCAGGCCGCGCTGTCTACACGCCCGATAAAGCTAACGACAAAAGGAAGAACAATAGCAGAGGAAACATGTTGAGAAAAAAACAAACTTCATCAAACTAACTTGTATCAAACTTATTTCTTTTTGTTGAATAAGTAAATGATTTTCACATATATTTGTTTTGTTTTTTGAGTCGTTTCGTAAAAAAGTTAATTTGACTCCCAAGAGTCAGTTTAAAGTTGAACACGAGAATCTTATTTTTCTTAAACAAAATAGATGGCCGTGATACGAGAATCTTATTTTTCTTAAACAAAATAGATGGCCGTGATTGGTTAAATATGGCCAATATACAACCGTTGCGTCCTCGTATTGTCCATCTCGATGTTGATTGCCCTTTGTCATGATAAAAAAGTCAGTTGCTTTGCATTTGCTACACTGACAAATATTTGATTTCTTATTTTTAAGTCTGAAACTTTGTTATCCCTTTTATTTTTACAATGCAGTCTATCGATGATTTTAAAATTGATTTTAGAGTTTAGACTATGTGCACTAAGTGAACTTAACTGAGGTCACGTTACATTTAGACATGTGGCTTCGGATGATGATGTTCGCTCTTATTGTATTCACAGAATGTGTTCATCGTTCCATCTAACAATCAGCTCCGAATATTAGTGTAGCAGATTCAGTTGAGCTATATGTAAGTTCCATCAAAGTTGTTGATAACGCATTTTTGAGCCTGAAGGCATTTAGGCCTTCCAAGTACCTTCTGATGTGGTTAGTTTAATTTTAATTTCTTCTGACCAGTTAAAATGGTCCATCATAAGCATCAAACCTCTTCAACCACGAGCACTTGCTAAATTGTTGATAATTTGTAAGCTTAAGTCGGACGAAGTATGACAAAAATCAAGAGAACTGCCGATAAATTGAAAAATCGTCTTATCATGACAAAGTTTCAGCATCTAACTTTTCAGGCCATAGCACTCGAGATTTAACTGAAACTTGATCTGGTGTACAGAAACAGAAAATTTTATTTCACTCATAAGTGTATTTTCTGGTTGGCTATCAAAGTTACATCGGAAAAATGAGTTTCAGGAAAAATCTGGTTCTATAATAAAAAAACGATAAGTTTCAACTTTAGACTCGATTTTTCCGAAAATTCGGAGAAATTTTTTATTAGCACCAATGAACTTAGCCACAAAGACCCACAAAGTCAAAGCTCTTAAAGCTAAATTCAAACACAGTCCTTTAAAATTAAGAAATGAAATTGTGAATTTGTTTGAGATATTAAAATTTATTTATTTCATTAATTTAATCATTTGTTTCATAGTCATGAAGCAATGATATCAATATCAGCTTCAATACAAGCCAATTCATCATCATCATTAGACCACCTAGATTCGTAGACATTTAATCGCATTTTGGTATCCATCTGAAGTTTACAAATGAACAATTTGAGTAACAAAAAATGTTGAGTTTTTCAAGTGATTCAGTGTTGAATGAATGAATGTTTATGAAGATGATGAGCATCAGATTTGCCATGAAACGGAAGATGATGTAAATTAACATTAGAGTCAATGGATTATGAATGCATTATAAAATTTTGGAACTAATTTTGATACTTACGGTTGGAAGCCAGTCAAGGGTCATTATTTCGATTCTGAAGGGGTTTGGAGCATCAGCTTTCAATGGGCAGGCAATGTATTCACAGGCGTTCTCCGAGACAGTAGGGTGTTCAATGAACATACCGCCTGCTTCAACTTGGACTAACATAATTGGCTTTGCAGCAGTTCTTTCTGTATTTACAATCGAAAGATGAAAGTGGTCAAGGCGATTTCACTCGCAATTTTATTCACTTACTTGTGTTGAGTTGACCAGTGATGGTAACTTTGGTGTTTGGCTTGAAAGCACAGCACAACATTGACATGGGCAACGGTTCCGGTAGCATCTTGATTCAGAAGAGACATTTCGATTAAGACATGTATTTTGATTCTTTGCACAAACTCAAAACTGTTACTCACCAGAATTGCCGCATTGGCGGACTTGAGTAATCTAAGCTGACACAACAGCAAAGACGAAGCAACCAGCAAAAATGGTTCGGATCATTTTGAAGTTGATTGTGTGGGTCATGTGATTAAATTATACCAAGATGGACTGGCGCAATCAAAACGCAATCGAGTTAATCTTGTTGATAAATTTTTAGAGATCATTATAATTTTCATATAAATAGAGCCAATTTTTTAAACAATTTTCATTCCAAGTTTATAGTTTCAATTCAGACTAATTTGTCAATTTTAAAAGTAAATCAACCTAAACAATCAACTCAAAAGTGATTCGAACCATTGCTGCTCTTTGCCTCAGCTCGAGTCACTCCAGTCCGTCAATGTGCCAAAACTGGTAAGTAAACGGTTTTCAGTTAGCAAAAATATCGAAATGATAATTGCAATATCTATCTCATTCAAGGATCTTCCGGAACTATTGCAAATGTCAATGTTGAACCCTGTGATTCTGATCGATGTGCCTTCAAGCCAAACACCAAAGTTGCCATCAAAGGTGAACTCACCACAAGTAAGTGAATAAAATTGCGAGTGAAATTGCTTTCATCATTGATTACATTTTAAACTTTCATCTGTTGCTTTTAAATACAGCCAGCACTGCCGCAAACCCAACTGACTCTGTCCAAATTGAAGTAGGCGGTAACTTCATTGAATACCCTGGTATCTCCAAGGATGCCTGTGAATACTTTTCCTGTCCATTGAAAGCTGATGCCACAAACCTCTACAAAATTGAAGTCCAATCCAATGACTGGCTTCCACCCGTGAGTGTGAAAAATTTTCATGATAATCTTTCACTTAATTTACTTTTATGCTAATTTTCATCATCTTCTGTTTCATGACTTTTCTGGTGCTCATAATTCATAAATACTCATTCCTTTAACACCGAATCACTTGAATAACACCATTTTTTGCTGTTGTTTAAATGTTTCATTTGTCAACTCCAGATGGATACCAAAATACAATTCCACGTTTACGAATCTGAAGGTGGTGCTGAATTGGCTTGTATTGAAGCTGATATTGCTATCATTGCTGCATAAATGACTATTGAACAAATGATCAAATCAATGAAATAAATGAATTTTACTATCGCAAACTAATTTACAATTTGTATTTCTTATTGAATGACAATGTTTCCAACTAATTGGTTTCGTTGGTAATCGTTTAAATTGTCAAATGATTTCAAGTTTATGTGGGACATCCGTTTGATCACTTTATCTCGTGCTAATAAATAAGAAATCTGCAATCATGACAGAATTATACAAATTAAAAATAAATTGAATAGAATTAAAGTTCCATGATTTTCGCATGCGAATCGATTTTGATTTTTGCTAAAAATTGTCATATGTTTATTGCAAACTTATACAAACTTATCAAACAAAATTGGTTACTTTTCTTGCTAGTAGTAAGTAGGGGATATTGATAACTTAAGGGGAGGCCTTTACGCGCGAAGAAAATAAGGGGAAAAATGGGAAAACAATAACAACAACCAATAAACATAGAAATACTTTATACGATATATTTTTTGAAACAAAATCATATTTTTTACAGTTTTAAGTTTATCTTTTCCATCCATTATCTCAACAGCTTTTTTAATGCTGTTCATTACACAGTTATGCTCGTGAGGCTTCTGCGTTCCAGATGCTATTTCACCACATCTAATGTTTAATTTTTTAGCTATTAATTTTCCGATAGTACCTGGGCTGACTTCCAAAAAAACGAAAGGGTCGTAAATTACCATTTTATATGATGTATCGCGGTAAATAATTACCAAACGACAATGTGAACCATCATACTCAATTCCATTAAAACTAGAAGTTATTATCACTAATTTCTCTCCATTTTTTGTACACTTCCGGGCTTCTTTCACCACAGCTGAGGGTGCACAATACAGAGCCGATTCAGGTTCGCCAGATGCAGCACCATAGATTTTTGACATTTTAAAGTTTTTACATGAACAAAATTTTTTAAATAACGAAAACTTAGAACTATTTTTGATAACACTTTCTCCATCTACGAAATAGTTACACAAAAGAGATAGCACTGTTTCAAAATATATCAAGAAGGCAGAGTAAATACCTCTGCCTTCTTTTTTGATGCAATTAAATTTGCGTTGAAGGGAAGGTGCTTTCTTGGGCACAACAATACAATTTAGGTTAGCTGAAGAGGAAGTAATCTCTAAGGAAAGACATGATGACTAGATAAGTTCGGTGTATGTAAATCGAATACCTTGGTAAGTAAAACTTCAACATATTTATACCCCAATATTAATCAGTTTATGGCTTAATCAGTCCAACTTTAAAGTGATTAAATCCCTGTACCATAGTAAATCAGATTAACATCATATGTTCAAATTGAATGTATTATGCCAAAGATAGCTACAATACAGAGAAGTACAATTAAGATACAATAATTGAGACATGTGCAATTAAGACACCAACAATTAAGTTGTGTTCTAACCTATGCGGAAAAACTTTGAGACAAATTGTTAAAATGAAATTTCACATTTAAGTAGTAGCAATTATTAGACATTTCATACATCATTTAAAAGCTTAAAATCAGTATTTTCTGGTCGAGTCATTTAATCCACCCTCAGGGACAAGATTATCTTTTGTTCCAACGTTTTTCGAAGGCTTTCAAAATTCATGCTTAGAAAATTTTTTCAAAGAGTTAATACACTAATTTGTCTGTAATAATTGATTCCAATGTGTTTTAAGTCCTGAAAATTTCCAGCATATACCTTGAACCTCGGGTTATTGAAAAATGTTTATTAGAAAGAAGTCTTCGAAAGCAATAAGAATTAAATAAATTAAAAGCTAACGCATGAAAAATCATTTCGAAACTGAAGCGTTTGGGCTGACTGAAGCGCGAGTAATTAATGCAAAAATCTAATAAACTAATGAAGCTATTTTTCTGAAATTTAAACTGAGTAGACAAATGTCTATTACTATCATTTCCTGAAAATTTCAAGTCTATTGAAAATATAATTCCTGAGAAAAAAGAAAAAATTGAGAAATAACTTGTCTCAAAGTTTCTCCGCATAGGTTAGTCACCAACCAATAACGTTAGAAAACGAGTACGACATGGGGTCAACATTTGCCAAGCCGTATTTAAAACTTACCACAGTCTTGGGTCAATGGACATCAAATTTTTAGTTCACGAATAAGTGTGTTTTCAGGTTGGCTAAGTTGCATCGGGCAAATGAGTTTCAGAAAAAATCTCGTTCCATAATTGAACAAAACGATCGGATTTTCAACTTTAGATTCGATTTTCTGAAAAACGGACGATGCGAGACATTATCGGACAAAATTAAAACTTAAAGCTAAAGTCAAACACAGTCCTTTAGTATTAGAAAATTGAGATTGTGAGTTTGTTTGAGATACTAAAATTTATTTATTTTATTCATTTGATCATTTGTTGTATAGTCAGTTTATGCAGCAATGATATCAATATCAATTTCAATTTCAATACAAGCCAATGAATCATCATCATTAGACCATTTAGATTCGATGATACTCAATTGCATTATGGTATCCATCTGAAGTTTACAAATGAATATTGGATATTACATGAATATTGAACAACAAAAGGAATGAATATTTATAAAGATGATGAGCAACAGATGTGCCATGAAACAGAAGATAATGTAAATTAGCATTAGAGTCAATTAAATTATGGATTTTCATAAAAATTTTGAAATTAATTTTGACACTTACGGGTGGAAGCCAGTCAAGGGTCACGAGTTCAATTTTGAAGGGGTTTGGAGCATCAGCTTTTAATGGGCAGGCAATGTATTTACAGGCATTCTCCGAGAGACTAGGGTATTCAATGAACATACGTCCTGATTCAACTTCGACGAACATAATCGGATTTTCAGCAGTGCTGTCTGTATTTACAATTGAAAGATGAAAGTTAATAGGTCAATGATGAACGTGATTTCACTTGCAATTTTATTTACTTACTTGTGATGAGCTCACCAGTGATGGTAACTTTGGTGTTTGGCTTGAAAACGCATCGATCAGAATCACAGGGTTCAATATTGAAATTTGTAATTGCGCCGACAGAATCTTAAGTAAGGAGAGACATTTTATTTTTAATTCAATCTTTTTACACACTGTTAGCTTTATTACTCACTTGAATCCGAACATTGACAGACTGGAGTGATTCGAGCTGAGGCAACAGCGAAGACGAAGCAAAGAGCAAAAATAGTTCGGATCATTTTCAAGTTGATTGTTTGGGTGCTTAGACAATAGAGTCTGTATTGAAACTAGAAACTTGGAATGAAAATTGTTCAACGAATTAGCTCTATTTATATGGAAATATTGATGATTGATTAAGTTCAGGTTACTTTGAATGTCCCTTTCAATGATGATTTCAATCATTCAATTTGCCAAATAATGTATTGAGTACTGGGGAACTCGATGAACCGGCCTCCATTAAAGAGCTGATAAAGCTTACGAGTTAGTCGTTAGTGTAAATGTAGTCAGAATTTCATGCTTGTTATTCTGCATTTCGACTGTATTTATCAGTATTTTGAGTGCAATGTTCATGCACCAAAATTTTATCTCATAGTTGGTACAATCAAATGGGGTCTATCGGGTACTCATCGTATAATCAATCTTCATTGAGTAAACTGTGAAACTAAAGTATGATCCTCGAGTGATCTTTTTATTCCGAAGCTAAAATTTTTAAATGTTCAATTCACAATACTTTTACACTAAGCTTTGTTAAATTTCTCAAGAACCCTCGTTTGATGATCTATTTTTAAAATATTGATAATGATTGTGATTATACATCGGTACTAATCGGACAATTAATCTTCAGTAAATAAACTATGAAACTAAATTAAGATCATCGAGTGATCTTTTTATTTCGAAGCTAAAATTTTTAAATCTTAAATTCCCAATACTTTTACACTAACTTGTAAGTTTTATTGAATTTCTCAAGAACTGACGTTCTGGATTTAAAATATTGATAATGATAGTGGTTATAAGTCTTATGAGTCTTAATAGATGATATTTTTTAGTCGATTGCAAGTTTATTCAGAGTCAGTGTAACTCAGGGTATATTCAAAGTAACTCTATCTATACCACTCAGCTATTCACTTCGAATAAATTCACTACATGAGCGGAATCAACATAAGGTTATATGTTATTTAAAAATTTATTAAGTTAACTGTTTTTGGAAAGACTTAATTTGACTTGATCTAATAATGAATTGAATTGAATTAATGAGCAACTATTCCTAGCTGTACCAACATGCATGTATCTCAAATCAGGATCTCTCAAGGTATCCTCAAAATCTTCATATTTATCACCATCATCTGTATTATGAACCAAATGTTCCCGTGAAACTGAACGAGCTCTCATATGAAGTTTGTGAAAGCTGGTTGCTCATATGACCAGAATTGGTTAATTTCTTTGCTAGTACCCGATTCATGGAAACCAGTAAAACATCACAATGGTATTTCCATTACTCTTTGCTACACTACTACAGTCACTTGAACCGGTTCAGAAGAAAATTCAAAAGAAGGTAAAAAAACGAAAGTTGCAAAACCTTCTGAATTTTTCTGTAGATGGCGATAAACAATGAACAATTGAAACTCAATCAAGAGATGAGGTTTTAAGACTGAGAAATTGAAAAGGTGAAAAATTTGTAAAAACAAAATAACCTGTTGTAACCTGTTATAAGTGGCCGGTCAATAAGATACTGTCTTCACTCAACTACAGAACCACCTTTGACTTATGCCATAAAAGGCAATAATGAACATTAATGCTTTTCTCATAATTAAGTAATCGCTTGATGGTGCTGCTAGAGCGAAAATAAAATGTTACGAAAATTTTCTCATCATTGCTTGAAAACCAAAATCCAATAGTCGATTTTTTGGTGAAAAAGCGGTTAAATAGTTATATGAAAATCTTTTTGATGAATATTTTTTAATTTTCATGCTCCCAAATATGCTTACACTACGTTGATAAGCTTGTGGATAGCATCAATTATTTAAAAACAATTTAAATCAACAGAGTTGATTGAGACAAATTGATGAACAGCAGATAGTAGTAAATAAATCAATGTGTACGAAAGAGGATATTACAGTTAAGAAAGGATTCAAATAATACATGAATAATGTTTAAATGGATGGAAATTTAAAATATTAAATGAGCCTTTGAGCTAATAAAAAATTAAAAAATAAATTTTTTGTGCTTACAAAAGCATTGAATAACTAGGTGAATTGAGCAAGTTTTAGCAAAGTGAGACTTGAATTGTGAACAGATTGATACAAAAAGCTATGTATAATTGCAAATTATTTAGATTAGTTATCATACAGAGGTCATTGAGACCAGAAAAATGGCATTAAACTCGGTCAAAAGTATTTCAATAATCCGATTACAATGGACACGAAGCATCATATCATATGAGAAGTCATTTGATTCAATCCTAGGCCACATTAATGTAGGTCCAAAAATGATCGACAAATTTTGAATTTGCATACGATTTTTATCTTTATATTGAACAACTCTAAAAAGAAAAAATGAAAATCACAAAATTAGACAATAATTATTTGAATTGTTGAGAAGTAAATGATTAACTTTACCTTAAAAGATGTTTCAATAGAAACAAAAGAGTATGATAATTGCACTTTGGTAATTGGTTAACAAGCTTTTGAAGAGCCTCAATCTGATCCTTCTTGTTTGGTATTCCTGTCAGTAAAAACATCAGATTGTAATGAGATATTAGTCTTTTATCAAAAGAGGATGAAATCTGAAATTAACCAAGAATTGAATGGAAATTTCTTTCTTTCAAACAATATCTAACAATATTGGTTATTTTACAATTGATATAAATTGTTCACTTCCATAACTAAATGTAAGAGCCTCTCACAAAGCTAAATTAAACCTTTAGCTTTTTAGGTCAATATTAAGACATGGTTAAAAGCTTAATTCAACCCGATTCGATTATCTCACAGTTTATATTAATATTTTTCATTCAAACCAATAATTGTTGTTCAATATAACTATCGATGCAAGCTGAAACTTCTTCAACCAGAATACTCAACATGAATTATCAGAGTCTGGACTTGGTATTGATTCAATTACAGATGCTTTCAAGCAAGCACAATAAACTGTAAACAGCTCTAAAGATTGTGTGATAAACATGCTAGTAAAAGATCAAAATAATAGTATCATTACAGACAACAGAAAAGCTAAAATTGATAGTGAACAGATTTAGAGAAACAATATAAACTCATCAACTGCCTTTGATACATCAATTAAGCATACCAAGGTTAACTTGAAAGGTAGATTGATAACAATTATTGTTTCTAATTTGAACATCATCATAAAATGATAAATACACTACCAGAACGAGAAGCTACTATTTCAATCAAAATGTCTACAACACAACTTAAAAAAATGCTATTGAATCAATACAAAATTTACAGAACTAAAAACGAGTAATTAGAAGCTGCAAATCTTCAATTTTTTAAATTGCGATCAAACAGGGCTTGGTGAGTAAGCTCAATTACCAGTAGTGAAGATGAAGGAATTGAAGAGATCAAATGGAAACAATGGCTCTTTAAGATCTCTCAGAAACAGTTTTAACACTCCAGTTAGTGCATGAACATTTTCCTGTGACCAGATGACATCATAGTTACCTATGGACGAAAAAAAGTGCGATTAGTAATTGATTCAAAATTAAATCATTTCCCAAATCTCTGACAAAAAGCTAACTTTTCATAAAATATCGTTTCTCAACTTCTTGATTCAATCGATAATTTTATGGGTTTCCCTACTTCGATCCTGGTTCTAATTTCATAGCAAACCCTCGTTAGCAGAGTCAGATTGGGAAATCTGTGTTTGGTGAAGAATGCTAGATTACCATTGTTGATTTGAAAACGAATCTTTTGAACTTCCGAAAGATTCCCGCAGATACGATAGAGTCCATCAGTTTGGAGGCCTTTTGCTTCAATTGCTTCAATACAATACTGTAATATTTTCGGGACAAATTGACCTTCCCGGTTACATAAAGATGTTAAATCACAGCCAAAAATAGGACCATCTAAAGAGAGAAACAAAAATTTATTGTCAATAAATTGTAATACTCATAGCTATTCAATACTTACCTATGAGGATACCTTTCGCTCTAATTTCGTCCAGTGTTGGCCTGCGACGAAGTAAATTTCTGATTATCTCACCAATACGCTTTTTCTCGGAAGTAGTTTCGATAGGTTCTTTATGATGGTTATCATTATCATTGGAAACTGTAAAATAATTGGAAATCGTTTATTATTTTTACCCAATAAAAGTTAATCAAATACAATACAAATGAAATTAGTATTCATATCTAGAATTAAAACTTGCTTTTAAATCAATAACTTGTTATGTACGAGTTAAGATGCTAAATAATGTTCAAATAAAATTGTCTCATAAATTAAACATTGAATTAAACACAATTTTAATTTTATTTTGCTACTTATGTCCTGAGCTTTTAACATTTATTTAAGGTACTAATGTAAAAGCAAGTTCAACTGTACTCTCATTATACGATTTGATTGTAATTGAATATAATTGAATAATCAACGGAATGATCAATGTTATTTGATTTTCTTTCATTAAATATTCAATTTTAAAGTGATAATCATTTCACTTTATTTCACTTTAGTGTGTTATGAATTGATTTTTTCATGAAGATAAATTATTGATTCAAAATTATAATCAACCGTTGATTTAGCTGTCATCTAATCATCAAAAGTATAATTACCTTTAGACGATTTAAGTTCATTTCCTAATTTATCATTTGGACTATTATTGACCAGAACAGGTTCCTATGAAAAATTAAAGATAACAATTAGTAAAGAATCAAATGTTTTTATTGTTAGACATTGTATTAAAAAAACCATAAAACCAGAAACCAAAACCAGAAAATCATGGATGAACCAGATGAATCGACTCAAGTTTTCCTTGCAATGTTAGGAAAACCAGGAAATTGTAAAACCTATCAACTTGTTTATGCTAATTAAGAGCTTAAAATTGCAATCATAATTGAATGTAATCAGTCAAAACACTGTTAAGTTCAACTGTTAATTGTTCATGAATGATTAAATAATTGAGAAAAGTTTATAATTAAAACTGATTATCATGCTGCAAACGAAGCATCCAAGAGTGAAAAGCGTTTATTGTTTCAATTTTTTAATAACAATTTTCATTTCTTCAGATTTCCAATAATTGAAAGACTGAAATATTGAACAAATTAAATGCAAATAAAGTGTCACAATGAAAACAGAAAGTAATCAAAAATAAATGAAAGGGAAAGTTGATCAATTGGAGTAAAAACAGCAATTAAAATTGAAACAATTTAAAAAGGTCATTGAGATAAAAGTAGAAAAATAAATCAAATTAAAAGCTAAAACTGACTGAATAGCGGTTTACATTAATTGTACACAAAATGAATTAAACTCATCAGATAACATTGATAGCAATTTACCTTCAAGGTTTAGGCATATAAAGCTCAAGTAAAATTGGGAAAAGGCAACAACAAAATACTTTGGCATTAATTTAGCAGCAATTAATGGTATTAAACATGATAATTAAACATGGTAATTCTTAATGTTAAAAATGAAAATTGAATTAGATGAATAAAAATATTGATTATCTTGTAAGACCTAAATTTTGGTGAAAAAAATAAAACCCAAAAACAAGATTAGGTTTTAGTGAAAATTGAGTTTCCTATCGAAAGCTAATGTAATATTAGTCTACATTTTACTAACTGTTGTTGGTGAAGATGATGATTATGATTATGATTGCTATTAAATAGACTTCCGTGTTTCTGTTTTTAAATCCCTCGGATCAAGTTTAGGACCCACAAAATTGTCTTATGATGGATCGTTAAAGGTGGAATGAAGAAGTGGAAAAAAAGCCCAATAATGTAATAACATTGAGGTTTAACCTGAAAAATGGTCAACAATTATTAGTTAATTTATCAGTTCATGATTTAATTTAGGTGATTCTATTTTCATTTTTTACTGAATCTTTAATTTCACTTTATTATAACCTGTCATTAACACAGTGATCAACCTTGTTTATCGAGATTAACTTTTAAGAATGGATATGAATCAAGGAAAGAATCAAATTTCATCATTTCTCATTGAAATGATTGTACTTTTTTCTCAATTGATTGTATTTTCATCAACCTCTCATTCACAGCATCTTAGGCCTAATACAAGTATCATCATCATCTGAATAACAATAACAGTTGAAACAAATAATAACAATAATAATGAGATCATTTTCCTTTCACTTTCAACATTGATAACAATTGATTGATTGTTCATTTTCATCTCAAATTCACTTCCATCTTATTACAGTAAACAATTTAAAGTGATTTTTCAAACAAATTTTTGTCATTCTAATTGAGTTTATATAAATGAAAATATTCAGAGATGAAGTTAATTCAAAATGCAGTTATATTTAGAGTTATAAATTCAATTAGATGACTCGATTATAATTTAAAATCTAATGATAAATGCATTGGATTGAGATTTAAATTGTTAACAATGTTTTAAATCTCAGCCTTTTCTTTTAAGTATCGGAACTTCAGTAAATGATTGGAATAATCAATCATCGGAAGGTTTAATTGCTAAGGGAAATCGGTAATTCATAAAAGCTGAGCACATCTTTTGCTCAATTTCATGTAAATAACTGAAAAAAACAAATGAAATTGACATTAACTGAGTCCATCAGTTTGAATTAATAGAAGGTTTGAATTAATAGAAGATAAATGATAACAATTAGCACGGTTTTGTGCAATACGATTTATCAATTAGTTACTGTTACTTGCATTAGTTTATGATTCGGGTAAAAACCTGACAATCTTATTTACAAGAATGCTTGTCAAGTTACAAGCTCATGTTTATTGATTATGGGTTAAGTAATCAGTTAAATCATCAACTATTGACTTCTAAATCCTAATGGCAAAGTTGATTACAGTCACTCGATTAGTAATTCAGTCAACGTGATCAATGTTTTTATATCAATTGCAGTTAGATTTTGTTTCTGTGTTTCTTCAAAGATGGACAGTTAATAAAACAATTAAAAAAACAGTTAAAAAGGTTAAAGGCTAATTGTGTACATTCAACTGTAAACATGTCAGGGTCAGTGTTAAATAATTGAAAACTGATCAACAAACAACAACAATTTAAGACTAATGCAACATCAATAATGGATTGCGGATTAGCATATAAATATTGAAAAGGTTGAACAGTTTGATTGACCTGATCAGGTAGTTTCAACGTAAAATAAATGTTAATATTGCATCAACTTGAACCAAGTAAAAGATCATTTCACTTTTAATTTGAAACGTAAATTAACTGTGATTTTCATCATTAGCATCATCTTTAATCTCTTGATTAGTTCAAGTTGTAAAGGTTAACTGTGAATTTTGTTTTAAAGGTGAAGGCTAATAACAATCAAGAGAAACAATTGAATCAATAACCTTTTGGTTTGTTGTCAAAAATGGCTAAACATTAACATGAAAGGTAAAATAAGTCAAGTAAAACTGATGAAAGGGTAAAACAAAATGGATAACAAAAAGAAGGTTAAATTGTTGATAAATTGATCAACAAGGTTTAACCTATTACTTTAATAGAGTGAAATTAAAGCGGAAGTTTTCATGATAATCTCATTGGACTCGTCATTGGATTTGAAATAATACAAATAAACATTAAAACTTGTCATAGTTACAAGACCTTCAATCATTTTCTTGGTTTAATTGTTGTTGTATTGTTTATTGTTGATAGTTTAATCATCATCAACATGACCATCGATCAAGACAAGAATTGAAAGTGAAGCTGAACAATTAACAAGTGAAAACAGATTTGATTGTAAATCACAAAATTGGGTGAAAAATTGTTAACAAAGTAAATGGACTTTAACTATAAGAAATGATTGGATTGAATCTAAATCTAAATCAATGGTAAAAAAAATTGAATTCAACTTTTACTTTCACGTTTCCATCAAAACTCATTTCCTGACCTCATCTTGATTTGGGAAACCCGAAAGGTCATCAAAAAATTACCGTTTATAAAAGCAAAAAATGAACCAACAAGTTATTTGAAAGCATCAATAATAGTGTTTAAATCAAGTTGATCGGATGATGATCATATTGATTATGATGATAATTATGAAACCATTTACTCCGCCTTCATAAAATGACCTTAACTAAGGATAAGCCAATGACCAGGTTGAAGGTGGGAAATTAAGTTCATTAATAGGATAAGAAACAGTGAAAGTCTACAAAACTGTTGAGAGGGAAAGTGTATTATTATTGTCATTATATTAACATTACTATTGTGTGAATTACATTGGCCTAAATAATGGTCAAAATGTATCTTTCCTTCTCGGTCATCTGATTGACCATAAAAATGCTCCTCATCGCTTCAAGTTAGCCTTACAAAACGTTTTACCTTCAACAAGGTAACTACAAAATATTGGATATTATTTAAGTTGACTTTTGAACGATATTTTATACACTTTAACTGATCTTTTTCATTTCAACAATTTCATATTTACTTGTTTGTTAATCTAGTAAAATTAGTTAATTAGTGCAATCAACTGACTATGGATCAACGTTACATTATTTTGGCCTGTTTTTTGTGTTTCCTTCTCTTGGTAACCATTGATGAAACTGGTTTAGTTGAAGGTAAAAAACACAAGCTTTTTGGTAAAATAATCAAGAAAAAAATCTTCAAATCACTGAAAAAGAAAAAGTTTATTCCTTTGCCAATTCCAATTCCATTTAAGAGGTAAGATTACAATTATTTACTTGTTAATCAATCAAGACATTATCAGTAAATTGTCACACCTAACCTAATTAGCTATTTACATTTGATATCAAATTCAAATACAAGAAAAACAATGTTAGTTTTGACAATATTTACCTTATGAAAGTCAAACATCAACTCATAATCTGACGATTAACATTACAAGTGTTTTATGTTGCTTAATCAAGCTAATTGTGACTTATATTAACAATTTGGTTTCAATTTTTTACATTAAAAAGCATCAGAATAGTTTCATTTTCAAGTTTTAATCTTGTTACATTTTTTAGGCAAAAATATCAATGTTTTAGCTGCCAAGTTAATGACAAACATGATGATAGTTGGAATTAGATGATCACTGATCAGTTATTGATTAACATTGATTCAGCTTGATAAGTTTAAATAGGTGATTAGAATGATTAACTTAAGATAAACGTTCAACTACCAAATGTTATCCATTTTTATTCAATCAAGTAATTTTATATGATTTTAGATAAACTTGAGACTTACTGTAAATGGCTTTGAAAATTGTGACTTGTCAAGATTAACATTAACCTGAAAATGAAGTTGATTTTATTTTTAAATAGACCTAATTATTACAATGAATTTAATCATTGAGTTTTCTTTCATTCTGATTGATTATCTAGCCTCAAGGAATACATCATTAACTGATAAACACATAAATTATCAGATAATCTTGTTAACAAATGATAATGAAAAATACACAAAATGATCTTAATTTTGTAATAAATTGTTTCTCGACTTTAATTAACACAATTTACTATCTTTAATTAAATTAATTTTTGCTTCTAAACAATTTAAGGTTCTATTTTGGTTTAAATGAACCGCAATTAGCTAAAGATTATAAATTGCTTGGACTTGAAATCACAATAGTTGGTAAACTCAATAAACGAATTACAATGAAAAATTAAGAGAAATTAATTTCTGTGTTAATCAATGAACTTGACCTGATCTTGTTCACTGATTGTCATCTTGATTGTTACTAAGACTTGGTAACTTGAAAGTTGATTGGGAACAAGTTGATACAAATGATAAAACTAGAATCAATGATAATTTGCTCGTTAAGAATGTAATAAATGAAGAATCAAGAATTAATTGTTGAAAGGATACAAAGTTATCATGTTGAGAGTCTTGTTGATCATCTGAAGTTAAATGTTGATATTGTTTAATGTTTACTAATTTTACATCTTGTTCATTTCCAGTGGATTCAATGTTCATCATCATCATCACTACTCATCATGGCAACAACCTCATCACATGAGCTTTGGTGGCGGTGGAGGAGGTTGGTGGTGATCGAGTTAATCATTTTAACCAACTGAATCAAGGATCACAAATGGCCAAACAATTATAATCAATGAAACAATTAGGTACACAAATGTAAATAAAACTACTCAATGAAGGAACAGGTTTCTCCAATAAGTTAAACTTTGATTGCGATAATAATCATTTACGTTTGAAAATTGTCATGTAATTTTGTTTAACCATTTTATTAAAACAATTTAATTTAACTGAAAACTCAACTCGTCTTTTTTTGAACAAAAAATTGGCTATTTTTAGCTGTTTTCAACGAGATTTCAGTTTACTTTATCGTTCATGTTACTATTGGCAAGATAAGGATTGTGAATGTTTGCCAAAAATTAATTACTTCCGATTTTTAATTCAATTAGTAAAGGTCAGTGCTATTGTATTGATATTTGTCAGCTATTTAAGGAGTTATTTGGTTATTGTTAACCACGCAAGAATCAGTGTTTCAATCAATGTTTCAATCAGTTTTTTCAATGAATACAAATAATGTATTTTGTGAAAAAAAAAACAAAGGACAAGGTGAGATGATTAAGCGTCAATTATAATTGTCACCTTGATTGTGAGCTTTTTATTTTACCATTCAACTCAATTGAAAAGGTAAATCAAATACAGGAATAACATTTGTTTCGAAATAAATCATTACCAGAATCACAATCAATGACAAGACTTGGTAATGCAATCGGAATAGTCAACGTTAAAACTAAAATTAACATTTGATTAAAAGTGAAATAATTTGATTTTTAAATGAAATTCTAATTTCAGAGTGAAATACAAAGAGTTGATTGTATTATCTGAGCTCAACGATTGAAGCTCTTGAATTGATTGGAAAATTTTGTTAACAATTATTTTATTTGAACCAGGAAGATGAAATAAGATTCAATAGTAATCTGATAAACGAGTTAATTTAGGAAACAATTAATCCAAGAGTTAGAGCAAAGTGCAAATAAAGCTTAAATTGAGATCTAAGTAAACATTAGGCTTGTTGATCAAATAATGATCAAAATTTGCCATTTCCAGATAATAAAGTCTTGCATTTGATAATGATGATCATAGTAGCTTGAGATTGGCGAAAAATTGATTTTAAAATCAAGTTTACAGGTTAATTAGATTAAAATGATTAAAATCAACCTACAAAAGTATCTCTATGTGGCTGAGAAATGAACAATTACAACTAGCTGTGCATTAAACAATTGACTTGATAAGTTAATCATTGTTATCATTGGGTTGATTGTTGATTGTTGATCAAATAACGCAAATGAAAAGGTCAACATTGTATAACCAAAGCCTACACAAAAATTATCATTATTGTGTGAGATATGAGTTTGGCTGCTTGTTACGTTAATTGTAGGTCACATTGGGTGTCTGCAATTAAACTACGCATAATGATTAAGAAGGTGAAAGTTGTTATGATTTATGGGATTGATGAATCAGAGAGATGATTGAAGATGAATTGATTGTCACAATATCCGGGTTGATTTGGAGGATTAACCCAATCAATTTAAAACAGACTGACCAACAATTAAACCCGCATTGGGCAAATTGATGAAAATGATGAGTGCGAATCAAACCATCAACCAGGAGGTTACTAACAACAAGCTTAATTACATAAGCATTAGTGGTAAATGTAATTGATAAATTGCTAACAGTAGCTCAGCGTGTTTACAGATTTGTTTTGTTTCAATCGTCTTCCGAGCCAATTTAACCTTTTTTTACCAACATCATCATTATCACCAAATAATGAATTGATGAATTCAGGACAATTGAAATTTTTACTTGAAACAAACAAACAATAATAAAGGGTAAAGTAGCCTTTCAATTTTACAGCAATTGATAGTTTGATATTGTATTTGCTAAGTAAACATAAATCAATCTGTTAATTCCTATCGATTATGAGAAAATAATAAAACTAAATTGAATAAGATGATGGTAATGATGATGAGGGATAATGAAGGAGCAATAGTTGTAATACAAGTTACAATAAAAATGTTTTCATCTTCGGATAGTCCGGCCCTATTCAATAGTGAAACTAATATACAAATGACAAGAGAATCATGATATTGGGGTGAGATGATGATGGAAGGAGGATGAGGAGGGATTAATAGAAAAGTGAAATGTCCATCCTTATGGATACGATCGGACAATTGGATGGACTTTTATGATTAACGAAAGATGCACATTGAAGGAGGCTTTGAGGCTTCCTTTTTTTGGCTTTATATAAATATGATGGACTAAATCAATAGTCATTTCAATATAAATTTCAATTTGATTCAAGTAATTTTTACTTTCAATATTCAATTTGTGGCTACTTTAACCAGGATTTATTGGCCAGTTATCAACGTTACGTCTAAATCAGTGAATACTCAATAATTGTGATTGTTCATCAGCTATACATTCGTGTTCAATATTTTGTTTTATTTACGGTGTTTAGTGACAATATTTTATTTATATTTTCCCTTTGCATTTCTATTTTTCATTTTTTCATTTCTATTGATTCAAATTGATATTCAAAATGAACAAGCAATCTTTGATTCTTCATTTAACTCTTGCTGTTATATTGGTTACTCTCATTTATCCCTATCAAGTTCATGGATTCAAGAAAATTTTCTACAAAAAGCTAATCAAAGCTGGAATCTTGGGAAAACTTTTACTTGGAGGGAAAAAAGTTATCATTGCATTCCCAATGCCAATACCAATACGGTAAGTTAATTTACAATCAAAGTCAATATCATTAAAGATGGACTAACTATTGACTTCACTTTTCATATCAAAAAAGGCTAATAAGCTAACTAGTCATTCAGTATGAAACATCTTTAGACTTCACTCAGACTGATTTTTAGCAAGATTCATATTCATTGTGAAGCCAAAAAATCAAGTTGGAAGCAAAAGTTTCGTTCATTGATATTTAGCTACTTGTGTGATTCAATCTAATTCAACCTTAAAATGGTGAAATGGAAATATTGCGATCAGAACTATTCTAGGAAGTGTTTTAATCTTTTCTGGTAAGAGATCAAATTGCTAATGATACTTTTGACTTTTCCAGGCATGAAATGTCCTCACCCTGGAGTGGCGGTAGTGTTGGTTTTGCAGGTAATGGAGGTGGTAATTGGCCAAGTATGTGGAGCGGAGGGTGGGAGTCACCATCATCACCTTGGTCTTTTTAACCTCCAAATGAAATGAGTAATGTATTAATAATAATACCTGATAATTGTACAATCTCTTCCTTTCTTTAATACATAGCTGTAATGGCATGTTACTCTGAAACAATTTTGTAACTCTAATTTGAATATTTGCTAAATTAACATGAAAAACGCTCAAGAAAAGCAAAAAATAAAGTAATACATTTCATTTTTCCTCGTCTTCTTCCGTGATTCTTTCTTCAAATGTCAACATCATGTCCATTGCTATTAAATTCATGGTTCAAAATTACTTGTTACCAATTTGTTAATACACTTTACACTTTTTTAAATTACTGGGGTCAATGCAACAGTCTTTCAATTTTAGCCTTAACAGCCAAGTCTAAGTGCATTATACTGAATAGCCATATGAAAAAAACTAGCAATTAATGTAATAAAGACAAAGTATCAAGGTAAATTTTAGGTAAAACACTGAGAAAATTAAAGGTTAGAGACTTTAAGAAGGCTGAAATAATGGCTTTGTTTACCGAGAAAAAAAAACTTAACCGACTCTGGGTTAATTAAATATATGATATTCTGGTTTTTATCATTTACAGGAAATTGGTATGAAAAAATTAAAGGAACCGTAGCTTACCTTGGCTTCAGGGCTTGAATTACTCCGAGCACGAACAAATTGTTCACCCAAGCCAAGAGATGATGATAATTTGTAGTCTTGTTTAGTTGGTTTAATAGCATTTTGATTTACAAAATGATGATAACTATCGCCAATCAGTGGATCCGTTGATTTAATTTTCAAACTCACTATTGTAGCTGTGAAAGTGAAGAAAAGATACAAATTAAAATGTGATAAACGATAAAATTAAATGAATTAGTTGAATTGAAATTTGATAAACGTACCACTTTCATCATCTTGCCGAGTTGAATCTGAAAACCAGGTATTTCGTTTATTGCTAGGATTTATTTTATAACCACGGTGATTAGCAGTCCATTTAATAAATTTGAATCCACCATCGGACTCAATTAACCGTTTATCTAATTTGTTGAGTGAAGGATTAATTGATATATCGGTAATTGAATCTCGCAATGATGAAGGTGAACAATCAATGACACCAATGGCACCTCCATTGTTTCCAGTAGCATTTACTTGATTAATTGATGAAGAGGATGACGATGATGATGATGATAAGTTACCAGTTTTGACAGTATCTGCCACTTTAAAAGCGCCAATGTTAATCTCATTGTTATAGATGATGTTGTTATTATTTATATTATTCTTATGGTAATTAGTCATCACCGGTGAACCTTTATCTTCCTTATCATCAGCTGAACTTGATTCCTTATTGTTGATTCCATTTTCAACTGTTTTCGTGTTAGTCTTATCACTTCTACCATTTTCTTGATCACCCTGAAAAAAAGAGTATGAAATATTTGAAATAGAGAGACAATTGTTAGTGGGATATTTCATTATGAAATCAAAACAATAATGACAGGGAAAAAGGAAATATAATGTTTAATAAAGATTGATGTAAAGTAAGTTCAATTCATCAGGAAAAGGTGACAATTTGAATAGATATATGATGATGATGAGGACGATAATTATTGAAACTATCAATCTAATTATTATCTTAGTGTTTCCCTTACCTGGGTCAATTCATTTAAATGATTGAAAAAGTTTCTCACATCCGGCCTTTTGGTTCCTCTGAAAATTATTGATTGGTTGGTTAATTCAGTTGAATTGTTGTGATGGGAATAAACGGTAACAAAGAAACAAGGAAAGATACAGAAATAGAGAAAAGTCGATTAGTCACAGGTAAAGAATAGATTAAAAGAGAAATAGATAGAAATGGCTTCCTTGACAACTTCAATAATTAAGGTATCACCAAAACAGATGAGTTGCCAATCGAAGAGTTTCAAGAAATGATTATTTAAATCAACTCACACTATTTTAACTCTTTTATCATTGGAAGGAACAATTCGACGATCAATCAAACTTTTTAAAGGTGAACTATCATCAATTAAATCCTCGAAATGATCCAAACATATCTCATTGTCTTTAGGCATGATGATGATGATGATAGTGATGAAAATGGGAGAGGGAGGAAAAGAGGAGAAGCTTGTAATTTGATGATCGATTAAGAGTTGATCTTATGTATTCCAACGTTTCCAGTTGCAGAATCAATCATTAAAAATCAAGGTTGCTTGACATGTGAATGACGACTATTTGTTTCTCTGTCTTTATCTTTCTCCTTTTGAACGTTATCTTCGTCTTGTTGTTTTTTTTATCAGCGAGTTAAACCATTGATGAGTATTACAGTGACGATAAAGATTGAAATCTGGCGATGGCAAAGAGAAGAGAGAATAAGGATTGAGAATTTAAGATCAATTGGTTTGTTAAACTGTGATAAAGCAGCAAAATCCACGAAACATGATATAAGGTTAACAACAACGAGTAGAGTTGATGAAAGGCATTATGAGTATTATTTAATGTTCAACTGGATCACTTATGCACACAATTGAACTTCAAACATCACAAATTTCACCAAGATCAGCAAGAAGTAAACAGGTTTCACAGCAAAAAAAGAGAGGAATATTATTTAATCAAATGTTTTTACTCTGCAACTGCTTTTAACATAGTAATCAGTGTTTTTATATTACTTTGTAATGCTGTTACTAATTGGAGCAACTATCAAGATAACAAGATGATGAGACTGACGAGAGTAGATAGGATTGATGTAGATATGGCGGACAATTTAATATGAAAATTAAATTTTTTGAACATATTACCATGTTCATTATTACTCTAAACTGAGACAAGAATCAAATTAATTGTATCGCCTTTTTGGTTTAACTTTTCAACTTCTCCTACATCTTTCTTTCTTCTCTTTTCATCACCATTTTTGCCTCTCTCACTCTCTCACCACTCACCAAAAAGAGACTCACTTGACTCTTTTTTCAGCTTTCTCTCCTGAATAACTCACTCGCAAGTAAATCACAACAAATGGCTGGAAAAGACTCTCTATTTTGATATAGCTGTGATCTGTAAAAGTTGCTCGAAAATTTTTCTCTCTACTGTTGTTGTTAATGTTGTTTGTGTTGTTGCTGGTTTGATGCTTTATTTTATCCTCCAATCCTCACTTTTCTGTTCTCCTTTTTTCGTTGTTGATCCCGTTAATAGTTGAGAGAACCAAGTTGGCTAGGGTTGATTAAACATTGATATGCTTGGCTAAACCATGTCATGGATATAAATCGTTGTAGTCAACTGTCGCAACAGAAAATGTGAAGACAAAGAAAAAGAGAGAAGAGTGAGTTAAACGACTTTAAGAAGGTAAAAAAGATCAGTTAAATACAAATTAAAAATTTAAACAGTTACCTATTCAAGTTTAAACAATGATACAATTACCTTAGGCACGGTTAAATTGATTTTGAAGGAAAGATGGAAAGGTAATAAGAAAGAAGGAATGAAAGAAAAGAAAGAGAGGGGGAAGAAAAAAAAACAGTAAACCAAAGAGGTGATATTCCTTGATGATAATACACTAAAACATTAAGGAAAATGATGATTTTCAGGTAAAACGGATGGTAGATGATGTATATTGAGACAGAAAAAGAGGTAAATGATGATGACGATGACGATGAGTAGCGTCTTTGCTAAACGATCAAAAATAAAATCTGAAGGGAAATGTTTGTCTCAAATGAATTATTTAAGATCAACAAATTAAGTTATGCTGTCGATTTCCTTGGAAAACTTGCCGAAAGTTGATTTCTTTTTTCTTTTGTCGTCCTTTGCACATCACTTAATGAGTCTAAATATCATCTTCATTCACTCACTTTCTCTCTCTCTCTCTCTCTTCTTTCTTACTTTATCTCAAAACTCACTTACTCACTCGGTTGATTATAACCTCGGTAACAATTAAGGGCAAATATTTACTTGATGAAACCATTATCATCATCATTATCCTCATTGGATCAGGTTCTTTTTATACACCTCTTCACCGTTGTCTTACAGCTTGATTATGACTTCAACAGCTCCGTTAGTCGAGATTTTGTTACACTCAATATGTAATACTCTTGTTGATAATAGTTTTCTTCATTTACTTGTGATGTTAATCCTTTAAATTAACATTTGCACCATGCTGAGTAAACTTTTAGGAACAGAAAAGTCAATGCAACACGACTTGATTTCCAAACATTTGTTGTATCGTCATTATTATCCAGCACAGAGGACACCGTTAAATAGAGGAAAAAGAAAACAGAATGAAAACAAGATTAAGAATTGGTTAGATACCGAAGCTAGTGAAAGCAAGCCTTTTGTTCCTGTTTTACTTTTCCTGTGTTCTATTAAATTGAAACTGATCAATAATGGTTCACTATTTTCAAATTCAATTTTAATTTAGTTTCTCTTTTTGCTCTGAAAAAAACCATAATTTATTTTTAACTTGAAGAAATGGATTACAGGATTTTTAGACAGCAAAGGATTACCTGACTGGCTTCGGTATCTAGAATTAGTTAAGAATGGAACAATTACGTAATAAGAACATTAATAGCAGCAATAATCAAATGATAATGGTGGTTAGGGAAGTTAAAATGAGAAAATGAATGATTACCGATGGCTTGTAATATTTGTATAATGTTAAATGTAAGTCTCTTCCACCTTAGCTTCTTCTCCTTCCTCGTGATGGCTTCTTATCATCCAACGACCATTATAAATGAATCATTTGGTAATTAAAGGCTTTTATAGACGCACAAAAATCACTCAATAATATAAATTAAATAAACAATTGATATTTGAATTTGATGAAAAATTTGTACAGTTAACCAGAAAAAAACAAGTGTGGCTTTGTAAACAAATGGAGAGAGGGAGAGAGCTTATTAAGCTTTAAGATGAAAATGGAGGGAAAATTTTACCATCAGTTGTAAATCATTCAGATTTTCAAATCGAAATTTTGACAATCAATAAATCAGTTGATTGAATTTTAATCAAGAGATTATTTTTGCACTAAATCAGCACTGCACCAGTTCAATATTTGATTATCAAAAACGTTTAGGGCAAAGTAAGTTAATTAAAAAACGAAATAATCTGAGATTTTATTTACAAAAACTCTTGTGTAAATGTTTAGACCAATGAACGTCAATCAAAAATTGGCACAATTTTTGAAATTGTACAAATTACTCAGTTTTAATTAAATAATTTCCAAAATCTCACAGATTTTTAATGTTCGTTTTTTAATTATGAAATAAAATTAGGACAAATGTGCTTTTAATTTCACAGACAATTAATTTGTTTATTTCAAAATGGACAGTTAAAGTGTTGCTTAGATTTCGTATTGTTTAACGATTCAAACAATCGATACAATTCTGTGTTGTGGATTAAATTGTCAAGTGTATCAATTTTAAGTGGTTTATTTAGCAGGAAATTGCGACAAATTTTGAAGAGTCTTTGATTTCTCAATTAGATACGAAATAAGAATGAATTAAATAATTAACAGAGAGCAAAGAGAATGATTGAACTAAATTTAAGTTGATATCAGTGGCAAAAATTAGAATAATAAAAACAAAATCAAACACTCAACAATTAGGTAAGTATTACAGAGCTGAAGTAAATTTGAATTTTGTTTTAAATTAACTCATTAATGACAATATGTATTTCAAATTAATTTCTTGTTTGAATCACATTTTGTTGAATTGATCTTTTCAGAACAGAATACAGAGCATGATAGCATTTTGAGGAAGAGGTAACAAAATGTTTACAATGCAATAAATCAAGATTGAGATGAGTGTCTGAAAAAAGGGGAAATTATTAAATCAATATAAGGTTTTAAAGCAAGAAAGAAAGAAAAGTTTGCAGAAATAACAAATGAATTTCATTAATAAATAACAAACAAATAATAACAATAATAAAAGGTAACAAGAAGTAACAGAAAAACATTTCGATTTTCACACATAGATACAGGTTAGGTTAATATCTCAACCTAAGGCAGGAATTAGAGAGAGAAAATTTCATGATAATAGATAACATGGTCTATGAGATCAATCGATTAGTGATTAATCAGATCAGCTGGACTTTTCAAAAGTATTTGTCGAAGCTGTCGGAAGCTGTCAGAAATGCAACATAAAGGTATTTTTAGCAGCAAAATTAAATGTAAACAGTCTTCCAAATGATCAATATTTTGAATTGATTGTTTATTTTAATATTAATGTTGCTGAGAAAACTCGAACTCAAACTGGAAGCCATGCAAAAAATCCTTAAATCAATGAATTCTTTATACGATCTCGATGGTAATCCTTCACGGAACAAAGTCGACTCTACTTAGGTGAGATAGAGCGATGTTTAAGATGGAAAAGGTGAATATTTCGATATTAGGTATCGAGTCTTCCCAACATATTTGAATGAAAATTACAAATCTTCATGCAGGCAATTCGGTTGAAGTTGTGATAATCTTGGTTTTGATTTAAATTTCAGTTTAAAATAGTTAGACGATAAAAAGGCGTCCTCCTTCGGGTATATAAGGATAAATCGGGTGCAGTAAAGGTTTTATATCGAGCCATAATTACTGAGGTAATGGCAAATTGAAATGAACTATGATCAATAGTTAGTTTTAACCAATTTTGTACTTGATTTGATAATTCTGCCATTTCTTTCCCATCATCATTTTTGACTGCATATGGCTTTGGTATTTGGCTTGGATTGACAAAGTATGCAAAGAACTTTGGCCTCAAAGTTGCTTAAAAGATGAGAGTTGTAAGATTCAAGTAATTGAAACGCCAAAAATTAAACGAGGGGAGAAATTACGAGTCGCGAATTACTATTCAGCTAACTGTGAGTAGGGCGCAAGTTGTGAATATACAGCTGTTGATGTAGATGAGAGTGAATGATGTCATGGTCGGCAAATTTAATAAAAAGAAATATGCTTTTCTCTTTTATTTTAATGGCATTCACTGAAGCTAATCACTAACTGTCGTAGTGATTTTAAAACCTTTTGATTTTGCTCCATTGGCACCTTTGTTTAAATTATCTGTCTCATTTCCATCATCATCTAACTCTTCAAGAACACATTCCAATGGTGGTTCTTCTAGTGTGTCATTAAAATCATAACGATTTGACCTAATTAAATGAGAATCACCAAGTAGCAAACCGGAAGGACCTGAATGCCCTAAATAATGCACCATCAAATCACGCGAATTAACAAACCTTCTACCGCATCCAGGAAAATTGCAGCAGAAGGTATCTTCTTCGATGGAAATTTGACGACGAGGTAAAGTAGGTTGTTCATCAGCCGACTCCTGGTCATCTTCATCATCTCCCTCTTCCAAAACAATATAACTAATTGATTCCGTTTTAGGTCGAGCAACAGAAAGATTACGAGTTGAAGCAATTAAACCTAAGTTATTGTTGATATTGTTATTAAAATTATCATTGTTGTTATCAACATTTTTGATAATATTAGAACCATTATTATTTCTAATATTTTGATTAACATTAGCAGCATTTTTATTTCCATCTTTACGGTTGTTCATCCTATGCGTTATGATGTGACGATTGAGATGATATTGACGTTTGAAGCTCCAGCCACAACCAGGAAATGTACATGCATATGGTCTATCATCCATAGAAGCTCTAAAGCGATTAGATGTAAATCTCAATGATGTTGCAGCTGAAGTTGCTGTTGATGGTGAGATTACTACTGATGGCGCGGATGATAATGGTGACGAAGACGAGGACATTTGCTGTGAGGCAGCGGCAAGATGAGAACCAAAATTAGGAAGCAATTGTCTGTTGGCTTTAGGTGCTGGCTTTTCCAATTTATGTGTTTCAACTAAATGTCGGATCAGGTGAGAGTTTTTAGTATAAGTTTTATCACAACCGGGCAAGGTACAGGCATAAGGTCGAGCTGACTTCGTGTACTCAATGTGATAAGGTGGTCTTAAAATGTTATGGGAATCTTCTTTGTGTCGCAAAAGGTGAGAGTTTTTGGTATATGCTTTGTCACATCCAACAAAATCACATGTATATCGACGATTCAACATCTTATTAGTCATCAAGGTTGTATTTTCTTCATCATTCCATTCTTGTCCTTCGACTTTGATACATACTTCAGGCTCAACCACTGAATGAGCGTGTAATAGGTGAATGTTAAGTTCGTTTTTAGTGCTAAATTGTTGTTTACATCCAGTAATGTAGCACAAATGTAAGGTAGATGGAGCCTCGCTGAAATACATATGATAGAACAATTTCAATTAGTAAATTAAAATAATTAATTGAAGGAAAGAAGATAAAAAAGACTGAGGGAATAAAAATGAAAGGAGGGGAAGAACAGGGGTGGAGAGTGAGAGGAGAGAGTGAAAAAATAGAAAGAAAGAGACGCTGAAAGAAATTGAACCACAAGAAAGAGGTCAAGAGGTCGAGATGTTATTGACGTTTTCCAACAAGATGAGGAATACAGAACACAACAGCAAGAGCAAAACTTACCACTTCGATGAATGACTTTCAATTTCCGCCTTAGATGCTTGTTTTACTGTCGCTCGTTTATCTACTTCATGTGAACTAGATTTATTCGGCCTGAAGCCAGGGTGAACTCTTTCATGATGACGCACAACATGATTTGTTCGAGTGAAAATCCAATGACAACCCGGATAGCCACATGGATACTTCCGTATTTTACTCATATCTGCATTCAAACCATAGAGTTTAACCCGGCGTTGAGGTTCCGTCATCTTACGGATCGAAGTCTTGTACTGGAGATAACTGAGAGGTTGATATTACAATTTAAATTACGGACAGAACAGACACTGAGCTTCTTTAGTAAAAAATAGATAGGATGATGATTAAATCAGATCTTTATATTTTTCAGATGTAAACATGGGTTGAACTATTAGAAAAGTAAAAGTTGATAGTAGAGCATCAAAGCAGCTTTAAAGAAGACAAGGTGAATTGGCAATGAACAATACCATCAAGCTTTTAACTTCACATGGTCTCATTATGGTCCCATTGAGAATCAACACCCAAAGTATAGAGCTCGATCATATGATTGATATCTGTCATCCTGAGGCCCAAAGATCCTTATAGTGTGGAAGACTCATCAACAAATAAAAAAGGTAAACCAAGCTGTTACTGAAGTTGCTTTCACAAGCTCAGGAAGCAACTGACTTGCTTGAATGAAAATATGGAAGATGATTAAAGAAGATCTTTAAACCTTTTAGATGAAACCATGAGTTAAATTGAAAACCAAAACAAATAATAATTTAAGCATGTGGATTACAAAGTAGGTAGAAGCAGAAAACGTTTTGGATCAACATGAATTGTCTGGTGCATGAGATGATTACGGAGTTTAAAGAGTTGAAACAAACAATAATAACAAAGAACAGATTAACGAAGCTGTTGAAGTTAAATTTTCTTAAGCTTGTCCAGTTTAATAGTCCAGTAAATTTGAACCTGTTAATAAAAGGAGGAATGGTCAAAAGCAGCAAAAAGGAGGGAAAGATACAGGGTGTAATAAGTTCGTGGTGGTGAGCATGAGATAGTTATGCGCAATCAACAGCAGAATGATGGCACTTAAAAAAGTCGAAATGGTTTTTGTGCGCAAATTTGAAATTCACCCTAATTCAGGAAATTATCATAACACCCTGTAGGAAGACGAAGAAAAGAGTAGTTGCGGTGAGAAGAAAAACAAAAGAACGAAGACAAAGAACTAGTAACGACTAAGAGCCAGTTCATTTAAAAAACTCATGAATATGTGAAGTTCTAGTAACGTTAATTGAACCCAATAATCAACAATTACATAATCGTAACTGTAAACTAGAAACTTTTCACTTGAAAACAAATGAAATTTGTTTTTAAAACGGCTTCCAGCTTTCACCAACAGATGGAAGTACCTTTTTTTGCTGCCATCTACCGACAGTAAACTTTGCTTTGCCTCCATTTCTCCCTATCTGGGTCCTGTACTCAGGCCATCTTGTTCTCTCATTCAAGATGGGTCATGAAGCAATAGCTTCATGATGGGCATGTGTAAGACATGGCGCATAATCAATAAAGATTCATTTTGGGTTTTGGAAATACAGAAGAAGGAAAAGAAAGAGAAAATATCTTCCCTTTTTCCTCTCTCTCTCTCTCTCCTGTTTTCCTATCTTCTTATTCATTTTTCTGAGACTAATTCTTGAATTCTGGTTTACCTTCTTCTTGTTTTTATTTGCCCGTGTAAAGTTGAAATCGTAATGGTAAAATTATCGCCAAATTATGTTCTCCTATTTGAAGTTGCTGCGATGACTGTTTTTAACAACAAGATGAAACTATTAACAACAACAGCTATGAGTGTGACCATCTAATTTTGTTATCTATTATTCAAATTGAATCACCAAAATCTTCCAAAATTTTGTGTGGACTCTGATTCAGGAATAACACAGCCAACACCAAGAGCCACACTGCTCTTCTACTTCTCTTTATTTACTTCTCTCTCTGCCTTTTCATTTCTCTTTCTTTTATTCTTTCTTTTCCGTCTGCTCTTTCTTTTTTCTTCTGTCTATTTTTCCCTTTCTCCCGCTGTCTTTTCTCTGTCTATTTTTCCCTCTTTTTCTGATTTTTCAAGATCTTCTTTTTTCTAATTTTCTCATTTTACTATCAGATTTAAATTTACTTATTGACTGGACAACCTTAAGAAAACCTAAAAATTTAATAATTTGCGATTGTGTTATTATTTGCTTCCTCGTATTCCTTTGCAAACTCCTATCTTTATTCATCTCTTATATCACACAACTCAAGATTGATATTGTGGAAGATCAACAACATACTCCTGTTTCTACTTCTATCTCTGTCTTTATCTATTTATTGTTTGTGGTTATGTATTTGTTTTTTTGTGTCCAATACAATCCATGGTTTCACAGAAAAGATCTAACGATCTAATTTAACCATCATCTTCACAATTACTTTGAGATCAAGCTCAGTGTCATTTGAGCTTGCAAAGACAATCACAGTTGCAGCCTTGTTTTCATTTTTTTTGTTGACAAGCCTTCCACACTATAAAGCTCCTTGGGCCTCAAGATGACAGATACCCGTCGCCGGGTTAAACTCTACACTTTGAATGCTGATCGTCAGTGGGATGATAAAGGAACTGGTCATGTTTCATCTTTATATGTTGACCGTTTGAAAGGAATGTCCCTTTTAGTAAGAGCCGAGTCGGATGGATCTCTTCTCCTCGAATCTAAAATTCAACCTGATACCGCTTATCAAAAGCAACAGGTACAGTACATCGTAATTCCCTCTTGATGGGTTTTGTTTTCCTATCCTATATTGTGACATTTGACTAATTTAACATTTATTACTTTTATTTACCTCACTAGGACACTTTAATTGTTTGGTCGGAAGGTGACAATTATGACTTGGCCCTTAGTTTTCAAGAGAAGGTTGGATGTGATGAGATATGGGCTAAAATATGTTCGATCCAGGGTAAAGATCCATCCGTGGATCAAACTCAGGAAACTATGGAAGAGGAAGATGAAAGATTCGAAGAAGCATCTGATGCCATAGAATTGCCTCCTTGTGAAGTCGACAAGCTTGAAGAATTAAACGAACTCATTGCCAGTTGCCTTGTCCATCCAATGAAAAGAGAAAGACTAGCCTTGGCCCTCGAGACCGAAGATTATATTAAAAAGCTTCTTAAACTTTTTCATCAGTGCGAGGATTCTCAAAATGTGAAAGCTCTTCATAAATTACATGAAATTTTTAAGAACGTATTCTTGCTCAACAAGAATCCACTTTTTGAAGTTATGTTAGGAGAAGAGACACTTTTCGACGTGATCGGTGTTTTTGAATATGATCCCAACCAACCCCAACCTAAACGTCATAGGGATTACCTTAAATCAGTTTCCCGGTTCAAAGAGGTAATACCGTTTGGAAATGCTGAACTAATCAACAAGATTCATCAAACATATAGAGTGCAATATATCCAAGACGTTGTCCTACCGACGCCAACAGTTTTCGAAGAAAATATGCTATCCACCCTTAGTTCTTTTATATTCTTCAATAAGGTTGAAATCGTTTCATTAATACAAGAGGATGATAAGTTTTTACGTGAACTGTTCGCTCAAATAACTGACGAATCTACGGATGTAGATAAAAGAAAAGACCTCGTACTTTTCCTTAAAGAATTTTGTACATTTTCTCAAACATTACAACCCCAAGCAAGGGAGAACTTCTTCAAAGCCCTTTCAACCTTAGGTGTATTACAAACATTAGAAGTTACATTATCTATGGATAACATTGCGATTCGATCAGCGTCAGTTGATATATTGACCTATGTTATTGAATTTAGTCCATCTATGGTGCGAGAATATGCTCTTAAACAAGCAGCATCAAACTGTGATGAGGTACGTTTAGTTAAGGATCAACCACCAACCAGAACGTGTAAAATATTTTGTTTAATTGTGCAATATTGTTAATGCTATTGTTTTTCACATCTTTAGGATCAATACATCATCAATATAATGATCGATCAAATGATCTGTGACCCTGACCCTACTCTGGGAATGGCAGTTCAACTATCATGTATATTGCGTTTACTTTTGGATCCCGAGAACATGATCACGGCATCAGCTGTCAATGTAAATATTATTTATTTCATTTTCCACTGACATTTTTCATTGACTTTCGTTACTAATTCTATTTCCATTCCTAATTGAACAGAAATCAGAGAAGAACGATTTTCTTATCTATTTTTACAAGCACTGTATGCATGTTTTGGTTGCTCCTGTGCTAGCAAATACAGCGGAAGATAGACCGAGCAGAGAGGATAGTAGAATGGCTCAGCTTCTTAGTTTAATTCTTGAATTAATGTCCTTCTGTGTCGAGCATCATCTGTATCATATTAGAAATTATATAATTCAACGAGACCTATTGGAAAGAATATTGGTCCTCATGATGTCAAGGCACACATTCCTGGTGCTCAGTAAGTCTAATCTTTGATATTGTAAAATATGCTTTTGCGTTCTTGTTTCGTTTATTATAACCCATTTTTGTTTTTTAGGTGCACTTCGATTCCTGCGCAAAATCATCGGCTTAAAAGATGAATTTTATAATAGACATATAATTAACTCTAATCTATTTGCACCGGTTGTTGAGGCCTTCAAACGAAATAACGGACGTTATAACCTTCTCGATTCTGCAATAATCGAAGTATTTGAATTCATTAGAACTGAAGAGATCAAATCACTTTGTTTTTACGTTGTGGAAGTGTTCGGTAAATATCTTGATAAAATCGATTACGTTGGAACATTCAAAGCATTGCGGCAACAATATGACCAATTTCAGGATAAATTTAAGGATAGAAATTCTTTAGAAAGGTTGGTATCTTGATGGGTCGATTTTAATATCGAACTGAGCTTGCTCAGTTTTGTGTGCATTCTGGTAACTTACATATAGGGTGTTGTATGAAGTTAATATTTTCGAATTGAATATCTACTTAGAAGAAATGTGAAAAGATGATATAACTATTGTTGATTTTATAAGGTGAACCCTGACCAAAAGTGGTCTTCAGGTCCATTAGGCAATTCGATGTTAGAAAAAACAGGCGTTTCTCATTATTCTATCATCCTTCCTTTTTGCTTCTCGTTCGCAATTTTATTTAAACGCAATCCAATCACGATAAGAACCCGCTTTCGCAAACAAAAGAATAGTAAAAATATTGCGCTATATTTATTGTTTAGATTAATTACTTACTGAGTTGTTCAAAGTATAGACATCAACTCTCTGGATTTTTTAGCAACATCTTCATGGTTTTTCGTGCATCCTGTTTATAAACTATGTCTTATCATGAAAATGCAACTCGAAAATGAATTATTGAAAACGTATTCAACGTATGCATTTCACTTCATAGCATTCGCTAGTCGAAAGATTTCATTCTCTTATCTAAAGATAGTTCGAATGCGAATTTAATCTGAGTTTCTTTCTAAAAAATTACTTTACTTGTATGTTAGGCTTTATGATTTTTGTGTCTTCGATTTCTATTTACTTATTTGTTTTTTTAATTTCAACAGCTCACCCGTTATATTGAGAAACGAAAGATTTAGGCGTGATCCACGTCAATTAGATGAAGATGAAGAAATGTGGTTTAACAATGAAGACGAGGACGTCGATGGCATCGATAATAATTTGGATGGATCATTAAGCTATAAATTAGAAGCGGAATTTGATCAGTTTAATAAGAAAATATCTGAAAGAAAATCAAATTTAGGTAAGATTTAGTACTTTTGAGGTATTTTTCGAAATTTTAATCTCTCATTTCATATTATTCAGGTTTATCTTACGCGGACCTAGAAAATGTTAAAAAATATAACGATCTTGATAATGTTAAAACTCTACCCTTAAATAGAGCAACGAGTCCTCGCAGGACAACACCTTTAACTGCCTCTCAAAAATCTCCTAGTTTACCTCATGTGGAAGTTCAAACAACTCGTAAGGTATGTTGAAATCCCAGTTTATAGTTACAGTTATAGTTAGAGATTAAAATTTACTTAATTATTCAAGAGAAATATCTTATAAAGCACATTTGCAATCTTTATTCTCATTGTATTTACTTATTCCAATCAACTTATTCATCTATGCCGTTTCATTGAATCATAGGGAGGCTTGGTGGACTATCCCGACGAGGATTCAGATGAAGAAGACAATGGGGATGAGGGAAACATGAATCATACTAAAAGAGCCAGAATAAGCTCCTAGTAAATAATAACCCTGTTCATTCACTTCACTTCATATACATTAATAAAGCCCATATACATTAATTAATCTCCTTTTAATAAGCCAGAAACTCAAAAATACCACCAAAAACATTGCGAAGAGGAAATGAAGATGCAAGTTGAACACAAAAATGATATACAACTCTTTTCACATGGAAACCAGCTAAAACAAAAAAGAGACTTTATTTATATCTATGGCGCTGATTAATCGCGATTCTCATGACTCCATCATTGCTATTGCTTTTACATTTGTAAATTTGCAGTTATAATCAGCGCAGTCAGTCGGTCAGAAATCAAATCAAATCTTTCTTGTTTTATCGCGAGTTTACAGTTGACATCTGAGAACAAATCTTTTGTTGACATTCACAATCATGGAAAAACGATATAGATTTAATTTTTGTAAGCGTTTTTGTAAGATTCAAGGAACGTCAATTAACCTTAAATTACCTGGAAAATGGTTTTTCTGGAATCTTACGATTCGATACGATCTTGGATTAACAACATCAATTAATCATTGGATTCGAGATCAATTATAAAAGTCGTGACTGGTTCTTGTTACCTCAACAAATGCTTTCCACCTTCGATTGAGACTGAAGCCTCACAAAAATGCGGATTTAATTCTCTCAAATCAACTAATTGAATCATTCGCTGGTATATTTTAGCTGTTGGAGGCTTTATTCAAGATTTCTGGTTTCTCGGCTAACCCATACCTTTATAACACATGTATACTAAAGTCTTAGTTTTGTCTGCTGTACTCACTGAGCATCTCGGTTTCAAATTGAAATTATACAAAATTAAGCTAACTTCATAAAGATTTTGAATCAAACTAATCTCTCTCCGTTTATTCTTCCCGCCTTTACACCACAAGTCTTAATTATTTATTTGTTTGAATGACTAGACCAGTGCTTCAGCAAGTTTTATACTAACACGTAAGATGATCTGTTAATAATCTACTCTGATCTACTTATAACACTCAGCTAATCTGTTATTTTTTAACAAATCTAGGAAAATGCAATGAATAACATTTGATTGCCTTGTTAGCAATTTTTACTTCTGTAAATTATAATACATGACCGTGTAAGTTTTCATTCAGTTTAAATAGACACTGGACATTTGATTATGTTTGTTTAATGATTCGCGTTATTTACTCACGTTTATCAAATCACAATATGGAAACTACAATAAAACGAAGTTGGACAATCAAAGCACACTAAAAATACTTTAATACCATTAGATTAAAAAATGTCAAGTTAAATGATCATTCTATTGAAAACAAATCAGGTACAATAACTTTTAGAGAAAGATTATTAGAACAGATTGTATTATATTTTCATGTGAGATTTTACTCAAGAATCTACTCAATATTGAAATGAGTCTGGATTCGAATATCAAATGTAATTTTTCGAAATTTTTCATCGGTAAATCGTGTTTCCAATAAAGGTTTTAATCATTTTGATGTCTGGATTTGGACCAATGAATGTCAATCAAAAATAATCACAATTTTCGCGATTGTAGGAGTAACACGCTAAAATTGACTTTTAGTTTCCAAAATCTTATAGATTTTTAATGTTTGTGTTTTTTAGCTTGATTATGAATAATTAGATAGATGCTGTTAATTACATCATTAGTTTGTTTATGGATAATTAAAGTGCTGCTTAAGCGTATCGTTTACTTACGTATTGTCAAATCAATTTGATTCACTCTGACTAGATCTTAATGATTGACGATCTTAAATTTATTTTTTATGATAATTTACATCAACATTAGTTTTTCTTGCTGCGATCTTTCCACTAGATTCTAACAATGTAAGGAAAAATTTTCATTGAAAAGCGCACAATTGAGCTGCTCGATAAATAGTAGAAATAAGCTATTTCCAGTTAGTCGGCAAAATTAAGCATTGTTGACAAAATGTAAATTGTTTGTTTTGTTTGTTTTTCATTCAAATCAATTACTCAAACTCCACCATCTTTTTTCTGAGATTTGATTTCATTTTCATTTTCAAGTTGTGTTTCTATTTCGGCATTCAAATGTTTATCCTATCAAGGAGTTGGTTTAGTGTGGATTTAGCATGGAAATACGATCACAGATAGACTTCTTTTTTATTTTGTTTTAAACCTTTTGTTCAATTTTCACAGATGATGCTGGATGTTTCTTTTTATCTGTGGACTGTTCAAATCAAACGAAATCATCTGTTAGCAATGTCAAAATAAACCCCAAAAGGCAGCCTAAACATAATCGTGACTGTTGACAGCTTTTCTCGAAGGGATACAAAGAGGCCACTAGAAAATAGGATAAAAGATAATAGGAACAAATGGACACTGAACTCACTGGAGGAAGTTTTTTTCATTACTTCATCATGACAGTAACACCAGGAAAATAAAGAATTTTAATAAAATTTGAAGTAACCCGAAAAAGATAATTTCCTGTTGATTGTATGAACAAGAAAAAAGTAAGAATAATCGTAATTTTGGTTCAGATCTTTATTTAATTGCGAAAACAATGATCAACATAGTTATTACAGTATCAGTGCTATTTTTATTGACATTAACATTACTATCAATATATCTATTTTAAACAGTTAAATGAGGTGATCTTATAAAAATGGGATTTTCTTGCCTTCTTGCCGAGTTATTTCATCTCCATGCCTGATTGTTTTTAAAGAAGGAAAACAAGCAATTTATGGAGAAATTTTCGGTCTCGAATAATTTATATGTGATTTGACTTATCGTTGAACTTCAATCGAAATATCTAAAAATGAAAAAATATATGAAAGAAAGAAAAATTAATATTTGAATTTGCTTTAACTTAACCTTTTAATTTTTTCCGTATTTTTCAGATCTTGTGAGCTGGTCAATTTCAATGGTCTTCATTGTAAATTATTAAAGGCAATATGACAGCATACCTGGTTGTGTACTGGCTGCAGGAGCGGGTGACAATGAATTGAGTGCAGGGAATAATGTCGACAATAGTTGAGTTAACGACTCAGGAGCCAAAGATGGAGAGCCAAGTGCGGACAAATCTGGTGATCCAAGAGCTGGCGATCCACCTTGAAGTCCTTGGAATAAAGTTGTTATTGGTGCTAAGAAAGGATTATAAACAATCAATGATTAATAATCTCACACATATGGACACTATTAAAGCTGGCAAACATGTAACCACAAAAGTCCAACTTACTGGCTTGTACTGTTCCTAAAGTCAGACAAATAGCGGTGAAAGTGACAAATAGAGTTAAGAATTGGTTCATTTTGATTGGTTGGTTGGTTGGTTGACTATGATCAAAATATTTGTTGTCACAATAAATTCAACTGTTAACTCAAGCACAATTTGATACTGACTATGAGATGGTCAATGAAACTCCGTTTTATATGAACAGGATAATTTTATAAGCATTTCATGAGCTCATACTAATCATGCGAAATTTCACTTTTACAATCAGCTTTTGCATTTGAAGTTTATTAACATTAATCATTGTTAAATAAATCATTGCTGTTAACATATGTATGAATGTTAAAGATTATAGTTGTTCAATGTAGATGTTAATTACATTGTTTCCCCGTTTTCATTGACCATCAGGTAATCATTATGAAAGTAAGGATAATTAATGTGATTTTTATGCAGTTAAATGTCAGCCTTTTGCCATTTAATTTGCTCTCAATACTTTCGGATATTTATGAGATATAAGAATCTTTTTTGGATCATGAAATGCTGTACCTAAATGTGACCAATTTTCATCATTTAAAACATCGGCTTGATTTACAGATCGACTTTATTCATTTCAATCTTGCGTTTATTCGGTCCATAGGTTTCAGTGCTGTATTTAAAATCGATCAAAACATGTTAAAGCTAATCAATCTAATTACTATTTCAACCTTTCGGATTCCAATCATTTCAGCTTCCAATATCAAATTACAATTTACAGCAATAGTTGCTTAGGATTCGCTATCGATGATATTTATGATTTGATCACAACTCTAATGGTAATTGATTGGACTTAAAATTGCTCTTATGTGAAAAGCACTTGATTGCTTATGGTTAGCTCATCCAAACTTGATTTGAAATGACAATATTGATTGAGCTAAGAAATTATTAGCATCAATTGAATTTGGAGCGCATTAGCTAAGTTACTTGGTTACAGTAACCAATGCACACCTCTTTTGAAAAAAAACATCAGAACCTTTATTAAGGTTTTTAGTAGGAAAAATAGTCTTATTTGAAACCTACTTAATAATTGTGACTTGAAGTTGAGTTACATCTTAATCAACATCATTTGTATCATCTACAGATCCCCACTTAAAACTAACCATGGGAAGTCGATCTTCTCTGATGCTTCAAGATGAGGAAATTGCTATAATCCAAGAAGAAACTGGATGTAAGTATTTTTTCCAACCAAACTTACAATTTGTTATCATTTTTACAAATTTATTTGGAACTAAATTCACCTGTCACTGTTGAACTTTCATGGTTTTCCCTTTTCACCTTTGAACTATTCTTTCTAAATATCTTTTTGCCCCTTTCATTAATCATTACTCTTTTCTTTTTCATCTTATTTTTCTTTAAATTCCTGTTTTCCTCTATTACCTGATCTACTTATCACGTCATCTCATGCTTCATGTTAATTAACTTGATCAGTTACGCCAAATCAAATTGAAAGATTATACAGTAGATTTGCTTCACTGGATAAAGGTGACAATGGAACTTTGAGTCGTGATGATTTCTTACGGATTCCTGAACTCGCCATTAATCCACTTGGAGATCGTATAGTTCAGGCTTTTTTTGGTGATGAAGAAAGAATCAATTTTCGCCACTTTATGAGAGTTTTGTCAACCTTTAGGCCTGTTAAAAAGAACCGTGATAATAAGCTTAACAATCGAAGAGAAAAACTTCGATTTGCTTTCAAGTTATATGATTTAGATGAGAATGAAAAGATTACCCGTGAAGAGTTATTGGAAATTTTACACATGATGGTTGGAGCAAACATTTCAAATGAACAGTTAGCAAGTATTGCCGATCGTACCATCATGGAAGCGGATAAAGATGGTGATCAGTGCATATCATTCGAGGAATTTTGTAACATCTTGGAAAGAACTGATGTCGAAGAGAAGATGTCGATTCGTTTTCTTCATTGAAAAAGGCCTTTGAACACGTCCAATTACGGAAAAGGTTAACATAACGCGCAAAAACGGAACGTTACTATTGATATTAAAAGTGAGCTGGAGTTAAATGGTTAAATTTTACCTGGATGATACAAAATTAATTTTATAAATATACATAGGAAGATGAATTTATTGTTAAACTTTATTTCTGGAGACAATTTTGAAAGAAATAATTTTGTTTTTAATAAAATCATGAAATTTAAAGTTAACTAAAGCACAATGCAACCATTAGTGAAGGACCATTTGAATTTTGTTGTCAAATCTTAATTATAATCCAATGTTTCATCAGTGTAATAAATCACAATTTCAAGAAAAATGATCTCATTTACTTGAACATTCAAAGTTTTTAGTTTAATTGAGATTAAAGTTGTTGCAAATTAATTATTTTACAAATTTTACAATAAAAAGTTTATTATTTAAAGCAAACTGTACTCATTGTTAACGCATATAAAACGTAATTGAAGGTTATCAAGTCAAGTTAGCATTTAAATATTACTTAATTCAATAAATTATAACAAGTGAGGACTTTTGTTAGATTAATTTACCAATTTTTTCTCATAAAATTTCCTTTATTTAAAAGCTTAAAGGACATAAATTTCTCAACTTGATGTAGATTGTTGAGTTTTTATTAGTATTGAATCAACTCTTTCATGTAAAAATTTTTCAAGCTTATTAATGAATTGAATATGCTTCATTGATTTTTCACTATTTACTAAACTGTCAATCAGGGATATTTTTGCCTCTCTTAACATTTTCCCAACGGAAATCATGAAATCAATAGAGTTAATAATTCTCAATTGTATTTTTGTTTGTCATGGAAACAAGAAGAGATTACAATTGTGTCAAACGATTTGATTGAAATCAATGATAAAATAGACAAACACATGACAATATCAATTGCCTAAAAGTCTGTTTTAAATCAACTTGATTAGCATATTGCTAGTATTCAATCAGCACATTTTCATCCTTATCGAGGTTAACATTGCATCTTCTAAATCCAATTCAGCTTGACATGTAAAAGTTTGGTGAAAGTCTGACAAAAAAGACTGAATTTGCTGCATTAATGGGAACCAAGTAGAGACAAAACAATGTATCACTTTATAAGTATCTCCATCCGGTTTCATTAAATTGTCATGAGCATCATATCAATTGAATAAGCATCCGGTTTCATTGTAATAAACTGATTCTAATTAATCAACCATTTACTTCTTTCATCGATCCATTCAGTAAACAAAAATTAACCGCTAAATTAGCCAATAAAGTATCCAGAATTCACATGCCCAGAACGATATTTATTCACTGTGAAGAGAAAATAATTTGAGGGAAAAAAAGATTGGACTATAAGATGATGTAAGACTAGAGACCGGCAAAAATATACTTACCTAATGATTCAGGTTCTGGTTAAGTAGTCCTAGAAAGGAGCCGAAACTGGTCTAGTAATGTAGTAAATTTTACATTAACATTGTTTTCAAGTTGATTCAAGGCCAGTCAATTGGCATTGACAATTCCGAGAGAAAGAGTTGAGTTCCAAATGATGGGTAAGTAAAGAAGAGAACCAAGACAAATAATCACAACAGTCATTATCCATTGTCTATGAGTACAACAACAAAATTGTTATTTTCTTTGTCATTAGAACCATTCCAATGTTCTATTGTTTACTTCAAATTATAAAAGATGAAAAGACATGGAAGCTGAAAAACTTTTTTTCGTGGAACAGGTTTTAAAGTAATTTCGGGTTTCTCTACTTGATAAACCTGACAATTTATTCACTAGGCTTAACATTTATTTTTTCTACTAGATGGCACTGACTCTTTGGCATAAGCAAGTTGATAAGCAGAGTCTCACAATTTATTGGCTGAAACAAAGTTTTGACTTGAAATATAAGAAACATCACTCACTTGGGTTTCATCGTTAGTTAAACTATTTTCTTATTTTGTGCTTGATTAACTAAAGTCAATTCAAACTCTCAAAATGGTCATCGAACTGTACCAATTACCCTTCTCTGCTCCTTGCCGACAAGTAATGATGGTTGGTAAAATCCTCAACCTTCCTATTGAGACTAAACCTCTGGATCTGATGCAAGGCGAACACTTAAAACCCGAATTTCTGAAGGTATGTTGTCTGATTACTTTTGTTTTTCTCAATTTCGATCTTATATCAAGGTTAAATTTCGTTGGTATGTATGTTGAATCTTTAATATAGCCGATTTGTCTAGACTAGAGTGATCAATTAGCTCGCACATCAGTTGCTTTACGTTTCACTTTGTCAAGTAATTGATTCTGTTTTTCAATTCTGAGCCCTTTCAAATTTTCCAGATTAATTTTCACTTGCGATGGGTGCAATAATTGTCGTAATTACAGCTATTTTATTTTTTCTGCTGATCTCAAAGTTAACTAATCTAAATTGTTAAGGACAAGTGATCTCAGGTTTTATCTTATTAGCCTAGAATTTTCTAAATTTGTTCATTATACTCTAAACTTTATCAATGTGATATGAAATACGATAAGTTATTGGTCTCAATTTGTCTTATCAAAGCTAGTTACAAGATGATACACCCATATCGAAAGATATTTCATCTATGGCGAATACAAGTTTAATAGACTCATATAATAATTGTAATAAAATCAAAATAAACTATTGTTTCATGCAATAACGATATCTTGAGATCTTTCTTAATAGTATCAGTTATGCCATTCATGTATTGACTATTAAGTCAACAATTATTATTTCATAGATTTTTTTATTGACCACTTTGAAATTTACTTGAGATAAAATTGAAGGTAAAAAATGGCCATTTTTAAATTAACTGAATACGTTATTTGCTAAATGATCTTTTTATTATAAACAACAAAGAAATGTGTTTGATATACTAAAAAAATCAATAAGTTGATCCATAAAATTCAATAATAAATTTCATTATATTTTTTTCTTTTATAGATCAACCCTTTCCACTGTATCCCAACCTTGGTCGATGATGGATTTGCTTTGTGGGAAAGGTGAGATACTTAAGATAATAGATGATGATCTATCTGATAAACTATGTTAAGCAAATACAAGTACATGTCCTTTTTTGCTGGTAGCATAACAATGTAACCAATGGCTACAAATTTCGAGCAAAGTTAATCAAAAAGACATTCAGAATCTTGCAAAAATTAAATCTTCTCTGCACATTAAATGGTCTCTCGTTGAGCAATTTAGTGCTTTCAAGCTTGAATTGGCAAGATTTGAAAAAATGGCAAAAAATTTTGCCAAAGAAGAGGCCTTTGAGAGAAAAGCTGCTTTTAAGATTAAATTTTCAACGCAGTAAACTCGTGACTTGTTATTTTCATCAAACTGTTTCATGATTAATTTCAAAATTTTAATTACTTCTTTCTCTATCTTCCACTTTACAGTCGGGCAATCATGACTTATCTGGTTAACAAGTATGCACCTGAAAGCAGTCTTTATCCCAAAGACTTACAAGCTCGTGCAACTGTAGACCGATGGCTTTACTGGGATAATGGATCACTCTACGCCTCTCTTGGTGCCTATTATTTCCCCATTGTACGTCAAGGAGTCAAACCAGATCCAGCAGTTGCAACGCTTTTCATGGATAAAGTTAAGCTTCTTGATGAGGCCCTTGCAAAGACCAAGTACTTGTGTGGAGACACCATTACTTTGGCTGACCTTGCTGTTTTGACTAGCATAACAACTGCCAAAGGTGCGGACCTTGATCTCAGCGCATTTAAAAATGTTGACCGATGGTTGAAGGAACTGGAAACTAACTATGCTAGTTGGTGGAAAGAGTTGGTCACCGAGCCTGTTGAAGGATTCAGAGGTTTCCTTCGGGCCAGGCTTGGTTAAAACTCTGTTTACATTGCATCCTTAATTGTATTCGGGTCTGGAAATTATCATGCTCATAATTTTTAATCTAAAATTTGGTTTTTCTTATCAATAAAAAAGCAAGCAAAGAAATCATTTGATGTTTGAACTTTATCTTCTCAGCTTTGATCACCATTTACAATATTACCGCTAAATCAAGCAATTGAACAATAATGCAAGAAAGCTGATTATGTCATTTCAACTGATGGCTTAGTATCACTGTCAAAGTTGTTACCTATCAACATATCCACCTCCTTTATTAGCAATATCAATTCACTTGAAGATAAAAATAGCTGTCAATGGCAGGATCATTGGTGTCATAAAACATAGCACAGAAATTAAGATCTTATGCAGTGTAACTTCACTCAAATTGTAGATTATTAAAGCAGTCGATCATTAAAAAACAGTCTGAGTAATCTTATTCAATCGTTTTTGTATCTGTCTCCTTCATTTTAAACAACCTTGATTGAAGTGTCTCAGAACTCAATCGCCTTATCATGTCAAGTTTTTCAAGATTCTTAGATAAATATTCAAAATCCATCAGCATTACAAACTCTAAATCAAGGTTAAGGAAAAAATTTTGCAAAAATATATTCACATTAAATCATTGAAATATTAGGTCATTAGGTAAGTCTCGATGCTCTGTTATGTTTCCAATGTTAGATAAAAATGCCACCAAAGGTAACCACAGCCTATCATTACTTTAAGTTTCCTGAATTTGTTTTTCTTTTGGCCAAAATCTTATAAAAGGCCACAAATTTAATCGATTATCAGTTTTTTTTGTTTTCCCATAGACAAAGGGTTTTTTAATTTTTAATTCGAGGCCAACCAAACAGCATAAAATGGCTTGATTTTGATAACCTGTTTGATAAAAAACCTGCACAGAATCTGATGGAAAAAATTCTCCCTATTTAGCATCGGGACTTACCTAAACCCCTAATAATATATCAGATCATAATTTTAATGATAACTAAAGAGTCAATTTTTGTTGAGGTATGAGAAATGGACTCTGATTGTTTTAGTTGATTGTTGCAAATTAACACACAAAATGAATTTATAAATTGATTGGAAAACCAGTTAAAAATACAGAAAAAAATGAATGTTACAAATTGAATTTTTTAAGTTACATTGTATTTTAATGTTTGATTTCATTTTTTGGCGCTTCTTTTTTCATTACACTAAAAGCGCCTTCTGATTGTCTACTGGAGAAGTAAATTTCATGATATTTTCCTTCAGAGATATTCAACAATAAAAACTGATACTGACGTGAGATCATCTCATTTCTCTTATTACTTTACTCTTTGCTCTACATCGTACTGTTTAAGTACAAGTGTAACACCACTTGAGTTTCATTGTTAGTTAAACTACTTTCTTATTTTGTGCTTGATTAACTGAAGTCACTTTGAATCATAAAAATGGTCATCGAACTGTATCAATTACCTTACTCTGCTCCTTGCCTACAAGTAAGAATGGTTGGTAAAATCCTCAACATTCCCATTGAGACTAAACATCTTGATCTGGAGAAAGGTGAACACTTAAAACCCGAATTTCTGAAGGTATGTTGTTTCAATTATTAATAGATCATTTTCAGGTTTTCATTTGTATTTTTAAACTTTTATATGGCCGAGTCATCTAGATTAGAGTGATCAATTTGCTTTACGTTTGAATTCGTCAAGCAATAAACTGCTTTTCAATTCTGAATTCTTTCGAACTTTCCAGATTAATATTGACTTACGATAGATACTGTATAATATAATAGTTTTCCTAATCATAGCATTTTAATTCTCCCAGTTGATCTTAAAAGTTAACTACAGTAACCTACTAGATGATGACAGTAAATTATACAATCGCCCGTTAACCCGTCCACATGTTAAATTATGAAAGTTTTGACTAAATTTTTTTAAGCTTTTCTGAGGACTGAAAACTAAGGATTGTAACAATTTATTTCATTATTTATTAATATATGGATTTTGTTAGTTATTTCACTTTTATTTGCATTATTTTCTGTGTACATAAGCTACTGTTTCTGTATTCAGTTAATGTACTCTAAATTGTATTACTAAAGAGTAATAGCGTTACTGGGTGGGTTAAAGTTCATATTGACTTATGACTTTCGGGTGGTTAGATGTGTTTGAGTGTTAACTCTCTGAATCTTTAACCTTTACCAACATTGTCCTCACCACGTACGCGTAAACTTTGACTTTTCTTCGACTTAAACTTTATCAATAATGTAATATGAAGTCGTCTTACTAAAGCTAGTCAGTATCATTAGATAGATATCGTTAGATAATTACATGATGAAACATTCGAAAGCTTATTTCATTGAGAGCAACCACACGTTTAATAGACTGAATGTATAAGGTAAACCAGAAAATACCAAACGTTTAAAAGGGTTTTACTCTAATACAAATAATCAATACTTGCTCTTCACCACTTCGAAACTGAATTGACATAAAATAGGAATTAAAAAGATTGGCCATTTTTCAATTTACTGAATACCGATATTCGCTAAATGGCCTTTCTATTTATAGTGAATTTAAACAACCGAAGAAATGTATTTTGATGAAAAAATCAATGAATTCATTAATAAAATGCAATATTTTCTTTTACTTTTAGATCAACCCTTTCCACTGTATTCCGACCATGGTTGATGATGGATTTGCTTTATGGGAAAGGTGAGATACTTAAGGAAATAGATGATAACCTATCTGGCAAGCTACGGATAAGATAAGTTCAGGGAAAAATTAAGTAAGAAGAATTAAGCTGGTTACATTGTGTTAGGTACAATTTTGAGCAAAGCTAATCGAAGAGACATTCAGGACCTAAAAAAATTGAACCTCAACTTTCTCTACACAATATTTGAATGGTGTTGAGTAAATTAAGGTTTTCCAGCTTGAATAGGTAAAATATTAAAAATTATCTAAAAGCATTTTTTGCCAAAGAAGAGGTCGGTTCTGCGATTGGATTTTCAAGATGGTGATGAGCTATTTTCATGAATTTTAATTACTTCTTTCTCTATCTTTCTCTGTACAGTCGGGCAATCATGACTTATTTGGTTAACAAGTATGCACCTGAAAGCAGTCTTTATCCCAAAGACGCGAAAGCTCGTGCAACTGTCGAACGATGGCTTTACTGGGACACTGGTTCACTCTACGCGACTCTTTTCTCGTACTATATAGTTATTATCGAAGGAGGTAAACCAGATCCAGCAGTTGCTACACTTTTCATGGATAAAGTTAAGCTTCTTGATGAGGCCCTTGCAAAGACCAAGTACTTGTGCGGAGACAACATTACTTTGGCTGACCTCTCTGTTTTGTGTAGCATAAGCGCTGCTAAAGGTGCAGACTTTGATCTTAGTGCATACAAAAATATTGAACGTTGGTTGAAGACACTGGAAACTAACTCTGCTAGTTGGTGGAAAGAGTTGGTCACTGACCCTATCAAAGATTTCCGAGAATTCCTTCGAAATTGTTCTCGTTAAAACTTCTGGTTACGTTGCATCCTCAATCGTGCCCTGCTCTGGCATCATAACGATTTTTACTAAACTAGTTTACTTATGAAATAAAAAGCAAAGAAATAATAAAATACTATAAAAATATAAACAAAATTTACAACTAAATGTATTTGTCCAGCTTTAAACAGTGTCTAGTAGATTAACACTAAATGAAGATGTTGAACAATGAAAGTTGAAGTTTTGGTTGATTGTTTAAACTTAAATTGAACTGAATAGGGAAGGGAATCATCCTGATTAGTATGATGACGTGAAGTCCGAAATTTACGCGTTATGAGTTCGTATTTGATGGACTTTTAGGAAAATAAAAATTAACTTCATCTGTTATACGCATTTCATCATTTATTATGCATTATCATTTCAGTTAGATTTTTTATTCATCCAAGAATCACATTTTATTTTTGATTGATGTAAACATCTCTAAGATTTCCGTGATTTCCTTTTTACAGTCGAGTTGAAGGCGGTATACACGCCAGAAAACGCGCACCTAATAAAAGTCTCAGATTTAATGCAAATTTTGCGTTGATAAAATTCGATGGGCGCTAAGCGCTCGTTTTAAATTTCTAGAAACAAAAAAATCCTCAGGACTAGATTCGAACCCTTTATCACTCATTTTAATTTAACCTATCACTTTAACCACTGAGCTCGATGATTATTTACTTCACTCTTCGATATGTACATTTAATCCCAGATAATGAGATTAATTGAAAATGAAATGCCACTTGGGTTTCATTGTTAGTGCAATTATTTTGTACTTGACTAATTGAAGTCAAATTTTGTGATTAAGGAAAGACAATTTATCTTGTTAACTCCTTTATCTGTGCGTTTTTAGATGTTACTTTCCTCTTTGCTCTACATCGTACTGTATTAGAAACATCACTCACTTGAGTTTCATTGTTATTAACTAATATTTGACTATTAATACTTTCTTATTTTGTGCTTGATTAACTGAAGTCACTTCGAATCATAAAAATGGTCATCGAACTGTATCAATTACCTTACTCTGCTCCTTGTCTACAAGTAAGAATGGTTGGTAAAATCCTCAACATTCCCATTGAGACTAAACATCTTGATCTGGAGAAAGGCGAACACTTAAAACCCGAATATCTAAAGTCTATCGAATATCTATGTTGTTTCAATTTAGATCTTAAGGTTAAATTTCATTGGTATAAATTTTAAACCTTTGATATGGCCAAGTCATCTAAATTAGAGTGATCAATTTACTACAATTTACAATAGACATAATAGTTTTTTTAATCATAGCATTTTAATTCTTCCAGTAGACCTCAAAAGTTAACTACAGTAACCTAAATATAATAATACAATACTTTAGATGATGACAGTAAATTATACAATTTCCCGTTAACTCCTCTGTTTAGATGTCAATTTATGAAAGTTTTGATTGAAGTCCAAAATTTACGCGTTATGAGTTAGTATTTGATGGACTTTTAGGAAAATATAAATTAACTCCATCTGTTATACGCATTTCATCATTTATCATTCATTATCATTTCAGTTAAATTTTCATTCATCAATAAATCAGATTTTTTATTCATCTAAAAATATATTTTATCTTTGATTGATGTAAACTTCTCTAAGATTTCAGTGATCTCCTTTAACTGCTGTGATCTAATAAAATTACTCAACATTGAGAGATTATGAAAATTGCGTTCAATTGTACTTAACCAGAAATGCATATGTACAGTTAGATTCCAGATAATGAGATAAATTTATCAACGATGGATACCTAATCAAGGTGGAGTTTATTTATTTGAATTTCATCAAATTTCATTTTGATTTCGTTGATTATCAACTAACTTTGATTTTCCTTCGTAAAATATCAATCAGAAAACTCACAAAATCGTCTTAAATTAACATTTAGATTTAGATTAGATTTGGTCTATTAAGGAAGATTGAAAAATGTTATGCCAATGAATAGTGAAATTAAGCTATTATTCAGCATTCTCATTATCTGGGATCTCACATGTTGACGCAAAACTACTATCATCTTTTTATAAATAAACTAGGATTGCTCTACATCGTCCTGAATAAAAACCGTCACTTGAGTTTCATTGTTAGTTAAATTATTTTCTTATTTTTTGCTTGATTAACTTGAGTCAATCTGAGTTATCATAATGGTCATCGAATTGTACCAAATACCCTTCTCTGCTCCTTGCCGACAAGTAAGAATGGTTGGTAAAATCCTTAACATTCCTATTGAGACTAAACCTCTTGATCTGATGAAAGGCGAACACTTAAAACCCGAATTTCTGAAGGTATGTTGTTTCAATTTAAATCTCATAATCAGGTTAATTTTGTTTAAATCTTTGTAATCATCGATTTGTCTAGAATGGAAGTGAAAAATTACCTGGCCCACTTGTTGCTTTACTAGTTGACTTTGGCAAGCGAGTGATTGTGTTTTTCATTTCTCAATTCTGAATCCTTTCATATTTTTAAACAAATATTGACTTACGATAGTAATAGTCTTCTTAACCATCATAATCATGATATTACATTCATATCGAAAGCTATTTCATTGACAGCTACACCTTTAATAGACTAATAAATAATGTATCAGGAAAACCAGCAAACCAGTAATTAAGTAGTTTATTACAAACGATCAAATGATATGGTTTTTATTCAATTACCGCTATTTTACTCTAATTATTAAATAATACTACCTTTCGAAATTGAATTGACAGTACCGTGAAACTAAAAGTGAAATAAAGTATGTCGTAGGTGCCTTGTTGAAGCGAGACTGAGCGCTAACATAGAACCAACATCTATGAGAGAAGACCAACCGAAAAGACGATTCTGTTTAGGTTGCGGAATTTTCGATCCCTTTAATATTTCTAGTTTTTTATAAAATAAAAGAAATTTCTTCTACGAAAAAAAAACGATGAATTCATTAATAAAGTGCAATATTTTCTTTTTCTTTTAGATCAACCCTTTCCACTGTATTCCAACATTGGTTGATGATGGATTTGCTTTATGGGAAAGGTGAGATACTATAGATAATAGATGATGTACTATTTGATGAACTGGGTTCAGGGAATACAGCTAAATGTCCTGTTCGCATTGTAATGTGCCCAATGGATACGCATTTAAGGCAAAGTTAATCAAAAAGACATTCAGAATCGAAAAAAATGAATCATAAATTTCTCTACACATTCGAATGGTTCTTCGTTGACCAAATTAAGGCTTTCCAGCTTGAATTGGTGAAATATGAAAAAAATGATTAAAATTATTTTTCACCAAAGAAGAGAGCGGTTTTAAGATTGAATTTTCAAGATAGTGCTTGGCTATTTTCATGAATTTAATTACTTCTTTCTCCATCTTTCTCTGTACAGTCGGGCAATCATGACTTATTTGGTTAACAAGTATGCACCTGAAAGCAGTCTTTATCCCAAAGACGTGAAAGCTCGTGCAACTGTCGAACGATGGCTTTACTGGGATAATGGTTCACTCTATCCTCCTCTTGTTGCCTACTATTCCCCTATTGTACGTTACCGAGTCAAACCAGATCCAGCAGTTGCAACACTTTTCATGGATAAAGTTAAGTTTCTTGATGAGGCCCTTGCAAAGACCAAGTACTTGTGCGGAGACACCATTACATTGGCCGACCTTTCTGTTTTGTGTACAATTACAGCTGCTAAAGCTATTTACCTTGATCTCAGTGCATTTAAAAGTGTTGACCGTTGGTTGAAGGAGCTGGAATCTAACTATGCTAGTTGGTGGAAAGAGTTGGTCACCGGCCCTGAGGAAGGATTCAGAAGTTTCCTTCGAGATTATCTTCCTTAAAACTTTGCATTGTATTATTAATAGCACTCGGGCTGGCAATCATCATAACGATTCTTTATCAATTCAAAATTTGTTTCACTAACTTATATTGATTAAATCATTTATGGACTACAATATATTGAAAGATTAAATCATTCAAGATCCTACAAGATCATGATGATGAAAAGATATTATAATACATCAGCTCTACGAGTTTTATGAGAAAATCTAGATTTCATCGAAAACAGCTCACCAGAGAAATCTTTAAATCGTACAAACGGACTCAGTTTTTATGCCTCGTAGATAAACAGAGTCTAAATTTGAACGAAATTGATTTTTACCCATTTTTGCCCATTTGTGCCAATTTATGTTTAGTTATGTTTCATCATTTATTGTTTCATTTTGATTTCAGTTATATTTTCCTATTTATCTAAAAATATATTTCATTTAAGAATTACATTTTATCTTTGATTGATATAAACTTCTCCAGAATTTCTATGACTTTCTGTGTCTGATAAAATTACTCAGTTGCAAGTGATTATGAAAATCGTAGCGTTCAAGCGTACTTAATCCAGAAAGCTTGATAATTATTTACTTCACTCTTTGCTGTGTATGACGATAAGGAGCTCACCCATAACTATTTATTTTGTGCTTGATCAACTGAGGTCAATTTAAATTATCAAAATGGTCATCGAACTGTAACAATCTGTATCATTTCGGGCAACAGTCGATCGATGGCTTTACTTGGACACTGGTTCACTCTACGCAACCCTTTTCTCGTACTATTTTCATATTATCCAATTATCAAACCAGATCCAGCAATCGCTACTCTTTTTATGAATAAAGTTAAGATTCTTAATTAGTCGCTCGCAAAGTACTTGTGCAGAGACACAGTTATTTCCGGATGGCCTAATACTTTGGCTGACCTTGCTGTTACGGCTACCATAACAACTGCTAAGGTGCATATCTTGGTGTCAATCTCCTTAATCCTTAAGGATGGGGAATTATAGCAATGGAATGATTTATCTGAGAATTATATTTTATCTTTGATTGGTGTAAATTTATCCAGATTTCTGTGATTTTCTTTGACTGCTGTGATCTGATAAAAATTGTGAGTGATTATGGAAATCGTAGCGTTCAATTGTACTTAACCCAGAAAGCTTGATAAATATAACTTCACTCTTCTCTCTGTATCATGATTAGCTGTTAACCCATAACTACTATCATCTTTTATGAATAAACAAGGTTAGCTCTACATCGTACTGAATAAGAATATCAATTGAGTTTCATTTACAGTTAAAATACTTTGTGCTTGATCAACTGAAGTCAATTTCAATCATCAAAATGGTCCTCGAACTGTACCAATTACCCCTCTCTTCTCCTTGTCGACAAGTTTTGATGGTTGGTAAAATCCTTAACCTTCCTTTTGAGATTAAAACGGTCCATCTGATGGAAGGCGAACACTTGAAACCCGAATTTCTGAAGGTATGTTATTATATTTGTTTTATTATGTTATAATGCAGATTTGTATTTTAGATTCTGTATTCTGTTTAATAATTTAGATCTCATAATCATGTTAATTTTGTTATTATACATTTATCATAAATGTTTTAATGTAATCATCGATTAGGCTAGAAGGGAAGTGAAAAATTAGCTTGCACATTAGTTGCTTTACGTTAGACGTTGTCAAGCAATTGATTGTGTTTTTCAATTTCATGAATCCTTTCAAATTTTCAAATTAATATTGACTTACAATAGAGATAATAGTTTTCTTAATCATCATAATCATGATGATACATTCATATCGAAAGGTATTTCATTGACAGCTCACCTACACCTTTAATAGACTAACCTGTTCGGAAAAAAGATTGGACGACAACTTTGCGAGGCTGTAAATGAGCTAATATGCAGACAAAATATAAAATTTTTAGATAAGTTCATCTGTCAAACATTCGCGTTTACAATTCATGACATTTTACCGTTTTACTCAGAATAGGTCTCTTTTGAGACAAAATTTTTCATTTGACGGCAGAAATATCGTTTATCAAATAGTTTAGACCTATTTTTGGCCTTTCCAATTCGCCCATTTTGATCATTAACCTGTGAATGGCCATATTCACTTATTGCTACTTTAAACATCATTTTCTTTCCAAATTTCGGTTTTTCACGAAACCTGGCCGCATCAGGTACATTTTCAATGCGCTCAGTGATGCAAAGAAATGTAAAATGAAAAAATCATTTTCTTGACATGCGCTGCTCCATGTTCGATAACTAACTGAATCTTCTGTCAAGAAATTTCAAATTTTCACCAGACATTTTTCATACTCTTATTTACAAATCTACAAAAAACTGTTGAAATATTCTCAATATTTTAACGGCTACTTCGATTTGCCACATCAAAGTTAACGTCCAATAGTAGTATACTACTTCCAATCTTTTCTCCGAACAGGTTAATATGATCACTGACATAGGTCCAACATCTATGAGAAAAAGACCAACCGAAAGACGAATCTGTTTAGGTCGCGTAATTTTCTAATATTTCTAGCCTCTTAGAAAATAAAAGAAATTTCTTTCGAGGCAAAAATTTATGAATTTAACTTATTCACAATTATTTACCAATTTCAAAAATATTTTCTTTTCTTTTTAGATGAACCCTTTCCATTGTATCCCAACCTTGGTCGATAATGGATTTGCTTTGTGGGAAAGGTGAGATACTTGAGATAGTATACGTTGACCTATCTGATAAACTATGTTCAGTCAACACAACTAAATGTCCTTTTTATGCTAGTCACATTGTGATGTGACCAATGGCTACAAATTTTGAGCAAAGTTACTCAAAAAGACATTCAGAATCAATCAAAAATTGAATCTTAAACTTTGTCTACACATTTGAATGGGAATTTGAATGAGATGATGAACTAACATAAGTTCAGGGAATACAATTAGATATCAGTAGAAGAGGTCGACTTTAAGATTGAATTTTCAAGATAGTGCTGGGCTATTTCATGAATTGGTAACAGTTTCGTTTTACGGACAAAGGCGTGAACATTAAAAATCATCCAATGGTAGACGTCTTTTAAAGGCGCTCTTTATGAACAATTGAATTAAATGAAGCTAATTAAGGCCCCAGGCCGATCTAAGCCCACCCTAACCTTACCAAACCTAACCTAACCTAACCTAACCTAACCTAACCTAACCTAACCTGACCGACCAACCAACAGCCCCTTGATCTAACTTACCTAACCAAAAAATCATGTTTTAATGTGCACGCCTTTGTCCGTAAAACGAAACTGTTACCCATGAATTTAATTACTTCTTTCTCTATCTTTCTCTGTACAGTCGGGCAATCATGACTTATTTGGTTAACAAGTATGCACCAGAAAGTAGTCTTTATCCCAAAGATGTGAAAGCTCGTGCAACTGTAGATCGATGGCTTTACTGGGACGCTGGTTCACTCTACGCGAGCATTTTTTCGTACTATTGTCCTATTGTATGGCAGAAAGCCAAACCAGATCCAGCAAATATAGCACCTTGCATGGATAAAATTAAGCTTCTTGATGAGGCCCTTGCAAAGACCAAGTTCTTGTGTGGAGACACCATTACTTTGGCTGACCTTTCTTGTTTGGCTACCATAACGACTGCTAAAGCTGTAGACCTTGATATCAGCGCATTTAAAAACGTTGACCGTTGGTTGAAGGAACTGAAATCGAACTATGCTAGTTGGTGGAAAGAGTTGGTCATCGACTATGATAAAAATTTCAGAGATTTCCTTCGAGATTGTCTTGCTTAAAACTCTGTTTGCATTGCATCCTTAATCACACCCGAGTCTGGCAATCATCAGGACGATTCTTAAACAATATGAAATTTAGTTTGATTATGAATAAATAATAAATTTAACTTCGAATTGTATCTTCGCAGCTTTGTACAGTGTCTAATATTCATAGATTAACACTAAATGAAGAAGTTGAACAATGAGTTAAGGAAGCTGATTAGGCCTGTATATGCTCACTGAACTTCAATTGATGTATCTTTTGTGAAATTTTGGATAGAAGCATATGTTTCAAGCATTTCTTCAATCATTTGTTGCATTTGTTCAAGTGTTAGTGATTTTTTAGCCTTTTAATTATACTGTGGAAAGACGCGATAAAATTTCTATGATAAGCATTACGAACCGAACTAGACTGGACACTACCTCACAGATCTTCAGATACACAGTTTGATAAAAGCGTCTCTCCTGATGAAGTCTGGTCGATTCGATAAAAATTTAGTCTACATGAATTTACATAACCTAATATAATCTAGCATATTTAATACGTCCCTTGCAATTAAAAACAGTTTGATGATTTTGTTGGAAACATTTTTTAATTTGTTGTAAATAATAACATTTGAATATCAAAGGGTTAACTACCCATTGACAATCAGATGAGAGAAAGTTTAAGTCATCAATTAATATAATTGTATGGATGGCACAATAGAGCAATATATAGAAAGATTCAAACAAATGGGGAAAAATGGATTATTGGGTTAAATTTGGGTTGTTTTCGGGTTAATTTTTTGGGTTTTCCTTTCAACTATTACACTATTTTTAATAAATATAATTGTAACTGATTAATGAACAAAATGGCTATTGTGATCAAACATTGACTCATTGGAATCTATTGAAAACAGTTTAACCAAATAAGAGGAAAATATCAACAAAAAGTAAACCAAAAAATTTGTTAAATGATGATTTTCTAATAAAACAAAGGAAGCAAACAAAGTTTACCTTCACTGTATAATAATAAATATATCATCATAAATATACATAATAATGTAATAGTTTCAACAATCGTCATAATTAACACGTTAATCATGATCAATGGACATAAACAAGGGAACCAAAAAAAAAGGAAGGTTCAACATAAAAATGGTTGAATGAAAGTGACGAGAGATTTTTGAAAGATGACTTTTTTGCCTGATTTTACGTCTGATATTGAAGAGATGATAAAGTCGATGAAGATGATAACGGCGGTGGTTGTGGCGGTGGTGAAAGTTGAAAACATTGGTGATGATTATAATCATGTACTGATTCAAATCCAGATTAATCTGGTACAAAGTTTCATTGACTGTAAGCAGAAACAAAACAAAACGAGAAAAAAATAAATAAAATGGTTTTCCTTTTTTAAAATTGATTTGCTTTTGACTTGGGATCTAATTGAAAGGTAAAACATTTTGTATTCTTGTAAAACAATTGATAATAATTGAGCCTAATTGATTATTTATACATATATATATATATTGATAAAGTAAATTTAATTTGTAAAATTCAAACGTCAATCTGTATGATTTGTTGATTGTTAACCCGACTTTCTAGCCATGCCTTGTTTTTGCTTTGGTTGGTTAGTTGCGTTTAGCTCGTAATGTGTTGCTTTGTATCCATGTATGTGTGTGTGTGTTTTACAAATGGTTAAGGCCACTAGAGAGTCAAAGGCTTGTTGTTGATGGTTGTAAAATAATGTAATATCAGCTGTATCATCTTTGAGTAAATCATGTTAATCATCAGCATCGGAAGCACCTACGTTTGTTTGACAAATTTGGTTATATTTTTGATTCTCGTGAAAACCATTCAATCGCAAATTTATGTATAAATGTATAATTAAAGTCTTCGTATCCATCTAGTCATCAATACCTGCTCTCTAAGGGTTTATTTATAATATAATAATCTTAATTTGCGTGTAATGTGTAATTAACAAGGGTTCATGTGTGTGAGTTTGGTGTGTGTGTGTGTGTGTGTTGTCTGGTCAAGACATACAATTTAAAATGAACTTTGCAAACCTTTGCAAAGTAAATTGTTAACTTTTTTTCCAATTTGCTTTTTTTTTGTAAATGTTTCCAATTGTTAAATCATTATTAATCACTGTTGATGGTCACCATCTACTGACTCAAACTAAAAAAAGAGTTGTCCAAATGAACATTGCGACTTTGCGAGTTCATCTGGGAATAAAAGTTGAATGTACTTTTGTGATTCTCGTCTTTTGAATTTTCATCCTTTCCTTGCTTTTGCTTTACCATGTATCCATATATTCATTGGCTTTTTGATTACAGATGAAAAGTTATGGTTTAAAATAAGAAATATAACTCTTTGCTTTCGCTGATTGGTTTTGATTATTTGTTATAGACAAAAGATCAAATAAAGTTCAACTGCCCAGAAGAAAAGTTATTGGCAAACTTGGCTTGCAATATAAATGATTTTCATCTCTAATCAACTCCTTTCATTTTACAATGTTCAATCGACGCTTCATTATACTGATTCCATTAGCACCATCAACTGGTCTCGATAATGATAACTCAAGATTTAGATCTTCATCTTTAGTCAGCTTCCAAGTCAGGCTTTCTTAGTAATTTGAATTTGCATAACTTTCCATCTTCAAGTTAACCAGTTTGTTGTTCACTGAAAACGGTAAAAAACATTTCTTTTGAGTTTTGCTTTTACAGCTTTTGCCTGTGTTGCTGTTGATTGACTGAGACTGTCTTTGGAACCAGAAAACCAGAATCCGAAAATAAAATGAAGACACTTTTGGAGTTCATTTCCAGTGTTTTTGTCACTCCAAGTCAATCCAGATTTGATTCCTTGATATGCTTTGATAGAGCATCTTTATCAAGAGATAGTTCATCATCAAAAATCACAAAAAAACTATCATCCAAACATGAGTTGATCTTGAGAGTATAATTGTTTCAATGGCGTCTCCTGGATTCTGTTATATTTTATCATTAATCGATTTTTGCTGGAAGAGGTTGAAAGAGATGAAATAGGAAGATAGAAAGAGAGTGAAGAGGTGAAGAGAGATTTGCTTTTCTTTCAAATTTACACATAAAGCTTAATAAAAAATGGTTCAACTAGAATTGCCGTAAATTATCACCATTAAAACAATCAATTTATATTACAAGGATATTTATGGCTAAATAATAGACACTGATTATTTAATCCTTTTGCTGAGTCTTGATGTCTCCAGAAGATGTCTTTGGATCTTTTGTTTTCACAGCATCTAAATACTTCCATTCACATTTGATTAGACACAATCAGGTATTGTCTAAGAATATGTTGTGAAGAGATAATTGAGTCGAATAACAAACGAACGAATTTGATGAATGAAGCGAGGGGGAAAATGTGAGCGTAAAAAAACACTCAATCTTGTGCTTTTTTGGTTGTTAATAAAATTGATTCGGTTGAAAATGGTGGCGATTTGATTTGTAACTTCACAATTTGCTTATTTGTCAAAATCAAATTGATAGTAACCATTTGATTTCATTTGCGTCAATTAATAAAAACAAGGTAAAGATTGAATCTATCAGGAAAAGAAAACTTCTCAGGTTCAATCAATTTTAACCATCAAATCCTGGAATGGAAACAGAGAATCACAGAAAAAAAGATTTCAAGAAACTTTTCATAGAAACTTGAAAAAAAGTCAGAGAAGCACAAAAAGTACGGTAATCCAATTGTGATTCTCATTCTGATTTAATCATTTATTTTCTATTTAAATTCTCAGGAGTCTTTGAAATTTCTCCTTTGACTAAGTCCATTGAAAAAAAAGAGTTTAAACCAACATCAGCTACAAGAGGATCTGTGGTTGCTTGCAAAGTTGTATCCTCGCTTTAAAAGAGTAAATTGTGATTAAATTAGCTTCCATTTTTATCATTTGGAAATCGAGTAATGCATGTTACAGGTTCATTGATTTTCCTCTTCCACTTCATCATCTCTTTTTGATGATAATGGCGGTGGTTGATGATTGAAGTGATGATCACGGAGCTGAGTGAAATGGTGGCAAAAAATGAGCCAGTTGAACTGATTATTTTTATACAAATTTGTTGTCAAAATTGGAATTTTTCGCTTGATTGGCAATATATTGACCATTATTTGGGTGAATTAATTGAACAATGATCAAAGATTGATGATGATAATGACAGTGGCGGCGACGATAATGGATTAATGACTGATGAAAATGGTTCATGATGATGATGTTGATGGTGGCGACGAAGGATCATTTAAAATAGAAAAGGTTGTCAATATGAATTTTGATTGATGATTCTTTAGATGCAAATTGCTTGAGTTTTTATAAAAAAAATTTCAATTTTCAATTGAGAAGGACTAATTGTTTGTGTTTCTTTGTTTCTTTGGTTTTTGCGTTCTCGTCTTTTTCTCGATACGAGACTTTTGAGATTTGGCCACTTTCAGTTTTGGGCATTTTGTAGTTATGAAAGTATAACAACGTTAATAACAACAGTACAGCTTGTTATTTTTCAATTTCAATTTGTTACGATGTTCAGTTGGCATTCCTACTCATCTGGACGCTCACTGATGGACGATTTTTCACCTAAAGCTACAGATGATCTTTCACCGGAGGATTTTTCCGATGCAGATAGGGCAGGTTCAGTGTTACGACGTTTCATCTTTGTTTTACGAAGCATAGTTGCCTATTGATAAAATAAAATGAATAATGATGATAAAAATTAGATAACATTTAAGGTTAATTCAGTGAAGGTTAGGCTGATTAGCTTACTTTGAGGGCTGATTTAAGAACCACAACCTCTCCAGGAGCTTGAATCCAGGGTTCACCGTCAACCTGGACTGGCATTTCAGTGTTAATTCTAATTTTAATCTGTGAGTAAAAACGTGAAGAAATATAAATATTAATAACAAATATAAATACAGATGTAGATACTCAGAGTCATGATTGATTATGATTGCTCATTATTAGTCTTCCGCTCTACTATTCAATACAAAGGCTGTTGCTTTTAGCAAAATTCAATTAACTGATATTGAAAATTAAACAACCCAAGCTTATCATAAATGACTCTGATGTAAACATTTCAAAATATTAGGTTGATCAGAGCAAACCGATGGAAATTTAATTGCGAATATTTTCTTCTAGAAATTTCTTAGCTCCCTGTAATTTCAGAAAATTATGAACAGATACCACAAAAATCATCTTGCATAATTGCAGCCCGATAGTAATATTAATTAAACAGTTATTAACAATTTAATGCAAAAAATCAAGAATCGTAGATTTCACTTCTTTGATTGACTCTCTAAATTCAACCTTAAATGATAGCATCATGAAATCAACGCAAATTATTCTTTCTGTATTCCTTCTATGGATAGCATACTAATCTCCTTGCAAAAATCAATCAATTTCATGTAATTATCGAAAAACGTCGAAAAATTGAAAAAAAGTGCCGAGCAAATCAAAGGGTCCCCCCTTTAATTTTTCACAATTTTTGTCACTTTGACAAAAGACCTTTTTTGATTTAAATTGTTCTAATTTCTTAATTAAAGTTTGCATTTTCATAAAATTAATTGTGAAATAATTCTAACTAATTTATCTATCATTTTGAGCACATTTTATGAAAAATAGTTTAATTAATTTGAAACAATTAATATTCAAAGTTCCCTCAGTTTGCTCTGATCAACCTAATATATTGAATAAATAGTCGTAATAAATACTAACATGTCCACCCTGGGCTATTCGAATTGCATTTCGAAGGCCACTCTGTATTTGACCCATATGTACAACTCCGGTGACACCAACAATTTCAAGCATCCCATCATAATGTGTAGGCTTTGAGAATTGATCATCTTTCTCTTGACCCCACGGATTGGCACCAGATCCCCAACTATGAAAAAATAAAAATGAGATCAGTATTAATATAATTTGATAGACACATTTGAATATGATGAAGGCAGCAAATGATTATTTACCTTAGAATGTTAAGAATTATTATTCCTTCTACTGGAGGTAAATTGATTAATTTGCCATCAACTTCAACCCTGATTTCTTTATGTAGCTCTTTCCACGTCTTTTTTGTTATCATTTTTCTTAAACCCATTTTTACATAAACACCCTTGTTGTGGATTCTGATTAGGAAAAAAGAGTCAAATTAGATTTCATTTAATTGAATATCCAAGCATTTAGATGGCTACGAGAATGGCATGAACATTTACCTGCTATTAAATTTATCTGGATTTTCTTCTCTAGCATTATGAAAACCTAAACACAGATCAGCATCGATACCAATACCGAAATAATTGTTCATCACATAAATTGCAGCATTATCCTCTGAGGTTCCCGTAGGATTTGAAGGTAAACCCGGTAAACTAGGGGCAGGTTCATCCGTATGAAAGACCACTGTCCATCGATCTAACCTAATCTCTTCTGCTTCGATTACATCTTTAAGTAATGTCATAGGATCTTCAGCACCCGTATAACCAGATCCCCATCTTAAAACTCGAGCTAAATCATTACCAGTGCCTAAAGGGACAATAGCACATGGCGGTGACTGGCAAATTGAGTCTTGGCCAACATTGTCTAAACACTGTAAAACCCATCCAACAGTCCCGTCTCCACCACAAACCAGAATCTTATAATCTTTAACACATCGAAATACATATAACCTAGAATAAAAAAGAACGAAATCATAATTATTATTATAATATTATCCAACTAAAACCATGAGAGAAAATCTCCTTAATGAAGCGAAATGAAATTAGACAATTACCCTGGAAGTGGTCCTCCATTCTCTAAATCATAAACTTGATAAGGATTTAACAGTTTACGGAAGGCAGAAATTAATTCTAATCCTTGGCATCCACCACTTTTAACATTAACAAATACTAATAAAGGCTATAGATGAGCATAGAAAGGTGAAAACAATTAGTAAATGCAACAAAAACACAAAGGTTAATCAACATACTCGAACCCCTGTTGGAACCATGTCAGCAACAATGTTTGGTAATAAAAGGACGAGTAAGTTTTTATCATCATAAGAGGCTTCCCTCAACATGTAAAAAGCTTTAACCGCAATATCTGCATTATCATATGTTATTATGAGCGATCCATATTCATAATAGATTGGACCAATTTTGCGGTGTTTATAAGCTAGAATAGTGATAAGAAAAAGAGAAACAATTAGAAGAAAATTAGACAACAATTTGAGGCCAAAATTTGAATATTACTTACGTTTTGTTAAAATATGAATAAGAATCTTTTCATATTGACGTTCGGATAAATTTGGTGGTAAATTGCCAACAAATATTGCTACATTGGAACAGTAAACTTCATCATTGGTTTGCAAATAGAATCGAGTATTTTCTTTTTGACGAACAGATTCCTGAAAAATAATGAAAACCAGAAAATAAACAGATAATTAGAAATGTCGATAAATATCTAGCGAAAAGTATCTTACCCTTGCTACATTCTTAATTATCTCCCATGGACTTTCTTGGTTATCCATGGTCCTTTCATGGACAGCTAGATTGCAACAAAAAACAGACATTTAAATGTGTGATTTAATCAGTTGAAGTGACAATAGTTGACTCAACAATTAAACTTACCTCCTTTCTCCAAGGAAACCTCTACAAGGCGGTATCTGTTAATGTCTTTGGGATCGAGACCAAATCTCTCTAATGATGATTTAATTACCTCCTCAACCGTATTATCATCAGTTACTGGTATCACACAATAAGTATCGTTGACGCAAACACTGTTTAAATAAATTAAATTAATGATTATATTTTTCAAAAGGATTGTTGAAAAAGATTGAAATGACCAAAAGAGTTCATTCAAATAACACATTCTGTTGCCATTATTATTATGCATTAAAAAGTATCGTGAGTTTGGTGACAGAAATTACATGATTATGATTATGAGCGATTCAACAATCACTAAAATCATAGTAATATCTGATCCATCAGTCCAATCAATGTGAAAATGAAATTGTTGAAAGTTCAGTTGAATGTTTAATTTTGCAAATAAAGAGCAAAACTAGATCAAGAACATTTTCTGGTTTTTGATTGATAAATATGCAAAAATGGTTATTTGAATGACATTTTTTTGGTTGAAGGACAAGATTGTCTCAGTTGATTGATTAGTTAGTTGAGCTTACTTTAGTTTTCCTGGATAAACTCTAATAGATCCCTGTGAAAGGTTAGGAGGACGAAACCTAAAGAATATACCAGGTCGTTTACCTTCTTTTCTAGTTAAACTGGGGATAGGCATGAAATCACATAATTCTTTCTCATTAGAGTCTGAAAGAATTGATAGAAAAGATCAGTGAAATTGATGAAAAAATGAAAAGATATGAATTAGTAAAAGAGCTTTTGTTTTTTCAGAATTGGAATCAAATCAATGTCGCATTTTATCTCATCCTTAGCTTGTTCAACTTGAATACTTTTTAAGCAAATAACTTTGGAATTTTATAAAAATTTTCGAAGAAAAATCTATTATTAGCATTACTATTCGTTCGTATTGTTGGACTTGTATTCCTTTTCCATAATCCAAATCGTTCCGATTTTTTCTTATTGAATTTTCAATGAAGGCTCAGTTGAAGAAGAAAATGAAAATTTAAAACTATTCAAGTCTTGAACAAGCTGGATGAAAAAACGATATTTTTCAACTGATCCAATATTTACCATAAAAATCTGTTATAATATAATGTTTAGGATCATCATGAATATGAAAAGCTCGAAGAGCAGCAGCAATTATCTGTTCCTTGTTTGCACTTCGTGAGATGGTGATTGTCCGGAATGTACGTCTTTTCATTGAAGCATTTCCATCATAGATTTTGATTACCTCTATCAGAGTTAGAAAAAATCAAACATTAGTTGATAATGCTCTTATTGCTCTTATTCACTCAGACTTACCTTCATCTTTATCTTTATCTTTAGGTGAAGGGTATTCTTCGGCTTCTGATTTAGTTCGTTGATCGGGTCCCGTTAATTCTTCTGAACTACTTCTTGCTGTTAAATCGAGGCAAAGAAACAATTAGTAACATAATCGTCAATGAGAAACGAACAAATTTACAACATAAAACAGCGATACAAAACTACATCTATCAACATGCATTAACATTAAACTACACATTAAGCTAACTTTACTAGACTAAAATTAAAACTAAACATTTAAAAATTATATTTTGATTTTGAATAAAAATATTTCATTCATTGCAGCCCTTTGAAAACACTCATTTCTTGTAACATTTAATATAAAACTAAACATATGTGATTAATGGTCAGCTGCCATCACGAGGAAGTATCCATGTTAACGTTATCTTTTAATGTCTAGTCTTGTGTTTAAAATTGACAATTTGAATGATTGATCCTTCAATTTTTGTGCTCAAATTGAAGTATCCGAATCTCTTCGTATCTCTTCAAATCAATAAATCTAAATGAATCCTTAATTTAGACATAAAATTTCAGCAACAAATTTTTATTTCATTTAAACCTTAGAAAACCTTAATTTCTGATTGCTTGGGAAATCATATTTTCAAGTATTTAGTTGAAAGAGCTATCAGGTCTGAGAGTCACAAAAATGGCTCTATTAAATCAGATTGGAAACTAAATGAAAATTGAGTTCAATTCTAGGCAAACACAACAGTCATTTGCGCGAATAAATTTATCAACATTTTGTCTTGAAAATCAGATGAAATAAACCTCGAAATAGCAAGTAAATTAGCAAATGATATACTCCATCAAATCTAAGCGATAACCAGTAACGTTTGACAGTTGATCAAAAGAGTATCCATCGAGAGTGTTCATGTGACGATGAGAGCGGCAGGAACAATCGGGCAAAACGTACAACAATGAGGACAACACTTACTAAACTTACGAGCTACATTATCTCCTTTCTTGCGATTCTGAACGCCAATAATGGTCTCCAAGGGTACATCAGTACGTGGAATGCTAACACAATAAGGTGGTAACATTATGCTTTGAACTAGACCAAAATTACATTCAGGATTCAATTGTTTATAACAAATTGCGTGAGCCTGGCGAGGAAAAAAGCACAAAAAATTAATTAAACGAGGCAAGATTAGGATTAGAAAAGCTAGACTTTTCAAAATCATCTTTTATTAACTAACAATGATCAACCATCAAAGTGTCAACTATCATCTTAACAGTCATTAATTTTTTTACAATCATTTGTTAAATTTGGTGTAACATTTATATTGATGGTAAATGCTTTTTTTGATTTTGTTGTTGTTTAATACTATAAATAATTCATTGAATGAAGGGAAAGAAGTGAAAGGCAACTGAAAACGTTTCTGATTGAACCCATTGATTTAACTGTAACTGTGAATTTTGCCTTTTCACCTTTTCAAATGAAATACTTTGATGGTTGTCATCAGTTATTATTGTAATTGAACAATTAACTTACCGTCCAACCGCACCATTCACATCTCATTCCAGCTAAACATTCAGCAGACCAACATGATTTACGGCAATAATGACACTTAGAATTAGGAGGAAGATTACCTTCCCTCCAGTGGTGACATTGTACTACTTTTGGCTGTTAACAGAATCAGAATAGAAGGGAACAAAATGAGAGTTAATCAATTCAGGAATTAGTATTAACATGTACAATAAAAAAAACCTCAATTGGATTGGTTTGATTAGAAAGTTAATTTCCTGATCACAAAACAGCCAAGATTCAGACCAACTGAGATTATTGTTAAAATGAAACAAAATTGAATCAAAATTAAACACCATTCTAAATCTAAATGTTAATCTTGAAATGGCAAAACAACCAATTTACAATTAACTTTAATGTTAAGACTGAAAACTTAATGAGTTTAACAATTAGAAATTAAATTAAATGTTCAATTTTCAGGTCAAATGTAGGAAAGTTGAATCAGTTAACTCTACTTGATGTGCTTAACCAAATGGTAAAAATCATTTCATTAGGTTGAGTCGAGCAAAACCTTTTGATCTGAGATACTCTCAATTCGTGCATTTCTCGTAGATCAAGTTCAATATATGAATTAGTTCAGAATTAATTCATAACTGAAACAATCAGAAAAGAACAAATCTTTAATGATTAGCCAGAAAAATGCTAAGGAATTTGTTTTGCTCGTTTCAAATTTTCGCTCTTTTTTATTCAAAAAAATGATTAACACGGCTAATCATGAATGCTGATTATATCAATATTCAGAGCAATTCTGATGGTGTAAAGAGTTGAATCACAGATAACTTCAACTTGACAGATAATCTTTTGAAGGAGTAAAAATTATCAATTTTATTCTTAAAAACTGTATCGATTCAGATTTGATTGGTTTCCTAGTCGATGGATTTAATGATAATAATTTCAGAAATTCATCTGTTCCATTAAAACTTGACTGAGTCCTTTATGCAATTCATTATATTGATTCGTTCATCTCTAACATGGTTAAATAATCGATCATTCACACTAATTGTTTACTTCTTAACACCTGAAAATTGAAATTTTGATGAGTTTTTTTACTGTCTGGTCTCACTGTTTACAACAATTTCAAGAGTCTGGTAAACACAATTAGAGAAAATTTTAAAGCCTTTTTCATGATTCATAGAAAAATGGGAAATGATTTTAATTTCTTTTTTTCAATATTTAAATTCGTTGTTGATTCGTATAGCTTAAAATTTCAATGCAAAAGCAATTGCAAGTTGAGCTTTAAAAGCGCGCTTCAGACTATAAACTATTCATGAAACATGAAAATAATCATTTTTTAAGCTTTTTAGTTTCATAAGGATTCTGTTATTGACTTTTTAAATTCAAAGTTTGCTTTATTAAAACCATTTCATTAAATTGTTATCAATATCATTTGTCGATAATTTTGGTTCAATTTTCTTTGAAGTTTTCTTCGTTTCATGCTTTTAGCATTTTCATGTTTTCATGATTCTTACCAGTTCTTGGTCAGGAACGTAAGTGGCACATTCTTTACAATCGGCAACGCTAAAGTCTTGACACTCGAGATGAACACAATATTCACAAGTTTCACAACGAACCGCACTTTGATCTTCAATTCGTTTACGACAAACGTTGCAAAATTTTCTTTTAAAATGTCCTATTTCAGACCAACAATGGGGAACCGGATTCTGGATAAACAAGAAGAAAGCATGATAAGCATTAATAACACACCTAAATATTAACCATGATTAAAGTCAACTTTATATCGAACATGAAATTTACAGCAAAATTATTATCAAAAGCCAAAACAACATTTTCTTTAAATTGCAATTTCGTTTCTCTCCCAATTCAATTTACAAATCAATTATTATTGATTTATATTTTTAGGTTCAAATTTGGGTTCAACAGTTTTGTTGTTGTAACCTTTAAATTTTACCGTTTACCCAATTCACATTGACAATTGAAAATTGTTACAAAGGTAATAATTAAAAATCCAGATTTAACCCAACATTTAACCCAAAATTTTGAATGAAAGTAATGTTGAGGCTTTTATATTTAGCTTGACTTTCATATCTTGAATAGACATTAAATGTTTGCTTTTCAATGTTGAAAGATTCTTGTTTTGAGGTTACAATTTGATGTTGGCTAATTAATGAACATCATCAGGCTCAGCATCCTCATCATTAGCACTGAAAATTGATTGAGACTTTTTTTTGCAGCTTTTTAAAGATGATAAATACTCTAAATGTTCAGAGAGTTTATAATCGAGATCAAACCTTAACCTGAAAAAAAGCTCATAACTCCTCCCAATCCCTTTTACCATTGACGTCATTCATAGTTCATCAGCTGATTCAAGTGACCTGGATTCAGAAAATTCATTGAAACAACATGATATAATAGACAATGTCTCAGTCTTTCTTTCTCTCCATTTTACTCTGTCTAACCAAGATCGACATGGAAATGATGAGGATGAGGAGAAGGATGACAAAAGAGGAAAGGGAAACATCCTTAGAAGATGAAGAAAACAGTAAACAGAAAGAATTATAATGAAGAGGAAGAGAAGAAGAAAAAAAAGAGTTATCAAGATGATGAAGATGATTAGAAGATGATGCAAATATAATAGAGCAAATGACAAAATAAAAAGGGATAAGAGTTGATAGATGTGAACCAGGTGAGGTTTATGTGGACATTTTCAATCTGTATATTGATATAACAATAATTAACATTCACATTTCCAATGAAACATTCTAGGAAAATCTCAACATGAATCTGAACAGTTGATGATTCAAGTTGATTTTTGCAGTAAAATTGTTCAAGTCTTATGAATTTGGATTAAAGTGCAAAATTGACTTTTCAAGAGTTTGGTTTGAGACTGGTTTTTGATCAAGGATAAGGTTGATCAAATGATCAGTAATGTTTGGTTAATCAGATAATCAGGTAAAGAGTATTGGATGATTATGAAATTATCATGTGAATGGAAAGAGTTGAAACATTGTAATGGATTGAAGTGAAACAAAGGTTTCCTTTGAAAATTAGATTAATCAAATGAATGGTTAAATCGGGTGAAAGTGTGATCAAAGGATTGAGAAGGGAAACAAAGGTGAAAAGATCAACTAAATAAATGTAAACTGTTAATTGGTGACCTTATTTTTGGGACCAAAAAGGTAATGTCTAGTTGTGTCTTGATATGAGTCTATTCAAACAAGTCCGTTGAAATTGGGTCAAACAATTCCCTTAAGTTAACTGTTAACACTCAATTGTTGAATGAAAATTCATTGAATTGGGAAATATTGCATGTTAAGTGAAGCGCATTGAATAAATTTGAAAAAAAGACTCAACTGATAGTTCAATTGATGGTTACATTTCATTGTACAATCTAAAATTAGCAATATTATTTACTCCCAAGCAAGTGAGCATTTTCAACAATTATCATGTAATCATGAGCTGATGAAAAAAAGATGATGCAAAAAGTTATGAAAAAAAAGAGTTGAAACGGAAAACGGAAAGTAAGCAAATTAACAGAAGCCAGAAAGGCTTGTTGTACATTTGGTTAAGTGGCTGAGTGTTGAAGAGGTGAAGCAAGGTAAGGTTGTTATGGTTTAAGATCGATATGATGTTGATCCTGAACAGGCAAGATGGAATGACGACGACCTAGAAGATGATTCTAGACAGAGAAGCAAAGAGAGTGGCGAAAGAGACTAGAATTGGTTAAAGGGCCAAGAGGAGGAGTTTAGGTCATAAAATCTATTTTTAGCTCATTCCATTTATAACTCAAATCTATTGTCAGTAACATGGCGGATAACCTAAAATCATACAAAACTCACAATGTTTTTTTTCTTCCTATCCATACATTTACTATCAGGGCCATGGTTAAACCCCACTTGCAGCTCTCTCTCTCTCTCTCCCCATCATCATCATGCTTTCATCTTCCAAAAACACTCACTTCATTCACACAAAAATTCAAAGCCATTCTCAATCAAAGCTCCTCCGTACGTCACTGCAACTCACCGACTCCCAGTTAACCTAAACCATCAGCCTCACTGGATCAACTTTACTCTCTCACTGGGTCACGATACTACATACAATGCTCAAGATAATTTCCTAACATTGCCTCTTCTCCATCATCATCATTATCATCATTCCTCTTCTTCTGTGGATTTCATTGATCGAATTGCAACTTGTAAGGAAAATTCGCAAAGAGAGAGGTCACAGGGAGTTTGGAAGAAGGGATGAATTCTGTAAAATCTGTTGTTCTTTCCCCTTTGACACACTTATTCACATCATTCTCACTTTATACTCATTCAGTCTACCAAAAGCAATGTGATCCTTTTTTGCCTCCCTTTTGCCTTCTCTTCCCCTTCTCATCCTCAAATCTAGGTTACAACCAATTTTGAGGCTATGACCTTTTTTTTCATCTCATATCTTGCAACCTCGTCATCATCTTAATCTTCACCATTCCCTTCATCATCTTCCTCATCTTTTTCACTCAAGAAATAAAGCTTAGCTCAGATATTCCATTGAGAAATTGGTTGTTAGTTTTTTTTACTCCACATGGAAGATGCGCGGAAGAAGAGGAAGAAAAAACGTTTTCATTGCAAAGATTCATAATGAGTTTATCATCTCAAAGGTACATTCAAGAGGGAAGATAAAAGTTGAGCAAAGGAATGATAATGATAATGGCTCCAGATGAACTTATCCTTATATATTGTTATACAGTCACACATTCACTAGACTGTACCTTGGAATTACTTTTCATTGAGGAAAAAATAGCGATGGCAAAAAAAAGAAGTGAAGGTGAAGATGAAAGACTAATTCATGATGACCTAAATGTTGATACAGTTTGGTGAAAATATCGTAGGAAGTGAATGAGAACGGTTTAGGAAGAACGAAACGAAAATAAAAGTTGAACGAAAAGGTAAACATGTTTATTGGGAAACAAAAGGAAAGGTTTGATTAAATGTAAATTCATTGAGAATTCATTTTTAGGTGAAATGAGGAAAGAGAATTACGTTTGAAAAATCAATTGAGACACAAATTTTCATGAATATAACTGTCAACCATTGACCCAGAAAGATGTTTCCAGGAAGAGAATGATGAAGATGAGGATGGGGAAGATGCAAGAGGAGGAGGAGGTTAGAGGGAATGGATTCAGGATAAGTAATCAATTTATGAATGGAATAGTTTGTTAGGCTGTTCTAACCAATTTATTGTGACCTCACAAGATTCAAGTTTATATATTCGTGAAAAAGTCTATTTTTAGTAACACGATTGATCAGGTCATCCGAGTCTTTCTTCTCGAATCATCACTCTTACTTTTTCCTATTGTTCCGTTTATCATCTCATCTTCATTTTCATCCTCTTATTGCATCTTTATCTGTCTTTGCCTTTCCATTAAAATATCTATCAAATTGCATTTAAACAATGTATTTTTGTTTCCCAATTCAATTGTCCTGACAAAAGCATCAATTAACTTATTAATTAAATTGATTCAATTAGCAGAAAAATGTTCATTTCGATAGTTTATAAAATTGACTTTAATCATATCGTTTTCATCGAGTTTAAAGCTCAACAAATCAAATTAATCGCGAAGTTAATCATTTGTCCAACAGTGAAATTGTTCATTTTGCAGTGGAATCGGATTTTGCTAGAATTGGTTTAATCTTGATTCATATTAATATGATTTCCATGGGAATCAATTGACTCTTTGAGCGATTAATTTGATTGTGTTTTAAGTTTTAACCACAAAAATGTCAATTTGTGGTTAAGTGTCAGATTTAAGGTTAAATTAAGGTTGATTTAAAGCGTTTGATTGGACTTACTTTGATCACATTTGAAGCTATTGTTGAACAAGGTGAGACTACAGTTTTTAGACATCGATCGTGAACTACAAAATTGCACACTAAATTGATGATAATCAGGAAATCATGAAAGGTTTAAATATCAATTGATTGATAATCAGGTTGAATAGTTGAAAGGGTTGATCAAGTTTTGTGTATGTGTTTTGATAATGAATTGACGATCCATGAATGTAAATATACATGAAATTGTGAAGAGAAAAGAGAAAGAAAATCATTAAATTATTATTATTATCATTATTATCATTAAATATAATTAATAGTTGGGTAAATTTGGATTGAAAAGGTGAAAAATTTTAAATTATCATGTTTTTGTATGGGTAAATTGTTGAAGGGTTGAACTTAAATGTTGGATGACTTGCAATATAATTAAAGGTTTACTTATTGTTTTGTATTTTTTGGTACAAAATTATTAACTTGATTCACTTTGATCCGGCAATTTATTTTTACCTGATCAAATCTAATCAATCTTAAAGACAATGAACTTTAAATTTATTTTGGGAAACAATTGTATGCAGTAAACATAGAAAAAATGATTCCATTGCAAGTTCAATAATGTCTGGTTATCAACTGAATATCGATAATTTTTATGGTAATCAACCTTAAATTGAATATAATGGTTAAATCTAATTTTTCAAGGTTCAATATAACTATGAAATAACTCAAATCTCAAATTGAATCGCAGCTGCAGCTATTGTCACTTCAGCTGATTAAATCACACATTTAAATGTCTGTTTCAAATTTCGGCCTTAAATTGTTGTCTAATTTTCTTCTAATTGTTTCTCTTTTTCTTATCACTATTCTAGCTTATAAACACCGCAAAATTGGTCCAATCTATTATGAATATGGATCGCTCATAATAACATATGATAATGTTGATATTGCGGTTAAAGCTTTTTACATGTTGAGGGAAGCCTCTTATGATGATAAAAACTTACTCGTCCTTTTATTATCAAACATTTTAAATGCTGCAATCTATGTGATGAACAATTATTTCGGTATTGTTATCGATGCTGATCTATGTTTTCATAATGCTAGAGAAGAAAATCCAGATAAATTTAATAGCAGGTAAATGTTCATGCCATTCTCGTAGCTATCTAAATGCTTGGATATTCAATTCAATGAAATCTAATTTGACTCTTTCTTCCTTACCAGAATTCACAACAAGGGTGTTTATGTAAAAATGGGTTGAGAAAAATGATAACAAAAAAGACGTTAATCAGGTAAACAGGAAGATAGTGATCATGATAACTAACAATTAGACTTTTCGGTTGATAGAGAATGAAAGATTAGCAAAACAAATGGGAAAATGGATTTGCCAGGTTAAATCTAATGCATGGTAAAAGTGCATGGTTAAGGTTGGGAATATGGTTTAGGATGAAAAAACTGGGTAAATGTTGATTTGCAGATTGGATCAAACTTGATTGTAGATTTACTTGGAAATCAAAGTTTGGGTTAATTAGGTAATTGAATCGGCTCACCTTCACAAATACACCCTTGACCAATAAGACCCCAAAGCATATCAGTACAATGGTGACAATAAGTAGGCTTGTGAAATGTTTTCTTTGTAAAATAATGTCCATGTCCATGCTGATCGTATTCCGGTATTAATTCGGTTGTTGGTGATGTTGATCCTTCTGGTCCAACACCAAGTCCACTAGTTACACCACCACCTCCACCTCCTCCCCCGCCTCCCCCTCCCCCGCCACCTCCTACTGAAGATATTTCGGTTGTTGTTCCTGGTGTTGAAGGTGAACCAGATAAACCTGATGGTGTACTAGTTGTTGTTGTTGTGGTTGTTGTGGTTGAAGCTGTACATGTCGCTGTGTTTGATGAATATGAAAATGATGATGATGAGATTCCTATCGTCGTTGATGGTGTTGTTGTTCCGGTTGGGAATGATGTTGCCGCTGTTGCTTGGGTTGGTGTTGCCGATGATGATGATGAAGGTTGTGAAGAGGTTGTTGTTGTTGTGTGATCGCCACTGACTTCAGTACCAGAAGAGGCTCCACCGCTACCTCCAATGGTACCTGTAACTGATGAGGATCCACTTGGTTTACTTGTAGAGGTTGTTGTTGTTGATGATGTTGTTGATTTTGACGCACTGGAAGCCATCTTTCTGTTCCTTCCACGGAACAGGCCTCGAAGCGCTTTTAGAGCCAGTGGAAAACACTATGAAACAAAAAAAACACACTTAATCGCTCCTCTCTTCTGAGACTCCGTTGTGAGGAGCTAAATAACCATTAAATGGCTATTAAAATGGTACAGTTTTAATATAATCAACTTAACCATGTTATACTTTAACAAATCTATGAACAATAATAATCACTGTTGATGATAATATATTATAATATTTAAAACAAAAAAAGCTCTTCCTTTTTCACTCTCGTTCTCTTGCCTGGTTATATCTTTCTCAGTCTTTCAAGCTCTGAGTTGTTGCTTGTTATATGATTTTAAGCAAAGTATGTTTAACTCTCTCTCTCTCTTTTCCCTCGTCTCTTAATCTCTTTCTTTTTTCCCTTTCTTTTCTCTTCTGACTATGACTAAATGTTCAACTCTCTTACCCAATCCTCTGTCTACCATTAACTCAATCTCTTTCTATTATTTCGTCTTTGGTTCATCTTCGTCTTTCACTTCTTCTTTCACCTTTTCTTTTACTTCTGCTTCTCAGCTTCTCATTCTCGTGTTTCTTTTTTTCCTCCTCTCTTAGGTTCTTTTACTTGGCTTGATAACTCCGAGCTTGAGCAGCACCATGAGCAGAAGATATGACATGAAATATGACTGATTTTCATGCGTTAAAGCTCAATCTTTCAACTAACATGTCAACGTTACCATGACAATTTAACTGTTCATTATTACATTTTATTTCAATCAACTAACATAAATTAACAGGAAAATTTAAAGCCTAATCTTTTTCATCTTTCACCACATTTCAGGATTAGGGTAACTGATATGTCAACGGAAAAACTAGATAAAAGGAGTAAATTCACTCAGATATGCTTAAATACACTGTGATACGGCATGATCAATCAGGGAGGGAAATACAAAAAATACAAAATATAAAAATATAATAAAGATGAATGTGATGTTTAATGTTATTTTCAGGTTAACAATTACTGTTCATCTTCATATTATCATTGATTTATCCTCTCTGCATTTGACTAGACTTATAATGTCTTTAAAATGATTAATGAATTGAGGATTTGAAATTGAGAAAATAAAATTATTCTGAAAGTTGAGCGCTTTTGAGTAATTTAATTCAATAGACTCGATATGTTTAATGATTGGCTTCTTTCTATTGAAATGAAAATATTCAATTCCTTAAATTAGTATTGCTAAGTCACAGTTAAAGTTTTCGAGTTAAATTTTGACTTGATTTCTCATCATTAGTCATGAATTGAGTTTCATTAAATTGAGATTAGTAAGTCAAAAATTGGAGGTCCATATGATGTATCATTTGCTTTGGTTAAATCATTTAAAGATTGTTATTTGATTAATTCTTGTTGTATCAATCTATTGAACTTGAGTTTATTTTGTTAATTATTTGGTTCTTTTCTTTAAATCTCCTTATAAAAAGACTCTGGCTAACATGAAGCGTGAATTGATTGTTTTATCGTATGGATAAATGAACAATCAAACTATTTACTGAAATAAGTGCGAAAATTTGTTGTTTTAATTGTTGGATTGAATCAAAATTAACTCTCGAAAGAAAGATTTTCTTGAATGATTTAGCTGTCTCCATCTATCGGCTCTAAAAGCTTATTTAGATTTGGATCCGTAAAAGATATTTTATTGGATAAAATCTGGTTTTTTAGTCAAATTTCTGAATATCAATGATTAATCCGCGAAGAAATGCTGATTATTGCAAGTTAATTATGCTTTTCTCTTTTCATGTTGAATTCTGGTTGATGGTAAGAGTTAAGGTCAGCTCACTTTACCTGCATTATCTCAATTTCAATCGTAAAATGTTACTGGTTCATGTAATGATGTAATATTTTCAGGTTCAACGGTGTCTCTTGACACAAGATTTTACCTCATTCTGTTTTGGTTTAATTATTCGCTGGTCAAGAATCATTATAACATTAATTATCAGAATTCTAAAGCATTTTCACTGCACTAATACTTGCTATTCAGGTATTGAAATTTAAATGAGACTCAAATTTAGCTCAAAGAGATTGATATTCCTGAAATTCACTTTTTGCATCTTGTATTTTTACTTGGACAAGCTTTCAGGCCTACAGTTTGTAAGTGTGTCGATGGTCGTCAATTTGCTCTTTACTTGATGAATTGTTGACTATCTGGAAAATTTTTTAAAGCCAAGAGATAAGCAATTCGCACTTTAATAATTAATTGCGGTAAATCAAAACCATGAATGATATTGAACATTGATATTTTATGCTCTTATGCTCCTTACGTTTACACTGATCCTGCTCTTTTATGCTTTTTATGCTAGCTTGTTGTTGCTGTTCATTTAACTTTCATTCTTGATCCGGTGTCTGTGTTTTTATTTTGTATTTATACTCAAATTTAATTGTTTTTTGTTTGTTATTGTTGTTCAAATAATTATTAACCCTCCTTGCTTTCAATTTTGTTGTTTTTTTACTTCACTGATATTTTTCTGTTTCAAATATGAACAAGGTTAATAGTAGGTTAATATCTTTGCTAAGGCATGTAAAGCCTTCCAATAATAATTTAATACAGAGTAGAGGGTTAAGTGTCAGCTGTGTTAACCAAGCCAAGTTAACTGTTCGTGATGCCCTTAATTCTGCTATGGACGAGGAAATGGAACGAGATGAAAAGGTTTTCATAATGGGAGAAGAGGTTGCTCAATATGATGGTGCCTACAAGGTAACCCGAGGTCTATGGAAAAAATACGGTGATAAAAGAGTTATAGATACTCCGATTACTGAAATGGGATTTGCTGGCATTGCCGTTGGAGCTGCTATGGTAAATATTGATTGTTCAAAATTGATCATTCTTTATATAAATGTATTTTCTTAATGTATTCTAATAATTTCTTTCCACTCTTCTTCTTACCTAGGCTGGTCTTAGGCCGATCTGTGAGTTCATGACTTTCAACTTTGCCATGCAAGCAATAGATCAGATTATAAACTCGGCGGGCAAAACATTTTATATGTCAGCTGGAATGGTAATAATTTGTCACCTTACTGGAGATGAGCAAAACAATGCAAAAGCATAGGCATTAACTAAGCATTTAATTTTTCTCCTCGTCTCAGGTTGGTGTACCCATTGTGTTTAGAGGTCCTAATGGAGCTGCATCTGGTGTTGCTGCCCAACATTCTCAGTGCTTTGGTGCTTGGTACAGTCACTGTCCTGGTCTTAAAGTTATATCACCCTATTCAGCTGAAGACTGTCGAGGTCTTTTGAAAGCAGCTATTAGAGATCCTGATCCAATAGTTTTCCTTGAAAACGAGTTACTCTATGGTGTTGCTTTTGATACTCCTGATGAAGCTTTATCCCCTGATTTTACTTTACCTATTGGAAAAGCCAAGATTGAAAAGCAAGGTTCACATGTTACATTGGTTGCTCATTCTAAAGCTGTAGGAACTTGTTTAGATGCTGCAAAGGAACTTGCCGGCAATGGTATTGAATGTGAAGTCATAAATCTTCGATCACTTAGACCTTTAGATGAAGAAACTATTATTCAATCGGTTGTAAAAACACATCATTTAATAACTGTTGAACAAGGATGGCCACAATGTGGTATCGGTTCGGAAATTTGTGCCAGAATAATTGAAAGTAAGCCTATCCGCACCTAATCTAGCCAACTTGTATCTAATTATAACCTTTTCCCACTTTACACAGGTCCAGCATTTGATTACCTTGATGCCCCAGTGGTTCGAGTTACCGGTGTAGACGTTCCAATGCCATACACTCAATCATTAGAGCAACATGCAATCCCGGTAGCAAGTGATGTTGTTTTAGCGGTTAAAAAAGTTCTTAACGTTGCATGATATAGTTAAAAGAAACAAATTTAGACAGAATTTAATTAAATCTTTATGCTATCTTTTGTTTTATCTAGTCTGGTAATCGACCCAGAGTATAAGTGTCAAAAATGTTAGCCCGTTAAAGCGTTAACTTTTTTCCTCCCTTTTTTTCCAATTGCCATAGGTTTATCATTACTAATCACGAGTACTGTACATGATAAAAATACTTTTTCTTTTTCAATGAGTGATGATAACCATGATGTTGAAATATCCTTTATCATCATTATTGTCACTAATTAGAAATTATGAAAGTAAGAAATGGAATCAAACAGAAGATGCATTTTTGTCTTATAATTTTTTCCTGAGATAACTAAATTTTAAAAATATAATTTCAACTTTATCTTTATTCTAACAATTAATTATCATGTGTTAAAGTTAATTTTTGAATGGCATCATTTCATCGAATGGCAATTAGAAGTTTAAGTAGATTAATTAACTACCAGTTTTGTTAAAAGTATTTATCAATTGTTTTGCACAATGCAAGTTCACAATAAAGTTGAAATATTTAATTTTAAATCGCGCTCAAAATTATTTTCTCGTCCCTAGATGGCACTAGCAGCTCAGAAAGGAAAAATTCAAAACAAAATAAATTCCGAGCTTGATCAATGGTTTATTTTTGATTTTAATTAGTAGAGTAAAAGTAGAAATGAATTGTCAAGTAAATTAAATTTTCGTCCAAACGATTAACAGTTGACTTTACCTAAATAAATGAGACAACCGATTGAAAAAATCATCATTAGATTGACTTTGCTTAATGAAGGGTAAGTGTACTTCTGTGTTTTATTGATGATTCAGTTCGACAACAAATTACGTTCAAAGTTAATTAATTTCAAATTAAGAGCAAATTTTTGTCTCTTTGATAGAAACTAATTAGTTAATTTTATTATTCACCTTGCTCATATTTATAAGAAAAGGTAAGAAAAAAGAGAAATTCTGTGAGCAAATGATGATGACTGTTTAAATATCTTTAGGCTAAATAGTGTTGTCATTAAATAAGTGCAATAATTTGATAATTTTCGGTGAACATTCATCATCATTATAATCATATCTCTCTCTTTCTCTCTCCCTCTCACTATTTGACATCATCTTTTTATTGTTAAATCAACAACAATTTCACCCTTTATTTACCTTTTAACCTTCTTCTTTCACCCTCGACAATCAATTGGTTATAAAACAGCATTAATTGTCAAAACATATAATAAAAGGTAATTGAAGGTTGAAAACAAATGATATTAATGGTAAATCTCATCTCTTTTGTTCCATTTTTTTTCTTCTTTGCGTTTTCAAGGTAAATGGACGGATAAATGGGCTCACCAGAAGATCCAGGAGAAGCAAGAAAACGATCGCTTAGTTTCAATTTCACCATCTCAATCTGTCTTTATTGTTAATATGATCTGCCATCATTGTTATAATCAAGTTAATCACGCAAACTTGTTAACGGGTTATCGTTAAAATAAATCAGGATTTGGAACCAAACAAACAGATGAGAAGATAATTACTATTGATTGAAGGTTTTTTCTTCTCTGCTTCTCTCTCTCTCTTATCAAATAAGCATGAAATTATTGAGGAAGTTGAAGCTTTTGGCTGAACAATTTTGACTCTTCTCTGTTACCATTTTTACAATTCAAAACAAACCCAAAATGACGACCTTATAATTAAAAGAAATCATGGATGATAATGATCGTCATTATCAAGACGAAGATTGGAAAAGATGATCAAGTGAAAGATGGTAGAGACAGACAGGAGAAACAAATGATTATTATCAAATTAACTTGGCAAAAAGAGAGTAATCAATGGAGTAAAGCAAATTAAATTGCGGAAGGTGAATTTATCCACATAAACCTCAAACTTCTTGATTAGTAACAGGCTAATTACATTTTTCAAACCCAATTAGTATCTAAATGTGAACTTTAAATTAGTTACAACAAATTGAATCAATTTTTGGAAATTTCAATTCAACTCAATTTACGCGCAATTGGAAAAAAGCGGGAGACAAATCAATACCATTGGCTCATTGGAAAAGCTTACATCATTGGCGGTTAACTTTCATAAAATGTGCTACATAGTCATCAGGGTTGCGTTAACAAAATCAGACATTTTGTCTAGTTGATAACTCATGGTGTTGAAGCATTTCACCCTTTTTTATTTCTATTAAATCTAATGTGTCTACCAATTTAGTGATTTTTGTATGTGATTACAGTAATTAAAATTGTTTACGTTGATAAGAAAAACCAACAAAAAAGGTGAAATTAAAAATGTAAAAGATTAAACGTTTTGTTTTAATGTGGGTATACGGTGAAGGAGTAAGACAAAACCAACAATTAAAGTATAAAGTAAACTGTGAAAACAATCGCGTAATTTAGTTGATTAAGGGTTTCTCTGTTTAACCAAAGAAACGACGAAAGGATGCCAAGACAAAGTTTCATATTTCTCTTCATCATCATCATCATCATCATCATCTCTTGAGAATCTTCTCAAGCTCTTACCATGAAAATTGTATTTAATTAAGATATCTAATTAAGGGTTACATTTTCAGGTAAATATAAAAACCATTCAACTTATACTTGTTTTCAGTTTTTGCTCTTCTCATCTTGTTTCTTGTTCATTGTAAAAAAACATCTCATATTTCCTCCTACTTCTCCTTCGTCACCATCATCATTTAGAATGAGATTTGCATTTAATAGCCTTACTTCTATACCTCAATTGCAACCAAATTAATTGCTTCTTGTCACCATTAATTAGGTCCATTCGTTGTCATCATCTTCATCATCAGTGTTATTTCCAGTTGTTGGTACTCTTCGTTGTTGGTAACATCATCACCGCCATCATCAGCATCATTAAACATAGATATAATTACCATTGATACAGTATCATGATGGTAATGATGATGACAAGAAATATCCTGTAAAACAAAATAAAAATGAAAATGTGACCCAAAATTATTAGCTGTTGAATGTTATTATTATCATTTTAAGATGAGAGAAGAGCAAATTATAATCATGGCGATGATAATAATTTGCTTTTGGACAAAAAATTTTGACAAGGAGAGGATTAAAATGCAACTGTAACTGGTTGCAGTGTCAACAAAGAAGAGCCAATTAAAGTGATAAACCTTAAGGTAAAAAAGGTAAGCAGAAGAATAAAATTTTTTATTTAAAACAGGTAGAAAAGGAAACCACAAAAACTCTCATCATTTTGGTCAAGCAATGTTTACAATTTTTTACTTTATTTAATAAAAATACTAATCATCTTCTTTTTTCAACCATAACAGAGTCACAGAAAATCAAAGCAAAGCCAATCATCTGCTCTAACCCATCCTGAACATATGAGAAACCATGAGAAACCGCTGATTGAGACAGAAAAATTGAGTCAACCGATCTTTCCATTAGGTTAAACGACCGTTCATGTTTTATTAACTGCCCCTGGGAGGACAAATATTGAAGACAAAACGAGCATGAAAATTGAAGGACAATAATATTTTCAAAGGATTGAACAAAATGAGATGAAACTATTTAACTCTATTCCCCTTTGGTTTTGACAAAGCACTATGGCAAGAAGCAAAGGAAAGATGGTTTTTGAAGATGATTGACGATAATTGTAAAAGATGAAGGCGAACAGGTATAGATCATTAAGGTCTAATGGCAAGGAAAGAAAGAAGATACAAAAGATGTAAATAGAAAGAGGAGGAAGAAAGAAAGAAAATGATGATGATGAGGATGATGAAGGAGAAGGCAAACAGCAAAAATTAGGAGTGATAAATCATCTTGTTACCTTCTCATCCTTAGAGAGACAACACACATATTACAATAAGAGCAACAACTCGTCAGTATTTTATTTGAGCTCATGGTGATTCTCGTCATCATCATCATCAACAGCAACATCAACCTGATCAACATGATCATCACAAAGCAACAAACAAACAGACAGAAAGAGATAAAAAGAATGGCAAAAAGCATAACGTTTCTTACCAAAACAGAATACAGATTAACGATAATATACTATGAGTTTTTGGGTGTCTTAATTAACATTCAGGTTTAGTCTTAATTTTAAATATTAACGATAAATAATAATGATGAGCAAATATAATTACAATAATCATAAACAGAAAGATAGACAAAGTGCTTCAAGTTTAATGGTGAAAAATGAAGAGAAAAGATGAAAAGAAGAAGAAAAACTCACAACTAATCTGAATAACATATTCATGGTAATGAAATTATCTGAAGCCATCTTCATGTAACTTTAACTGTTGTTACTTGGCCAACCATTTGCGTGGTTGGTTAATCATAGCCTCAAGCAATTATAATAATTATCATTATTATTATTAATATTTAGTTAACACCAACAATAAAAGTCTTTTTTACTTGTTTGTGTTGTTCAATCATAAATCATATTTTTTACACTGTAAAAGGTTTTTGGCTAAAGTTAAGGTAAAACTAAAAAATTGATACCTGATAAAAGGTATTAAAAAGTTAGATTTATTTATTATTACAATTAGTATTGTAAGCTTGTAGCTGAAGTACCCAAAGTAAATTGTAAATGATTGTGTATTAATGTCAAATAAAGGCCAAACTAGCTAATAATCAATAGTATAAGCAGGTAGCAAAGATAAACTTGGTTTTAAATTGATTTTTTAGACGATTAATTGGTAAGAAAAGAGGTAAATTATTGCTCTTTTTGTTTCTTTTTTCTGGTTCTGTTGGTTTTAAACGGGTTAAGAAGATAATGATGATGACTTGAATTATCTTTTTACCTCCCAAATCGATAATTATTCATTATTCATTATTACTATTGCCTCAAGTGATTAGTTGATTTCTCACAAAGATGATTTTCCTCAATCATAATTTTGTATCTTCTTCTTATTTTGCTGTTTAATTCAACTGTTCACCTTCATCTTCTCCTCCTTGAATTATATTTTGTTTTTTATTTCTGGTGAATCAATCAAATGATTGATTCAACATTAATCTTAACCATTAGCATCTTTCATTGTCGATTGTTAATCATATCATTTAAATCAATTGATAATCATTAATCTAATCACAAGAAAGCTGTCTATTTAATATATTGAAACAGTTTGAAGCAGCAAATTGTTTAATGTATTGAATCTATATTTTCTTGAGTCGCTCTTTGATTAATAATGATTGTAACCAATTATCAAGATCCATTTATTATTCAATGTTAAATGAATGAGTAGGTGGGTTAAGTCAGGGTGGGGTGGGTTACACTAAGCACCACAGATTCATACACATGAGCATCATCTTTAATCATGTTCATCGAGCCACCCTGATAGTGTTTAAAATCAAATTAAGGAAGGTTATTTTGCATCACAAAATCTGATAACGATTATACGATTCTCATCATTATCATTATTAACAATAATAATGTAATTCCAGTGGGCAGTTAATGTGCTTTTGACTTAACAACAATTAGAAACAGTTCACAGATCTGTTTGTTAATTAACTGTTAAAGACGCCAAATTTACCTTTAACCAATTCTGTATTAAATATGCAAACAGTTGACGTTTTGAATACACAAACACACAATTGTATTATTATCAAGTTTAAATTGTTAATCTTTTCTGTATTTGCATTTATGTATCTTTTATGTTTGCTTTTACTGTCCAATTTTGTCAATAGAAACCTGTGATTTACATAAATTTGTAAATATGGTGCAAGTCAAGGTGAAAATCATTCAAGCAGCATTTATTTGATTTGTTGGTTCCTTTCTGTTGTTTGACAAAAAAAAGTCAACTTGAAACAAGATTCAACAATAATTATGCATTCATCAATATTTAATCATTGTAATCAAGTTTTATTAATAAGTTAAATGATTATACCTGTTAATTATCTGTATTATGTACGAAAAGTTTAATATTAAAGTTGTTAATTACATTTCCATTGAGAGTAAAAAAAAGGTTGAAACCAAACATTAGGCACTTACACACTTAACTCTTTGGTTAGACTTTTTGTTTTTTTCCCTTCATGCGGACTGTTTTGTGTTGTGTTTAAGATAAAGAAAGCAAAGTAAGTTAACAAATGGTTGAAATTAACTCTTTGAACCAGAGAAAAAGATGGAATCGCATGAAAATTGGAACAAATAATGATTAATTTTAATGAAACTGGATCATAAATTTTATCGCCTCACTGTCATTTCCTGAGACGAGGTTACTTCTAATGAGAAGCAGAAGTAACAAGACTTCTTTGTTTTAACATTTTCAAAAAACTGAGAGAAGAAAGGAGATGACGATGATGAAGGAGAAGAAGAAGAAGCAAAAAGTAAACAATTTAAATGGATTGCTAGAAATTAAAGAGGCTCCCAGAAATTAAGCCAAAATTATGGGCACCGCGGTTGTAGTTAAATTATCTCTAATAACCGGAGGAAAGGAAACTCTTAAGATGATGATGATGAGACCCCAGGTAGAGGAAGAAGGTGAAAGGAGAGAGAAAGAGAGAGAAAGATGATAGGAGGAGCAAAGTTAACTTAGTGTAACATTGAAAATAAGATGAAAAAAAGGTAACACGGAAAAGAAGGAAAAGGAAAGTGAAATTGATACTGCCTAATAAGATGGGTAAAAAGGTAAAGTATAATAAGATGAGGCGGATGATCCGGTTGAAGAGGCAGATGAAGAGTGAAAGATGATGCAAGTTGGAACAAAGGTAAGAAGTGATTCAATTGAATTGGCAAAAGGTAAACTTGATTAATGGTCAATCCAATTGGAATTAGTGTTTAACAAGTATCAGTCTATTTGTTACCTCCAAATGGAAATCTTGAAGCTTCACAAACACTGTTTAATGATTATTTTTCATTCTCCTCTTTCAACTCAAGTAAATGTTTCGTTATTTTTAAAGATACTCACAGTTATGGTGATGATAATGATAATTATGATCAGTAACAAACAAAAAACAAAATAAAAACAACAGTTTTTATACGTTAATACAACCATTAATGAAAAATAATGCCTAGGACAAAATGGCAGAAATGATGAAGGTGCCATCTATTATGTTTTTCCTAATAACACAAGCTAAACGCAATTGTGTGATAATCTGTATAATTTTTGTCCCTTAATTGTACCTTTTTTATCGTCTTTATCATCATCTTTTCCCATCATAATTGGTAGCTTCAAATAATTTGACTCCATAGCCTTGTAGTACATCTTGTAGTTTTGTATTTTTATGTTGTTTCATTCATCTAACCTCTTAACTTTTTTTCTTGTACAGTGTATGGCTTGTTACATGTTATCCTTGTTTTGTCTGCCCTTTGTCTTCAATGTTAACCCATCTTAAAGATTCAATTTATTGTGGTTTGGTGACCAAAATTACAGGTTAAAAGACGGAAATATTGACCTATGGTCAAAGATATTTAGTTAACCTGGAAAAAAGTCTAAATGATTACTTTTGCCAAATTCATTTATCAATTTGACATCAATAGATGAAGAGAGAGACAGGAAAAAGGAAGGTAAAGAAAGATTCTTCTTTTAATGATGGTAAAATGTGATAAAATGTAAGTGTATCAATCTTTGCATTATAAAATGATGATTAAATTAATGATACAAGGTTTGAATGTAAAAAGAACTTTTCATCATCAATCACAATTAAACTGATTGTGAGTAAAAAAGACAGAGGAAAGAAAGGTATTATAATTGATTAAAATAGCAAAGGAAACAAACGCCAAGTAAAATATTCACTGAAATGATAACCTTTGAAAGCTTGGAATCAAAAGGCAACCATTAAGGTGATGCTAATCATTCATTTACATTGAAACAAAGATATTTATTTATCACAATCATCCAATCCTGATTAGTATTATTAAAATTAATCAACCTTTTCTCCCCTTAATTGATCAAATAGGACAAGAAACAAAAGGCCCAACCAAGACTATACCAATACCAAAGGAGGAAACAAACCAACTGGAAGTTGATCAACAAATCCATGGCTCTATTGGTTCTCCATGCTTCTTCATGATCAACGATTCAAAAGGCCAAATCTATCTTAGTCACACCATGAGCTGACTCGGAATCATCCTATTATTTAAATTGTATCGATGAATGGTGCACAGAAAAGGAATCAAATTATGCAAAAGTGAAAAAATGGAATCTTGTGTTGAAATTGAGACAAGCAAAAAGTAATGATCAAATGAAGTAGCAATATATTGTTCTTAACTGTCTAAACAACATCTTACTTTATTATCTCACAGTTTCAGGATTATTTGAACAACATCTTAGCATCACTTTGCATCACATGCTCTTCATCTCCATTCACTTTATCTTCACCTTTTTGCTTCATTTTCTCCCATTTTTATTCACAACAGAATCAAAAAAAGTAAACCCTGAAAAAGGTGAAAATAAATTGACTTTAGTATCAAATCACAAGCATAAGATGATGGTGATGAGTATGAGGATGATAGGAATCATCAATTGTTTGCCATTCATCGCCAACTCGCACACTTTATTTTTCACCTTCATCTTTTTCATGCATAAAATAAATCTATTTCAGAGACAAGATGTATTATTATTTTTAAACCTATCCAAATGATAGCGATGAATAGCAACAATGTATGTACTTGTTTGGAAGATTTAAAGGTTAAAGTTAAGATGACGATAAAGGTGGTGTGATCTTGATGAAAATTGATGTTCATCTAGTGACCAGGAGGTTCATGATGGTCCAAGTATAGAGGATTAATGATATTTAAAAATGATCATTCTTGCGTTTCACTGAAAGTCTGTTAACACAGTTGAGAGACACAAGATAATTGAATGATTTTTGTTTCACCTTAAACGTTGATATTATTGAAATGGACGTTGACTGATGATCTTCTAACTCGACAATTTTCTTCTCTTTCATTTAACATCATTTTTCACACTCAAATTCAATTTGATTATCATCTTATTTTTGAAAACAAAAACAAATAAAAATAATATTATTTTCACTATTTTCACTTTTTTAATCTTCCCTCTTTTGCCTACTTCAAACTGGCGCTTTTTTCACAGCTTGGTAACATTTTAAACTAATGATTGCTTCACATGTGGCTCGCTGTTACTGCACTTAAAATTGTCAACAGTTTTAAATCATCTTCAAAGATTCAATCATTGACTTAAATTTATATATCTTTTAGTGCTAATGGACCTCTACAATCAATGTGCGTTAATTTATGAATTTAATGGTTTCCAAAATGGGCAACTTTCCCTGTGTACATCTGGTCACCCGTTACCTGGTTAAACCGTTTGACTGACTTATGCCTTTATCTGGATTGCTTTATTTCCATTTAACCTGATTTTTGTATTTAATTAGAAAGATGGTGTTAATTATTAGTTCGTAAGTTGTAATTTTGGTCAATAATTAGACGTAATTTTATAATTTGAAAGTAAAAATCATTTCATTTTTTGTTTCTTCTCTTTTTTTGTATCTTCTGCATTTGCTTCCATGCTTGATTGATAACAACTCTTGCCTTTTTAATGGTTAACGAAATACTTGCTCTTCCAGTCGATGCCTGAAACAATTCAAGTTAAATTGCCACTTGTAATAATGATTATCAACTAACGGTCATCAATCAAAAATAAATCAAAGGGTATCAATTAACCTTTTTCTTCTTCTTGGAGTATCAATTTACCCGGTGGAAGCAACAAGCCAATGTATTCAAACTGAGGAATCACCTTAACCGCTCCTAATTTTTTACTTTTCTTGGTTTACATTTGTTTCAACCTTTTTTAACATTTCCTGCATAATTGATATAATGTTGAAATGATGAACAAAGCAACCTGCTTGAAATTACCTTTTTTTACCAAGAAAATGAATGGAATCATTTTTTTGCCTCGTTTCTCCATAAGGTGAGGTTTTTAACTTGTTCACAATTACATTTTAAAGGTTCTCTATGGTAATTATTGTCATTAATGTTTACCTTCTTGGTTTTCTTGTTTTCACTATAGACATACATCATATTAATGATTGGACTAATTAAACCCTTTGTTGCATGACTTTTGATTAATTGCATTATGACATGTTGCCATTTTAAAGATTGCTGATCAACATTGGAACAAAATGGATTGATTTCACATTGCTAAAGGCTTAACTGGCATCGTTATTTTCAATGTTTAATTGTGATTTCTTTTCATGTTAGTTTATGTTTTCCTTTTTATCTTATACATGCTTATTCTGATGATAACATTTATACGGAAACATAAAAATATAGGAACAATTTAAGTAGTAAATTAGTTTCATTTGACTTGAATCACGAATCTCATTGTTGTCAACAAGCAAACATAACAAATCAAGTCTATTACTGTGATCATTATTTGAGATGATGATCATTAAACCATGTAAAGAAATAGAAACCAGATTGTTATTTGAAATATATATTTGGATATATTTCATTTGATTTCTAAAAGACTTTCAATCTCAAGAATTGCGTGTTTGTTATTTGCTCCATAATTCCAGATAATAGATTCTATTGAACTATTTATCCAGGTTTTGTATGGAAAACATTTCTACATTTATTAGGTGAAATCACAATTAGTCACTGGGATGGTAAAAAATTTGCCGTTAAAGTCATTCAAGATTAATCTTTATAGCTTTACCTTTTCACTGACTGATTGAACACCAAATTGCTGGTTAACCGGTTAATTGTTGGCTTACAATTAAATACTGATTGTTTACAACAACTAAAGATTGACGTCATATTTTGATAATTTCTCAGCGTGGTGAGTGATTAAAATTTAAGCCTGATTCATTGAAATAAAATCAGTAACCCAAATCAGAATTGATTATTTTTTATCAAAATTAAACATACTTTTCTAATTATTATGAATACACAAAAACACAAGCAACAAAAATTATGTAAACAAAAGCTGATTTAAACTAAGTAGCTAAGATAATCGGATTAAATTGAATTGTTAATTTTAATGGATGGAAGTTATTAAAATTAGCCTGACTTATCTACAATCAATTGTATTAAGCTATTCTTAGATCATTTTAATGGGTTATTTTAATAACAATTTAACCCTCTTCTCACATACTCTGTAAGTTTTTTGTTTCAATGCGTTTTTTGGTTTTCTGGTTAACTATATAAACTCATATTTTGGTTAGTTAAGTAACACTGTGTATTGTTTAGTCTTGAACGTTTTGCCTAAAAGAGTCTAATATTTTTACCTTGTTTCAGCTTCGAGTATTTAAATCGACATTGGTTAATATCTATTATGATGGTTAGCTGTACAAAGTTTGCATTCTTAATGACAATTTACGCAAGCTATGCTCTTTTACTGGCTCAAGCGGAGGATTTAAGACGATTAAAATCAGACAGTGACCAAGTTGAGGACATTACTCGTTCGGAAATTGATGATTTTGCAATTGATATTGATGAATATAATGAACGCTCATCAAGTGATATTGATGGTCAGCTACGGTTACGATATCGTATGATTGCGTCGTGGGAAGCGGAACGAAGAGAGGCAAGGCGATCAATGAGTGGACCAACATTACCTCAAAGTGAAAGGTTGGCTGATGATAGGAGTGAATCTACTCGCTATGGTTCCATTGAACGATCAGTTGACCGACAGGTTGAACGATTAGAGGATCGTGAAGATAGAGTTCGATCAACTGAAGACAGTGACAGACTATCAGCTGACCGACAAGTTGAACGTGAAGAGAACCGTGAAGATAGGAGTCGATCAACTGTAGAAAGTGAAAGACTATCAGTTGACCGAGAGGTTGAACGATTGGAGGACCGTGAAGATAGGACTCGATCAAATGTAGACAGTGACAGACGTGATGGTGTTTTTGACAGAAGAGAGTCAAGACGGGAATCAAGGGAAGAAACAAGTGAACGTCGAGTTACATCTAGACGTGAGTCCAGAGGTGAATTTGAACGTGAATCCAGGGATGTATCCAGAAGGGAAGCTAGAAGGGAAGATGCAAGTGAAAACCGAAGTGAAGATCGTGAATCTCGGCAAGACTCTGAACGGCAAATCAGAACACAGATGGATGAAGATAATGTTCGAGCTGAGCGATCATCACGACGATCATCAACTGACCGTGTGGAGAATGAACAGTCAGATCGTATGGTTAGACGAGAAGATGTCCGAGATTTTAGATCAACTGAATCCAACGTAGCCTTGGTTGAAAGCAATTCCCAAATAACTACCTTCTTGGGTCAAATGGTTAGTTTAATCGTCACAGTAATGTTGGTTAATAAGTCAACTAAAGGTGGTTTTACCAGCAAAGTAAAACAATTATTCTCCAACAAGGTAACAGTCCAATAATAATTGCAACAATTTAAGCTAAATCGAGGATGGTAGAGAAAGATGGAGAGAGGAAAATAGTTATTCACAGCTGTTTTTGTTTCTTGTTTTTCTTGATGATTGGTATAGGCATTACTGTTGTCTAAGGTGTTGCTTTATTTATTGCTGTTTATTTGCTCTTCATTTATAAATCTGTTAATTGTTATTAATTTGATAGTTTAACTATTGTTATAAAGCAAGTTTGTTAATTTAAGTGTGTATATCATGTTACTTATTTTGTTCATGTTGTTTCTCATTAGTAGATTCTGGTTGAAAATTGAAAATTACCATTGTACAATTACATTGCGTTGAAAAGAATACAATTAAACCATTTTGCTTTCCTCAATCACCACTAACAGTGTATTTATTTACAGCTTATTCAACACATTCTCATTTGACACCAATTAGCAGTTCAACAGTTAATAAACATCATTTGAATTGAGTAAATTGTGTTGATGGTTGAGCCAATTGTTGAAGCAACAAATCTTTAATTTTTAGCTCGCCATCTGACCTTTCCAGTATCGCTTTACATATCATCTGGTTGTTTATGATTAAACTGTTGCCAATGGTTAATTCATTTCTTTCTGGATTGATGATAATTTATGAGGCAAAAATAAAGTATCAAATTGTATCTAGTTAATCAAAAATCCATTAGCCTCAAGATTACAAGTAAACATGAGACATTTTACTGGGCATCAATGCTTGACATTTAGTTGAAATGTTTAATGTTAATTCGTGTAATTTTTGAACACAAATTTGCACAATCGATTGATTGTTATCCAGTATAATGGTGATGATTGTTAACAGCCATTTTTAGCTTCTCCAATTGCAACAATTTTGCCTTTTAAACATGCATTTGTAATTAACTTAATTATTGGAGCTGTAAACAGTGTAAACAGTCAAAAGTCAATCAAGTGATCCTCTTAGCTTCTGTGCTTCTTAGCTATTACATTCACAACAATTTGCAGCTAATTGTTAATTTTATTAAGATTTTTCCGTTTGTGATGAGCAAAATTTTTACCAAACAATTTGTCATTGTCAACCTTGAATGAAATTTAAATGATGTCACAAATGTTTATTGTGATTTTGATGCTAATGATGGCATTGGATGTTGATTGACAATTAAACAAATATCAAGTCTTGTTCATTTGAATTGTAGTGAGACGTCAAATATTTTGCAAGTATAACAATCAACTTTGAATGCAGATCAATTGGGGAATCGGAAGAAATGCATCTGGACAAGGTTAAAGGTCAATCGTATCATGATTGAGTAAACTTTATCCGGTCAATTGGGTGGCTTGTTGAGTTGAAACTGTAAACAGGTTAATGTAGTTGGGTATGATTCAGTAAGTAGTTGAAAAAGTTATCATGAGCTGACTGATAAATTAACTTTACATTTACTATGTAATACAAAAGGAAGGACATTGAAGTGAATGTTACTTGTTTTTGGTGGCATCTCATTGACAAAGAGTTCAGTTGATTTATACTGGAAAAAAGGAGAAGAAAAGAAGAAGAAGATGAGTATGATGATGATGGTGGTGATGATAATGATGATGAAACAAGAAAAGAAGAAAGTGAAAGATGAAGAGGATGGCGAGAGAAAGAGAGAAGAGGAAGTTAGTTGAATTATTCATGATACCAATAGGATTGAAATAGTATCATCACATTGGAATCAATTAACTTTCCATTAAACATCTTTTTTGCCTTTTCAACTCCTTCCCTTCATCATCTAATCTTGTCGTACTCATCCTCATCATCACCATCATCATTATTTTCCTTTAGATCAACCATATTTATTGTTTACCTACTTATCCAATCTACAAAAGATTCTTCTTTGTCACCATTTCTTTTCCTCCTTAGCAGTTATTTACTTCTTTTATTTTCTCCGCTTTTCTTTAAGACATAAACATTGAAATATCTTTTTTTCTTCGCCTTTCTCCTTTGAATTAAACATTCTTTCTTTTGAAAGCAGCAAAAACGTTTTTCTTTTTGTCATCACCATCCAAATAATAATAAATTGGAATCATTTTAAAGACGACTCAATCTTCACCAAACTTGATCCAAGAAAAAAAAGGTTTACCAAGTCAAATGGCATTTTTTCACTTGACAAGCAGCTCAGTTGAAAACACTGTTGAAACATTTGAAAAGAAGAAAAAATGGCTTAAATCATTAGAATTCACTTTAATGTTAACCAATTATTCCATTGCCTAATCACAATGTAAATCATTAAATGTACTTACTGAACACTGAGTATCATAAATATGAATACAGTAAACGCTAAAAAAGTCAAAAGATAAGCGAGAAAACACAAAGAGCAAGAGCAACTTTTCAAGGTTTATAATTTAGTTTTAGGTTGATGATGAACTTGAGGATGAAACAGATTCAACTTAATAACCTTAGCATTAATAAATTAAATAAATTAAATATTCAAAATCAATCAAATTGTCTAATTGAAAAATTCAAGACTTGATTAATTTTAGCTTCTTTAATATCACAGATGATTGAGATGAAAATAATACCACAAGGTGGCGTTACTGCGGCAACACATGTTATGTAAAGTTTGACAACCTGTTTAAGGTTATCCAAAGCTTACATCTTAAACAGGTTGTCAGTTTTTTTATCAATACAAACATATAGATTTTTTGTTTCCCTTAAATTTACTGTTGACTAATGATCTACCAAATATAATTATAATAATAACAGTTTTTAAGAAAATACAATTTAATTAGTTTAATCGATGTCAATTAACAGCAAAAACATTCTCATGGTTGGCTGATCGTATCCAAGTGAGTACAGTTGAGTAGCAAAACTGCTACCATTGATATAACAAACAATACTAATTCAAATTTCAATTTTGTGTTACCAACAATTTTCAGCGACAACTACAAATATATGGATTTGAACAATAAAAAAATGGTTTGGATTCAATGAAGCACGACTCTAAACAGTAAACTTTACAACTGAAAGGAACCGATGATGATGTTAGGAGACGATGATGATGGTTTCTAAACGGTTGATGGAAAAATGGATGAAGATAAAATTGTCAGGCAAGAAAAAAGATGAGGCAAAGAAACAAGGATAAAAAAGATTTTTTCTCCAAAATGTAAATCCAATGTGGTTAAAGGCAAGAGGAGAGGAACCATGAGTAACATTAAAGAAACGCTAAGGAGAGTGAAAAAAAGGTAGGAGATAAACACCACACATTTGATATGATTCTCATGAGATAAAATAAAATGATGATCAGGAGGAGGTTAAAAGGAAGTAAAGAAAGGTTAGAATCTGAAAAGTTTACATTTATCAGTTTGCAAGCAGCCAAAAAAATAAGCCAAATTGAAGAAGCAACTGGAAAAATTGAATAAACATTGACTACTGTATGATAAACAAGAGGCAAAAGAAGATAAACTAACATTAGAATTCATAATATATTTAGAAAGATCAATTTACTTTTGCCTTATGTAAACCAATTTGTATCTAATTCCCATCAGGGTCAATGAATACTTCATTTATCATATAACAAATTTATAATAATATATAACGTATCAAACAAAATTTGTGCAACATCAAAGATCGTTTATTAGTTGATATTTATTGCTATTGTCATGATATATGTATATTTGTATCATATCAATAGCAATTCAGTGTTTATTTCTCATTGAATCAGAATCCAATTGTGTCTTGTTGTTTCTTTCATTCACCTTTGTTTTTACAGTTAATTTTACTAATTTAATCAAATGTTTAAACAAGAAAACAAAATGTCAAACATATTAGAATTAATTGTTGTTGTCTTTTTTATTTATATTTACAGATTATTAATCAAGTTTTTGTAAATAATGGAGAGACTTTGATATCAAACTGAGAGTCTAAAGCTGTTTACTGTTAACCATATCAATGTTACCTGACATTAAACAACAACAACAACTACTACTAGAGAAACAAGAGTAACAAACAATAATATAAATTGATGTTGTTTCTGTTCTTGTTGTTATTGTTATCTTGTTTCAACTGATGAAACTGTGATTACCAGTTACTCTATAAGAAATAAGGGAAAGACTAAAGAAGAAGCTGAAGGAGAACAAGAAGAAGACGAAAAAACAAGTGAAAACAAGTAAAAGGAGATGAGCAAGAAAAAAGACAAGAATATCAAAGTACTAAGACACTTTCTATTTCCTGAGAGAGTAAATGATAGTGACTGGCTTACCTTTACCCTGAAAATCACTATTTAAACAAAAGAGGAGAAAGGCTGAAAGAAGAAAAAAAGATGAACATGAAGACGGAGCAGAAAAAGAAAGAAAAAAGCAAACCAAGAAAGGATAAAGAAGGCAAAAATTGTAACACAAATTTTGTAAAGATAACTGAACGTTATTCAATGTGAAGTCACTTGAAAATATGTTTACCTTGGATTAAACAGAGTCAATCACTGTTTTGCTGCTCCTGACCAACCAAAAGCCAATAGCAAATAGCAAACAACTTATTTCTTGAGGAGCAAAGAGGCAACACTTATTATACACACTCACAAAAAAAAGGAAACATCTTAAACAAGAAGTTGAAATGAAAGTTTACATTTGACACTCTATTCAGTTCATCTTCATCTTTACCTTGTCTCTTCTTGAATCATTTAAATTAGATGGTTCACAGGATGGGAATCATTGATAATCTTGATATATATCCATCTAAAAAAACAGCTTTCTCTTATTCATCTCAACATTTTAGTTGTTACTCTGGTTGGATAGGCAGAAGAAGAAGAAGAAGAAGAAGGAAAAGATTCACAAAATGTTGAATCCTTTTTCAATTATCCACTTGACACAAGACAAGAACGACAAAGAAACTCAACAGAGAGACAAGGATAAGATGAAGATAAAAGTAAAGTGAACAAACTTATTTCTCTACCTGACCAGTCTTCATCTTCATCCTGATCATCATCATCATTTCCATCTTCTTCAGAATCTTCATCCATTTTACCTTTACTTTTACCACCCTATTCAATATCCTTTGAGATTCTCTCCTGGTTACCTCTAATTTGGATTGAGGTCAATCCAAAATGATTCCAGAGGTTTGCCACAAACTCAATGACAGCATTTGCTGTGTCTCTCATCCTCATCCTCATCTTCCTTCCTCCCTCTCTTATCATCATTTTAACCTTCACTTATTTTGACTTCTTTTTTGCCAGCTCTTCCTTCATGTATACACTTTTTTGCTGCTGCCTGTTTCACTCTCTTTGGTCATCATCATCTTGATTCTCTCGCTTATGCTCACTTTGATTCTCAATTTTTTGCAATTCCTTGGACATTTAAGTGGACCAAATATTAAAGGTAATAGTGATGGTTCCAAATTTTATCCTCCTATTGCTCTTGTTTGTTGCTCTTTTCACTTTATTTGACAAAGTAACTTGAGACAAGTTACTCTACGTTCATCTTCAATAAATGTCAACTTATTTTTGTTGCTCTTCTTGTTGTCGTTGTTGCAGTGAAAAATAATAGTTTCAACTTTTATTTTATTTTATATTTATTTTTTTCCCTTCACTTTGTTTACTTGCTTCTGTTGTTTCCTCTTTCTGAGTATATGTGTGTTGATAACTTAAAAAATCAAGCTTGTCTATTGTCCACTCTCAATCTTCCTCTATGGTTCACCTAATCTATTCAACCTTACTTTTCGTATTGCATTTTATCCAATGCTTTTGCTTATCCTTTTCTTGCTCGGCTAACCAAGTTTAACAATTGACATACACACAGCCAGTGAGAGATCAAAGGTAAAACTAAGTTTAGTTTAAGTTAATGTCAAGATACATCAAAAAAGAGAAGGAAGAAGAAGACAAAAAAAACGAAGATGACGATAAAAAAAAGTGAGATTCTAAATTTACTATTATTTTGACATCTTTTCACTTTATTTTGTTTTCATCAACTTTCTTCCTTTTTCCCTAACCTTTCAATTTAAACCTTCAATTGAAATTGGTAAATTGTACTTGTATTATTATTACATCAAGTTATTGATATAATACAAATGTTTTTGTACAAAACTGTAATTTTAATGGTTATTATACAATGGAAGCAAAGGTAAAACAAAAGGCTGACCCTTAATTGTTATTCAATAACCGTTGAAACCTCGTTAAAAGCATCATCATAAATCCTAATCACCATTACTAATTATCCCAAATTAACAGTTTAATCATATTTAATCAGTAATCGTAATTGATGCATACAACAATTAGAATGAAATCTTGCATAAAAAAAACAACATAAATCAGCGCAAAGTTAACCCGTGAAAATCATTGGCATTTTCAATTTAAACTGTAAGCCAATTTAATTATGACCATCTAATGATGAATGGTGATCATATCATGATTTAATCGCATTATTTACTAAAAAATCTCTTTCTTTCTCTCAATAGCAAACAATCAACAATGAAAAATTGAATCCCAATCACTGGATATAAGTATATTAAAGTGGAACATTGGAAAGAAGGAAAAGATGAACACGGAAAAAAGGAGAAGAGTTGATCTATTATTCTATTATCACCATTATCACAGTTATTATTGTCATTATTATCAATATTATCATTGTAACTATGAAAGGCCATGGATAAGGACTGGCTAAGGGTGAAAAATAAAAGCGTAAGCTTTTGAAAGTTACCCAAAATGGCTTACAGAAAAGGTTGTTAGCGTGTAAAAAAAGGAGACTGAAAATACACACAAGGCTAAATGGCATAATGTATCCAATGGTTGACCTTAAGAGCATAGTCACTTTAACACGGGTCAATGGGCTTTTTCATGAGAAAAGTTGAGTTGAAGGGAGAAACTGGAAGATGATAAAATAATGGCAAGCTCAATAATATTGAATAAAATAATTGAATCGGCTAAATATGATCCAAAGCGTATAATAACTGTATAAACACACTTTTTGTTCACATTTGATATATCGATGTTAATGGATAATAATATAATTTAGTCTAAACTTGAATAGGATTAGGCGAGAAGCAAGCAAGGCAAGAAAAAGTGACTCCCTTCAATAAACCAGTGATGAGAATGAAGATGGGGATGAAAATGAGGAATCAAAATGAGGATAAAAACGATGATGATGAGGATAAGAATGAGAATGAATAAAGCTTTTAAAAAACATTGATAAAGACAAAGTTTCGGGTCATGGATCAAGCAGTCTCCTTTTTTTTCATCCTATCCAAACCTTTGTTGTATTATTATAATGATGATTGTTATTAGCGACTTGTTTTTAAACCTTTCATCATTTAAAGAGGATCATGCCGATGATATATTAAGACTGACTGGTTAAGATGAATACATGATTTGGTAAATTATTGTTTGGCTTTGCCTTTTGTAAAGGACAACCTCAACCAAAATGATTATCAGTTTTCAACTTTCCAACAATACTTCGGGAATATCAATGATAGTTATCCTTATAAAACGAACCTGCGACCGTTAATCCGCTTTGGCTACAATGTCGATGAGCTTTTGCCAGGTTTAGCCATTTTTTACCAGAAATGTGAACCAACCAAATGAGCCTTCCAAGTCATGTTAACTTACAATGTTGAACATTTGATTTTCAATGTTTTCTCAGCAAATCAGATTCAAAGTATTTGCTCTGAAAATTTGTCGACTAATGACTCGAGAATCGTAAAATCTCAGCCTGTCAACCAGTTTAACTCGACGTTTAGGCTTTGAGTAATTGAGTGACTATTTGAAAGCTGGCCAGTTTAAACTGTTTGAATAAAACATTTTATCGCCAATTTCCATTGATTGATAGTAATTCATGTTAAACACTTAATTGTTGCTCTGGTCACACTTGAATCAACATTTTTTGTACCTTTAAAATTGAATCACAAATTTTACTGTGTTATCCTTACAATTGACCAATCTGTGTAATGTGTGTTACCCTTGTCTCTAACATTTGTGTGTTCACGTCAGCCCTTAAGGTAAACCTGAATTAATATGGTAATCATAATGATGGTAATAATAATTGTTAATAATGATGATGATAACAGTTGCCCGGGTCAACCAATATACCAATTCATTTTGATAATATGAGGTATAAGTGCAGCCTCATACATTATAATTATCTTTGTTAATAAGTAGCTTGTAATACCTAATTCAACCAGAATGAGAAATGAAGATGAAGGATGATGCAAAGATGAAGGCAATCTTTTTTAGCACCAAAAGCCTAACATTTCATCTTGTAATAAATAATCAAAGGAAACACAAAAATCCTCTGTAACTGGGAGTGGTAACAGTGATTTATACGATACTGACGACCAAAAATGATATTCAATATGAAGGATAACAGGGAAACTGAAACCTGTTAAACGGTCAATTTTGTTTTAACAATTTCATTAAACATTCTTACATTAACATTTTTACCTTTTTTAAAATGATTAACCAGAAAATTAATCAATCACCGAAAAAAGTAATGAATGTAACAATCATAATGATGGTTGATACTGATGATCATGATAATAAGGAGCAACAAAGGATGTTTGACTAAACTCATGTGCAAACCTGTCAAAGAGTGACTCCAATCGATAATCATTGGGATCGTTGAATCTTTGAAAATTAATTAATCAGCTGAGATGAAAGAAACAAAAAAACGTTTTAATGGATAACCTCAAAATTTTGGTCCAATAAGTGTGAACAGTTACAATAAGCTTTTTGTGTTGCTGTTTCCTTGCTAGTTACGCATACGCTCATTGCAATTTAAATTGCTCTTTTCAAGTGAAAGTTAATGTTGAACCTGAAAGAGTTTACTCAAATTTTCACCAGACATCATCAGATTATTTTATAACCCTTACTGTGGCAAGAAAATGGGTGAAAATTAAATGGCAACTTTAACACATTGGTAGTTAATTTGATGACTAAAGTCGATTTTATCTTAATAAACATTTCATTTTGTCTGAGTGTTTAGGTTTTTACTTGAAGGTTAATCTGGTAAACTTGGCTGATTCAGCGTCAAAAGACATCATCAGGTTATTTTGCATCATCATCGGAACAAGAAAATCAATTAAAACAAGAAACAATTGACAGTTCAAGTTGATTTCACTTCAAACAAACAGTTAACTAAAGACATGATTCTTATGTTTTTAGGTTTCAAGATTTGTCTTAAAGCTTTAACAAAATCAATTTAACCAGAGTTTAAATTCATATTTCGCATCATTGGAACAAAAAATTAATCAAAACAAATCATTCCAAGATATGGAGATGGAAAGGGCCAGGTTGTGACTTAAAACCAGACATATTTCAATATAATTTCAACGAAACAATCTTTCCAAAAAGAAACGAACTTTTGTTAAAAATAAAGAAATTTTTCTTGAAAACAGTGAATAGTTTCTTAAATTAACTCTTAATCCACCTTATATTGAGGCTGAAATGATCTTACATTAGGAAATGGTCTTTACGATGAAAATTTCGGTTTATTTTAAATCGATTCATGATTCCTTGATTTAAACACTTCGATAAATGCGAAAGCATAAGAATATAACTTTTACAGTTAACTTCGGGGATGACTTGTGATGCCAATTCAAGATCAAATATCATCTGATCTTTTGGGTTTATAAAATCAAATGTGTTCTAATTGATTGTAGTTGAGTTTCCAATACATTTCATTGATACCAACCGTTAGAGTTGAAAAATATGGCTTTATTTTTCTTGGTTATCCTTATGAGAGATTAATTAGAAACTGGAAAAACTTAAAAACCGAAAATGTTCAAGTGTACTTGATATACATTTGCAATTACTTGAGTTTTAAAAGCAAATTATAAACATTTGTCAGCTAAATTGCTGTCTTTACTTAGACATATTACAAACTAGTTGACTAATTAAAAAGACATCAAGATATTAATACAATTTCAACGGAAAACTGTTTAAACACAAAACCAAGTGAGGCAACTTGGTCAGGCAACAATGAAACTAAAAGCAACTGAATATAACTTGAAAACACAAACCTCGATTAAACATTTTACCAAAGTGAATCTTAATAAACATTACATTTGAAAGCATCTTGAAAAGTTTATATTTCCTGGTAATTTATTTTCAACAAAAATCCCAACACATGAAAGTATGAATGAAAGTACAGAAAATGAATTTGGTCGCGTTTTCCCTTCTTACTCTTCACTTTGTCCTCAAATCAACAAATCAACGGAAAATTATTTTCCATTACTTTCTCACTAAACTTTCTCATCCTCATCCTCATCATCATCATTTCTTCTCAAACTTGTCATCAAGTTTACTCTCAATTCTCCTTTGGCATGTTGACAACGTGCTTCTTGTAAAAAGATATAAAAATAAGGTTAAACTTGCAATCGATACAACATCCATTTTATCCACCTTCTTTCTCCTCCTTCTTTCTCTTCCTTCCACTCTCATCTCTTGCCTTTTCCCTCCTCCTTCTCTTTCTTATCACCATCATCATCATCATCATTTTGCTTCACTTTTATCTCACTCTCCCAATATTTACCAAGTGATGCGAGAAAAATGTTTTAACGGGTTTCCAATACATTTACAAACTGAATCGTTTTGTTGAAACAGCAACAACAACAACAACAACAAAACATTTTGCTTTTTTTAACAACAAATTTTCATCTTCATCATCATTTCTCCTCAACTCAACACCATCCTGTAATCTTGTGTAAGCTCTTGTGGGCAAAGTTTATGGTAAAAGCATAACACTAAGGAGCCAAAAAAAGAAGCTGAAATCACTGAAAATGATGGAAAAGAAAACGATGAAAAGAGAAAGAAAAGAAGAAGAAAAAAAAGGTTTTTCCCTTGTTTTTATTACTTACGATATGGTTTGATGAACATTGGTTTTTCATTCTTATGGGTAACAAACCTCATAATATTGTTACAGCAAGAAGTTAATATAATCTGTATCATGATTGAAAGAGAATGAAAAACAAAAGAAGGAAAAACGAAGGAATCAGGTTAAGAACATTTTTTTCCACCTTAAATATCTTTTCTTGGTCTCTTCATCATTAACATCTCGACTGATGAAGTGCAAGTGGCAAGAAACTACAAGTAAAAAGGGAAAAAAGCTGGAAAAAAGGAGAACCCAAATGTTAATCCTGGTTGATTTCATGGATTCAAGGAATGCCAAGAATCTAATATATAAATGTGTCTATAAATTGTGAGCGAAAATGATGAAGCAAAAAGTATGGCTCACTAATATAGAGAAGGAAGATGAAGAGAATTATGTTGAAGATGAAAGAAGAAGAAGAGGCAAAAAAACACTCCCAGTGTAAAGGGAATGAAAATGGAGAATCAAATATATTCTTAGATAATTCTCTCGAGTTTCTACTAATATAAAGTTCTTAGCATTTATTATATGAAAATGATTGTTTGTCTCATTTTCTTCATCACCATTATCATCATCTTTTGCAAGGTGATGATGAAAAGTTGATTCACATTCCCTTTGGTTTTTATCTCAACATTTTTTTGTTCCAACCTTCTTCTGTCATACTTGATATATCGATATAATGGTTAATATCGCCGAAAGGAG